TTTATATTTTCTGATGAATTAAGCCTTATTAATCGTATTTTTGTTGTTGTAATTTTTTGGGGTTGAGCAGAGATCGAGTTCTTTATCATTGGGCGAGCGTATCTGCGTGGCATTTATACCGTTTATATCGATCATAGAGGTGTTGGTTTTTGCTGTGACCGATTGCTTCAGCTACTCTCCACGCGAAAGCAATGCCGTTTCGCTTTGGGCGATATGTCTGTCCTCGCCAATGAAACCAGATGTATGGAATATTTAAAAAAATATATATTCTCAAGATTAAGAGAACTATATTTATTCATAACTTCGAATTGTGAATGATCTCCTTTTGCTTTGGGGATTTTGAATAAAGAGAATAAGAAAGAAATGAATAGTTAATGAGAAATTTTGAATGCTGTTTGTGCTGCTTACTTGCATGAAATGATGATGCAGTTACTGTTAATGAGTTGGAGGCATTGTATGAGCTGTTTAAGAAGTTGAGTAGTTCAATTATCGACGACGAATCAATTCATAAGGTCATCCAAATTTCTCTGAATTATTATTTTTAGACCCAAAAAATCTATGGTTAGGCTCGAATAAATTATCGGCCCAAAATGACACTTTATTAAGAAAATGCGCAAAGTGGAGTACATGAAAACCTGCCACATGCGAGTTGCAGTTCACGTGCCATGCTAAATAAATAATTCGTCATGCTAGGAATTGAGATAAAATATACCGGCTCTACAAGCCCATGCCGAAATTAAACATCGCAGCCCTTCCCAACGACAATAAAATTAAAACATGCCAAGCACGAAATAGTTATTTCGCATCCAACCACGCTACAAGCCTAAGTGGGCCCAAGTTACTCAAATGCTCGATGCTTGCTTGAGTGGGTTGTGGTATGAATGATAATAAATTGACATGAAGCCCATTGATGGGCTGAGAAATGGAAGCCTCGGTTGCTTGGGAGCCTCGGGACTGAAGCTCATTTCTTAGGCCCAAACATATGGGTGAGCACAAGAGGGAAAATAACCCAACCAAAATAACTCAACCAAAAAGCCCAACTTTTAATAAAAAATAGCCCGCTTACTTGATGAACCATCTTGGCCTATACAATTACCATAATAAGTTACAAAGGCCCCAACACCTAACTAGAGGAATAAAAGCCATGAAGGGGAGGTCTGAAGGTTCATTGAACAAAACTGCTGGGAGGTTCCAGCACATGGGTGGAGCAAGTTTTAAGCAAAAACATTTAAGGAACCAAAGGATATTAGCGCGTAAGTTGCCAGAAGCACCATTCAAATCAGCATGTATATCCATTTGTTTTTATTCATCAAATCTAGCCATGGAAGAAGGAAGGAAATAAGAAGAAAAATAGTTGAGAATGGAAGTCTCCCATTGAAATAGCTACGGGAAAGGGGCCTTGAACTCCCCAAAATTCCTGATTTTGTGCAGATAGGTAGAGGAAATTTTATCATGATAGGAAAAGTCAAGGGAGGAGAGGAGAAAAGAAGGGAAAAGCTTGGCCAAAATTGGGTAGAAACTATTAGGGTTTCTTGGGAAGAGATGGTTTCCAGTGGCTATAAAATGAGGCCTCTTCTACCCAACAAAATCAACCCACATCCAGATAGCAAACTTTCTCTCTTCCCTGCAAAAACCCAGCCATCTCGTGTACTATTCATCATTCTTCTCCATTTTCATCTTCTGGCAGACCACTCTCACAGCTTGATAAAATCTCTGTCAAGCTGCTGGAAGAACATTGTTCTTTCTTCCTCTCTTGTCAGCCAAATCCTCTTGCAAAACCTTTCCTCTCTTACCTCAACACTCCCTCTTTTCCTAAGAAAGCATAATTTTCTCTTCAGTGCTAAACTCATGTTGATTTTGCTTCCATGCCACAAGTTTCTCATGCCAATCTAGATAATTTATTTGTAAGCATTACAAAATCATCTGTAAGTCGATGTTGTTTTAGTTGGTGAATGGTAACTAAGATGCTTCCTAAGGCTCTACTGCCCTTTCGAAGCATTTTTTGGGCTTGATTTTTGAACTCAGACACGATGGACAAAACCATCAATCTGCCATTTACAGCAGCCCAGTCCATTCACAGCTGTTGGAGGAAAAAGCCCCCTACACATTCAAATTTAATTTTGAAGAAATGTGCTATTTCTTTCTAGTTTCATGCATTGTAATTATTTGGATGATGATTGTGTTGCAGGAAGAGCTTCAATTAGCACCATTCAGAACTCCCTATGGTGAAAATCTTTTCTTGGACAGGGTAAATGCTTCATCCCAACATCTTGAACCACCTCCATGGTAGGCCTGTGACATTTCTGCCGTTCCTTCGTTCTGGTCATCATGGGTATAATTGACCCAAGTCCAATCACTCCTTTTATAACATGATGTGACCCATAATGTATCGTTTTTCTTTTGCCTAGAGTAGACATCAATAAACCCATAATTTGTATAATTTGTTTTTTTTTCCCTTCAAGTTGAGTATGGTAGCTCTTTTACGTTTCAAATCCTGCCTAGCCGAAAAGGTCAAGAAAGAAAAACGATAAGAATACATTATTTGAAATTCATTTTTCTATGAATGTTTTTTTCGTGAAATATTTGACATTAAAGTCTATATATTCTTTGATTTCGTTTCCCCCATACGATCAATATCACAATTAATGAGGTCTGCAAGCCAATATAATTCTTATTTCTTACTTTACTCTTCTCGTTCTACGCTCGAGATCCTTCCCTCCCTAGGTACTCAAATAAGAATGGAAATTTTTCTGTAAATCCCCATTCAAATCATCATCCTCTACTTATTTTTCCTATATGGAGTTTTGTTTTTTGTCAGAAAAAACTATATATAGAGTTACATTAACAAATGTTGTCAGGCACAACCCAAGGCCACACGTGATATTAGGCCATCCTATAAACTGAGTTATACAAATATGGGCAAAAAGTTACATGTGCTTGACAGAAAGGTCCATGTGTCCAAATCTATAATCTATTATATATATATATATATATATATGGAAATTCTCCTATGTGGACATCCGGATGTTGTATATTTTGTATTACTCCTTTTTACTTTCCTATTTGTTCACTATGACATTCGCACAATAATAACATTTGAATAATACCTCGTGTTAAAGTAATAATTTTGGATTTAATATCTTCCTCTTTTTCTATGTTTCATCAAATTTTAAGGAGGACATTGACATTTTTGGAATCTTGGAAAATCCATGTGGTTGCTTAACAATGTTAATAATTTTTTGTCAATAATTAAGAAGAAGAACCTTAAAGTTCAGTACTAGGAATCGATACAAAGTCTTCTTCAAAAATCTAGTTTCGCTTGAGAATTTATATCCATTTGAATAAGACCACGATGGTGTCATAACAACCACAATCAAGTAATCATATTGGCAAATGGAGTTTTATACGCAATCGTTAATAATGTAGTTGCATTATTCTTTAATTTAATCAATGTGTGTTAATCACATCATCACATGCCCATTAAACTATTAAACAACAATCCGAAAAAATAACAAATATAGTTGCCTTTTTAAGATAAAGAAAGAACAATAAATTAAACAAAGCTGGCTGCCTTCCTAAGATGAAGACAGCTGATGTGATCGGCTGAATTGGTAAACTTCAGGAGTTTCACAAGTGAAAGTGTGTATGGGTGTTGGAAATAATTATTTCCTCCAATAAATTAGTATTAAAAATAAAAACGATCAATTAAATCTTAGTATAAAAGTGACTATATTTCATACACTCGAGTTTGATCATCTTCTTGATTAAAATATAATAAATTAGAGCATCTTCAAAGGAAATGTTAATTGCTGATGTGATCGTCGTTATCCAAACATTAGTCCTTTTTCAAATTGATATTCGACAAAATGGGAACCGACCTTGAAATATGATTGAGCATTATGGAAGAAAAATATTACCGCAAGAATTAATAAGATGGCTCTATATTTTTCATAGGCTCAGACCTCGCGAGGTGTCGTGTCGTGCCGCGTCACATGGAAGCAAGGGCTACAAAGCCAATCGGAAATCCACGTGTCAGAATCTAGCTCAAGAGCACTCACGACGAGGTCGCATTAGAATAAACAGATGGTTTGGCTTGGTGGGGTCCATTTATTCATCGATAAAACTGAAGCTTCGTGGTTCACTTATTCCCGCGGTCTCGTGCGCCCTCTTCTCTGTCCGTCTTTGAAACGAAATGTATAATCCAGGCAGCGAGAGAGAAGAAGACGCCTCACGAAGCTCTCCGGTGCAGATGCGGACATATTTCATCGGAAAGCACAAAGCAACAAAGCGCGAGAAGTAGCAGCCTCGATCTGATGAGTTGTTGCAGACAACAATGGATTTCGCGGTAAAAGTAAAAATGACCGAATTTTCATTTCCCATTGTTTATATTTTCCGATGAATTAAGCATCATTAATCGTATTTTTGTTGTTGTAATTTTTTGGGGTTGAGCAGAGATCGAGTTCTTTATCATTGGGCGAGCGTATCTGCGTGGCATTTATACCGTTTATAGCGATCATAGAGGTGTTGGTTTTTGCTGTGACCGATTGCTTCAGCTACCGTCCGCGCGAAACCAAATACCGTTTCGCTTTGGGCGATATGTCTGTCCTCGCCAATGAAACCAGATGTATGGAATATTTAAAAAAAAAATATGTTCAGAAGATTAAGAAAACTATATTTATGCAGAACTTCGAATTGTGAATTATTTCCTTTTGCTTTGGGGATTTTGGAAAAAGAGAAGAAGAAAGAAATGAATAGTTAATGAGAAATTTTGAATGCTGTTTGTGCTGCTTACTTGCATGAAATGATGATGCAGTTACTGTTAATGAGCTGGAGGCGTTGTATGAGCTGTTTAAGAAGCTGAGCAGTTCAATTATCGACGACGGATCGATTCATAAGGTCAGCCAAATTTCTCTGAATCATTCAAATTCAATTTTGAAGAAATGTTCTATTTCTTTCTAGTTTCATGCATTGTAATTATTTGGATGATGATTGTGTTGCAGGAAGAGCTTCAATTAGCACTATTCAGAACTCCCCATGGTGAAAATCTTTTCCTGGACAGGGTAAATGCTTCATACCAACATCTTGAACCACCTGACTAGGATATATATATATAATTCCCTGCAACTCTACTTACACGAACAGGTTTTTGCTCTTCTAGGTTTTTGATCTCTTTGATGAAAAGAAAAATGGTGTCATTGAATTTGATGAGTTTGTTCATGCACTCAATGTCTTCCATCCATATGCCCCTATAGATGATAAAATTGATTGTAAGTCTTACTGCTATAAAGGGCAATGCTAAATGGTGTGCGTCTTTCTTGTTATCTTATGTTTCTTGTTTGTTAATTACTTGCAGTTGTATTTAGGCTCTATGATCTGAGACAAACCGGGTTCATTGAGCGAGAAGAAGTGAGTCTTGTAGTATTTTTTACTGCCTAAGTCTCTGAGGAAATTTATGTTTTTATGGGTACTTACGATTCAATACCTTGTATGAACGCAGACACGATATTATTTAAACTAAGTGGCTTCTGTTTGGTTTCAGGTTAAGCAAATGGTGATTGCCATAATGATGGAATCTGACTTGAAATTGTCAGATGATCTTCTTGAGTCTATCATTGATAAGGTAAGCAGTACGTAGTTGTGTAAGTTTGGATGTTGTTTTACTGGGTGGTAATCAGAGCTTGTGGAGAATTTAGTACTCACAGCATCTTCAATTGCCTTGCAGACATTTGCCGACGCTGATGCTGACAAAGATGGTAAAATTAACAAAGAAGACTGGAAGGCTTTTGTGTTTCGACATCCAACCCTGTTGAAAAACATGACTCTTCCTTATTTGAAGTATGTAACTTGCCTGTGTCTCTTTAGATGCTATCCTATTCTGCGATATGCAAACGTCCAATCTCACCTTTATTTTCCAGTTACAATCTGCCTTGTGTTTGAACCTATGGGTCCTTTTCATGATATCTAATATTGTTAAATTTTTTACTGACTTGCTTCGCTAACCACATCCTCCAGGGACATCACCACGGTATTTCCAAGTTTCATTTTTCACACCGAAGTTGAAGAAGACTGAGAATTTGAAGCCTTTTCCTACAGAGAATCTTTATAAGAACTTAACTCTGAAGCATCAGCATCTCACACGCAGAGCTACTACCATTCAGGAAAATTTTGAAATGGTTTTGTGGCAGATCACAAGTAGCATAGCCAGGAATGGGAGACATCCAAGTGTCGGCATGCTGGGATGGCCACATCACAAGATTATCCATTTGGTTTGAACATTTAAAGCGCTACGAGCGCAGCTATCTCCATCAATTCAAAGCCTTTGTACAGTGAGAGAGAAGTATTTTTGTAGTGAATTTGAACATACTGGTGTATGTAAAAATTTACGGTGCTTCTTGTTAATGGATTTATTAAAGTTACTAAATTCTGTAAAAGATCATTGACTTTTGTTTAACTAAGCAACAGGGCAGAGCAATGTAAGGACCGGCCATGAGGTTTGGGACCCGTATTAAGCTACCAACCGTCGTTTCCCAATTACATTGATACACATGCAAAAGAATTACTACAAATCATCAATAAAAATTTCATTTTTCTTTCTATGTTTGAATCTTATTAATAACAAGTTTCAGAACCGATGAATTGTGACACAACATAATTTGTACGAGTAACTTCAAACATTGAAAACATATTAAGAAAATTCTACTCTCAAGCAAGAATCGAATAGCAGAGTATGGAAAAAGTAGAAGGGCATGGCTAAAATCCAAACTTGCATACCTCCGAGTCCTAACATTCTTCTTTTTTCTGATCTATTCGATCCTTTACTGATGCCGAGAATCCTCCATTTTGAACAAAAAAAGAAGAAGAAGAATTCTCCACTGGCCTTGAAACTTGCGAAAAAGTTATAACTTCCATACAATGAAGATGTAATTGTTACAGTATCTCAAGGCAACCATACACTATCATGATATAATAAGTAATCTAAGTGCTAAACTACTGATAAGTATACATACGGCAAACAAGTATCCAGATACACAAACCGAAGTGACCAAAAAAAACAAAAAAAACCACAAGGAGATCATTCTTTGAAGCTTTCAGAGGCTCTATGATGCAATTTTTGTCCACAACATTATCAACTAATAGAAACTCATGTACAATTTGTACACTCCACCACAACGGAGATTTGTAATACAAATTCAGCTTCACAAAAACCCTTAAGAGAATCTGGCCAAACAAACCAAGGCAAAATTTAATGGTTTATGTGATAGCCGTTAACTCTATAGCATTCGGATTCAAATCACTATGCTGAGTAGAAGTTGTTCCCTGCTGCTCTTCAAGAACAATTTCTGGTTCAATTTGATTTGGTTTGCTAGATCTTGATGGCCTTCTGAGGCAGAGACAGTTGGTGTTTAGTGAAGATTCAACCGCAGCTATTCCATGAACACCATCTTCTTTTCTGGTTTTCTTGTAAGCATGCCAAGTCTTGTCTTGTTGATCATATGCTCTTAGTACTTGACGAATTCTTGTCCAAAATGAGGCTTTTGAATCAACGCATGTCAAAATGTGGCTATGCTCATAGAGGAACATGGCTGCAAAGATGAGGAGAGCTAACGATGAAGCAACACCAGCAACAATGAAGAGGCCCCAAAAGCTTTCAAGGCTAAGAGTGTTGTAAGAGCTCGCAGTGTTGGGGTTTGAACAACTTGCTGTTTTCTTGAACCACTTGTCCTCGATGGCCTTCATTTTATCTCCCTCGTGCACTTGAGTGATTGCTGTCGAAACATCACGCGTGAGAAGTGAACTTTTTGGAAGACCTGCAGGTCACACTCAAAAAGAAGAGAGAAGAAAAAGAAAAATCCCAGATCAGTAAAATATGTACTAAACTAAACGGGAGAAAGAAAGCCAGAAAGAAAAACAGCAAGTGATCAACTTACAAAGGCAAAACCATCGGCTTTAAATGTTGGCTCGACCAGGGTATATTTCAAGCAATAGGTTGCAAGAAAAAGTTTCATGTAGGGTGTTTCATCAAAAGCAGCAGAAATACCTCCATTTTCATTCCCGTTCTGAAGAAGTTTATCTAATTCTTCTACGGAATTATAGGTCCTAAGTTTATCGTCCTTAAACCCTAGCTGACTCAAAATCCCATAAATAAAAGAGCCTTCTTGGTAACCAACGTTGTCCCCATTCTTCAAGAAAAGGTTCACATCAGTAACTATTGGTTGGAGCTGTTGAATTGTTAAGATTGATGATAAACTGGCAGTGTAGCTTTGAGTCAGTACGAGGACGACAAAGCACCATATGATCACTACAAACCTACCCAAGTTGCTCACTACTGGTTCCCCTGTTAGAAAAATTCAAGATAAAACAGAAATGAGTCATAAAATATGTAAACAGTAAGCAAAGCTCATTTTACCATTTGGGTTTTGAGTTTTAAGACATAGACATAAATTATATATATATATATTAGAAAGCGTGGAACTTACGGTGTGCAAAAACCATGGTTGAGAAGGCGAACCAAAAGCTTGTGCCAATTTGGTGATGTGGAGGCCCACGAAAGTCTTCGTTTATCCGGTGTTGAAGAAACCAGACCACAAAACCAATGAATATGAAAAAACAGCCGATTGTAACCCAGAGATCCCACGTCAAAGGCTTCAAGAACACCCATGTGTTTTTACCGGCATCATTGCCTTTGATGGGGACGACCATTGATATCCCAGATTCTGTGAATGGCAATGTAAAGTCAACGTACAAGGATCTGTTTGCTCTAATAGTTATGTCTCCAACTGCAGCATCATAGTTCTGCCAAGTAAAAATGCCAATGTGTCAGTGAAGAAATTGGATAATTTTGCTAGAATAAAATGTGAATATCAGCAATAAAGGAAAGAAAAAAAAAGCCATAGAATGCGAGGTCTACCCCAAGAAACACTTGATTGATCAAATCATTGTAACTGCCAGCGCTCTGCCCATTAGGATTTGCAAAGGGATAAAACTCATAAGGAACAGGATATGGTAATGCTTTTATTACAGCGTCAAAGACTTCTATGCAGTATCCACCAGTGACCTTGGCTGTGTTAGTGCTAGGATCATGTACCACACTTACTAATTCTTCAAACCCTTGCTTCACTGGGACGAGGACTTTTAAGGTCCCGTTCGTGCGAATCTGCCAGCCCCTTGGAGCCAAGGTGGTGTCTCCAGGCCATATAACAGGTCCAAGACTGGCATTAGAAGTAGAGTATCTGTTTGTGTTTCTGTTCGAATTTATGTATCTCACAAGTCCATTTTGGGGTGTCCAATATCCAATTCCTCTTTCCCCATTATCATTCAGATTAACTACCTGAAAAGTTGATGATTGTAATTGCCCATTAATAAGACTGAAATCTCCTGAAAGGCCTCTGAATCTCGTACCTGATAGCTCTCGGACAAGTTCAGGACCACCTTGAGAGACCTCTAAGCTTCCCAAAACAGTGTAATTATGAGAACTGTTCATCTTTTGGAAGCTGAAGTTTGTACCCCCGACCTTCTCAACCGCCAGGGCTAATGCCCAAGCAGCATCATAAGCCCATAGTCCAAAAACATCCAATTTAACGTTAAGGATAGTTGGATTGTCTTGTTGGAATTTTGTTCGCCATCTAGCTCTAAAATTTTCAAGTTCTTTTGTGTTTGGAACATTAGTCTTTATTCCTAACACCCCTTGCATGTTATATATGTCGACAGAAGAACTGGAGGAACTAAAAGAGTTAGTCATCCCATTCGTTGTTATCCAAACATTACCTTCCTCCATCATGCCAATGTCTCTTGCCTTAGCAAAAAACCGAGAGCCAAGTGAAGGCGACATGTGCACTATGAATACCCTGGTTTGCATTGACATCAACCTGTGAAGCTCTTCAATAATTTGGTCATCAGTGGCCATTGAAGGAATGAGACTCCAATAAGGGATACCAGCACCAACTTCTTGCAAAGCAGTAGTCAGGTAAGGTGTTAGTCCCTCCCCGAACTCATTGTCGATGCTGACGGGCACTGCTTCTCTCCAACCAAAAGCTTTGATGAGGGCACCAATGGCTCTAACTTGAGATGAGTCATTCTGTGCAATTCGGAAAAAATATGAACCCCGGAGAGAAGGGCTTGTTGCTGAAAATGAGATTATGGGCACCTGAGCTTGATCTCCAAGATCAATTACAAAGTTGGCTTGCATTGATGATTCTAGCCCTATGATGGCTTGCACTTCAACATTCTTTATTAAGTCTAGCGCTGTTTCAAAGATGAGAGTTTTAAGTTAAGTTACACGCTGATACAATTTTAATTCTTTGTGCATCAATTGATGGTTCGTTATGAATCCGATGAAGTATTACAAACATGACTCTAATCTAAGCCGCTTTCCCCAGCAAGTACTTCAACAAGATATGATACCTTTAACATGCTAACTAATAAATAATAAAAAAGAAATTGATGGTTAAAAAATACTCGGGTGAAACAAAAAGCAAAACATTAAAAAGAGAAGATCAATAGAGAGAACCTGCATCAGCTGCCACAACAACATCTCTCGCGGAGTCCCTTGTGTGCAGGACCAGTCTAGTAGTGTAGTTAGAATGAGAGGCATAGAAGTCAGAGAGGGCCATGTTGATGCAGCTCAACTCTATTTTCCCAAACTGGGTATCTAAGTCAAGAACCACACCCACATTGATTGGGATGGTTGTGTTTTGTGCCATGACCAAGAAAATCCTAAAGAATAGGAAGAGAAGAAAAACAGGGTTAGGAGGACACTTGGTCATGTTTGAATATCTTGAAAGGTTTGCAACTCAAGGCATGAGGAAGAAGAAACATGTTTATAAATGATGAATGGTAGCAGGATTTCGAATGGCAAAATACTTGGTTTGGTTCTCCATGGTAAATGGGAGGAAAGAGGAAGGAACTTTCTCAAACTGCTGATTGCTGATGAGGGAATAGGAAAGAGTGGTTTCCTCCCCCATTCCTAAGAGAACAAGCTTTCATGGTTCTTTGAATATAAGAAAAGAAACCAGTATTTTAGATAGAAAATGTGCCTTAGTGAATTATTTTTCTGAAGAGTAGCAAACTGGATTATTATAGTAATCGTAGAAGTAAAAGGAGAACAATGGTGACTTCATTGACTCAATGGCAGAGTTTCTTCGAACTTACATCGTTTCCTCTCTTGACCCAAAATGTCAACCAAACTGTCCTTCTCAAAAGCAGGAGACTTAGTCACGAGTCAAATGACCTGCTTCAGTGACAATTTGACAAAACTAATTAATAAGCTCAATGCAACATTTTATATGTATTAGTTGTTTTCCTTTGCAAATAGGTTCATACCAGAACCTTCATTTCACCACAGTAAGAAAAGCTGAGAGGAAGACCATATCAAAGCTTAAACCCAAGCCAACTGGGCCCCCACTCTACCAACGAGAAAGGCTTTTATGATTTGGGGACTTCTGCACTTGGGGGGTAGAAAGAGGGAAGAAATCCTAAGAATACCTTATCAGAAAGGTAATATGACTTTTGGTTTTTGCTCAGTCAGTTGTAATTGGAAATGGTAAAAAATGTGATTTACTGTTATCAGCACAATGTGAACTAACTTGACTTTTCATAAAGCTTCAGGTCTTATGGGGATGAAAGCCAAACAACTCAAGTTTCAACTCTTTTGGTACCTTCACCTGCAATCCATCCCCCAGCTCCAACATAGTCGCTTCAGGCGGCGTTGAAGACCATTTGCTCAAGACTATGCACATTGCCCACCCTTAATGTAACTGTCTGCAGGAGAGGAGAAGCCTTCAGGAAGGGGAAAACCCGCATCAACTCTAAAGCAGGGCTAGGTTTCTTGGCATTCTTTGCATCTGCAAATTCAAACAAATTACCACAAAGATACATGGCATTACAAATTTAAGTTAATTACATCCTACAGTAATGAATTTACATTTTTTTATTTTAGATACACGAAAGAGCCAGAAGGGCTAGGTTTCTTTCTTGGCATTCATGGGTAAGGGAGCATATCAATAACAAATTTTAGAATTTTACACTTCTAGAACCGATGAATTGTGAATAAACTAGTAGTTTTGTCACAGGTAAGCTAGTTTTAACACACAACAGAGAATTGGTACGATTAGCCTAAACATTAAGATCTGATTAAGAAGATTTTCTACTCTCATCTCAAGCAAGAATCGATATATAGCAGAGTATGGAAAAAGTAGAAGGGCAAGGCTAAAATGCAAACTTGCATACCTCCAATTCCAAACATTCTTCTTGTTTCTGACCCATTCGATCCTTTACTGAGGCAGAGCAGTCAGACTGAAAAACAAGCAGGATGGAGAAAGGACTCCACTGGCGAAGAGGAGAAGAAATTCCATGCAACATGTATTCTACTGTGGCGATATCCATGACAATCATGCGCTGCTATTTCAATGTAGATAGATACAAGCGATATTAGAGGAGAGGGGATTCGGACACTGGACCTTCTGTGAGAAAGGCAATTCAAGCACTGGACCTTGTGTGCTTGGATAACTGCTCCTACCCTACTATTTTTGTGAAGTTATGAGTTTTCAATTGACCATTTCTCAGAAATAAAAATCTAAAATTACCACTCTCTCCCCCATATCCTTGACAGGCATCTAGCTTTTGCCGTTATCGCCTCCAAACCACGCCACATGCGCAATATTCCCCATAATTTCATTCATACCCTACGCTTCCCAAAATCAGTCTTCATCTTCCTCTCACAGCTAGTTGTAAACCTCGATTAGTGATTACTAATTATGTATCTTGTTAATAGATTCATTAAAGTTACTAAATCATGTATTAAAATCATAATTAGCAATGTAAGACATTTTATTTATGCTAACGTCATATCTTATATAAATTAGGCTCGTGACCAAGAAACATCAAAACCACTGCTGCATGCATACATCTTATATACCACACAATAAAGATTTAAACTACAAATTAAGCTTCAAACAAACCATAGCAAGAATCCATGGTTTATGTTATAGCCGTTAACTCGATAGCACATTCAATTTCTTGGGTTGCTTGAACATTCGGATTCAACTCACTATGCTGAGTACAAGTTGTTCCTTCCTCTTCAAGAACGATTTCTGGTACAATCTTATATGGGTGCCTTGATCTTGATGGCCTTCTGAGGCAGAGACAGTTGGTGTTCGGTGAAGATTCAACCGCAGGGATTCCTTGAACATTATCTTTTTTGCTTTTCTTGTCTTCTTGGTCATATGCTCTTAGTACTTCACAAATTCTTGTCCGAAATGAGGCTTTTGAATCAACGCATGTCAAGATGTGGCCATGCTCATAGAGGAACATAGCTACATATATGAGGAGAGATAGTGATGAAGCAACACCAGCAACAATGAAGAGGCCCCAAAAGCTATCAAGGCTAAGAGTGTCGTAAGAGCCAGCGGTGTTGTGGTTTGAACAGCTCGCTTTTTTCTTGAACCACTTGTCCTCGATGGCCTTCATTTTATCTCCCTCGTGCACTTGAGTGATTGCCGTTGAAACATCTAGTGTCAGAAGTGAACCTTTTTGGAAGACCTGCAGGTCAAAAAGAGAAGAAGAAAAAAAATCCCACATCAGAAAACATGTATTAAACGAGAGAAAGCCAGAGAGGCTCTGATAGAGAAAGAGAAAAACAGCAAGTGATCAACTTACGAAGGCAAAACCATCGGCTTTGAATGTTGGCTCAACAAGGGTATATTTTGAGCAATAGGTTGCAAGAAAAAGTTTCATGTAGGGGGTTTCATCAAAAGCTGCAGAAATACCTCCATTTTCATTCCCGTTTCGAAGAAGTTCATCCAATTCTTCTGCGGACCTATAAGTTCTAAGTTTATCATCCTGAAATCCTAGCTGGCTCAAAATCTCATAAATAAAAGAACCTGCTTGGTAGCCAACATTGTCCCCATTCTTCAAGAGAAGATTCACATCAGTAACTATTGGTTGGAGCTGTTGAATTGTTAAGATTGATGATAAACTGGCAGTGTAGCTTTGAGTCAGTACCAGGACAACAAAGCACCATATGATCACTACAAACCTAGCCAAGTTGCTCACTACTCGTTCCCCTGTTAGAAAAACTCAAAAGAAAACAGAAATGGATGGCCATGAGTCATAGAATACGTAAACGGTACACAAAGCTCATTTTTCCAATTGGGTTTTGAGTAGTTTTGGTTAGTTGGACAAGTGGTTCTACAAAGCATTAATCACCACTAAAGACTAGAAAATAGTTTAACATGAAGGCAGCTTACGGTGTGCAAAAACCATGGTTGAGAAGGCGAACCAAAAGCTTGTGCCAATTTGGTGATGTGGAGACCCACGAAAGTCTTCATTTATCGGATGTTCAAGAAACCAGACCACAAAACCAATGAATATGAAAAAACAGCCGCTTGTAACCCAAAGATCCCATGTCAAGGGCTTCAAGAACACCCATGTGCTTTTAGCGTCATGTTTGCCTTTGATAGGCACCACCATTGATATTCCAGATTCTGTGAATGGCAATGTGAAGTCAACATACAAGGATCTGTTTGCTCTAATAGTTATGTCTCCAACTGCAGCATCGTAGTTCTGTCAAGTGAAAATGCCAATGTTTCAGTGAAGACATTGGATAATTTTGCTAAGAATAAAATGTGAAATCAGCAAGAAAAAAAGTTATACCCCAAGAAACACGTGATTGACCAAATCATTGTACCGGCCAGCAATCTTCCCATTAGGTTTTGCAAAGGGATAAAACTCATAAGGAACAGGATATGGTAATGCTTTCATTACAGCGTCAAAAACTTCTATGCAGAATCCAGTGACCTTGGTTGTGTTAGTGCTAAAATCATGTCTCACAGTTACAAATTCTTCAAACCCTACCTTCACTGGGACCAGAACTTTTATGGTCCCATTCGGGCGAATCTGCCAGCCCCTTGGAGCCAAAGTGGTGTCTCCAGGCCATATAATAGGTCCAAGACTGGCATTAGAAGTAGAGTATCTGTTTGTGTTTCTAGTTGAAATTATGTTCCTCACAAGTCCATTTTGGGGTGTCCAATATCCAATTCCTCTTTCCCCATTATCGTTCACATTAACTACCTGAAAAGTTGATGATTGTAGTTGCCCATTAATAAGGCTGAAATCTCCTGAAAGGCCTCTGAATCTTGTACTTGATAGCTCTCGGACAAGTTCAGGACCGCCTTGAGAGACCTCTAAGCTTCCCAGATCAGTGGAATTATGAGAACTGTTCATCTTTCGGAAGCTGAAGTTTGTACCCCCAACCTTCTCAACTGCCAGGGCTAATGCCCAAGCAGCATCATAAGCCCAAAGTCCAAAAACATCCAATTTAACGTTAAGGATAGTTGGATTGTCTTGTTGGAATTTTGTTTGCCATCTAGCTCTAAAATTTTCAAGCTCTTTTGTGTTTGGAACATAAGTCTTTAAACCTAACACCCCTTGCATGTTATCTATGTCGACAGAAGAGCTGGAGGTACTAAAAGAGTTAGCCATCCCATTCGTCGTTATCCAAACATTACCTTCCTCCATCATGCCAATGTCTTTTGCCTTGGCAAAAAACCGAGAGCCTAGAGAAGGCAACATGTGCACTATGAAGACCCTGGTTTGCAATGACATCAACCTGTAAAGCTCTGCAACAATTTGGTCATCAGTGGCCTTTGAAGGAATGACACTCCAATAAGGGATACGGGCACCTACTTCTTGCAAAGCAGTAGTCAGGTAAGGTATCACTCCCTCCCCAAACTCATTGTCCACGCTGATGGGCACTGCCTCACTCCAACCAAAGGCTTGGATGATGGTACTTATGGCTCTAACCTGAGATGAGTCATTCTGTGCAATTCGGAAAAAATATGAACCCCGAAGAGAAGGGCTTGTTGCTGAAAATGAGATTATGGGCACCTGAGCTTTATCTCCAAGATCAATTGCAAAGTTGGCTTGCTTTGATGATTTTAGCCCTATGATGGCTTGCACTTCAACATTCTTTATTAAGTCTAGCGCTGTTTCAAAGGTGAGAGTTTTAAGTTAAGTTACACTCTGATGATATTTTAATTCTTTGTGTATCAATTAATGATTCATTACGAATCCAATGACGTATTACAAGCATGACCCTAATCTAAGCCGCTTTTTCCCAGCAAGTACTTCAACAAGATATGATACCTTTAACATGCTAATAAATAATAATAAAAAAATTGATAGTTCAAAAATATTTGGGTGAAACAAAAAGCAAAACATTAAAAAGAGAAGGTCAATAGAGAGGGAACCTGCATCAGCTGCAACAACAACATCTCTCGTGGAGTCCCTTGTGTGCAGCACCAGTCTAGTACTGTAGTTAGAATGAGAGGCATAGAAGTCAGAGAGGGCCATGTTGATGCAGCTCAACCCTATTTTCCCTAACCGGGAATCTAAGTCAAGAACCACCCCCACATTGATTGGGATGGTTGTGTTTTGTGCCATGGCCAAGAAAATCCTAAAGAATAGTAAGAGAAGAAAAACAGGGTAGGGAGGACACTTGATCATGTTATCTTGGTCTTGGAAGGTTTGCAGCTCAAGGCATGAGAAGATACTTGTTTATAAATGGTGAATAGTAGCAGGATTTTGAATGGCAGAATACTTGGTTCCCCAATGGTAAACGGGACGAAAGAGGAAGGAACTTTCTCAAACTGCTGACTGTTGAAGAGGGAATAGGAAATAGTACTTTCTCAAACTGCTGACTGTTGAAGAGGGAATAGCCAGAGTTTCTTCGTACCTACATCGTTTCCTCTCGGATCTGTCAACCAAACTGTCCTTCTCTAAAGCAGGAGACTGGGTCACGAGTCATATGAGCTGCTTCAGTGACAAAACTAATTAATAGGCTGACTGAAACATCGTTGTCTAAGAATTTTCAAAGCGAATAACTTCATATTCAAGAACCTTCATTTCACAATACAGTATGAAAAGCTGAAACAAATGGTATTACAATGGGGGGAGTAGCCCAGCTCCTTATAAGTTCTTGCTAGGTTTCACAACTTTCCAATGTGGGACTCTTTACCTTCACATTCTCACACGCTCCCGCACGTGTAGTGAATTTTCAAGCCTAACACATGGACAACACATTTCGGGTGACATGGAGCACGTGTGGCTGTTGGGCTTTCACAATTGGGCAACTCGCTCTGATACCATGAAGGAAGTTGAGGTTCCACCCCAAAACTAATTGGTTTGGTTTTGGGGTGGAACCTCAACTTACTGCATGATATCAGAGCAAGACTTCACGTGTTGGGCCCAACAGCTACACGTGCTCCCATGTCACCCAATATGTGTTGTCCACGTGTTAGGCTTGAAAGTTCGCCACACGTGCGGGGGCGTGTTGAGAGTATTTGTCCCACATTGAAATGTTAAGGGACTAAGTCTAGGTTTATAAAGAGTTGGGCTACTCCCCCCATTGCCAATTGGTTTTGGGGTGGAACCTCAACTTCCTTCCCTGGAAGCATCAGGGAGAGAAATAGGGAAGAAATCCTAAGAACACCTTATCAGAAAGGTTAGGTAATATAACTTCTAGTTTTTGCTCAGTCAGTTGTAAATGGTTAAAAAATATGTGATTAACTGTTATCAGCACAATGTGAAGTAAAAGTTTTCTTTTCATAAAGCTTCAGATTTTAGGAGGACGAAAGCCAAACAGCTCAAGTTTCAGCTCTTTTGGTACCTTCACCTCCAATCCAGCAGATCCGAACATTCTAGAACATTAACTTGGGAGCAAGTAAACTCCAATTGCTTAAGATTCCCAAGCAGGGCTAGGTTTCTTGGCATTATTTGCCTCTGCAAATTTAAACATAATATCACAAAGATGTATGCCATTACAAATTTAAGTTAATTACATCCTACAGTAATTTCTTTACAATTTTTTATATATATTAGATACACAAATTTTGAAACTGTTTACCATAAACAACAAATTTTAATTGTGAATAAACTAGTAGCTTTGTCACAGGTAAGGTAGTTGTAACACAACAAAGAATTAAAGACAGATTAAGAAGATTCTACTCTCATCTCAAGCAAGAATCGAATAGCAGAGCATGGAAAAGGTAGAAGGGCAAGGCTAAAATGCAAACTTTGCATACCTCCAAGTCCCAGCATTCTTCTTGTTTCTGATCCATTCGATCTTTTACTGAGAAACAAGCAGGAATACATGGAAGACCAGGATGCGGAAGAACCAGAGGACTTCATTATTTCACTTACTGCACAGGTTTGCTCATCTCCAGCTTTAGCTGATCGTAACTTTTCTCTCTTGATTTTGAGGGAGATACTAAACACAGAAATGACTATACCCTACTGCTTTTAAAAGGAAATGTATTTTAATAAAGGAATTAATTCGTTAAGAACCACTTTTTTTGAGTGCCACATTTTCTTGGGAATGGACCTTACATTTTATTTGTGCTTCTCTACTCATAGATAACACGCAAAGATGAGGAAATGACACCTTTTATTGCGGGAGTGAAGCGGAATTACATATTTAGTGGAATTTGTAGCATTGTAGCAAATGCATTCATCAAGGTTTATAACTTCTATAAAATCTTTTGTTAAATCATTCATGAAATTCCATATGCTGGTGTTGCAGATGGTAGTTTCAGAGATATATACTATATATCCATGTACATTTCTTCTATTCCTTTCGGACCCTTTTTTTTTCTTTTCTTTTCCCTCTGTTGATTGCTGAATGTTCATGAGAGATAATGCAATCTTAATATGCTTTGGCTGATATGAAATCCATCAACCTTTTTGGGGTTCAGCAGATATGTGAGAATTCAATGGCGCTAGAACATGTAAGTCATTTTCTAATCCATATCTGATATGGTTTAATGCATTTCCTAATTGCTAGACCTAAGTACTTTTATTTAAAGAGTATAGTCGCTATACTCTTTCATATATATATTCGAATATTTTAACGGTATAGCCGCGCGGCTATACTTTTAGAACATATTAATATTTAAAGCGTATAGCTGCGCAGCTACTCTTTTAAATATATATTTAAAGCGTATAGCTGATCGGTACTCTTTAAATATTCAAATATGTTAAGAGGTATAGCCTCGCAAATATATGTGTAGGATATTATATATTATATATAGAAAGCGCATAACTAAACACATTTGTGGAGCACATCGTCTGCAAGATCAAACAAAATACCACAAATATGGCATTACAAATTTAAGTTAATTACATCCTACAGTAATGAATTTACATTTTTTTTTCAAGATACACGAAAGAGCCAGAAGGGCTAGGTATCTTTCTTGGCATTCATGGGTGAGGAAGCATATCAATAACAAATTTTAGAATTTTACACTTAAAAAAACAAATTTTAGAACCTATGAATTGTGAATAAACTAGTAGTTTTGTCACAGGTAAGCTAGTTGTAACTTGTAACACAACAGATAATTTGTACGATTAGCCTAACATTAATAACTGATTAAGAAGATTTTCTACTCTCATCTCAAGCAAGAATCGATATATAGCAGAGTATGGAAAAAGTAGAAGGGCAAGGCTAAAATGCAAACTTGCATACCTCCAATTCCAAATATTCTTCTTGTTTCTGATCCATTCAATCCTTTACTGAGGCAGAGCAGTCAGACTGAAAAACAAGCAGCATGGAGAAGAGACTCCACTGGCGAAGAAGAGAAGAAATTCCATGCAACATGTATTCTACTGTTTGTGTCGATACAATCATACACTGCTATTTCATTGTAAAAAATTAAAATGCATGTCATGCATTTTATACAAGCGATATTGGAAAAGACTGGATTCGAACACTTGAAGTTGTGTGTGCACGAATAACTGTTTTTGATTACTTGAATTACAAAAAGTGAGTTTTTGAGCTTTTCATTCACCATTTCTCAAAATAAAAATCTAAAATTACCACTTTCTCCTTGTCATTATCTCGCCTTGAGAGGCATCTAGCTTTTGCTGTTACCTCCTCCAAACCCCGCCGCGTGCACAATATTCCCCTTATCATTCATTCATACCCCACGCCTTCCCAAAATCAGTCTTTATCTTCCTCCTCTCACAGCTGGTTGTAAACCTCGATCAGTGATTAGAGATACAGCAATGGCGGACAAGCCAAGCCGAGCTGTGGTTTTGTACGGAGATGGGTTGGTCCGTTTCGTCGACTCATCACACATCCATCTCCACTCTCTCGCGTCTAAAGCTTCCTGTGGCTTCTTGAGCCTCCCCATTGCCCCTCCCTCAGGTTTTGACTCTTTCAATGTCTCTTGCTCTCTCTGGAAATTATTCTCTTTTAATAGATAATTTAATTATTAATAATATGAGGCTTGCTTTCTTCTCAAGTGAACTCTACGGGTTCGATCAAGTTTGTTGATTTGTCATATGCGAGCTGAAATGCAATTCAAATCTACTTCTTTTTGGTATTTGGGTGTTCGAAAAATCGGCCTAGGCTCTAGGCGGGCAATTTCACTCAAGGCAGGCCGCCTAGGCGGCCTGGGGTCGGGTCCTTTTTTTTTCCCGACTTAAAAGAAAACCTCGCGCGGCCTCTCTCTCCTCTGAGCGGTCGCCTGCTTCTCTCTCTCTCTCTCTCTCTCTCTCTCCTCTGAGGGTTCATTTTGGCGTGCTTTTACTCCTTTCCTTTCCCACTTCACGAAACCGGGATTTACTTGAATTTAGATTGCAGAAAGCGAGGATGAGAGAATAGTCAGAGAGTTTGCATTACTGCTGGATGCATATGAAGCTTACCATGATACAGTGAGATCCACATCTTTGGTTACCATATCAGAAAGGTAATATAACTTTTGGGTTTCACTCAGTCTGTTGTAATTGGAAATGTTCAAAAAAAGTTTTGAACTTTTAACAACCCAATGTCAACTAAGTGACGTTTTTCATAATGCTTCAGGTTCATGGGGATGAAAGCTGCGATATTTACAAACAATGCAAGTTTGAAATCTTTTGGTACCAAACTTGGTTTCAGCGTGTTCCAAATCGATGCTCTTTATAAAAACAGTCCAGCCGGTGCTGAACCGCCAGTTGATTTTGGGGCATCTGAGTTACTTAAGTTGCTTGGGTTTCAAGTAGGGAAGACAGTGGAGACGAGCCAGTATGATTTAGTTTTTGTGCATGTTGGGGCTGGTGAGGTGAATGTTGAAAAAGACAAGGCTACTGATGATGTGGGATATCTCAATGCTTTGGTTGGTGCTATAACGCAAATAGCCCAACCTGGATCTGAAATCGGTGCCCGTTTGCACTTGTCTGTTGTGACGAGCTATGGGAAGGTCTCAGAAAAGGATGATCCCAACTTGTCAGTCTCATTTAGAAAAGATGATGAAAATTCTTATCTTTCAAAGCTCGTTCCTCGTCAAAGTTACACCATGAAAGGATCTCAACCACGAAAGGATGTCAGGTGAGTAAAAACTTGGTGGTTTCTTGCACACTTGAAATACCTTTAGTAACTCCAGCTATCCTTTGTGAACAGGCACCATTGCCCAATGTTAATTGCTCAGTGGCAATATGCAGTAACTCGCAAGGATATGGCTGAGACATTCTCATTTAAGGATTTCAAAGAGGTACAATTTGAGATTATCAGATATTGAGTTTACTGCATGGCACATGCTGGAAATTGTTAAGAGATTTACTGATATAACTGACTCCTGAGTTGATCTTCTCTACTGTACTAGCCCAGCTAGGAGCTGATACATTAACTGGTCACAAGTCTCATGTTGAGTTCAAAGATTTTCAATTTCACTTAACTATAATACTTTCACTAGAATGGCTGATTGCATGTTTACAAATGAATTATGAAATTTGTTCTTTTCTATGCAGTGCGGTGGAAATCTTGTGATACCAGCGGATAGGTTTCTGCACGAAGTGGCCTTCAAGCTTTGGAAGGCCCCGAAATATGGAGCTTGAGAAGGCAAGTTTATACAAGACAGTGTAAGCAAGGAAGCGCAAACCTGAGGGGCAGAGCATCCCGTTGCTTATCTAAAATGTTTTCCTAAGCATTTCTCAACTTTAACTTGCCTTACCGGACCCTGCATGTAATAAGATTAATCTGTATGTGACCTCAAACACCGCTCATGTTGGGCATTCCCCACTGCAAATTGGGGATAGAAAGTTTTGTTCGTTTTGATATTTAATGATAACTCTGGAAATTAGAGAATTCCATCTGCCAAATAGGCCAGTTATGAACGCTCAAGTTAATCTTCCATTACAATAGATGAAGACCACTTGCAATACATCGTTTTCCATAACCTAAATTCAATAGAAAGAACCTAAAAACTCCCCAAAATGAGAAACAAGACCATGCCATATGGGCATTGAAGATTTACCCATTTCACAATTTGCTGTAGCTGCAACAGGGGTCCCCTCTCATTCTGAATCATAAATCGAGCATAGTTGAATAAGTTGACTCAGCTTGAAATCAGAAACAATATTCACAGAAAAACCTATAGCAAAATTGTATCAGGAACCAGAGTCATACAGAGGAACTTTACTACGTAACATCTGTTTACTCCTCCAAGCTGTTAGTGTGAAAACAGGAACTAGCACTCTAACAAGGTCTTGAAACAATAATTTGCCAGTAGAAACCACACCACGAGGAGGAGAGAGAAAGAGAGAAGCGCAACCAAGAAAGGCCATCCAACCATGAAAACACCTAGAGAGAGCACCAATAGAAAAGGGAGGAACGACCTCAAGACGGACATGGCGTCAACCCATTGCCCCTTGAGCAGTACTAAGCCTGCCACATTGATCATGTTCCAACTCATTGATCCACCATAGAATATCCGATTCAGACAGTTGGCTACGAAAGAATGGCAGTTGCAAGTGAAAAGGTTGTAGGTTTTGTGTTCGAAGTACCGTGAACTTGACTGCAGGGCATCATCCCATGTGATTGCCGTCCCAAACTCTGCATGCTTGTAGCCACTCTTGCAAGTGTGGCCACCCAGATTCGCGGCAAAACAACACTGTTTTGACATTTCAGATTCCATTACAAAATTGTCAAAGGATCAACAGGTTAAGAAGTCAATTATAGTTCTTTCTTCCAAAGTAACAAGCAAATAGACAAATGCTTGATTTGGCTACAGTTCTAATTGCTGTTCATCTAAGCAAGTACTTTTAAGATGCATTTAAATGCCTTTCACGAACAATTTTAGATCAAACTAATGAATACCCTTACGAGTTTGTGTTTAGAGAGCCGGAAGGAAGGGGGAGGGAGCACAAAATTTTTACACAATATGGCGAATGTGAGAACAACATGACACAGTACCTGTGTTCTATCAAGCTGTAGATATCTGGCTACAGCACCAAATGCGAAATTATCGGCATTCACAAAATTGGAACCTGCGAAATCTAAAATAGCTCCATCCTCCCTGCAAATGCCAACATGTCCAATGAATGGTGCCAACCAAGAGACTATTGGGAGAGGAGTCCAAACCAAACAACAGGGAAATTTTGCCTTCTTTGGATCAATTTCATCAAGAGGCCACAGCTCATGCTGGATACTCTGTGTAGACCTCATATGCTCAACGTCATAAGCTTCTTTTACCTCCATTACAGATGTGCTGCATATGCTGTGTTTAAAATTTTATGGAGAGGCATCCCAATGTCAAACTACACCTTTAGACATTCTAATTTTGTCTCCCAATACAATAAGCAAATCAGTTCAATCTGCCATAAACACAATGCAAAGCCTTCTTTAAAAAGAATCAGAAAGATTAGTTAGTCTATGATACATAAACTAAAAAATGAAAGATTACTGTTCGCTTTAATGGTTTGATTTTTACTTCCTGAAAAATACGTTGCAGGCCGAAAATACCCAAGTCTTAAAATTTAGCTCAGAAAAGGAAACATCTGCTTCCAGCAATGCAACTTTAAGCTGAGAAACACTGAATCACATCAATTATGTTTACTTTGAGGAAATGGGTGGCTTAAAATTCCAATCTTTAAGACTTTCCAAAGATTATCTCGCTAGCAGACAATACCCAAATGGGCTTTCCATAAAATTCGTTGATACATTGAAAGAAAACAAGATCCAAACCACACATAATGCATTTGGGTCAGCAAAGATTAGAGCTTTGAGCAAAGATCTTACGCTACTGACCTGCAGAGGATGGTGATAGCTGTGGAAAATATGAGACCGCCTCAGTAAGGTAAAATTCGGTGACAAGGAACAGGAAGAAGTTGAAGAGAAGGAGAAAGAGAGAGAATAAGAATAATAATAAGAAGAAGAAGACGAAGAGGAGCTATTCTTATTGGTCTTGTTATTCTTCATTGTTGCCGAGACACAATAACTGGTTGATTATATTTTGGCTGAAAAAATGAAAACCGATCAAAAATTTATTATCTTTTCATTTTTTAATTTTTTGTTTAAGACTTTCTTTTTCTCGTTTTGGAAACGATGAAGGAGAAGGCGAAAACAGGGCAAAGGTGCATGAACCTCTCTGAGATTCAGCCCCTCAGTGGGCCCACCGCCTTCCTCACTTAATTGTCTTTGCCTCCTTCGCCATCTTTTTCTAATCTTTTTTATTCTCTCTTTCCGTCCTTAGAAAACGGTTGGCTTCGTTTGTTGTTGGGTTTGTAACTTACTTCAAAAACTTACCCGCCAAAGTAGTTATGTTGTCTGTATGTAACTTCTTATCATAAAATGTAAGCGACCACATCAAATGTCCCGTGACCACTTGGGCCACCGGTACCCGGTGTTCACTTTGTTAGAGGAGACAACGAGTTCAAATTTCATAGACGACGCATGTTTCTTTAAAGCGTCGCAGAATTTTATAGCGAAAGAGTAACTTTTAAATTTACTGTTACATGGATTTTCGAATATCTTTCATTGTCGTACAGCTTGATATCAAATGTTGAGGGGCAACAATCTTCACGATGGTGATAGTCAAACTCAATGTTATCTTATTTTGATGAACTTTTGGGAGGACAATACCAACCACCAGCCAGCCTTGAGGTAGGGCCTCCTCTATTGGTGGGGATGGTAGATTTCCAACCATTTGGGTGGCACCGACACTAGAAATGAGAATACTTGTTAATTTAGGTTACCCAACTCCATTCTTGTGAGAAGCTTCTTTTTGGGACCAAGTTCTCAAAAGTGGAACTTTAAGCTTGGGTGCGGAATAAGCCATTATGCATACTAGTGTAAAAGTTGGTTTTCGTTTCCCCAAGAATTGAATGTTTACAAGTAGCAGTTTGCCTAACAAGGAAATATATTTATTTGAAGGATAATTCTAATTATATTACATATAAAAGCTACGCTAATTTAAATACAAATCATCAAGAGAGAGAGGCAAAACACATACAAATTCTTGTCCTATACCTTTTGCAGTTGTCTATCACTAACTATGGACAGAGCATATACATATCGCGTTGCAGTTGTTGAATGGCTAAGAATTAGGGAAGGCCAGCTTCGCCACAGAAGGCGTCAGGCTCGAATGATCTTGCAGATTCGTCACTGTAAACTCCATGTATAACCCTATTGCCAGCTTCTTCAGTTTGGCCTCCTCCATCAATGGAAATGAGGAGCACAACGCATGAAAGTATGGCTGCCGCAAGGCATACCAGTGTGACCTTCAATCTGCCCAGCACAGGCTTAACCTGTTGAACAAAATCAAGGCAAAACAACCATCCAGTCATTTTCTTCTCCGAAAAAAGGATGTTTTGTCAGCAACAAGCTCTGATTTTTATTTTCTGGGAAAAATAAAGAAATCAATCTATCTGTGTAATGTCAATCACTCACAGAAAATGAACCAAGTAGCCGGTCACGAGCCAAAACTTCAGCAGTCTTCACCCACATCTGCCAAGTAAATCTCATTCAGGCCTTAACTTTGAAAAGCCAAACTTCCAACTTCTAAAAGAAATTGCATTTCTGATTCTACAAAGGCAAGCTTAAAAAAACCTATTTACCTGGCCATCGTACCATCCAGTCTCTTCATCTGTAACCAGAAAGAAAAAGAGCAGAAAACCCCATCAGCAACTCAATATCAATCAATGATTCAAAATCAAGAACACAGTTGAAACAGAGAGAGAAACAGAGCAATTACATTCAACAGTGGCGCTAAGCAAGCGATTGCCCACATAAGCCCAACCCAGGTACATCCTCACGACGGCAAGAGTGACCACAAGAAACCCACTTGAAACTGCGTACAGAGACTGCTTCAACGGCTCCGATTGGGCGCCCAAGGCACCGACCGAGGCAACCGGGAGGCCAACAAGCAGAGCAAAAGAAGACCCAGTTGCAATCAGTCGAGAGCAGTACTCTATGAGGTCGCCGGAGGCCCAGGAGAAGGGAAAGGAGGTCGACAGATTCTGGTACTCGTTTATAGGCTGCTGCTCCGGCGGCACAGGGCACCCTGTTTCCGCCGGGCTGTTGCTTCCGTTTCTGAACGAGGACGACAAGGGTATTTTGGGAATTCTACTCCAGTGGCGGCGGTGATACCTGAAGCTTGGAGTTGAAATGATTGGTGCGGAGGGAAAGAGGAGAGTCGGTGGAGGTGGTTTTGGTGATGTGTACAGAACAGCAGAGGCCATGGCGGCACTGTGCGATGATCTCTCTGTTCTGAAACTCTGAGCTGTTATTGGCCTCTTGCTCTCTCTCTCAATCCAATTCAGAGATATTTTTATTATTTAATTTTTTTATAGAAATATTGGGGTTATGATTTTGATTTAAATTGAAGTTAATTTAAAGGGCGTACAATGACAAATAATGTTAGTTCCGGATTGCACATAAATTCTTCCTCTTTCTTCTTTCTTCCTCCAAATGTATTTACTCTTTTCACAATAACATATGCAGAGATCAGATGTTTACAATTCCCAAATGAGATCTCCACAGTAGCAGAATTAAGAATTATTAGTTTCTTTCTTCCTTTCTTTTTCAGTTTTTTCTTCTTTTTTTTTCTACAATTTTTTTTTCTTACATGCAGATTTGATACAACCTACTATTACTACTACTACTAGAGAGACTGGTCTTCAATGGGACCTCCACTGCCCTTCTTATGCAGTCTAATAATTTAGGAGGGTTTTCCACTCTTCTGTTCCGTATAGGTTGTGCTGAGCCCCCACTTTGACTGAGCCAACACTTCCAAATCCAGCATTCTCTTTTTCCTTCTTGCATTGAAGACAAAAACTTATATGCTGCCCTCGCTCTTCGAGACAAGGAACAACTTCAACTTCAATTATTAACACGGTAAAGTTTTTCTTTTTTGGGGTTATTCAGTCGTTTGATTTGTAGAGTTTGTTCTTCCAACAAGGCGTTGAAGACGTCGGAGACGGACCATGAGTTGCGAGAACGAAGGCCGTAGATTTGGCTCTCTGCAAACGGAGCAAATCTGGATTAGCCAAGCTCAGTTATGGTATAAGTCAAGCTGTTCAGGTTCAATTTCTAAGAAACTTGGCTCTCTACAGACTCCCTATTTTTGCCTAAAGAGTGTAGAACTTACCTTTGCCAACAATCACGTATTATCTCAGCAACCACTGGATCCATGTCCTCTGGAATTTCAAGACGCCTATTTTGGAATCCAACCGCTCCTACAACCTGCATTGGATTCAATCCTTTCCATGGGACACAGCAAGTAGCCAGTTCCCATAAGATGACACCAAAACTGTACACATCACACCTGCAAGCAAGCAACAAGCAAAGCTTATTGTAATGGTAACCTCCAGAATGTAAAATTCCCAAAATGCATCCACCTTCCGGCAACTTACTTCTCATTAGCTGGTTCATTCCTTAAAACTTCCGGTGCCATCCACTCGGGCTGCACTCCAATAGTATGCAATGAGTACATAAAACAAAAGGGTACTTAAGTTTCTATTCTTGGAAAAAAATCCTTTTTATGAGATATTGATCATATGATAGGGTATTCAACTTTGTTTTCAAGATTCACATTGAACAAATATTACCGTCCCAGCAGTAGACTTCGAAGACAGAAAAGTATGGTGCTTTGTACGTGACAACCCAAAGTCACAAACCTGCACCACAATATAAACAAGATGTTTGAGAAAGAATAATCAATTTTTCTCCCACCAATAGAGATATTAATATCAATCTATCTAGATTGAAAGAGGAAAAAATATAAATGACTAAAAAAAGCATTATCAGGGAAGAACTTAAAACGCAAGTGGTGGTTTTGAGTTGACCTTCACATTCCAATTCTTATCAACAAGGAGATTTGGAGACTTCAGGTCTCGATGCACAACAGTAGGATGGCTAGTATGCAGGTAATTCATTCCTTTGGCCTGCATAAATTAAGGGAGCACTGATTAAGAAATCAAAAAGAAACCAGAAAGGAAAAACTACAAAGAAATAAGAAAAAAAATATGTTTTACCACATCAAAAGCCATTCGCATTCGCCTCTTTTCATCAAGTTGAGAATTGGGACGATGCAGCAATCTATATAAACTCCCCCTGTGTATCAAGTGAATGATTAAGGAACAAAACAAGAGAATAAGATTAAACAGATAACTAATGACTCAATGTCAAGGAAACATGGTTGTGGATGTCTAGTTGGTTGGATGATGTTCCTGCCCCCGTAAAGGAATTTTTTGCTCGACAGACCTATTTTTGCCTAGTTACAGGCTTTCCTAGTTATCTTGGACTGCATGCATACACATCAGTTTTTTTTTCCTTCTACTTTATTACTTTGTATGATTTAAATTACATATGGTCATTCGATTTCAGAAATATAACAAATCTGATAAAGGACAAGTAATAAGGAAATCAACCTGGGAAGATACTCTGTCAGGATAGAGAAATGGGGAGGGCGAGTAACTGCCCCCCATGAAAAGGACAACATTGGGATGTCTAAGTCTTAACATAATTTCTACCTGCATGAACAAACACCAAAAATCAACTATAATTAATACAAAACCAATGAATTTGAATTTTATGCTTATATATAATCAACAAATATGATATACAAACTCAAGTCTTGATGCTTACTTCACATTTAAACTGAACTAAAGCATCACCAGAAAAATCTTGATCCAAAAATTTTTTCACAGCTACTTCCTGTCATGCAAAAAGTCAACACAGACCGATAAACAATTCGTAATGATAGCAGTCAGAATTACCATAACAAGCCTCATGCCATCATCAAAAACCAACATATGCCAATAAAAAACAGCATATCAAATATTGATGTTAACGAAAGTATCATCGTTGAAAGTACAGAAACTATCAACAAAATATTGAAAAAATATCGATGTTGAGAGAAACTTTGAGTGAAATATGGTTAAAAAAATTGGGAAATGTTTTATCTACTATTAGTGCTTGTCAAGGAGAGAAATTTTGAGGATATCATCGAAATTCCAAACCATGTCAACAACTGGCACTTCTACTTCAACAAGAAAACCAATAAGAAAAATGCAAACAATATGCTGATATAAATTTTAAAGTATCTCTCTATTTTGTTAGAAAAGAGAGTTCAAAAGAATTTATCAAATTGTTGCAAATATTAGCATTTCTTTAAATCAAAGGATCAACAAAATATTACATGCTAAGTAATTTTGTATGTATAGCCAAGGAAAAGGAATACGACAAATGACTATTAGTGTTGGAAAGAACACTTACAGTGCCATTCCAATCTGCATGATATACCTCGCCATATGAACCTACCAGAGAGGAAATATTGTGAGCCTGTTTCTAAAACATATACCAAATTTAAGCAACAGATGGGTGCTTACCAATGCCAATGCGCTCACCAATCTGAAGATCCTCCCATAAAATTTCCCACTCTGCAACTTCTCCCAGTGCTGGGTACCTCTCATAGTGACTATCGCAACTAGTACACAGGCCACTATTGGCTGTTTCTATTGGTTTAGATAAGGAAAGTTCATGGCTTTTATCCTCATGAAAAGCTTCTGAATTCATTCCTGGGGGACTAACAAGAACAGGATCTGAACTTTTAGCACCGATCTGGGTTGTTTCACTAGTTCCACCAGAAACAATTACAAATCCCTCATCAACAGTATCAGAGGGAAGAGAAAAATTGTTTGTCTCCAATTCATTTCGTTGCTCTGCTAAGTCCACGGCAGATTGTTTTAGAAAGTTATCAAAATTTTCATAGCTCACTGCAGCAGCAGCTTGAGTGGATTGCTCGTTGCCTGATAATAACTGAACCAGATAATTATGAATCCCATCATCTACAAGTTTCCCATTTGCATGGATTTGATCAAGCAATTTAGCTTCGTCCAGATATTGAGGATTCATATCTGAAAATAAATCTGGGGGAGGTGATGCACCACTCTCCAACAATACAGCATGTAGTTTCTGTGCAAATTCTGGGTTCTTTGCTGCACTGATGACATACTTTGACACATTTTTCACTTTCCTTTTTTGCGCAGATGTGGCTTTCTCAGATGTGCCGGATGAACTTTCACATGATTTACGAAGTGATCTAAGAGGAGTCCCAATCTCACTTCTCAAACTCTCAGTTTGATTTTCTTCAACAACGCTTCTATCATTTTTTGTTAGAACACCTACATATGATGCTTCTTCTGACTGTGAGCTGCCAACTCTAGAAAGTCTGTCAAGATCGGGTGGAACTGCCAACGTTCCAGTGCCTTCAGCTTGCAACAAATACATATCTTTGGGCAATTCGGTGGCATCTTGAAAGCTCCTTATGGCAAAGAAAGAATTTGGTAGCTGGCTACTGGGCACCTCAGCAGGAATTAGCGTTCCAGGAGCACCCATCAGATCAATAATATATTCACTGCACAGAGAAACAACCCCATTAATCATCGGTAATAGTTCCAGGATATCTTCCGGCTTGCACCAATTCACCTTAGATGGAAAATGTGCACAGAATTTTAGGAGCAAAGCAGAAAACAAATATCATGAACCTTTAATTCTAATATCCTTACTTAAACATGATAGAAAGTTAAAACAGCTTAAAATTAGAGAGGCATCTGAAACCAAAGGACCTGCAGAGAATATATGAAAATCACATATATGTATAGATATAATTTTCAATTTTCATTCATATATCAAAGCACTTCATATAGAAAGCAACCAAAAATATTCTAATTTTGTATCAGCCTCTTGATATAAGTACATTTTGAATAACGAAAAAACATCTCATATGAACGTTGGACACGGTGTTCTTTAAGCATCTGGATTTCCAATTTTCGGAATAAGAGCTGCGCTCAATAAATCATTGTGGCTACAAATTGAGCTTACAGCCCCCATCTATGGTGCTCCCCTTACCTATGGCACCCCCACCACATCTGACAATCCAAACCCTCATAAACTACCCTACAGACTTGACCATCACTATCTGCAATCCCATTTGACACAGCATGACATTATGTTAAAGTAACAATTCAGCGACAAGCATAAGGCACAAAAAAGTTACTACATCACAGGATTTACTGGATTGAAGTTATCAGAAAATTATGCATAAACATAGAAATTTAGAATTGGTGGCCATTACCTTCCACTATCAATTTTAATCAAGTTTACAGCTCCATCATCAGTACCAGTGTAGTAGCTACCTTTGACCAGCATACATGGAAGATTTATCCTATCAGCCAGTACCTAGAACCAAAGGTATGAAACAATTAACACCAGAAAAGCAATTGAAAGGGCAATAGAATGAGAGTCGGATTTTGAGAAAAGCAATGAAGATGTTAGTAAGTTACATGGTGCACAATGTTTTGTCTATGATTCAGTTTGACAAATAAGGTAGTAAAAAAACTGTCACAACCTTAAAGAGCAGCGCCCTGTGGCGTGAAAGTCCAACATCAATAAGTCCAAGGGGAAGAATGATAGTCTTCATCGAACTCCGTAACTCGTACCTCCTCACTTTCCACCTTCTCAAAATTTCATCAGCATCCCCAACTGGACCACCCATTCTATCAACAACAATATCAGCAATTTTCTGAATTAATCCACTTAAAAGGACACCATGTTGAGAAATCCGTGACTCTAGAGATACAGAGTATGCTCTTTTCTCCAGTTGTTGCAGTTCGGGATCCACCAACCGGTTAACTAATATGACATCATAATCAACATTATCTGAAACAGATACAGCTTGAAGATCCACCAACAATGGCATCTTCCCTTGTCTAAGAGAATTTGAGGTCATTCCATACACGTCATAAAATCCATCGACCACTTTTTCATTGTAATCTACAACATTCTGGCTCTGCGTGTTATAAAAATTAGTTAAGAAGCTAATTTCATCGAAATTGACAATATTAAAGAACTATACAGCATCAAATTCAAACTTAAGACGCAAAGAAGAAAAATAAAACCGAAGGAACGTGATTCAGATAAGGTTGGAAAGTAATTGTAATTGCAAAATGAAACCAATAATTATCTTTGAACCAATGCACTACTCTTACGGCTCACAAATTTTTTGGTACCGAACTAACAAGAAGCACCTGCCTAACATAACTGGCACAATGATTCAACATGAAATTGTTAAGAAAATGGCACCGTAAGCAATACAAAGCAATCCATAATTCAGCTATCAAACCTTTTTAAGATAATCCTCACACCATTATCATCGCCCTATGGTTAGAAAATGATCCAAGAAACGAAATGCAAATTACCATACCATACAAACACAACGAACAATATTCAAAGTTCGCAGAAAACCTAATCCACTCCAATTGGCTCAGATTAAGTCGTAAATGCGGGAAAATGATTAACCCTAGAAATATTTCTATTAGAAAAACGTACCCAATAGCGAAGTGAGAGAATCTCGAAGGGGGCTTGAGTGTCGGTGACGGTAGCCGGGCAGCCGAGGCTAATCCGCTTGGCGGCGTCGATCTGAGCCGAATCGGGGTCGTCGCGCGAATCGGGATCCGAAGCGCTGATCGCTAAGGCCAACTGGACCTGAAACTCCTCCTCCAAGAAATTGTAATCCACGCCCCCACCGCTACCACCGTCCCCAGCCGTCCGATCACTCACCGATTCAACGGCCGTGATTCTCCCCATTGTAGCCGAACCCGTGGACGACGCCGGCGAAGAAGCAGTCGGGTTGAGATTCGTGCTCGGACTCGTCTCGGGTCGGGTCTCGGCCAGTCTTTGGTGCTCATTGAGTCCTCCACCGATGTGAAGCTTTCTTAGTAGGTGCTTCATCTTCGACATCGATCATCAATGGAAATTATGAAATCCTTCTGTCTCTCTCTTCCTCTCTCTGTCTACTGGATTAAACTACGCCCACTAGAAAACAAAGCAGATTCGCTTAACCTGTGCACCCTTCTTCGTCAAGCTACCACCACTTAGAGAGAGACTTCGATTAACCGCTCACCCTTTCTCTCATTCCCTCCAACACGCTTAATAAAAACCCATAAAACCAATAAACAATTTCTACAATTTGTTTATATTTCCTCACCCTCAAGTCAAGTGAAGGACTCCCACTACTGTGTTCGTACGCTCATCCACACGTCTTTACTATGGACTTCACCCAATCTTTACCGTTGAGTATGTATGATGCATTTTTCAGGTGGAAATGTTAGATATCCAACGGTTGGGATTGTGATGATGATGGTGGTGTTATGGCTCTCTATGACCAAAATGGCATTGCCTTATAGAAATGGGCTTCACTCCATTCCATTCCCAAATATCAACTAGTGATTAGGATGATGAAGAGATAAGCATTTACGTTTTGTACTAATTATGTATTTATGATCCGGATATCGTGATACTGAGAGTTCGACAGCTGTAACACAATTCTATTAAGAATACAACAAATGTAACTCATATAGGTATTCATCATTGTTTGTTGAAGTTGAGGTGTGAAAAATATAAAGAGAAGTGTGACGGGACTCGTCAATATCATTTTCCTACGTTGATTATGTATTTATGATCTAAATATTGCGATGTTAAGAGAGTTTGACAGCCGTAACACAATTTTAGGTGTGAAAAAAGATGAAGAGTAGTGTGGTGAGACTCATTGCTATTCTTTTCCTATGTTGATTATGTATTTATTATATAGATATTGTGATGTTCAGAGAGTTCGACAACTTTAACACAATCATATTGAGAATACGACAATTGTAACTCATAGATGCGTTTTGTAGTGTATGTTGAGGTTGAGGTGTGAAAAAGATAAAAAGAAGTGTGGTGGGATTCACCAATATCATTTTATGTTGTGTTGATTTCACATTTATGATATAGACATCACACGATTGTATAATCTAGAAGAATTTATAGATGTTTATTAACGTCGAGGAATTAATCTCTGAGTGGTGGCTGCATCGACTACTATGTTCTATAAATTTTCAAACTTATCATCAATCTTGTCATTTTTCGTTGTTTTTCATTTATATTTAATTTCTCGCACAAAAATGAAAACAAAGATGTTACTAAACAGACAAAAAGATTGCGTGAGAGATTTATACCGAAACATGTGTTGGTATCATGATCAGAGATGTTTCTACGGTTGGAAAGAGGCAATGCGATGGTCAAAAGCAAATGATTTGAAATTCATTCACAATGGGGTGGATGGAGCAATGGAGGGTGCAGCATTACGTTGGTACGTTCGTTGTATGGGATCCACGTTGAACTCAGCAATGTGCAAAATGAGGTACCAATAGATAGATAAAGAGAGAACGTAAACCAACATAAATATAAACAACAATTAGAAAGTTAATTATGCAAATTATACATCTTGCTTCGTTTTGATGGTAATTAATTATGACTATAAAAAAGAGCAAGGGGCTGAAAAAACAAATTTTGACCTCCTTTTTTTTTTTTTTTTTTGGGTGTTTTTTTTCTTTTGTTTTTTTTTTTTTTTTAAAAATAAACACACAACACACTCAGCGTAGCGTGCCTACAGTGCCTAGTGGGAATAGTATTTTATTTATCCATTGTCATGTATTATTTTATTATTTTTAATAATTTGTTGGACCCTGGAGGTGGGGCCCACTCTATCTTTAAAGATATATATATAAGTCGTACGGATTTGTTTAGAGCTTTTAAAGGATGGTTTTTTTTTTTTTTTTTTTTTTTTTTTTTTTTTTTTTGGGTATGGGTGTTTGGACACCGATCGGCGATCACCATACGCCAAGGCCCGTGTAGAAAGCCGGGAGCCTATTCCAAAGTTATGGTCTATAATCAATATTATCTTCATTTTTCGTTTTGTTTCCGAATAAGAAATCTAAGAATATTGCCTTCTAAAAAAAGGAAAAGAAAATGCAATGCACCCTAATAAGGAAAGTAATTGAACCCAAAAAATAGGGGAGATTCACTATTATACCAAATATAAGAGTTCAAATTATAAAAAAAACTTATATGAAATGAACTTTAGAAACACACTCTCTATTTACAACATAATAAAAAGGCTTTTAATTTCTAATAAATTACAAAATTGTCATCAATTTCTTAAAATAAGCTTAACTCCAAAACCTCATAAAAAAACCCAAAACAAGTATAGAAATTAAATGGTGTTATGGTTTATCTATATCATTAGTACTAAAAATAAGTATCTGACTAAATATCTTCCAAAAAAAAATATATATTTTAAAATATAAAAATTATTATTTTGTGGATATTTTATTTAACAGCAATCTTACTTATTTTAAGCCTTCTCGTGTTATCTAATCATGGAGTCATCATTTAGGACATTAGGGCGATGAGTAAGAGTTTGACAGAGACTACTTTTGTGCTCATATGTCGACATGCTAATGAGGTCACGCATAGGCTTTGCGTATTGGTAGGGATAGGTTTGAATGGTTTGAGGAGCCCTTGAACTTTTTATAGGACTCTTCGATTATTGATGGTTGCAATCGAGGTTAGGCCTTATGTTCACCCGTGTTTTTTATTTAATGATTAATAAAGTCTTCCTTATATCGTTGGAGTACTTTAAAAAAAGTCTTTTTGTATTGTGTTTTAATAAAATAAAAATAAAAAAATTAGTTAGATCAGTTGGTTAAAAGAGTTCGTCTATTTGCATCCAAGTTCAAATGTAGATAAGAGGATAAAGGAACAATACTTTCTTTCCTTAAAATGTAAATGTGGCATATTGGCATTGCCTGTCACATCAAAGTATAACACAACTGTCAATGAATTGGATTAGCCTCATATTATAGAAGATAAAACTTTGACTGCGTCGTATTTATCCATCCACGAATCTCCACAATAACAGACACAAAGAGACGCGTCTATTTCTTATGATTTATTTTTCCCAATTATGTATAAATCTTAGGCAGTGGGGAAAAAAAGAAAAAGAAAAGGTAAAACATGAAAATGTATAATCCCAGCTAAGACCCTAATGAAGGAAAAATATATAAAAAAGAAGCAATAATAATTACAACATCTGAGTTGCAATCAGCAACAAGTTATTATTAGAAAATCTAATCGTCAACATCATAAATAGGAAATGAATGTCACCAGAGATATAAAGGGCTGTATGAAGATGGATGAATATACACAACGTGGAGAAGGAGAAGAAGAAGAAGAAGAAATGATGACTTCAGAGATATCCATGACCAGACTTTGTGTTGAGTTCAAAGGCACAGAGCTGAAGACTAAGCAGTGGCTGCCGCTTGTTCTTCCACAGCCTGTGATGCCGGTTGAAGGGTGCAGATGAGGTTGCGATCACCATACACATTGTCAACACGTCCTGATGCAACAGTCAACAAAATTTAGTTGTCAGTAAAAGCAATCAGAACACCAAAATGCATGCTATTCAAGTTTTTTATTTGGGGTGTAAATAGCATACCTGTAGTAGGCCAGAACTTTGCTGAACGGAGCCACGAAGCGGGGAAGGCTGCGTATTCCCGGGAATATGGCTTAGTCCATGTATCTCCCATAAGCAGAGATGGTGGGTGAGGAGCTCCCTGCAGAAAGGTTCATAAACAAGTATTGAACAATTTAACTTGCAATTTGCTTTCACCTTCAGAAGAAATGAGTGTTTTTACCTTGAGGACATTGTTGTGGAGATCAGCTTTTCCTTTCTCAATCTCAGCAATCTCTTCTCTAATGGAAATAAGAGCATCGCAAAACCTGTCTAACTCAGCCTGCAAGAAACATTGAGTTTACTTAACCCAAAGAAAAACAGTACCCAAAAATAGAAAAAATATAAAATCTTTCTGTGGGGGTGTACCTTGCTTTCACTTTCTGTTGGTTCGATCATGAGAGTACCAGGAACTGGCCATGACATTGTTGGTCCATGGAATCCGTAGTCCATAAGACGCTTAGCGATATCTTCAGGCTCTATCCCAGCAGTATGCTACAAGGAAAAGAAAAAAAAACCAGAGTTCAATTAGACAGAGAATGTAAGAAACAAGCGGCTAAATCGAAACACGTGTTAAGAACATACCTTAAAGCCTCTCAAGTCAACAATGAATTCGTGGGCAACAGTTCCATTGACACCACGGAATAGAATGGGGTAATAATCCTGTAAGAAATTAACATAGACAACATGAGAAAACAGAGCAAATATAACCTCATTAGCTCAAACTGTAAAGCAAAAACAACAGTGAAGGAAGAAGTAGGAACCTCCAAGCGTTTGGCCATGTAGTTTGCGTTTAGAATTGCTATCTTTGATGCATCGGTGAGCCCCTTGGACCCCATCATGGCTATGTAAGTATAAGATATGGGCAAAATAAGTGCAGAACCCCAAGGTGCTGCAGAGATGGTACCAAGTGGCTGAGACTTGTCTGGAGCAGGTAAGCCACCGGTAGGAACCTTCAATACGATGTCAAAAAGCTTACAAATCCAGCATGTAATAAATCACAAAAAGTTGGAAAGATATGAAAAGATACTGCCTCCATTTACACATCTCAAGTTCAAAACAAACATGAACAAAGCAATAATTTGCAGAATCACATGAAACCTTCAATGTAAAGAGTAAATTACCACAGGATGAGACGGCAAGAATGGCGCCAAGTGTTTCTTCACACCAATTGGACCCATGCCAGGACCACCACCTCCATGTGGAATGCAAAATGTTTTGTGGAGATTGAGATGGCAAACATCAGCTCCAATCCAACCTGGGCTTGTCAGACCAACCTGCAAGGACGAAAAGCTTCGTCAGATTGAACATGAAAAATTGAGCCTGAATTACAACTATCTACAAAAATAAACATAATATATGTACAGGCAACATTAAGATGTTCAATAAATTACTAGTTAAAAACCAATCACAATGGAATGCCCATGCAGAAATGTAGATGAATTTGAAATTTTAATACCAAAACACTCAGCCAACAACCTGCAGCCCAGAAACTATTTGAATTTAAATTTCAAGCACAAAACTATAAAGCATGGAGCCAAAAAGGGGAGTAATGTAGGGGAATACAGACCTGTGCATTCATGTTAGCCCCATCCATGTATACTTGACCTCCATTATCATGGATTATCTTACATATCTCATCGATACCTTCTTCATACACTCCATGAGTTGACGGATATGTCACCTATAATTCGAAATATGATCAAATGTCTGTCGATGTTGCATAAGTTCTCCATCTTTGATCATTTCAAATAATTTAAACCTCTTATAACATAGGATGCTTACCATAAGAGCTGATAGGTTATCCTTGTTTGCTTCAGCAGCCTTCCTCAGCTCTTCAATGTTGATGTTTCCCTTCGCATCAGTTCCAACAGGGACAATTTTCATTCCACACATTGCAGCACTAGCAGGATTGGTACCGTGTGCCGAAACAGGTATAATGCACACATTGCGGTGGTGATCCCCTCTTGCCTGCAGTGGGTATTCCGTGAACAGTTCAGCATGATTAGTAACAAGAATAAACCTTTATGTCATAACCTCGAAGACCTTAAGTTAAAGTTTTTCTTTTAAGCTCTACAGAAAAGTGCTTGCTAAGAAATATTAGAAAGAGGGAAACAAGAAAAGCTCAGGGTCCCCATACAAAATGATATGCCCGAATAACCATCAGCCCAGCATACTCTCCAGCAGCTCCAGCATTAGGTTGCAACGAAAAAGAGTCAAACCCAGTGAGGGTACACAATAGGTCACCCAAATCTTCGAACATTTCCTGGATTTTATTATTTGACAACAAACACTATCAAGTTACTAGTTGTATGAAGGAAAGCAACATATAAAAAGAAATTCAGGAAAAAAAAACATTTGCCACTGTGTTAAATTTGTTCGTAAGTAAACATTTGTAACTACCTGATAACCCGCAGCCTGTTCTGCAGGGGCGAATGGGTGAATGTCAGTAAAACTAGGCCATGTCACTGGCATCATTTCAGTTGTTGCGTTCAATTTCATTGTGCAAGATCCCAATGGAATCATACTGTGGCATAGCGAGAGATCCTTTGATTGCAACTTATGAATGTATCTGAGCAACTCGTGCTCCGTATGATACCTAATAGAGAGCAAATGAAAGTCAGTCTAGTTTCCAAATAGCAGAATGTGAGAGTTCAAATCATCAGGAAAGAGATATACGAGTTGAAGATTGGATGGGTAAGATATGGGCTCTCCCTAGTTAGCCCAGAAGGAATTGCAGGCTGAACTTCTGGTGCAAGAGATGCAGCAGTGAAAGGAACCTGAAAATCAAACAAAATTCTCACTTTGATGGATGCAACTTATAAACAATTTCAACTATCACCTTTATGATAAAGACATGAAAATACTCACAGGCTTGCCCAAAGCAAAAACTTTGAAAAGCTTATCAACATCCTCCAAGGTAGTTGTTTCATCGAATGAAGCAGTAATCTGCAAGGAGTTAACCTTCAGTAATCTGATAAAGTAGAGCAATATACTCCCTCCTCTCTCCCTAGAGAGCTTTTAGTTGAATAATTGACGCAGGAGATACAAACAAACTTACAGTGTTCGTGTCTACTACTCGCAAATTTATTCCATGCTTGATTGCAGCATCAGCAATGGCATGTGCATCAGAAGTCTTAACCTTCACAGTGTCAAAGAAGGGAAGGCCCTGAACTTCCACTGTCCCAAGTTTCTTCAATCCAACTGCAAATGCCCCAGCAAGACCATGAACCCTTTGGGATATGGTTTTAAGGCCTTCAGGTCCATGATAAACAGCATACATGGCAGCCATGTTTGCAAGTAGTGCCTACATAAACACAATATCCAATCAAACAAAGCCAAGTAAATCAAATTGAAATACATGAGGGGGCCTGCTCAGTAATTCCCTGTTTTTGGGTTATCCAAGCTAAGGAAATCATGTCAATAATTCTATCCTTTGATATTTAATATATAAAAAAACATAAATCAGTTCAGCCCTAAAAAGTAAATCATAAAAGAAATCAAATGAAGAATAGTATCGAACCTGAGCAGTGCAAATGTTGCTGGTAGCCTTGTCCCTCCTGATATGTTGCTCCCTTGTCTGCATCGCCATACGCAGCGCAGGCTTCCCTGAAGAATCAACACTAACACCAATAATTCTTCCCGGCATCATCCTCTTGTACTCTTGGGAGGTGGCCAGGAATGCTGCATGAGGACCTCCATAACCCATTGGAACACCAAACCTCTGTGCAGAGCCAACAACGATATCTGCCCCAAATTCACCAGGAGGCTTCAACAGTGTCAATGCTAAGAGATCAGTTGCCATCACAACCTTAACCCCATTAGCATGAGCATTCTTAATAAACTCCCCATAATCCAAAACCTCACCCTCAGTCCCCGGATACTGAACAAGAACACCGCAAACATCACCCGATTTGTAATCAATATCCTTAAGATCCGCAGTCAAAACTTTAAGATCAAAACCATCTGCTCTAGTCTTACAAATATCAATGGTCTGGGGGGTGGCAGTTGTTAGCAATAACAAAGGTCTTCTTCTTCCCTTTTTGAATGTTGTTACACATCGCCATTGCCTCGGCAGCGGCGGTTCCTTCATCAAGCAATGAAGCATTTGACATGGGAAGGCCAGTGAGGTCAGTGATCAGGGTCTGGAAATTGAGCAAAGATTCAAGCCTCCCTTGGGAAATCTCAGCCTGGTAAGGAGTGTACTGGGTATACCAAGCTGGGTTTTCCATTATGTTCCTCAAAATCACAGGAGGGACATAAGTGTTATAATACCCCATCCCAATAAAAGACTTGAAAATCTTATTCTTGGAAGCCAAATACTGCATATGCTCAAGCATTTGGCTTTCAGTTAAACCCTTCATCAAACTTGGTAAACTTCATCGATTCGAGTCGAATCGATTTGGGCACGGTGGCATCGATAAGTGAATCAAGACTACCAAACCCACATAACTCAGCCATTTTGGTTTGTTCATCTGGGGTGGCTGAGTTATGGCGGCGAGGAAAAGTGTCACTGTTTTTCAATGCATCAACAGAAATCGACCTTGTTTGTGTCCCAGTGCCATAACGAACATTATGTGACACATTTTTGCCTGCTAATGAATCTGATCTGCTACTTGTGCGCATGAAAGAGCATGGAGACAATGAAGAAACGTACCTTGAAGGCGTGTACAAGACAGGGGATGTTGAAGAGCTGAACACAGTATCATTCTGGCGAAAACTGCTTGGCATCTGAAACCAAGCGCTTCACGAAGGCCCGGTTAGCCAGCCGCCTTGCACGTTCCATGAGAGCAAAAGACTCTGTTTTTGCAACAAAAACGCAGAAAGCAAAAACAGAGGAAAAGCAAATTGGGTTGTTGAAAAAACTTGGAAACAAATATATGGTTTTTTTTTCTTTCCAAAGGTGCTTGCTTTTTTCTTTGTTTTTTTGGTTATTCCACTGGAGTGAGTGAACCCAGTTAGGCTGGTGGGTTTGTTTTGATAAGTGGAGGTTTTGTCTATATATAAATATATGAGTATAATAATTTTAAAAATTTAGAAAATATGATGGGAGTTCAGGATCTGGTAGTGGTGGTGGGTGGTGGGTGACTGCGCACCTATTGAGAAAAAGACAGGTTTTGTTTGTAGGGTATCAAAGCCCACAAAAATTTACAAATTTTTGTTCAGAAATCATGAATGTATGGAAGGTATTGAAGCAAAGAAGATTGAGTTTCAATGGATCTGAATGGTTTCCAAATTTTATACAACCAGAGAAAAAACATGTACCAAAGAGTTTTTGAATATCTGTTAAATCTGGAGTGAAAATCTGAGAATCTTGTTGTAATTTGTTGGCAGATTCTCTATCACAGTATGCTTATCTCCACGCCTCACCTCAAAGACAATAAGAACAAAAAAGAAAAATTAGTCTAGGGTTAGGTTATGACTTACGAAGCAATGCAATTCACTCACTAAATCAGATCCAAATCATAAATGACGGTTTGCACCAGATAACACATAGAATTATCACATTTGTGGTTATGGAAATTTGGGTGGATACTAGATAGTCTCCCAACCAATTCTAATTTTGTGATTTGCTGGATTTCCCTTTGGTGGGGCCCTCTGTATCTGGTGGAGTTGGGGGTTGGTGTGGTAATTTTGGGAAAAGCAGGGGATCATCCTTGAGAGGAGAAAATATGTCTTGTGGCTGACGAAATGACATTGTACGTTTCAACTGTAGTCGGTCGGATGTTGTTCTTGTGGTGGTAGATGCTTCTAATGATTTTCACTGTTTATAGTCCGAAAAAATCATGGCCGTAGGATTGTCAAGTTATGAGGGGTGATTGCAGAATGGACGGTTGTGATCTGACCACATCTTTTCGCTATTGTTAGGAAATGCTGATCTGATGATGTATCTAGGAGACTATGACTTGGTCTGCCTTTTACCCCTTGGGAGTGGGAAGTGGGAATCTACAATGAAAGGCACTGTGTTTTGACAGTAGATTAGATGGCATGTGTGGAATTCCATCCTAAATTTGACCCAAAGAAAAAAAGGAAAACTTTCATTTGCATTTGAATGTGATAACTCAAAGACTGGCCCTATAAATATGTTTCAATGAATTTTCTCATTTATGGTAGAAGCTATAAAAAGGGGAAACAAATAAGGAAGCAACTAGTGATTTCATATACAAACTCCCATAACACCGAAATAGTGTGTGAGAGAAACTCACATCTCTATAGTTTAGACTTTCGCTTTATTATAAATAAAAATCCAGCTACCGTATTTGCCAAAACGGGAATTTTATTTTTCAGATATGGTAAAAACATTATACCAATTTAAATCTAATTAAAAATTAAAATGTCAATATTTATGACAGTCAAAGTAAGTTATACAGTTATTCAAAATGTAATCCATTGGATCTAAAAGAATAATTTAGGAATTTTTTTTAAATCTTATTTTGTTTTGTGATCATAATTATATATGAATTTAATATGAAAGTTACAAGAAGGACATTCAAGATATAATTATCAAATATCTGTAAAGAAATATATGAGAGGTCATTATCAAAATGTGGGCCGAGTTGAGAGTTCCATAACCGGGAGAGGCTACAATGAGGAGGCTATTTGAGGAGGCCAATCTCACCATTAATAAATGTAAAGAAATCATGAGAGGCAAATATTTTAAATGTTTGATGGTATAATTGGCATTCTCAAATAGCCTCCTTACTATATAACCTGTCATTCATGGGCCCAAGTTATCTCAATCAAATTTTGTGTAACAATAAATAAAAATATAATAAATTACAGTTACAGTTTCTGCAAATCAAGGAACCCTTTGGATTTTATTAATTCAAGCTAAACTAGCAACCAAAACCACATCAAAAATGGAAAATGCAAAAATAAAAAGAAATCCTCCTAATTAAAAAGATGAGGTAAAAACAAAAATTGTGTAATGGAAATAATTTTGACAAAGCTCAAGATCAAGAGTGATTATTGATTAGGCCACAGGAGAGTTCCATTAGGAGCATTGCAGCTTCAGCAACATCCTGAGGAAACACTCGTTGAAAATCCAAAGCCTTGAAACAAATCCTCTTCTTGTTATTATTATTCTTTTTGTTATAGTGAGATATTGATGCATTGTCGGTGATGATGAGCTTGCTCATCTTGTTCTTATGGCTGCCCCGCGATTTCTTCTCCTTGGCCACCTTACCCTTTGGAGATGAAGTGTCGGCGCTGCCGACAGCAAACCCGTTTGCAGCTGCAGCCTCTGCCATGGCTCGTCTCGCTTTCCTCTGCCGAATGCCACATGCATTGCACAGTGACTGCACCAAACACATAAATACACAAAATATACCTTAAAGTTAAGAACATGTATTTAGCTTATAAACATACGCTTATATTGTTCAATTTGGAACATGTTAATTATTGTGTAAATGTGTGGTTCATATTCACGGTAAATATATGTAGATATTTACCTTGGGACCGAGAGGGCCACTCCTCCAAAGTGGGGTTGAGTTGGTGTGACAATCAGAACAAACCCTAACAGCCGCAGTGTTGTTGCTGTTACTGGAAAAGCTGGTTTCGCTAATTTCTCGAGGCTGAGCATGAATTTGGAATTTATGCTCAGAAATCTCAGCTGGTATATGATCAGTGGTACCAGGTGGGAGATCAGGGTTGTTGCTGGTCATCTTTTGCATCAACCTCATCTTGGAGGACATGCACTTCACTGACTTTGGCCTTTTGATATAATTACTACTTTCACCTTCCTCTTCTCCTCCTCCTCCTCCTCCACCTCCAATATTGGTCTCTCTTTCATGATCACCACATCTGGACAATCTACGGTCCTTGTTGCTTATAGCGTCCACCACATGAGCTTGAACTAAAGAAGATGATGAGGATGCTTGATCGTAACTTGTTCCACAATCCCAAATGTTCTTATCCTGAGATCAGACAATTTGAAATTAGAGATAATCAAGTGAAAATCAAGGGTTTTCAATAAAAAGATCAAATCTTAGTTATAAAACGTAGCTATATATGGAGTATGAATTAGTAAGAAAACCCATCAAATCAATTAATTACGAGAACATCAGGTCACAAAGTATCAGGAAATTATACAAGTTTCATTATATATGGACATGTCAAAGAGAGAAGAATCACTTAAGGGAGGATCAAGAGCCATAACCAAAAAAAAATCAATAAAAATAAACGTGGAAGATATATAATTTGATTTATGTACGTTGGTTTCTTAATTACCTTGTGATGATATAGTTGTGATTGATGATGAGCAAGAGAAGTAAAAGTAGTCCCAGGTGTTTGATCTTGCAAGGAGTCGAAGAAAGTAGGAAATGGGAAAGAAGTACATGAAGCAGCTTCATCATAGGGTGGTGATATAAAGAGCTTTAGGCGTTGATCTTCTGCTTGCTCCACCACGGAGAAAGGAGAGGATGCTGGGTTCAGATACACTGGTGTCATCATGGAGAGGAGAGCGAGAGAGAGAGATCACAGAAAGATCTAGAGAGAGAGATAGAGATAGGTTAAATGGGTGCTGTTGTATCCAGCAAAGGAGGAGAGAGAGATAGGGTGAGGCTGATCAAAAGGGCCTGATACTCAGAGGACTCTTATAAGAGAGAAAAGGGCAAGAAGAAAAAAGAAGAGAGCCCTAAAATAAAAGCCATTCACGTGACTTTATGTCCAGATAGCAGCTATCAAAACAAGAGCTGCTACAAAATGACAAATTTAAAGGAGGTGTTGAAGGCTACTACTCACAATTCTACCCACAGTACACTACAGTATATATGTATGACACCCCCCCCCTATCATTACTTTTATATTAGTTAATTCAAAAACTTCATCAAATACGTCCAACAACAGGCCATAGAATATGACATTTAAAATACATATAATTTGTTTTGTGTGAGTGTGTGTGGGTGTGGGTGTGGTGCATATTTTAGGGTTTAAGGGTTTACATATGCACTACATATTCTTGAGGTGTGGGATTTATATACGTCTCAACATTTCCAAATAGAGCGGTACGATTTTAAAAGAAAAATTGATGAGAAAAATGAAATCTAGAAAACAGTGCAGATATATATCTGAAGAGATGGGTATGGAATGGAATTTGGATAGCCTAAGCAGATGGAGGGCGTCCCCCATCCTTAGTGTTGCCAAAAAGTCATCAAATGCTGGTACAGGCTTGAGACAGTGACGACCTCTTAGTCCCCCACACCTTTTGCCATCAGCCTTCGATTTGCTCTGATATTTTCATCTCTCTATTTGTTTTTACCATGCCTTCCCCTTCAGATAATTAAAGATGAATTTTCCCATCTACGTACTTTTTATCCTTTCATATATTTGTTTACATGCAAGTCTCTTCATTTTGCTTATCTTTCTGGCTTTTTCTAATTTCCTAACCTAGAATGCCCAAAGAGAGTGGCCAAAATATCATGACCTGTATGCTCTCTGCTTCAGTTAATGATGAAGTCTAGTTTTTTATACTCATTCTTGCAGTCTCACAGGATTTTTCCGTTAATGTTCTTGTCTGCTTCTTATTTTCAGACAAAAATCTTTGCTATATCTTGACCACTTGATGTTACTTATTTATTAATTTCTTTTTTACAGTTTAAAAATATATTCCAGGAAGAGAAACCCTCTTTTCTGTTTTTTCTTACACATGAACCAGTAAATTTTGTTCACCAATACTAGCAAGCAGTGAAAAAAACTCCAACACCCACCACACACGGACAAAAACAAAAACTACCCCCCAAGCCAAGCTAGATCTTGGTCACAGGATAAGAGATGCAGGAAATCCAGAAGATATGTTAAATTTAACTTGGTTAATTAATCATACATATGGACAATGCATACATAGTTAACAAAGACAGGAAAAAAAACAGGAGAAGGGAAAACCGATTGCTGCATGCGTGGCTGGCATCTGAGCCACTTGATCAAATCACATAACCCATGAAATATCTGATCCCATCTTATATCATTAAGAAGATCGAAGACAAAAAAAAGTTCTAACTCGAATCCTAAACCATGATTCTGAGATACCTAATCAACATCAATAAGTGGCCATGATCACAAACAAATGTTAACTTGGGTTTGGCACAACCTGAAGAAAAATCAACAGGTTGACAACCTGAAGAGAGATATCTCTCGACCAAGAAAGATGTTGATTGAAGGCCAGGTAAATGTGCATATATAATTTCATTTATTTTGGTTTTTGTTTTTTGTTTTTGTTTTTTTGAGATGAAGAAGGATGCTACGTATGATGAGTTGTGTGAGCAAGTCCTGGGCACGAATGTTTGAAGTTGATTGGTGGATTATTTTTGTCACCCTATTGCTGCATCTATAACATGTAGCTCACTCAATGTTATATTTAGCATGCAACAGAATCTGCCGGATCATTTCGTGCCACCGTGTAGTTATCAAAATCTTGGTTTAATTTCGAATTGAGTGGCCAAATTTTGATTTTGAGCTACATGACAGTTTGTCTGTCGTCCTTGATGTTCGTGGTGGCATCGCTCTGTTGGCTTAAACTGTGTGGTGGTGGTAGTAGCTGATCAAAGGACAAAACAAAACATTCATCTCCAACCTCATGTTTCGTTATCTTTACAAATGTACAACGAAAATCAATTAAATCTTCATTTTGTGTTTTCACACTACATATAGTACATATATTCTAAAAGAGAAGAATCCAACACGTAACTTTAAGTCTGAGGTCGAATGTTCTTAACCACTTGAGTTATTGTCTCGGAAACACCAACTTGGAATTGTAAATGGGTTGAGTGTAAAGTGCAATAAGATCTTTTCAGAATTGGCCTGAGAGCCTAAAAAAGAATTGGGCTATCAGAAAATAGTGCACAAACCTTCACGTTTTTGGGCTTGGAAATCTGGACTCTCAAGCCCAGGAACCATTATGATAATTCACAAATAAAGAAAGAAATGTTCTCGAGTTGAGGAATGAGTTGAAGCTTGAACCATAATGATAAATAGTACGGAATGATCTGGCATGATTACCACGATCAAGAACCATAATGGTTACTGGTGAGCATGGCAGTTGCTTCTTTAAATTCTTTTACTGTTGAGATCTAAACATGGGAAAAAAAAAGGAAAAAAATGCATGGTGAGACCAACTCTGGTCTAGGCCTCTGTGGTCCTAAGATAAATGCTTTCTTATTATAGGACCCTCCCTCTTCAACCCTAAGAACCTAAAACCAGAAACCAGTGAAGATGATGGTCCTGGACCTAAAACAGAGAGTGACCACTGGCTCTAGAGAGTCTTAGACTCTGGACCAACCAAATAAGGTGCTTTTGGTAATTGCCAAAGCTTGCTCTACATTTCCAGAATTTTACATCACAAGGCTCAGAGAAAAAGTGACAAATTTTTTATAAAAAAGTCAAGTAATTGATGGTTCAAGCAGTGTTACACCTAAATATAAGGTCTTCTAATAAGTAAGACTTCGTCGTGATTGGTTGTATACAACTAATTACATTTAAGACGGAACCGATTACATTTAAAATTTTCTCACAAGACAAAAGGCATTAAATTGATGCCTTCAAGACCAAGGCATAATTAGTGGTCTTTTTTTTTTCCAACCTGGAGATTAAAATCAAAAACTTATAGTGGAAGTTTACTAAATATATCTTATCCAAATGGGATCATGGAAGAGATATTAAATTATTATGGAGGATAGCTTGGTTCAGTTTTTCAGAGTGAAAAAATTGACCCAAGTGGTACGCATGAAGGTACTGTAGTCTGCAGTCGGAGCAGAAAATGACCAAATATTTCATCAGTTTCTGATTCAACTTCAAACAGAGTTCTTATTCTCACACTAACAAAATCTTAAAACAGAACACCTGCTGATACAAAAATTCAAACTCAATGTCCCTTTTTTTTTAAAAATGTATGACTAAAAATTAAATTTCAGAGATGGTCAATTGGACTGTGGTCCAAGTTCCAATTCTTGAAAAGCACTCAAAGCACCCATATACCTTGTAAAGACACTCTGGCATGCATGCATGAGAAAAAAGAAAATGGACAGAAGTAGCAAAGATTCTCTTGTTCGAAGACTGCAGCACCAAAAGCCTAAGAAAGCCAAACTGGGGGGCTGTGGCTAGCTTCACTGGATTCATTTTGATGGTGCAGAAACAGAGTAAATTCAGAGGTTTATGTATCTTGCAATTTATGTTTGTGGACACATCTTTGGCAGCAATTAGGTGGCTATGTACTTGTCCTGTCAACATGAATTTAAAAGAAGCTACCAATATCATGGTAGAGAGACTGCTTTTTTTATGAGCACTTAATAAATTACCTTTGTTTTCATCTCTGTTTTTGGCTTACAACTAGTGCAGATTCTGCAAACAATTGGCTTCATCAGATGAAGAAGTAAATGGCTTTCAATTTTACCAACAAGAATTGTCATTTCAGTTCATCTACCCCCTAGCTATAAACTAGTTTTCAATACTTTTTTGTTTTTACTTTTACCCAGATGAATGCAATGTTGAGCTGAACTTTGCCAACCCATTAAACAGCATGCAGGATTGATCAATCCCATGAAAATAACATAGTGATGGGTTATAATTTCTGAAGCCACTTGCTTAATTACACAAAAGCAAAATTAAAGCAGTGGAGGGTGTGATTAAAATGATGATTTTTTTTTTTTGGGGTGTGCTCTTTTGGCTGCTCATTTCATGAACACTAGAAGAAGAGGATGATACCAAGACCAGCAAGAGAGGAAAAGAAAAAGAAAAAGAAAATAAATTAAAGTTGGGGTTTAGACATCAGATTCATAATTTCACCCACAATATTCATATCACCCATGAAAAACAGGAGTCTTGAAGCTTCTTCCTTCCTACACCTAAAGCACCTCCTCTTCTTTCTTCCTCTTTTTAAGTATTTGATCATATGTACGGACACCTACAACAAAATCAGACATCATTGATCATCAGAACCATGGATCAAGATCCACTGGGGCCCACGTGTTCATCACTCTCTCAAACCATTCATCATCAACAGCCTCCCCTGCATCGCAGCGCTCCATCACTCCCTTCCCAACCACCAACCCATTATTAGTATTACCACCGCATTCACTCCACGCCCCAACCCCATTCTCAGGCGAAAACCCCCCATTATTCCCGGTGGGATCCACGAACTTTATGCCGGCCATCACCGTCGACGCCGAGTCGGAAACTGACGCCCCGCAGCTCTCGCTCTTCCCGTTCCCGACCACCAGCGACGGCGTCGGAAAACCTGCCGCCGGTGACGACGGCTTGGTAGTGTTCGTCGCCGGAGTTGGCGTTATCTCCTTGTAGAGCTCTTGCATGACCTCCTCTATCAACTCTTCTTCGATGGGCATGTCCGGCGAGAGTAGGTCGATCAGCTCCGGGAAGTTTCCGGCCATTTCATCGGAGATGGAAGTTTCCGGCGAAGGAGACTTTGGGCCAGCTTCCATGCTCTCTGACTCCGACGAGAGTGAAAACAGAGCAAGCGGACTGCAGAGGAGACAACAGGGGAGTGAGTGTGTGTGTGTGTGAAGGAGCGAAGACAAGTGGATATAAAAGGGGTTGAAAAATAGGCGCCACGCTGGTATGGTTGTGCCACGTAGGATGGATGGGACATGGGTGATGACGTAGGAATATTTATGTCGCAGCGAAGTGGTAACTGAAACCGAGGAATCAAAGCTGACGATTAGTACAGCCAAAAGTACTGCCTGTGTAGTCAGATTTAGCAACATGGCTCGTGTTTCTGTGCTGCTCAGCTGTATCGCTGCTCGTGCTTACGACCGTTGACTGTCTCGTTGACCTATTTGTAAGCGGATCCGACGGTCAGTGTTGGAGGTATTTGTCCGACTTGGAACACTGATGGTGGATCTCATATTTAGAGGACAAGACTGCCTCGGCAAACGCTACTTTGCCGACATGGACGAGATTGCCCTCCCACACACAGCTGTGCGTTACCATGAGCAAGCCAAGTTTTTGTCTTTTTTAAAGAAGCTGGATTAGGGGTCATGGTTTGATAAATACAGCAAGTGCCAGTGTGTTTGTTTGAGCAGAGCAGTAACTTTTTGGTTTAGAGATAAATTGTTAAAATGGTAACTTCATTCACATAACATCACAATCAAAAAATACACTGTAATTAGGCTAAGTACAACACCAAACCTATCAGTCTTCAAATTAGTCCATGTCTTTTGCACTAATACTGGTACCGTATATTCATTGTATTCTTGTATTACTGGTATTGAACATATTCACTGGCAAGGACGATTGCCTAAGATGGAGACTCTCTGGAAAAATCTCAGTTTATAATACATTCATTGTACAGCAAGAACCGATGAATGGATAAATGACGTTGAGAGCAAGTACTTCATTGGAGGCTTCAGAAGAATGCTTCTTCTCTTTCAAGAAACAAGATATTGTTTAACTGAACCAGCTGATCTTCCTGCATTACCGGCATTTGGAGTTGCATTGTATGCGATAGCTCACTATCTGTCGCCGGGACGAAGAGTTGGACTTTTGGAGCACATACTCATTGCATGAAGCTCCTTCAGCCTACTAGCTGGGTTGCACAAACCTAAAAGTTTTCAAGAGTTTCTCACATCAGAGCATCTCACAGATAATCACCCTTTATAAACATTGCCTCTTATAAACAACACAGTACAAGAAGCTATGGTTGAAAATGATCTGTTCAAAACTATCGGGAACGTTATTATTTTAAACAATCACATTCTTTGCAAATAAGACATCCGGTGCTTTTTATTTGCTATGTCTACAATTCAAGTTCTGGTATTACTTATCATACAGACCAGGTCAGATCAAGTGATCTAGGTATATTTTATTTGAAAGGAAGATACTGACTAATGATCCTCTTTGAAGAGAATCTACACAGATCAAGTCATACGTTGTTCAGGGTTAAGTATTAAACTAATCTATGACTCGACAAATGCAATGCCAAAGGGTATGGACTATTCCATAAAAAGAAGGGTCATCCTTGCCTAGCTTGAAAGTGCTTTTATTCTTGAACTCAACCAATAATTTTCGTACATGTCGTATTGATATGCAGATCACAGACCAGAACATAAGAATATGGCCTTATCAAAAACTAGCATAAAAAGAAATATTGCGCCAGATTGTCATTTAAAAGATAACATAAGCCTTCGCCCATCTACATTACAATACCACAAATAAATCAATGGTCTTTCAAATGTGCAGTATATAACTAACCAGGAATTTTCTTCACAACTATATTGTGACAGATAATGTAATCATGTAACAATATTATGTTTTGGATAAAGTACCTGAACATTTTGGGATGTCCCACACTGCGATGGATGTAGGTGTGCAACGAGGGTCACATAATGCCCGATTATCCTCATGGTTGACATTCATAGCAAGCATCCACGACCCAATCGTAACGTCCTCATTGCTAAACATTCTCAAACTGAAAAATAGAAAATACACCTATCAAGCAAAGGGACATCTATAGGAAGTGAAATAACAGCTTAAGAACCTCTTCAAATGAGAAGCCCAAATTTTTTCAAGAAGAATTCTGTAGATAGCAAAGCCTTTACATGAATATGATAAAACAGTACAACGAAGATAACAGAACAAAGTGGATTGAAGGAGCAAGGTAGATTCATATTTTACAAAAACTAAAGCCTGAGTCATGTTTCACATAATTGGAGGTTCAAAAAATTAAATATATTGGCAAAAGTCATAATTGAAAGAAACAATGACTAACATAAAGAAATCAAATACAGAACAGGTGGCTGACCTGTTATTCCTAGCAATTGCCAATGATGCTACCACTTCTGCAGACAGAACATATATAGGACCATAAGCATGCCGAAAGTATTCATTCCCAATTAGATGTCCTGATTTCTCATACCTGAATAATAAATGGATGGATGATCAGAAAAAAAGAATAAATTGATCACAAAGGTAAAAGCTCTGATTACAATTTGAAAACAAATATACCATTTCATTTTAGGGTCAGTGATTACTGGTCCTTTCTTCATGCATCCAATGTAGGTTTGTGAATGTGTTCGCTCCTTGGCTAGAAGTGTTGCTAGTCGATCTGACAAATTAAGAAAATATCACTAAATCTAATGTACTCATATTCACAGATTAACGAAAGCATATAGTCTGGCATTACAGTATACCTGGACGCAAATAAATGTCGTCATCTGCTTTGACATAGTAATCTGCTTCGAAAAGTTGAAATGCTGCTTTGAAAAATGCCAACCTACAACATAGCGTGAGAAACCAATATGACATAAACTGCCAAGAACATAAAGCCATCAACATGACAAATAGTTCAATAAAAACCGATGACTCTTACGTTTTCCATGGAAGGTTCAAATACTCTTCATTGACATCAATAATCAGAAAATCTCTGTACTTATCTATCTCTTTCTGAACCCCCGCCATCTTCTTTGCATCTTTAGATCTCCCAATAACAAACCTAAAAGCTAAACCAGTAGCTTGTTCCAATCTACAAGAGAAGGGTAGGAAAAAAAAACTATTAAAACCCCAACAAAAAGAACAACAGGGCATTTTCATCAAAGCCAGATTGTTGATCTTAATCTAGCTGAGCTGATAAACATCATAGCTAAGCGAACAAAGATCAACATCTGCAACTCATCACGTTAGGCAAACCCAGAAGTGATATCAAACAAGTGCATTGTATAACAATATACAAAGACAATATGATCAAAACCAACATCAGATATAAGAATTTAGGAACTTTACTGCACAAAAACAGAAATTTACCTCAAAAGGCCATCTGGGTCAGAAGGAAACCACGTGCTCCGCAAAGCCGCACGGCGATCAGCTGAGCCGAACCCGGTCTGAATTCCGACGAACCCAAGAAGCTTAGGCCGATCAACCAAGCCACCATTCTTATCACCGAGCTGCCGAGAGGTCGAAAGAGAGTAGAATGCCCGGAAGGTGTCTTCCGATTTGCCGCATCGGAAAATGGGAATGGGCGTTGGGCGACGGAGGGCGGTGATGGCGAAGATGGTTCCGGCGAGGCCGATGAAGAGGGAGACGAGCGAAAAGACGATAATGGGCAGGGGAGTGCGGGTGGGGACAGGGGCAGAATTGGGTTTTAGGGGCTTGAGGAGCTTGGAAGAGTAAGAGGGGGAGGTGGCGGTGCTGGTTGGGAGAGAAGATTGGCGGTGGAAAAAGAGTGGCATTTTGGTGAAAGTTGGAATGTTATACCAGTCTCTCTCTCTCCTCAGACTGGCAGTGAGCTAGATCTCAGGGTCAGGGACGAAGAGAAAGAGTGACACTCAAGTCTCTCATGATCTCATCTACTCAAATGCAAAGTCTGAAGCTTTGCTTTGGGTGGAGATAGAGAGCTTAAAGAGGTTGGAAGTTACTATTCTACTTGTCCCTTTCAGTTTCACTTCGCTTTCTTTATTTTTTGGGTTTTAAAAAATAATAATAATTTTTCTTCCTAATCAGTTTTGGGTTTATCATTATTAACTCTAATCAGTTTTGGGTTTAACTCTAATCAGTTTTAGGTTTTGTATTTTTAACTCTAATCAGTTTTTGGTTCAAGAATATCTTTAGATTTGTGAGACAATTCATATTGAAAGTCGAGTGAACACAAGGTATTTTTTAGGTTTTGCATCAGATCATCACAGCCACATTGTTTTGTTTCCTTGTCTTTCAGCAAAGAAATGGGTGAAAAGGGTGTTGGAGATTTTATAAAATATATTGGAGGCATCCCAATCTAAAAGACTACAACTTGTCAACTACTCTCTTAGCAACCAAGTGGAAAGAAATTGATTTTCCCTTGTTACTAGTATCACTAAACATTGAACATAAACGCGAGAAAAATAGAAAAGGGGGAAAGAAAATCAAGCCCAAATTGCAAGCAAGGACATCAATCCAGCTCCAACAAAGAGACAGCAATAAGATACAACTTGGAGCCTAAAATTGCAGCTCATCCTCTTACTCAAGAAATCAGCAGCAATGAGGTCCACCAAGGCCATGTACACCAGAATGCCAGCAGACAGGGAATCCAAGATGCCTTCAGTTATCAAAGCTCCTGTGCTGTATGGGTTGTAAAATGAAGAAATGGCCGTCCCAACGCCGATCCCGAGGGGAGTTGTGATGGCAAAAAAACAGGCCATGAGAGTTGCTGAGAGGGTCTTGATCTGGGCTTGAGATATGCAGCCTCCAAGTGCAAAGCCTTCAAAGAACTGGTGGAAGGAGAGTGCTGCGATTAAGGGTCTTATGGTGCATGTGCTCTGTGAAACTCCCAGAGATAGGCCGATGATGACAGAATGTGATACAATCCCAAGTTCCAAAATCTGCACACACACACACACAAAAAAAAGCCAAAATAATCAGTATACCAGCAAACTAAAAATTTGGGCTCATTACTTTCGTATTTTAGGACAGAACAATCCCCAGTCTGGCTCATAAATTTTTTCCATCTCAGCTTACCACATGCTACGTTAAAAAACAGAGAATTTTTTTTAAAGAAATAAGTCCAATCTGGACTGACCAGGCCCTTCCAAGAGGATGGCATCTGCATAGAAAAGTTTATTGTGTTTTTAAATTTTAACGAGCCTAACATTTAAATTCGAGATCAGTTTTTATTTTTAACTCCTTTTTTTTCCCTCTTGAGTCTTCTTAAGTTTGGTGACATAGAAGACTAAAACACAAATGTGCGTTACATTAGTTGGTCAAGAAAGTGTGTCCGTCCCTATCACCCAACCTATTTATATATTGACCATCCAAGAATGGAATATGATGTTTCGCCACCAAACCAAAAAAAAAGAAAAAAGGAAAATGAATTTGATCATGAGTGGGCGCCACTCGACGAAGATTAGTAGGCTCTAGGGTAAATTAACCTGACACGTGGCAACATGATACACACTTTTTACCTACTGCGCAAAGTATGCTAAGAAAACTCCACAACCAAAAAGCGAAAAAAAGACGCATTCTTTTCTGGGCCGCAGTCCAATAGCAATAATTAACGCGCAGACAACGACGTACAGAACCGCAAATTACAAAGGTTTTTTTTTCTTTTTTTTTTTTTTTTTTTTGGTCTGAAAATTACAAAGGAGTCTTTGGCGGTAAATAAAAGGAAAGTACCTGAGAAACGACGACGTGCCGAGCACCACTATCCTCGTCAGCATCACCGAACCCGTGAGAATGCCCGTGCCCGTGATCGAGCCCGTATTCAAGTTCGGGTTCCAGCACCACGTGGCCGTCACACGCGGCCTGCCCATGCTGGTGGCTGTGTCTATGGTGCGCCGCGTGCGCATGCATTCCCACAATGTGCATCCCACCGCCTTCCTCTTCCCCAAACACCTTCCCATTCCGATCATTTGCGGGCTGCCCCGGACCCACGCCCGCCTCAATTTCCGGTACATCCGATCCGACCCGGACCTGGTCCTCGATGGGCCGGGCCAGCCCCTGTTTCCTCTCGTAATACTGCGTCGCCACAAAGTCAACGAGCAACGTGGCAAGCGAGGCCATCATGGCGAAAAAGCCCGAGAACGGAAACTTGGCCCACGGGAATTCGGGTAAACACGGGTTGTTCAACGCTTCCGACCCGCCATTAAGCATGTGCACGAACCCGGTCGCCAGAATGACGCCGGCCGCGAAGGCTTTGGCAGCGACAAAGAGGCTGCTGTCGGTCCGGAGAAACCGGCGGTTTTTTCCTACGAGGGGAATGGCTACCCCGACGACTCCGGCGATGAGAATCGAAACGACGGCGATGAGTTTGAGGACGAGCGCCGATGACTCATCACGGCAGGCGGCCTCGAGCTCGGAGCTCTCGCAGCTCGTGTTGGCCATGGACTGCAAAAGCGACTCTTTTTTTGAGCGCCCCAAAAAAAAAACAGAATTTGAAGAAACAGAATTTAGAAAAAGGAGACTTTTTTCGTTATTGGTATTTGTTTTCAATTTCAATTATTATCGCAGAAGCGAGATTACCTTTGAAAAACCGAGCTTTTTCTCGGAAACCAGAAGAGCAGAGCAGGGGCAGAAGATCCTACACAAAACGCAGCGTTTTAATCAGAGAATCGAATCGTAGAGAAACGGAAATTCATGCGTGTGCGAGAGAGCGAACCTCGATGAATAACATGGGGATGTGGTTTTTTTTGGTGGTTTATATTCCACCGAAATTGCTTGATCTGGAAAACGCGAATCTCGAGTTGATAGTTTGATGGGGGAAGAGACGAATTTCAATTTGGGGGATGTCTTGATGTTGTTGGGAGAAGCAGAGCACAGAAACAGATACATATACAGAGGGATGGAGAGAGAGAGAGAGAGATGGAAGAAGCAAATGGGGAGGGAGGAGGAGGCGCATTAGGAGAGAGTGTCGACATCTTTTGACGAAAGCTCGCGTGCGCGAAGAGAGGCATAGGCTTCAACTTCGACCTTTTGCTTCACAATGAGCGCGAGAGTGTCGACACTCGGTGCTCATTTTTGGATTTTAATAATTAAGATTGCGTACATAACCCAAAAAAGAAACAAGAAAAAAGAAAAAGAGAAAAAACTTTTTGTGCTTGTATTTTGGTTCTATTATATATAGTAAAGACAGATATATAGCAACACTTTGGGAAAGGGATGGAGAATATATATCATTCAATTCATAGATTTTTAGTAACTGATTCATACATTGTAATGTGAGATTTACATATTTTTGTATTTTTTTTATAGTTCCGTGTGTGAATAATAAAATGTGAAATGGAATCAAGAATCGAAATCATTCTAATTTGTTTAATAACGACCTCATCTCACAACTTAGGTTGAACTTAAAATCCAAGTTGAAATAGAAGTATTTTCATTTTGGTCAAGTGATTGGAGTATTTTCATTTTGGTAATTGATGATGGAATCAAATACTTACAGTGTTTTAGCTTTGGAGAATTGTTGCTAGTTTGACATTCGATTAGACTGAAAAGAAGTGTATGGTTCAGACGTAACCACAATCTCATATCACCCTTTCTTTTTCAATCAAAAAATTGACAATGTAAATCATTGCTTGTAAAGAGTAGTAGATTCTGAGTTTGTACTTCTAAAAGAATATGCATTTGATTATGAGTTTGTGCTTCTAAAGAATATGCATTTACGTACATTATAATGTTGTCGGATATGATATTTGAACTCATAAGTTAATGTTTTTCTGTTCAATAATTTTATAACAAAGTTGCCTATGCATGAGATTCTTCTATTTTTAAGTTGAAGCCTGCTAATGCCTACCACCACCTTCTTTTGTTCATGTGACCGCCACTAAATATTCCATTTTTCCTTTTACAAGAAGAAAGACAAAGCTATAAACTGAGGTGAGAAGCCAATATGTTCTCAGTGGACATGTGACGTATTCAGTAAAACACTGCTGATGATGACATAGTCACATGGTGACCACCAGAACTTGGCCTCGCCTCAAGCATGAAACAGTCTCCGCGCTTTTGGTACCAAATATTTTATGGTAAGATCAGTTCAAAACTTTCCTGGTCTTGATGTGATTTTGATTTATGATAAACTTTAGAAAAGCAAAATTGTTTGAATATGCCATGCAAACTTTTCCTCTGTTTCTTACATTACATGACAATATGTGATCAACATGGAGTTAGGGTGCATCATTCAAACCCCTCTTCATCATCATTATTTCAAAGTCTTCTCCTTCTATTTGCTTTGTCCAGATGAGGAAATATCTAAAAGACAATGCCCTCCCCAGCTTTGAAATACTAGTTCATCCCTTGCAAAACACAAGGGACCCAATGGCAACTCCAAGGCCAACAATATATCCAATTTCAACACTTCCCAATCAATCTGATCATGGACAGAATTTGGAACACGCCTTCCATTGGACATTAGCGGTGGTGAAAACCCTGCAGCTATGTCATCTGCTGTCAAAGGAGGCCCCCGTAAATCCTTGTTTCCCTCGAAGGAAGATTTTGGCAATGTTGAAAACTGAGTGCTGTGTGGGATCCTGCCAACCAAGTGATTGTTTGAGAGATTCAAAAACGAGAGGAAAGTGAACTTTGCAAACTCTGCTGGAATTTGCCCGCTCAGGCTGTTCACTGAGAGATCTGATGACTCGAGTTTTCGCATGTTACTTAACGATGGTGGGATTGCACCTGTGAAAGCATTGTTGGACAAGTTGAGGATGTACAATGATTTGAATCCTCCTATCTCCTCAGTTATTTGTCCACTGAATTTGTTGCACAAGAAGTTTATCGCAGTGAAGATAGTTAAAATCTTTACTAATAAAACCATCTCCATGTCTTTGCTCACAACTGTTATTGAATCCTGATAATTAATATCATCTGATCCATCCACATCAAGAAGGTGGTTGATTTCTGAGGGGGATTACCTTGGTTTGCCAGCGTTGCCTGCCATGTTCTCAAAGATCTTCCTGGTATTTCCCCATTGAAATTGTTGTGAGCTAAGTCTATGATTTGAAGCATTGGCCAGGTGCCATGGGTCTCCAGCCATCCGATGTGTCCATAAAATTGGGATTTATCCCTGAAGCTGGTTGGAATGAAGTTCAAGCAAGCTTAGAGCAGAAGTGAGGTTTGGTAAAGGACCTTCTAAACTTGCCAGGGAGTTGCCTGAAATGTTTAAGTCTTCAAGAAGATTGAGCCTCTAAATCCAGTTTGGCACCTCACCATGAATTTGGTTCCCTGAAAGGTCTAAGTAGGATAATCTGTATTGATTTATCAAGAAGTCAGGAAATGTTCTCAAGTTGGTAGAAGTTAATTTCAGTTTATCCATTTGAGGCGAGGAGTAATATGAGAAATTGAGACCGTTATGATCGAAAAAACAAGCTGTTGTATGGAGGTTTTAGGGGAGTTTTGATGATAGGATCAGATTACCGAAGAGGTTAATAGGAAGTTTTGATATGTAATTATTTTTTGCTGTATGATATTTCCTTATGCCTCTCTCTCTCTCTCTCTCTCTCTCTCTCTCTCACCTGTAATGTTATCCTGATTGTTCAAAGAAAACATATATCAGATGGGTGTTTACACAAGAGCCATGCCCTGCCATGCCAACCCTAGTAGATTCTCGTTGGCGGAGGTTTAAGGACACTGAACATATTGGATCCAGATCATCGGCAGCAGCAAGCAACTAGTGTTCTGTAACAGAAAATGATGAGTAATATATTGTAAGTTACACAAAGAGCCATAAGAAGGTGATGACTGGTCAATTGTTACATTCTTTTTATTTCTGATATAACTGTGAAAGGGATTTGCGTCTTCTTTGCGAGTGAAAGAAAAGAGAGAATTTTTCGACCAAAAAAGAAAAGGGAGAATTTGGCTCCCGGCAATGTATAGAATTCAATTCAAGCTTGCGGCGCTTTCCTTTCCAGATGACATGTGTGCTGAAGTTTTCCATTTCAGTTGGAAGAATTTAGAGCAAAGAAAAAAGGGAGGAGGAAAATTCAATCTTAAATCATTCCCATCAACTCAAATCTTTGGTAACTAACCACAATCAACGTAGGTGGGAAAAGGAAAAACAATTGAAAAAAAGATTAAACAAAAAACTTTTAAGACGCGCTAAACACCCCTCCACTGCTAATGGTTCATCTACAGCATTCGATTGATTAGTGGGAACAGATGCGTCATGGCTCCATCCTGCCCCATCAGCAACTCCCCCGGAAAAAATCCGATTTGTTTCCAAATCATACAAATGAGGATCAGGATTACGCATATTTTCCTTCATGAGTTTGTCCCATTCTAGATAAACCCCTGTCTTCTTCACTCTCACAAAATCAACCAGAGGCCTTACTAGAATGGAGATCTTGTCTCCGCCTTGCAAACAGAGCACATCGTTTGACAATTGTCCCTGCCAAAGATAATGGTCTTCTGGTTCTCTTGAAGTTTTTACTGAGGCAAATGCTATCCTTGCGTGCAAAGCAGTTTGTTTGGTAAGATTTTTAACTGTAATGCGAATAGGACCTTGAGAATCTTCAAGTTCTGGGTAGTCTGAAGAGTAAAAGAAGCATATAGTCAACCCTTTTAAATCACGACCAGCAGGAACTTCAAAGTAGACTTGATTGTCCACATCATCGACCAACTCGAACCACTCAGGAATATCATAAATTCCATTCAGAAAAATTCCACCATATCCGCAAGAACTCCATCCCTATTTATACCATGTAGAGCCAGATTTGTATAATCATTACATTCTTATCTATGCAAGTGCATATACATTTGCGTCTGTGTGTGTGTGTGTGTGTGTGTGAGAGAGAGAGAGAGAGAGAGCGACCTGTAGGATGTTCTTCCTAAAATCAGTAGTGAGATTGGTGCAGCCTTCCATATGAATCCTTGTCATGGAGTTTAATGACTTATCCAAACCTGGAATCTGAGTGAGTTTGAGCGAGTCATTTAGATACAGTTCTCTCATATACGACATTTTTGAAAAATCTGGCATTGTTTCCAATCCTGTGCAGCCAGATGCTTTCAGAACTTTCAAACGTGTTGGCAAATCTTGGATTGCACGAAGATGTATGCAGTCATTTAAACACAAAGTTTGAAGATTTGAAAGACCACTGGAGAATAGAATTAGGCTATGAAAATCATTGCCTCTAAGATCTAAATCTATTGGGGAAATTACGCAACTGAGATCCTTATGAAAATCATTGTTGCAGTCTTCGAGATATGGGAGTTCTGAAAAGTGTTGTGATTCCGTTATGCCATTATCATTTTTGAGATCAATGGAGTCATCAGAGATATCATGGCTTGGTCCTGCCTTTTGATATGGGCGACGTTGATACCCACAAAGATCATATTCAGTCATATTTTCGTTCATAAATTTGTCCCATACCAGGCTAACACCTGTTTTCTTCACCTTTACACAATTATCTTGAGGCATTATCTGAATAAAGACTTGATTACCGTCTTGCAATTTGAGCTCGTCGTTTGATAACTGTCCCTGCCAAACATAATGATTTCCAAGTTCATAGTCATATTGTTCTGCTATATCTGTGATCCGGGCTTCAAAAACAGTACACTGGGTCAAGTCTGTAATGCTAATGACAACAGGAATTTCATTGTCCAAGTCTGAAGAGTAAACGAAGGACAAAGTTAACCCTTTAAAATTACGACCAACACTTTGAGGAACATTGAAATCCAAAATATTATTCTCATGGACACTGTCGAACCAATCAGGAATATCATCTCCATCCAGAACAATGCCACCATATCCGCAAGAAGTCCATCCCTATACCATGTAGGGTCAAATTTGTATAAGAAACACATTCCTATGCACGCATGTGTACGTGTGTGTGTGTGGTAGAAAGAGAAAGATGAGAGATAGAAGGATTAACCTGTAGGATGTTCTTCCTAAAATTAGCAGTGAGATTCATGCAACTTTCCATATGAATCCGTGTCATGGAGTTTAATGACTTATCCAGGCCTGGAATCTCGGTGAGTTTGTAAGAACCACTTAGATACAATTCTCTCATATTTGACATTTCTGAAAAATCTGGCATTTTTTCCAATCCTGTGCAGCCAGCTGCTTCCAGAACTTTCAAATTTGTTGGTAAATCTGGGATTGCACAAAGATTTAAGCAGCCGTCTAAAGATAAAATTTCAAGCTTTGAAAGACCACTGAGGCTTGGTAGGCTATGAAAATCATTGTCTACAAGATCTAAATTTTCTAAGGAAATTAGGCTCCAGAGATCATTAGGGATTGCATCCTCGGTTAGACTACAGCCTTCAAGAACTAATTCTCTTAACGAGCTTAAACCATGTAAAGAAGGGGGCAAAAGATTCGTTGATGGCGACCTTGTCACCTCACATACCCATAAAATTTCCAAGTTCTTCAATTTTACTATGGAAGATGGTATTTGTCTTATGGCTGTGTTTTCTGCTTCCAGAGTTGTCAATGATATCATGTCCCCTAAGCCATCAGCCAAGTTTTCAAATCTTGAACAACCATTAATTAGAAGAGTTTTAATAGACTTGGAATTATAGAAATTCAGTGGAAGATCCTTTAGCATGTTGCAGTCTTGAAGATTTACCACAGAAAGTCTTCCAAGATCCCCTATGGATGAATGAACCTCAGACAAACTCGTACAGTCTTCCAATATCAATTCCTCGAGACATGAGAGTTTTGAAAGGTCTGGTGATTCTTTTAGGCAATGGGAATGACTGAGATTAATGATTTTCAACTTCTCAAGAAACTGTTACACAAAATCAAAATTAAAATCCAAAAGGAAGGTTTGATACAAACATTAATGCAAAATGAAGAGAGAGTGAACATAGTGTATGTATAGAACAAGATAGAAAGTGCCAACAACTAGGTTGAGATTATTATACCTTGCAATCCTTCCAAACTATTTTGAGTTTGCTATACTGCAAGTCTAAAGCAACTAGTTTCGGTTGATTAGGAAAGTCATCTGGTATGGAGTCTAAAGGGAATCCATGCCAGCACAACCATGTTAGCTTTTTGGGGAAGATATTGTACTCTCCAGTGAGCTCTACATTGTTGAAGTGGAGTAATCTCAGTTTTTTCATATTGGTAAATGTTGCTGCACTGAAACTAGCCTTGTCAGAGCTTTGCAAATCTAGAGCAAGTCCTTCAATTGCTTCAGTTCCCTGTTAAGAGTAGTACTAAGTAAGAAAAGGGTCATTTGCATATGAAACATGATTTACAAACATGAAAGTCCATGTATGTTAGGACCTATAGTTTGTGTTGGCAATCAAAGCACATATTTTTGTTACTTTGATCTTAATGCATATATATAAAGAAATGGAAAACGAAACCGATGTAGAGCATTTATTTTATTATAGACACAGGATACATATGCTTCTCTTGCATGATGCATTCTAAAACTTACTGGGAAAGTACTTACAGATTCATCTCTCAATACATCTGTGACATCTTCGTGATTCCACAATCTACTAAATTTTTTAGGGTCATCACGGCCAGATTTTTCACGAACGATCTCTCTTCCCATCTCTCTAAGCAAATCATGCATCATCAACTCGTTTTCCTCACTAACATCTACAAGGCACCGTTCAATGAGGATAGGGATTCCTAGCGTTGCAGAAAAGCCACATCCATCTAATATTTGTGTGACATAGTCCTGGTCCATTCCAATAAAGAAACAAGATATATCAAGGAATATATCTCTGTCTGTATGGCTAGGTAGCCCGTCAAAGCTTATTCTGAGTATTTTTGTAATTGTTTCATGAGGACTTCTTTCCAATCTCTCCAATTGGCTTTCCCACTCTGATGTGGTTCTTTTATTCAGAAAAGACCCCAAAACTTCAAGTGCTAGTGGCAAACCCTGACAGTAATGAATTACACGTTTTGAGAGGTCAAGATATTCCTGATTAGGATAATCTCTTTTGAAGGCATGCCAACTGAAGAGCTCTATAGCTTCTTCCTCATCCATTTCTTCAGCGGGATACGTGCTATCCACTCCAATTTGCTCTAGCAAATGTTGATCTCTTGTTGTTATAATAATCCGGCTTCCAGGTCCAAACCAATCACGATCTCTAGCTATTGCTTTTACTTGCTGTATTGAAGCTACATCGTCGATTATGACAAGTGCTCTTTTGCAACGAAGTCTTTCTTGTATCATAGTGATCCCTACATCAACAGAACCAACCTTTATCGCCTCCTTGCTTTTCAAGATATCATTTAGAAGTTTTTCTTGCAAACCAACCAGACCATTAATGGCTTGGTTTACAATTACCTCCCTCACGTTTGCAAGGAAACTCCTACCTTCAAAGCTACGTTCAAACTTGTTATAAATGGCTTTGGCAAGCGTTGTTTTTCCAATGCCGCCCATCCCCCAAATACCAATCATGCGAACATCTTTAGAACCTGATTCAATGTCTAACTGATCACTCAAATCCCACAACCGAGAAGTAATTCCAACTGGGTGTTCGATGTCTAATTTGTATTGGCTGTGCAACTGTTTATTAACCTCCCCAATAATTTTCTTGATAAGCTCTGCTTCATGCCTGCCAATTAAACACAGAAGCAGAACTACGAATCATTCATTAGGCAACAAACTACAAATTTATAATCCTATCTGCAATTACTAAAGAACCTGTGCAAGCTCAATTATCTAGGTTTAGATCAGAGAGGTTCATTCAATTGAGGACAGAGTTCATCATGACCAGTGCTGCAATTATTGATCAACAAAGGTATGATTAAATCACAGCCTTGTCGAATCAAAATGTTTTCTTCTTATATGACAAGAGGGGAGGCCCTGGCCAAGCAGTCAAGGCAGTCCTAGGGCCCCAATTTTTATAATACCTATATATACATACCTATATTTTTATTATTTTTTAAAATCACATAATATATATACAGAGAGAAGGACCATTTAGGATGTTCACCTAGGGCCTCCTTGATATGATGGAAAAAGAAAGGGGATAGATGGTTGTCAAGTAAGGAGATGATAATCGAAGAAAATTAGTAATTACCCATTGTAAGTATTTTTAAGATCTTCCCCACACAAATCTGCAGCTTGGGTGAGAGCATTTCTCCACTGCTGTACCTTTTCTTTCTCAAGTTTACCTTCACAGATGCCCGCTTCATGTTTCTCAAATGCTTGTGCAAAACTACCAGTTTGTTTCCGGACATCTGAAGCATCAACATTATAGAATAATGGAATAACCTTTTGCCCCAATTTTTCTCTACACTCCATGATCTTCACCAGCTCATCAAGACACCAACTGGAATCGGCATACCTCTTGGAGAAGACAATTATGGAGATCATGGACCCGTCGATTGCCTGCTCTAGTTGGGTTTTTATAAATTCCGTTCTTCTTAATTCTTTGTCATCAAGAAAGGCGTTGATACCGGCATCAGAGAATGCAGCATGGAGGTGGCCCGCGAAGCCCTTGCGTATGTCTTCCCCTCTAAAGCTCAAGAACACTTGGTACATCCAACTTTTCGAGGAGGAGGATGAAGAGGAGGCATTGATACCGGCAAAAGAAAATGCGGCGTTGAGGTTGCCGGTGAAGCCCTTGCGTGCGTCTTCACCTCCAAAGCTCAACAAACTCGGAACTTCCAACATATTGATAAGGAGGATGGTGAGGATGAAGAGGAGTCTTTATGGGCTTTCTTGGCATCCATTAATTGATACTGCAGAACTATCGGACAGTGGTTTCATAATTTTTTTTTCTTTCTGGGTAGTGGTTTGTGTGTTGCAACTAGATGAATAAAAGTATTGAAATACAGTCAAGGTCCTCAAACGTTTCAGTCAACAAAAGCAAAAGTTCACAAGCGGAGAGAGAGAGAGAACATAATATCTTTTTGGAAGAAGAAGTTCCCAAGCGGGGCCGCTTTCTGTGGCTTCTGGCTACACGATCTGCCGGACGGCAAAGATTGAAGGTCCGGAAAGTGCAAGGAGGTAAGTTGGAGAATAATTCCTATCAAAAAAGAAGAAAGACACGTCACAGAAGGCAATGAAATAAGTTGGAGACTAGTCTCTTCTCACGTACTTTCGCGCCTATAGATGCTTTTTTTTAAAAAAAAAGTTAAATTATTTTAGAATTAAAAAAGATAATGAGTAGTTGTGATTCATAAAAATAAGATTTATTATCTGATTTTTCTTTTAATTTTAATTTTTTTAATATGAAAAAGTGTGAATTTACTATATTATCATCATTTAATTAATAATTTTAATTCTTAATATTTTCATTAACTAATGGTATTTTCTGGTATTTTGAATGTTTCATCATTCTCTGTCTTTTGCTTTAGATATATAGATGTACTAGCCATGTATAACTCTAAGAAATTTGTGTATGTTCCGGGTACACCATAAAATACACATATATATAATATAGATTGATCCGAAATCTGATTCATATCCAATATAGCACCTATGGGTACATAAGAAATGTATTGAATCGATTCTTTTTAATGAATAGATCCGATCACAACTTCGAATATGGAATTCAAAGGGATCAAATAGAAAATGATACTTTCTTTCTTTTTTGGTCGAAAAGATCTTATATTCAAAGCACAAGAACCCCTAAACAAGAGTCTCACGCCTATACAAAGGAAAGATAAGTCTGTCCATGCAAGGAAACAGACAAAACATAGAGAGTCCAGAAACCAACCAATACATTTAGACTGATCAAGAAGAAAAGCGCTAGAAAGACAATCCAACCATAAGGATGTCAAAACGATTCAAGACTGGTCAACAGTCAAATTAGGAAATGATACTCTGAATCATAGAACTATAATGAAATATACGATCAACCAACATTTATCAAATTTGAAAAAGAGTCAGAAGAAATGGTTCAATCCTCTTATTTTTATTTCTTGAACTGAGAGATCCGTGAAGAAAGTAAAAGAATCTCAAGCCCTCTTAAATTAAAAATAAACTTGGGTATTGGCCCTTCCAAATTGTTGAAAGACAAATCAAGGGCGCCTAATCGGTAAGAAGAGACATTAGAAAAATCATAGAACTGATTAGAGAACTTATTGTTGGAAAGGGCAACTAATTCCAGCAATGGAAGAGAAAACATGGACAATGGAATGCCTCCATCGAATAGATTGTAACTGAAGTCAACAAACTCCAAATTGATAAGATTTTCCCAATGAATGGAATTGATGGAACCGTTAAACTTGTATTGATCCATAGAAGTTGGAGGGTGAAAGATGCATTGAGGACAGCATTTTGAGGTTGCCAATCGAGTCCGGCAATAACCCTGAAAACTTTGTGTCACTCAGGTCCAGAATTCGAAGAGATCCGTGTTGGAAAATTCTGGTAAGGAACCTTGAAGCTTTGGATTGTCAGACAAGTCAATAGTCTGTAGTGTAGAAATCTGGAAGATCTCTTGGGGGGGAAATGTTCCATACAAACCACATGAAATGAAGCTCAAGGAAGTCAAGCTTGAAAAATTGGCAAAGAATGCTGGAACTGGAAAAGAAGATATGACTATAATCCAATTGAATCACGGATAGAGATGTAAGCTTAAAAAAGGGACTGATCAAAAGGGCCTGAAATAAAACTGCTGGACAAGCTCAATACCCTCAGGTTTGGAAGTGAAGATGAGATTACTTTGCAGCATTAGTCCCTTGTGGTACTGATATGTCTACATGATCAAGATATAACTCTTCAAGTTCTGTGAGGTTATGAACCAACATGCTTAAATTGGGGTTCTCAAGTTTTAACTGATCTCTATAGTAATTCTCAAAAATGTCAAGAACAGTCAGCCTTGTCAAGTGTGAGACCTCTATTGGAATTTGCCCGAAAAAGGCATTATGGGATAGATTTAGATACTTCAAATTCGTAAGCTTTTCCTATTGCAGATGGAATTTGAGAGCGAAAAATTTCATCAGCAGCATATTTGAGGCTTTCAAGGTGTTGAAGATCTGCTGGAGTTTCGAATTCCAAGCACAACAGATTCGCCACTGATGTCAAGACCAACTGCGTAGCCACTTTTGCTTCAAGTTTCTCCGACCCAAGAACAGCAGCGGTACTTGAATTCCAAGTTACAAGCTTGGAGGAAGCAGAAGAATCAAATGTAAGGCTTTGCTTCAAGCGGAGCAATGCTGCTTGGTCATCTTCATTGCACTTACTTCGGACTAAATTAACAGTTATCAAGAATAAAAAGAAATGCAGCAAAACTTTCATCATGGATTAAACTTTTAACAGAAGAGATGGATGAAACTGCAGGAGCTGTTTGTGGTGGTTTTAAATCTCATTGACACATAGGCCTTTTGGCTTCAATTTAAAACCTTTTCCCCGTCTATCTGGGACCAAACAAACAAAGCAATACAAACAAAACGTGACCATGCAAACAGAGCAAATAGATTAAGGTCAAAGCCAAAGCACAAGAGCAAACAGCTGAAAACCAAAGCCAAAACAAGCGAGACCAGACAAAGGAGTAAAGTAAATCCAGCAAACATCGTACACTGAATTGTTCAAAGTGACAAACTTTCTTAACGCATAAATTTCCATGTAATTATGAATGGAGCTTGTTCTGTTAGAACCGTACAACAAAACAACTTTATAATAAGATCCAATACATCATCAAATTCCCTATAAGCTACTAAGCTGCAAAAAGTAAAGATAATGTTTTGTAGTAGTTAGATTTCTTGTAAGAGTTGACATTTTTTCTTGTTAGGCTCGTTTTGACACTAATATCTTTTTTTTGGCAAATGGGGACTTTCATGAACTTGGTCGACAACAAGTTTCATATCTTTTTGGTTACTCATCTGTTCATAGGTTGTATTTGTCGACACTCGTAAGAACAACTCAACGCGCAGATATTCGAGTAACAAAAGAATTTACTTGGTTATTGAGAAGCTGATGAATATCCCCATTTGCTCAAAAAAGATAATGGCATCAAAAAGACCCTGCAAATAAACATCAACTCTTATAACAAATCTAATCAAAATAAAAGTTTACTTTCATTGAAGTTTTAGAGCGCAAGTCCAAATTTCGTCTTCTTTTTGGTACATTGGGGGACAAATCTCGAAAAATCTCTGCAGACTTCACTGGTGGCGTTAGGCTTGGACAGTATGGTGTTGGAGAAAGACAGGCAGTTGTGCTTTAATTTGGAACCCAACATTTTCATCATTTGGATTTGCAAAACATGCACCCAACCTAGAACAACTGTTTCAGTAAATTGCATAAACACCCAGATTTCAAAATCAGTTTTTAAGGTAAACTTTCGTTTCTTGGAAACAAAACAGTGAAGATATGTAATAGAACTGTACCTCAATTGAAGAAGACAGACCAACGGTCAAAGCTCCAGTTGGCCATGCGAAACCACACACACCTTCATCGTAATTAACAGCAAAAGTTGTAGGGGGGATGAAGATAGAATGCATATGAGTTATACGAAAACGAGAACTAGGATATATTTATATAAATAATAAAAAACTAATTTAGTGTGTTCAAGCAGAAGAACAGAGCAGTGATATGAGTCATGAGAAAATTATTAAGCTAGTGTGTCGACATTATTTGACGAACAGAACTTAATTGAGGGAGGAGGCGGCTTCTGTTTTGGCCTTTTGCTTCAGAACGAAGGACACCGTGATGACACTTTTTTCCCATGGTGTGCTAATCGTGCACTGCATGGTACATGTGATGGATGAATCATTTTGGGTTTGGGCTCGACTTGGCCCGAAATGAGCCAATTTGTTTAACACTTGTATGTATGAAAAGATAAGTATGACTAGACTAAGAGTTAGTTGTTGCGGTGTAGTTTCATGGTTCGGCTAATAAGTTTAGTTAGATACATCAACATCGATCCATTGGCATGGGCATGTAGCCCATAAGCTCTTAGAGCCCTCCATGTATGGCAGAGATTCTGTACACATCTGGAACTTGCAGTGCTGCTAGTCCCACAGAGGATGGCTTTGACTATGATCAACCATATGGTTAGGGCTTGCAAGGCTTGCTTGTAGTTGTGTTGCCGACTGTTTGAGTAAATAAAGTTGGTACAGGCTTAATAATGGAGACGGAAGAGGAGGAGGAGGAGGAGGAGGCCCATGTTACCATGTTAGATGCTGGGTTGACATTTTAATTTAATGGACAATGGCGGCCATGCCCATTGCCCATGTTGCTCTACTTTAGGAAATACTTTAAGTATACTGGTCTTGCTATTGCCCATAAAATCCCTTAATCACTAACCACAATTTTGAGTGACAATAAATTCATGTTGGTTGGTACTACCAAAAACTCAAATTATTGCACAATTTTAGAGACCTTAATTAAGTAAACACTTTATAAAAATGGTTTGATACCTATGCATAATATTTTTCTTTTCAATACAATCGATATTGAGAGAGGAAGAATTGAATTTGAAATCTCGAATGCTGAAGTAAACACTCTTAACCACTTGAGCCATAATTCATTTGCTCGTGTGCACGATATTTTCGACTGTGAGTTTGTGTTTAACCATGGTGCCAAAGAGAGGGAAACGGCTTGTAAAGAAATCAAATTTTTAAGTGCTTGTATCAATCAATTATAGGTGGAAATGATTGTCAAACGTTCACTTCACTTGATCAACTAAAAGTCCAAGTCTATTGATCACTTATTTGTTAAGCATGAAAATATCTATCACATGAAGAGGAATTTTGACAAGCATATTTTGAACGGTTATATTTGCATCATCGTAAATCAGTATCACCCAAATCAAAGGATTAGAGATTGGAGAGAACCCTTGATGAAGGGCAATACTAGTATCAAACGGTGCCGTTTCACAGAGACAAGCAAATGCAATCTTGCTCCCCGTCGGTGCTGTCACCTTCAGTTACCCTGCCTTTATTTAATCCAACCACAACCTCACATTTTCTCACAACCACCTCTTCTTTTCTGTCTGTTTCTCACACAGGACCCATCACTCACCGCCACGTGCCCTCGATATCATAAAAATAAAATAATATATGTCAAAAATTTCCACAGAAAATACCAAAAACCTGCACAAGATGATGAAAATATCCACCCAAATAAAGGAAAGAGAAGCAGAGAGCTTTCTATATCTGCCCTTCTTCTTTTTCACCTCCATTTTCATTTTTCCCCATCCTTCTCTCTGTGTGTGTGTAGAACACTGTAACCACCAAAAGCCATGTTTGAGGAATCTGTGTCAATTTGGGCTTCCATGAACAGCTGGTTCACTCCAACTGTTTTCTTTGTCCTCCTCAATGTCATGATAGGCACCATTGCCATTGCTTCAAACTTAGGCACCAACCAGAAACACCAAGACCCACAAAACCAGCAGCAAGGCCTTGCTAGATCTCCATCTGTGCTGCAGAGGATCAAATCCATCAACCTCTACCACTATAGATCCCCAGAGCCACACACCAACACCTTTGAGAAAAACCCAGAAACTACTGAGAGCACCCATTATGCTTTTAGGCACACCCAGGAACCGGAGCAACCCCAATTCACCAGATCCCCTTCTTTGCTACAGAGGCTCAAGTCCATCAACTTCTACATTCCACAAGATTTTTCCACCAACCCATCACAACCCTCCACCAACCCGTCACAAACCATCACCACCACAACCACTCTGCACAAAACTCAGGAGCCAGAATCCCATTCTGAACATGACCAGTTCCAAGATGAAGACCATTTTGAAGACCATGAACACACAGAAAGCTCAGAACCAGAATCAGAAGAAGAGCAGAGCCTGGATGAGATTTACAGTCAGCTGAAGCCTCTACAGGACCATCATGTGAGCAGGACGAAGTCAGACACCAAACCAGCATCCGGAGAAGTACCCACTAAGCTCCCAAAGAAGATGAAGAAGTCTGCGAGTTCCAAGTCTGCATTTGGTCATTTTAAAGAAGATGATATTGTGGAGATTCGCCGGCCAGCGACTGTGAGGGAGAGGAAAGCTAAAGTGACAGAGGATGAGGAGGTGGATGCCAAGGCGGATGATTTCATCAACAAGTTCAAGAACCAGCTGAAGCTGCAAAGGTTGGATTCCATCATAAGGTACAAGGACATGCTCAATAGAGGGACATAAGTGAAGGAAATTCAATTATTTTTCCATGGTGGGTTTTTAACTTTATGTTAGTTTGGGTTGGATTGATGAAGATTAGGGTTTACTGGATGGTAATGTGGATCTACTCACTACTGCTTTGTGTTTGTTGAACTATTTGTCCAAATATTGCCCTTTGTTTATGTCTTCTAGTTCAATCATGTGTTTAGCAAAGCAATAGCTATATCAGAGCAGGGCAGCCTCTCATTTTCTGTGATTTGAGGGGTATATTGGTAAATGGGTCATGCCTGAGGAAGAAAAACCCATTTGCAGCAGTCGTAGAGATTGTATTTACCGTTTCCCACTGGTTATTGTTTGTTTATTTTTCAAGAGCAAAAGAAGAAGAAGAAAAAAATCCTAAGCCCTTGTTATGATGGGACATTTTTGGCTTGTTTGGAAGAGTTATTTTACTTGCTTTTTCTATTTTTCATAAGAGTGAATTATTTTTCCGTATATGCCTGAGAAGGACTTGTATGTCACGGGATAGCACTGTATTAAAAGAGTGAATCACACTCCGTGATGTTGAATCTTTAATATGCGGAGCGGAATCCATTGGTTGGAGATATCTGAACAGTGTTATCCCTTCACACGTTTTTCACGTAAATTGGTAATGAGGAAGATAGCAAAGAGCCAAGCAGTGTCTTTGGTGTTGATACTGCCATGTTTGTTTTTGCTTCTACCCTTCCATGTGTTGTCTGGGGTCTTGTGGTGGAAGGAGCGGTAGCTGGAATTTGGTGGTTGCAGTTGCAGGCAGTCTTGTCTTAGCAGAGTGGGCTCATTTTTACTGATAAGAGTGGTGGTATATGGACTTATTTCTATGCTGCCCACAGGATGTATAGAAGGGTGGGGCAGTTTGGTCAAATCACATTGGCTCTCCTCCTTTGTGCTTATCCGTATGTTGAGGTGCTTGGTTGTGTTGTGCTGCACGTGGGGGGATTTTTTTGTGTATCGTTTGTGTAGGGTTCTTCCAAAATTAACATAAAATGTGGATACATAATTACTGGGGTTTACCGAATTGAACCTTTTAATGTCTCTCAGTCTTGGTTGTGGTCCTCACATCACATTATCAACGTTTTTTTCTTCTTCTTTGATGTCTGAATCATGAAAGGGACCACATTATAGGGTAAATTTAAAACATTACCTTTCATTTCATTCACTTTTGTGCAACATGGGTCCAAATGTTCCTTTTTTCTTTACTGCTTAATCAATTAGGGTATTATAACATATTCTGAAATAGTTATCATGCACTCTTAACAACTTTTGTCTTCATTGTTGCGTGCAAATAGTCGAGATGATTACGAAAACGAATATGAATTTTAGGATGAGATTTTGAAGTACCATCCTCGAAAAACAAAAGGAGGATGCTCTAATTGTTGCGGAAGCAACGTCTTGTGTGTGGATCTGAGATGCCTTTGCGTCTAAACAAAACTTTTTCAAGTAGTACTCAACTTGATGATTATCAGAATAACAAAGTTGTTAAAATCAATCAAACCACAACCATAAAGAAAAAAGACAAGTTGAAAGTATTTATTTACTTGGGGAGTATCACTTGTATGATTTTTGTCGGAACACAGACGGACGATAGAAGATTAGGACATGTCACATCATATGGATAAAAATGTAGTAAGTGTAGCATTACTCTCTTTTTATAGCGTCTACGGTCTACTTTGTTTTTGGGCCATATATAATAGTTGGTTCATTGGAGACCACTTAAGTTTGAAGAATAATTTAAGGATATTTTATTTGAGATGCTTTTATATTTTGTCTTTCGTCTAGAGATTATGTTGTCTTGTTTGTGGTACATGCGATGCAAGAAAACAAAGTTTTTGGTTGATGCATCTCAACCACAGCTTATAGCAATTTAGTCCTATAGCAAACACCTATTCAGTCGCAAATGTGGACTCTTCACTCTATATTACAATGTTGATATTTTTTTAATGCAATGAGAAAAGAAATTACTACTACTTAAATTCTCTCACAATCATCATAACAAATTTTGACGACCATAAGGATAAGAGCACAAAAAGTAAAGATTTCAAACACGAGATTGAGAATAATGGTGGCCTAAAATTGCTACTATATTTACTTTGAGAAAAATGTGATGAATCTTAAAACCTCACAACTAGTTCAAAAGCATCATAACAAGTGAAGCAATTCGTCAAAGAATGTTAGTAGTTTTTTGTGCGATAAGAGCTGATTTTCTCACTTCTCTTTTGTTCACTTACACTTATTTGTTGGAAATTATATGTTATAGTAAAAAAATATTTTAAAAAAAGTTATCCATTTTTTATTTTCAGCTGTCTTGTTTTGTTTTTTCATTTATTGTTATTTTATACATGAATCTATGTTTACTCTAAAAAGTTCTCCATCATATTTCTGCCTTGTAAATATGAAGAGACCCAAAATTTCCCATCAAAATCCAGTTAAAACTTGGATTTGAGATTGAGAGGGTGAAAAAGGAGTGCACCTTTTTTTTTGGTCAATAAAAGGAGTGCACCTGGGACCTGCGCTAAACAAGCGGGAGATGGTGAGTGAGTGGCGCCACTGATTAGTAGATTTGTAAAATATGAGCTGTTACTTTCATATATCACAGGCCATTTTCCACCGTCGATTATCACCACGATTATCAGTAAATGTCGCAGATTACAGTTCACAAACCACGCATGTAAGTGCTTAAACTTTTCAGTCCCATTTTGAAATGATCATCAGAAGTTAAACCAAATCCAAAATCAAAATCAAAACGCAAAAGAAGGTTGGCACTACAACAAAAACATTCGAATATTTAGAAGAAGAGGAAAGGCAGTGACACACACAGGCAGAATAGGAGTGACCTTTCTTTACAGAGACACAGAGAGAGAGAGAGAGAGAGAGAGAGATGGTGTGGATGGCAACTCAAAAGCTTGCAATTAAAGGGATGAGAAGGCGTATATGGGGAGGAGCGTTTCTGTGTTGGGTTTTCTTAATGTTGGTCACTCCCAAGATTTCTCACTCCCCCAAACGCCATCTCTACGCTGACATGCGCAATTTCCTTGGTACCCAAATTTGAAAGTTCATCTCTCTCCTTTTCTCACTGTTTATGTATGTTTTGTTTGATTCTGTTATCTGGGTTTTTCGTAGGAGTGCCTAATACATTGAATGTGATCACCAATTTCCCCTTTTTGGCTGTTGGTGTTCTGGGTTTTGTTCTTTGTTGCCAAGGGGGCCTTTTCAACATCAGGTTCTGTACTTCTGCATTGTAATTACTTACTTTGTATAATGATATCTTTCTTCTAGTGATTTCAGAGGAGTTGATTTTGATTGGTTTTGTTTGGCAACGGGTTGGTGTCAGTTTGCCTGGTGAAGTTTGGGGTTGGGCACTATTCTATGCTGGAATAGCAGGGCTGGCTTTTGGGTCTGCTTATTATCATTTGAAGCCCGATGATAGTAGAGTAACGTGGGACACCTTGCCGGTTAGCATTTCAATCTCATTCAAGAGCTTTCGTTTCTAGATAACTACCTGTGCAATATGCACTGTTTGTTTTTTGGTTTTTGGAGATAGTTTAAAAAAAGAAGAGAGTTTACTATCGATTCTATAAAATTCAAGACCAACAAAAACATAAGTGTTATCTTAACTGTTCAATCAAACTCTCGCTCAAAAGGGAATGTGAATGTGATGCAAATTTTTACTTGAAAGCAGATTTGCCTACTTTTTTAAAGCAAAAAGAGCGTGAGTGAAAAAATATTAATAAAAATATTACGGTACATGGTTTTGTTGGCAATCAAGTATCTCGATCCTAATCATGTACTGCCTTTTGTTTATTTCAATTGTTGAAGTAGATTCTGAATTGCAGATGATGATTAGTAGATTCTGAATTGCAGATGATAATTGCATACTCCTCTCTTTTCTCTAGTTTTATAGTGGAGAGAGTGGGAGAGAGGATCGGTTTAAGTTGTCTATTTGCACTCCTTTTCATTGCTTTTCTTAGTACTGCATATGACAGGTTAGTTTTGTATTTTCTCCTCTCTCTTCCTGTGTTAAACTCTTAATATTGGAGGTACGCATGTGCTTTTTACTGAATATGGTTCACTAGTTGGTTGCAGAACGTATAATGATATCAGATTGTACATGATATTCCAGTTGATTCCATGTATAGCAATTCCAGGAATGTGCTTTGTGTTTCCACCCAAATATACTCACTCAAGATATTGGCTTTGGGCCGGAGGTACGTCATATTCATTAATAATCTTTGTTTTTTTTAAGAACATGCTGTTCCATGCACAATTGAAGTACAATAGAAATGGTCAATTGATTCCTCTGTAGCTGTAGCTTATTAGAATATCTTAACAAGTACACACTGGGTGAATTCCTTCAAAGTCATTTCCCTCTCTTTTTGGGCGAAGGAAATATTTTTAAAAGTAACTTTCACAATGGATGGTCCAGAATACGGCTTCAGAATGTTCTATGTTTATTGTTTTGCTAAGGAATTCCACCAATGACCATTCCTATCCCATGAGAATGTTGGACTATGCAAATTATAAAAGCAATTGTTTACAGGGGTTTACCTTCTCTCCAAATTTGAAGCTGTTGCTGACATGAAAATATACCATGCAAATCATTACATTATCAGTGGGCACTCTTTGGAGCATTTGTGTTTAGTGATGGTCCCTGTTCTGCTCGGTATTATGCTCATGCATAGAAACATTAAGTGTCAAAGGTACTTTAGTTTTGCATTTTATTGAACCTTCTCATTGTAGTATGTTCTGTTTGAAATAGAAGGTTAACTTGTTTGCCCACAGTTTTGGTCTTAAATTGATTATCCAATGTTTCTGTTTTTGTATGATGTAATTGGAATTTATTGCTGGAGAAATTCTCTCTTACATATTTGTGGGCTTGGGCTTGATAACAGAATAGGTGCCATTAAAGAATGCTCATGAAGTAGGCAAGGCAGAGATGATGATGACATGTTCTGTGCAGCGGCTACTGGATGCTCGAAAGATTTCTGTAAATGAGGAGTCATTGGAGGTAAAGAGTGATCTGTAGTACTCTCCAATGTTTAGTCAAATATGTCTCTGCCATTGAGCAAATTAGATTAATCAATTTTAACTTGGATAAACATGTCTCCCCCTTTTCATGAACTGCTTTCTTCTGCTGGCTGGCCTGTCCATTACAGATTGTAAGAAAAAGTGATTAGCTTAATAGGGCATAGTTTAGCTGGAGTTGAATCACTTGATTAAAGATTGACTTAATTATAAACGGCCAAAGAAGATTAGAACATTATTTTTGTTGGATATTGAGAGTGCAATGATTAGATTCCACAAATTCCTCCTCTATTATGCTGATAATGTGGATTTATTTCAGCGAGAATCAGAGGGAAAAATTTAAATTACATATATTAGCTTTATGGCACATGTATGGCACAAATTTTCTCACATGTATATTATGGTTGTTTTGGACAATTGTGGTCATGGTCATGTATCTAACTAAATATACTCACATGTATGCATGTGCATGAGGAACAAATGCATGTCTGCTATCATGTGATCATATGTTCTAGTATTCAAATGAACATTTTATTTCTGAAAAGCTATTGGCTGGCGGAAAAAGGCATTTCCAATTAGTTTTGCAGCGTCATCGTATACCTTAATTATTATTGTTATGTATGGTAAACTGGCGTCAAGCAGCCCAAGCCAACACATTTCTATTTGAACCAAAATTTAAAGTTGGTGGCCCATCAGTATCAAACCTATCTTGGCAAAGCCCAAACTAGAAAAGAAAGAATGAATATGACATTGACAACTTTTCACTTCAACCATTCTGTTGCTTAAATCAGATTATATACTAGGGTTGAGTCAACATCAACTTCAACTTCAACTTCAACTATTCTTCGCAAGTCCTCCCCACAAGCAAGCGCAGACTTGAATAGAAAGATAAATGCTGTGCTAAAAAAATAAGCATTATGACACTGCTACATGCCTCTAATACCTCTTTTGGATCACGATCTTGTTTTGCAGCATGTTAGACAACCGGTCAATCGGTATACACTGCTGATCAACCGGCTTGAAGTTTTTGCTCTTAGAATTCCAAGTAACCAGTCTAGATTGCCAAACCCCCTTTCAGCTTGGGCGTGGGTGACTTGTGAAATATTCACATTCTGGCAAGAATCCCATGAAAGGCTAGTACTAGTTATAGGACCTATCAGATGTCAAAGACTCCCAAGTCCCAAAAGCTGGTATCTGAAACTGATGGAAATTTCTGGGCAGTGTACATGACCAAAGTGGGTGCTGAAATTAATACAGCAACATATCTGCAACTCAAGTACAAAATCCTTCATTGCCATCCAAATTGGGTGGGATTATTATCCCATTATTGTCACTCATTTAGATGCTAATAATTTTTTTAAAAGAAAAGGCTTCCAACCTCGAAAGCAACATTGTTAATTGGGTTCATAATTGACTTAGGAGTCAAGTTAATGCAACCACTAAGCCACTGACCACCAAAGATTAGTTAACTAATTACTGTGACACCTGCATCAAAGTCATAATTTTAATGAATAAATACTGTTTGTTTACCTAGAGTCGTCGGTGGGGTTCTATTTGCTTTAATTGGCCTTGCTTCCCTGTCCATCTTGGCACCCATACTAGTACATACATTCAACCCTATATAAAAAAAATACAGGAAATAAAATGATCTTACCAACCAAATTGGTAAAAGGAAAAGGGTCCCATAATCCCATTTTAATATTTTCTTTTTAATTCCAGATTATAAATCGAAACTTCGCGTAAAATTATTCGGTGGTCATTAAAGTGTGATTTTCTGGTTCCTTATCACCCACCCTCCCCTAAATACACGTTCATGACATACTTAGAAATAGCAATTATGTCTTTTAATAAGGAAATCATGAAAATGGAGGGAAATAAAAGAAGAATCTAGCAACAACATGGAAGTTTTTTTAAAAAGGACTGGAGCCCACATTTCTGACAATTCACTCCATCACATGTGGACCATGCAAACGAGATCACATATTCTCAGACATCACAAAGAAGACTCAACTATGAGGAGGGAAAACACTTATATGAGACGGAAATAACACTATTTTGTTATTTTTAGCTAATAACGGTATGCTATACGTGATAATCTTTTCACATGATAATTTGTGATTAATTAGAAATAAGTTTTTCTTGAAGAGGTGACTCAATTTTTCGTATCTTTTTTTATTCATTATTTTAATTATTTTTCATTTATTGATTAGGTAGGCTTAAGTCGGTAAGCTTTTTAGAGCTAGTGCTTACTAATTTACCGGTGTAGAAATTCACAGGAAAGAGCCTTCACACACAGAAAAACATTGGGTGAGTTGGAAGCATCCCTTTTCTGGTTCCTCCGTCTCTTTCCTTTTTTCTCATCCCTCTCCTTCTTCTCTCTCAAAAACCTCACAAGTTCACACCAATTCACAACCTCTCTCTCAAATCCAAACCCAACCCATTTCTCAAAATGACAGACAGAGTCTACCCATCTTCCAAACCCACCACCAATGGCGGCGCCGCCGTGCCCGCCGCTGCTACTACCACCGCCGCCACAGCCAACCCATCAAACACCAAGCCCCAACTCCGGCAACCATACCGCCCACAACCCCAGTACCGCCACCGCCGGCACCGCAGGAGCAACTGCCACTGCAACTTCTGCTGCTGCTGCTTCTGGTCCATCCTCATCATCTTAGCCCTCGCCCTCCTCACCGCCATAGCCGGCGCCGCGGTCTACATCCTCTACCGTCCTCACCGCCCTGAATTCACACTCACCTCCGTCCGCATTGCCAAGCTCAACCTCACCACCTCCTCCGACTTATCCACTTCACACCTCACTACCCTCTTCAACCTCACCCTCTCCTCCAAAAACCCTAACAACCACCTCACCTTCTCCTACGAGCCCTTTGCTCTGTCTCTCTCGTCCAGCGACGTCCAAATCGGAAACGGGTCGATCCCGGCTTTCACGAGCGGCACCAAAAACAGCACCTTTTTTCGCTCCATTTTGTCGACCTCTCAGGATCTCGACGTCGAGTCGGTGAAGTCTCTGAGATCGGATCTGAGGAAGAAGACCGGGGTGGCGTTGAAGTTGCAGATGGACACCAAAGTGAAGGTGGCGATGGGGAAGTTGAAGAGCAAGAAGGTGGGCATTAGGGTTACGTGTGAAGGTATTAAAGGGGCTGTACCTAAAGGCAAGTCCCCGTCGGTGGCTTCGGTTGCTAACTCCAAGTGCAAGGTTGATCTTCGGATCAAGATCTGGAAATGGACCTTTTAATTAATTGTTTTCATTACTTCAATGCAATTTTTTCTTTCTTTCATATAATGGGTTTTTCGAGGGGGTGCTTTGTAAACTTTTGAGGAGGATTAAAAGATCATGAAATTGGTGTTACAAGAAAAATTCAAGTTGATACAAGTTGGGAGTAGGTTTAAGTGCAAATTTGGGGTTCAAATTAGAATTCCTCTTTTCTTTTTTTCTTTCTTCTTCTTCCTTGATACTTTGGTGATGTAAGTGAAGTGAATTTGATTATTTTATGGCAATGCATTCTGATAATAATCTCTCTTTCTGCTACCTTCATATTATTTTTCTGTGTAATTTGCCTTCAAAGCTTCAAATTGTGTAGCAAGTCACTCTGCATAATTTTCAGAGAAGGCCAGGAGCAGAGGATCACTACATGTCTAGTTGGGCTCAATTGGTTAATTGCATTTAAGAAAAATACAGGCCGTTTCGTTTTGCCTTTTCGAGTATGATAGTTGTAAAAACAGAGCAGGAAATGCAAGCTGGTTTTACTTTGCTCTTTTAAGTATGGCTTTTTGGTTCCAGATTTTCCAGATTCCAATAGAAAGAAACCATGTTGAACAAAATACCCAGAAAGAAACCATGTAGGGGTAAAACTACACTAACTATTTGGGAAATGAAAAACAAGGAGAAAAATACAGAGCTCTGAGCTCTACCGATCCAATAGAAAAAGGGGTTGTGAATTTTGTGTCCTCGTTATCAATTACGATGAGTTTTACACAGAATCACACATAGTGACGACGACCAATGTAGCTGCTCTCTCTGATCTCTTTCAGTCTTTCACTTGATAAGTGTGAGTTTTGCTGGTCCACGGTATTTAAAATTAAAACCCTTGTTCCCTTTGCATTGATTTACTCGTGCCACTCCCACTTGTTAGTAATACTATAGCATACTAGAAATCTAAGGCACTCACATTACATCATCCCAGTTTCATTGTCCTATTCTTCCTGTTTTGTTTCTACTCGCATCACCGATGAAAGAGGAGAGTGATAGAAAAAATAAGAGAGTAATACAACGAGAATAGAGAAGTATTTCTCGTCAAAGTCGTACCCTATATACTTTGGGACCAAAAAGATAGAGGTATGTGCTGCATTCATTTTCTCCCTCCAAAAAATGAACATGTAATAAGGGAAGTAAAATGTTGATCATAATAAATAAAGCTCTCTCAATTGAATTGATTTGAAGGGACCATAGACTAAAAAACTAATGATAAAATGTTGGCACACTTAGTGGGATTTTTCTAAGTGGAAGGCATGATGGTGATAGTGGCGATGATAGATGGATTAAATTCGGGTGCACGTGGCTTCCTGTGGTGTTGTTGGTCTGGGTTGGTTCACAGCAGGGGGGCAGTTGGAATTTTAGTCAGAAGCTTTATAGGCTCCTCTCCTTTTCTTTTCTACGCACAAAGAGAGAGTGAGAATTGGGAAAAGTCTTATTCAGATTTCATGGGATTGCCACCAAAACAATGGAAATTCAGATTTAATTCCATTGCTTCATTCACACTATTTCCTCTTTATTCCTTCCTTATTTTCCCTTCTTCTTCTTCTTTTGTACTAAATATTGATAGTAATAATTGCTCTGCCTGCATTTACATTTTGGTAATCTTGATTAGCAAAGTAATTTAGTTATAAAAAAAGATTAGTGAAGGATTACGCAATCACTGTGGGCCCGACCGAAAAAGGGTTAAAATCGGCCCCGACCGGCCGAAGTGCCAACCCATTGAAATTCATGTTCATGAGATTACCTTGTAATCGGGATGCCTTAAAAGGTGCCGACCCATTAAATTCTATAACTAAATAAAAATTTGACAATTCTTTGACTGTCGGCTGCTAAAAATGGGCTGGCCTAGTACAGCATCAAACGTCAAATTGGGCTGGATCGGATCCTTTGGACATTAGGAATTAGCGGGTCCAAACTCCCACCATTATGTATTTTTAAAAATACCCATCTTAATGTACAGGAAGGAAGTTCGAATTCAGGTTGACGAACACTGTCTCGATTAACTGACTTAACCCACATTACTCCACATTATATTTTTCTTAATTAATTGTATTACCAAAGTATGACACATCCTTCCTTGGATATGATAACATAATACTCATAATATTCTTACTTAATCAACAAAATTCATTACTAAAATTGAAAAAGACACTACCCTACTCCTACTCCTACTCCTCATCATACCAGTAATAAGTAGACAAATTAAGAAACGCGTTTGCGCCATTAATTGCAACCAAGAAACGTCGTCGTCGCTTTCAACACTCACTGCCAGCAGCACCCTCGCTAGCTAAAGCTAATACCACCAAAACCACTCTCTGTCTTCCTCCTAAAAACGTTTTGTCGCCACCGTTCTCTTCTCAACCAAAATCCCCCACCCACAACCAAATTTACACAGATTTAGCCACTCGCCCACGCCAATGGCTACAACCAATTGTCGTTTAACCCAACGTCTCTTAACGGCTAGTTACTGACGGTAATTAACAATCTTATCTGGCCTTCTTTTTCCGTTCCCTTCCCCTTCATTTTCTTTTTTTCCGCAACTTTCTCGAGAATCAGACGGAAAACAAACATGTCGCCGAAGCTGAAGAATTTTCATCTTCTCTCTGCCTTCTTGTTCTCACTCTTCCAATTATTCTTCTTTCTTTCTCTCTCTAACCCAGAAACCACCGCCTTGCTGGCATTCAAAGCCTCCACCGACCCCTTCAATTCGCTCTCCTCCTGGATGGCCTCACCCGACCCGTGCTCCGGCTCCTGGCTCGGCGTCACATGCGACCCGGAGACCCGCCGGGTCACCCGAATCGTGCTCGAGAACCTCAACCTGACCGGGGCGGCTGAGCAACTCAGCCAACTCGACCACCTGAAAGTCCTGAGCCTCAACCACAACCTGCTCTCCACCTCCCTCGACTTCTCGTCTTTGCCCCACCTCAACCACCTCTACCTCTCCCACAACCGCTTCGCCGGAAGCTTCCCCGCCGGAATCTCCCGCCTCCGCAATCTCCGTCGACTCGACCTCTCGTACAATCAGTTCTCCGGCGACATTCCGTTGACCAAGTTGACTCAGCTGCCTCGCCTGCTAACTCTCCGTCTCGAGTCCAACTCGTTCACCGGGACTCTCGGCTCAGCGGACTTGGATACCGGTACGATTTCGGACTTCAATATTTCGCACAACAACCTCTCGGGCGAAATCCCTGCGTGGCTGTCCAAATTCGCGGCGACGTCGTTTGCCGGAAACGGGAATCTCTGCGGCAAACCCTTGCCGTACGAATGCTCCAATCGGACGGTCCCTGACTCGTCCGTACCATCCAGGGACTTGGGTCGGAAAAACGACAGCGTTTTGAGTAACGCTGCGCAGCTCACGATCATTATCGTCGGCGTAGCTGTTGCGTTGTTAGTGATAGTCGTGACCGCCACGTGGTGTCGGCGCACTAAGAGAGTGGAGGGCGGGACCCGCAACAAGACAACCAACGAATTCAGTTACGTGAGCAAGCACTACGGGCCAGGAGAATTGAAGAAGAAGAAGAGCAAAGGTGGAGCCCATTTGGCCCAGTCTAACGGGCACGGGCCTGGTGGTGGGCCCAGAGAAAGCGAAGATATGGTGGTGCTGGAAGGATGCAGGGGCGTCGATAAGGTGGGTGATCTGTTGAAGGCGTCGGCGGAGATGTTGGGGAAGGGCAGCGTGGGGACCACTTTCAAGGTTGCGATGGACGGTGGAGATGTAGTTGTGGTGAAGAGAGTGAGGGAGAAGAGAAATGGCGGGAAAGAAATGGATGGGTTTTTGAGACAGATTGGTGGGCTGAGGCACTGTAACATTGTGAGCCTTCGAGCGTACCACAATTCCAACTATGAGTTGCTTTTGGTCTACGATTTCATGCCCAAAGGAAGCTTGCATTTTGTGTTGCATGGAAACAGAGGACCTGGAAGAACACCATTGGATTGGGCTACAAGGTTGAAATTAGCTTCTGGGTCTGCGCAAGGACTGGCTTTCCTCCATGGCTGCAACAAGGCCAAGCTCTATCATGGAAACCTCACTTCATCAAACATCTTGGTGGATCAGATGGGCAGCGCTTGCATTGCAGACATTGGCCTCCAGCAGCTCTTGCCTGCTCCATTTTCATCAAACAGCGCTTACAAAGCCCCTGAATTGATGCTTCCCAGCAGTAAAAGCCCAAGAAAGTTTACACAAAAGTGTGATGTTTATAGCTTTGGGGTGGTTCTGATGGAGATTTTGACTGGAAAAACGGCTGGTGAAGAAGGAGAGATGAGCTTGGTGGAGTGGGTTAGGATGGTGGTGCAGAAAGAGTGCAGTACATGGGAAGTGCTGGATTTTGAGCTTCTGGGAGACAAAGAAATGGAGGAGGAAATGTGGGCTCTTTTGCAGTTGGGTTTGCTGTGTGTGTCTCCATTGCCTAAAGATCGTCCAACAATGGGCATGGTGCATCGGATGATTGAGGACATTAGGCAAAAGGGTGTTAGAGAAGATGGGGCAAAGTCTATTTTAGATGACCTTACTTCTGATTCTTCACCTTCCCATTCAGAAAGCACTCCCTGAGGATCATTTCATTCTCAGACGACAGCATTATGTCATTAGGGCAAACTTCATTATGCTTGAATTAATTCATACTGAAGATGTTTTGTACTCTTCTTGCAGCCATTGTTTGTGAGAATCTTCAATAAATAAAGAGACTTGATTGTTTTAAATATCTTAAATGTATGACCTTCATTTGATTCAGTCTGCTTGCTTTTGTTCAGCTGCAGTGGTTATAAATTAATTCGGGGCCAGGGCATGGTGGTGGCCCGATGGGCTTAAGAGGTCAGCTCCTTTAGAAGTCTAGAGTCACTGCCATAATGCCATCTTGGAATTAAATACTGATTACTGAAGCACCTAATCCATGGTGAGGAAAATGAAAGTAATAAAGAGCAAACATTATGACAATGGACTTGTTTGAAAAAGATGTTTTTCTGTTGCCAATCAGGCCAGAAATGTTTTCTGTTGCCACCTTTTACTTAGCCATCTAATCAACTTGTATGCAATGTGGTGATCGCTTTTAGAGAACCAAAACGAGAGAGAGAGAGAGAGAGAGAGAGAGAGAGAGAGAGAGAGAGAGAGAGAGAGAGAGAGATATTGTGTCTTCCTGATATAGTTCTATACAGATCAAACTATCTGTCAAGGAAAAGGGTGTTTGGAACATCTACATTTCATTTTCCTTTTACCTTCTACTCTACTGATGTACAGAAAACAGAGCTCCATGAGATTTAACTGAGATACTGAACTAGTATAGCAAAATCAACAATCATCTTTTACCACTTTGTAACTGAGAAGTACTGTTGTGAATCACTGGACCCTCATCCTGAATTGGATTGACATCTTGTTCTAGCACAACTTCATCCCTGAATAAATAAATTGGGGTTAACATTAAAAAAGAGTGACAATAATTAGCAAGAACATGAAAGCTACGAACTTTATACATGGAGATTGAATGGGCAACTTTCTCTTTAGTGATAATGAACAAATTATCAAGTGGACATTTTCTTTTCCTACTAAAGTTGAGAAATTTGTTTCAAAGCATTCAGTCAGACCTTAAATCAAACACATTGCTCTGTTCTTGATGATTTTCCACAACACCGCTCTGTTCTTGAACAATGTTCTGCTGTAGTTGATGATGAAGCTGCGAATCATATTCAACATCTTGAACGACATTGTATTCATAGCCTTCCAAAGGATGAGCCATAGCATTCTCTCCTCCGGCACGAAACATGCAAAGCTGATAATGCACATGTTGGAGTTCATCCTCGGTTGTTCTGATCTTCCACAGTAACGACTTTATTTCATTGTAGCAGCCACCAACAGGGTCCCTGGCACGGTACTCAGCTTCGGCTTTGACGCTGTACATGGCAGAGCTTCTCTGCTGAGGAGAGACGCTGTTGAGGGTTTTGGTGATTTTGCCAACACCAAACAGTTTGTGTGCATTCAGAAATTGTTGAAACCTGGTTGCAGGGAAATATGGGGCCATGAGGCAGTCTTGGGTACATTTCTTGCGCTGGAATCTACAAGCGGCACAAGTTTGGTGCTTCATTTTTGGGTGGGATTTTTAAGCCTTTTTTATCGGTTTGGGGGGGAAACCCGGAAAGGGAAGGTGAGAAGTGATCGGAGAATTTTGAGGAAGGTAGAGAAATTTCAGTCGAGATAGGGTTTGTTTGTGTTGAGAGAGAAATCAGGGACGTGCTGTGTTGGTTATAGTCTACGTGGTTGCGCCATTTTAAATTTTGAAAATTGAATTACTATATTTTTGTTGGAAATGAAAGTTAAATTCTTGAATTTTAGGTGGTTTATCCTACCAAAAAATAAAAATAAAAAGACGATCTTTAGATTCTTTACGATCATGGGTCAATTGCTTTGGTTTAAATTCTATTTTCTTTATGCATGCAGTTTGAGAGAGGTGGAAATCAAGCAAATGATCTTGTTGCAGGGTAACTGGGCTTGAATTAAGACTTTCTTGAGTTGAGCTTCTTCTAAGTTCCCATTTCAATGTTTCTCATGGTAATTGGATTTATTGCATATGGGTTGATATGGCAGTGTGACTTGGTTTACTACAACATTACAATATCACAAAGAAAGATGCTAGGAATATCACATTATTGTATACCGCATCTCTAATAGTGGCGATTCTACCTCTATTAGAGAGCCAGTACACGGTGAAGATAATACAGTGAAGAAAATGAGACATGGCAGAGTAGGAATTGCAATTCCAAGAATTAACTATATGCCAACATCTAAGTTCAAACTTAATTTTGGAATTGAATCAAAACCAATACCATCAAGCGTTCCAGTAAGAAATTCCAATCACAAAAACGAATAGTTATATATATATATATAGAGAGAGAGAGAGAGAGAGAGAGAACCAAAGCGCCACAAGATATACTAAGCTATCAGAAACAAACTAACCAACCAATCAAAGCACACAATGCTTTACATCTCTAGTCTCTAGCAGTGATTTTGAGCACCAATACAGGAGAGGAGAAGTAGTAATATCACCGGACGGATAATCAGTATATATAGCTTGTCACCTACTCCAGAAAATACATGAGCTGATGATGATCGTACAAACTTTGCATAAATATTTGTAAAAACCAGAATCTGAAATGAAGCCTCAGAAGCAGTCCTAAAGATGATTATTATTGTTCCAACTGAAATCAAGGATCACCACCCTTCAGATATCAATCAAAAATAAGTTATTTTACTCCCTTAACAACATTATTGTCATTGAGCATAAAAAAACCACACCATCAAAACCTCAGAAAGCTAAAGCTTCACAAGCTGTGTATCTCATCCATAAGTGTGTACAGCTTCCCAAACTAAGTTCTTTGGAACAGGGCTAGCAAGATCCCGAGCCTGCAGGGCTGCAGTGCGAAGCGTTCCAATGGTCAGTTCGTTGGCCTTCAAGAAGGATACACTTTTGTAAGGCAGCTTGTGCTTCTTGCATAGCTCCTTAACAAGAGGAGCAACTTTCCTGAGATTGCCTCTAGGCAACCTGGGAAACAGATGATGCTCAATCTGAAATTGCAACCCACCATGGAACCAATCCATCCAAGATGGACACTCTATATCAAGTGACCCATTAGTCTGATTCTCACACCAGTCATTCCCAATAGGTGTACCAACATAAACACTGGAAGAAAAATGGTTCAAACAGAACTGAACATGCTGAATTCCAGTGACAGAAAAACTTGTAACAACAAACATAACTCTTTCACCCCAATTGGGTAAGCGGGAAACCAGCAAAGGATACCAAATCCAAAACACAAGGAGCCCCAAGATTTCCTGAACCCTATTGTTCACCCTTAATCTTTTAGATGATAACAGCAAGAATGATTGAGCAAAAAGATTAAGCCTAGCAAGACACATCACAGGGTAAAATGTCCAGTGCTGGTAACTAACCAAGGTCCTTGTAAAAGAATCAAAATTCATCTTCCTGTCATAGAAATAAGACGTGAGGGAATTGAATAATTTCGAAGATACCGCAAAGAAAGGCATGTGCTGAAGATCTGGATCGAATTCAAGGCTGTTGCATGCAATGTGGTGAGCATTGTGGTTGCGCTTCCACCAGGCAATGCTGATGCCAGCAAGGCAATTCCCAGTGAGGATCTGAGCAAACCTATTGAGTCTTTTGCTGCTGATGATCTGGTAGTGCCCAGAGTCATGTCCATGCCAGCCACTTTGAATCCAAAGAAAACCCATTAACCCACCAGAACCCAGATGCACCCAAGTGCTATCAGAGTACAAAACACCATAGACACTCAAGCTAAACAACATCGCCACAAGAAACAGCGAAAAATGAACCCCAAGTCCCCTGTTTTCAAACAAACCCATTTTAGTGAATTCATTGACAAGTTTCCTATAATCTTTGGATACCTCCGAGACAGAGTAGCCTTCGAGATAAGACCCAGTGAAGAACTGGTCCAGATGCTGCCATGCCGAGCCTGGATGGTACGCAACAAACGCGTCTGTGACATCTTGACCAGCGAGATTGAGCAATGGGAGCTCACCACCTGGATGGTAATTAGCCCAATCTGAGACATTGTAGATCTTCCCCTGTATTGAGATCCATAGATCTCCTGGCTTGTTGTGCTTGCTCAGGTCTTCCTGTGAAATATACTTCTTTGACTCTGCCATTGAAGCTCAAAATCAAATGACCCAACAAGACGCAGAGATCTGAGAGCAAACAGAGCTTTTCACTTCCTCACTTCACTCTTCCTTTCTGGGTTCCAAAAGGAAGAGACTTTTCTGAATAATACTGATTATGACATGATAGAATGCTTGTAGGGATAAAAAAAAGGCTTTGAATTTTCACTCGCACTCTGCTTTATCTGTGCTTTTGTTTCTGATGATGCTCTTCAGTTTATGTAGAGGTGATCGCTAAAATGGAAAGAAAGGGGATATGATTGTACGGCTGGGCGAGACTGAACAAGCACCACAGGATTGTATCTGAGTTGTTTCCCGTTTACAACATTAAAAAGCATAAATCTTTGGGGTTATGTTTAGGGCAAATGAGAAATGTAAATATGCACATGTGATTCGAGAGCTACAGAGTAAGAGAGAGAAGTTGGGATTCAAATTCAATGGACTTCGTCCTCAAAGCTTCTGAATGCTGGCCCCACGTCTTCATTTTGGTATTATTTGTTTCGATCTAGTAATGAATTTTTACCTCTTGAGCTTGACCATATAATAAACTCATGAAGTATTTATTGGTAATTGCTGAGTTTAGTATGATAACAAATAAATGTTGTTAATGAAGTTTTTTTTTGGGGGGTTATAATTTGGAGGAAAGAAACCCTAGGGTTTCATCGTCCAAAAAAAAACCCTAGGGTTTCGATTCTGGGTGCCAAGGAGGGTGAAGGGGGAGGGACACAACTAGCTAGGTGTGGCAATGGGTCATGTCAGGATAATAAACGTGTTAAGAATGCTCAACCCAAACCCGACCCATTTAATAAACGTGTCATGTCGGGTTTGGGTTATCTGAAATAGGTTATTAAATAGATTACCTAGTTAATAACATGTTTACTCATTCCTAATTTCCAATAGATTCGTACACTTGCGGGTATTTATAGTTGAATGATTAGCGTATTAATTTGTGTCATTAAAATTAAAAGGAAAAAAAATATTTATTTCACATTAAAAATATAAAAAAAAACAGGGGACTACATTAATTTTAAAAAAATTATAAAAAACAACAACATCATGGCAGACTTCCTAATTTCACAATAGGAGACTTTAGTTTGGCCCTCTGGATCTCTCTCTTGGGTTTTCTCGCATCGCTTCTTGAGGCTTATCACTTGAGCTTCCGAATATCACTTTCTTAGGTTTAGCAAAACTTGAATCTCCTCGTGCACGTTTACTCGGTCGATCCAAGGCCTCCAGCAGCTCTTGCATGTTCTTAGAGTAAAAATATATTATCTTTGATAACTTTTGATTATCTTCTTGCAATATTTCAAGCTGGTGTCTTGTCTCCTCCAAAGTCTTTGCCCTATCCCTTTTCAATCTCCTTATAATACTCTGACAATTTGCAACCAAATTCCGTTCTGCCACTAACTTCTTAGCACTTGCACCTCATGGGATTTTACAATAAGGTGATGACCCACACTTGCGACTGACGCCACACTTTGCACGCTCAGTATCATGGCATCACTCACCACCTGGTTATCATCACTTCTTCCCAGCACGAGCACATCCTTAGGAGTCGCCAAACTCCTTGCAACTCCAATGGCAACATCATTGTCAAGATGTAATGAGTCGTTTATGGTTACTAGTCCTCGTGAGGAAGCAAAGTAGGGCATCCACACTGGTGCAGCCCATTGCTCCCATGTCTATGTTGGCAGAGCTAGGTTTAGATTGAGAGGAAATGGGAATGAAGAAGCCATTTTATTTATGAGTTTGAGGAGATAGGTTTAGATTGAGAGAAATGGGAAGGAAGAAAATTGGCGGAGCTATGTTTTTTGTTTTCTGAGTATGAGGAGTTGTAATTTTTTTCTCCCCTTGTTTCCTTTTATAGACGTCCATTATGACACATGTTTATGATTTTCCCCACATTCCTCGAGCTCCACACCCATAATTTCCGTTCCGTGTTTTCCACCTCGAGATCCACGTCTCCGTGTCGCACAACCACTGTGATAACCCCGCTCGCCATTAATGAAGTACCTACATAAATTCACAGATTTTATATTCTTAAAGACCCTTAAAGTAAGTGGTTACTTACTACTACTTTCTTCTTCAGCCTCAGGTGGATTTTGATTCAGGATATGGTTGAATAGGATGGTTGTTACTTGTTTATTGGACATACAACTATGAACTATGCATGAACGTTGGAATGCTGATTTGATTTTGGGACAATTTGGTGAAACCGAAAAAGGCAAAACAGAGGCTGTACCATTTCCATTTTATCCTGTACTAAATAAGGCGGTTTCTGTGCAGCAGAAGAAAAAGAATAAACTAAAGATGAATTATGCATCTCTCTGTCCCCTAGTTAAAAATAACAAAATATATTTACATTCATGGAAGTTTGGAATATACCGCTTGCCTTACCGAAATTAAAATAAGAATATGCTACTTGGATATCAGGAGGATATGCTAATCTATGAGAAATATCTACTGCCTCCCTCCATTGGTGAGAATTTCTTTGGCCATATGTGACAGTATTTGGACTAATTCTTTATGATTAATGTGCTTTTATATTTGTAATAACCTATTGTGGTTATGTGTATTTGTGGCTGATGGCTTTTGTGCTAAATTATGAATGCAACATATCCTTTATCTCAAAACAATCACATGGGCATAGATGAGCCCATTAAAGCATTCTGGGCTTGTTATTTTCGACCAGTGCATTTCAGTTTCAGCTAAGCTGAGCCCATTTGGAGAAGTGGATAAAAGGGATATACCTCCGCTTATTGCTTATGATTCTTCTCCTTCCTCCCCAAAACCCCCAACAAAACCAACAAAATCTTCACCTTTTATCTATCACCAGACAAATCCAGTCTTCATCACAGTGATTTCGTGCTGATCCTATTACGGTGATAGTTCACTTTGATGTTTTCCTTTTTACTTTATATTTTGCTGCATTTACTCCTGTATTTCTTCTGTTTCTTTCCCTGAATTTTAAGCTGGGTTTGCTATGTTCACCCTTTGAGAAGAAAGCAGAGATTTAAAATTTGTTAGAAATGTATTGGGTATCTAAAGAAGTGTGCTTTATGTGTTTGTCAGTGTGTACACTTCAGCTGTGCATCTTCTATGCTTGTTGTGAAGTCCCAAACACAGAAACTTGTTTTGCCTTGAATTGTCATGAACCCGTTTCGCTTCCACTTGGTTTTTGCATCTAGTTGCTTTGGGTAGTTACAAAATATAATTGGTTATTGCTACACTTGAAATATTTGCTTTCTCAGTTTTGCTGTTTAGTGTTGTTTATAGAGCTACATTTTTATGTTAATTTCTTTGCTACTTAAATTTTTTTAAGCATTTAGATAAGGAGTTGGGTATTTGGATAATTCTTTGCAGGTATATGTGAATATCAGTAAGACGCAGCAAACATTGATGGCACATTTGCTTTCAACTTCGTGCTCTCTAAATTTCTCCTCTGGTTGTAGATCTTACACTAAACCATTGATCCAAGACTCGTTGGTATTTCCTACCTCTTTAACTTTTCAGACTTCTAAAACCCCATTTGGAAGGCTTCTCTTGCATAGGGGGAGGTCACAAAGTACTTGCACAGTGCACGCAACCACACTCTCTCCAAGTAGGGAAGCCCCAAAGGAACCGAGCTATGGCATCAATGAGAGCTCTGGTGGAGCATCTAAATCACAGCGGGTAATGGTCATTGGTGGAGATGGCTACTGTGGTTGGGCCACAGCCCTTCACCTATCCAAGAAAGGTTATGAGGTTGCCATTGTTGATAGCCTTGTACGCCGTCTCTTTGACCACCAGCTTGGTCTTGATTCCCTGACTCCAATCTCCTCCATCCATGATCGCATCCGTTGCTGGAAATCTCTCACTGGAAAATCCATTGAACTCTACATTGGTGATGTTTGTGATTTTGAGTTCTTATCAGAAGCCTTCAAGTCATTTGAGCCTGATTCTGTTGTTCATTTTGGGGAACAGCGGTCTGCTCCTTACTCCATGATTGATCGGTCAAGAGCAGTATTTACGCAGCAAAACAACGTGATGGGAACACTGAATGTTCTCTTTGCTATAAAAGAGTATAGAGAGGAGTGTCATCTAGTGAAGCTTGGGACCATGGGAGAATATGGGACTCCAAATATTGATATTGAAGAAGGTTACATAACAATTACTCACAATGGAAGAACAGATACTTTGCCCTACCCCAAGCAAGCAAGCTCTTTCTACCATTTGAGTAAGGTTCATGATTCAAATAATATAGCCTTCACTTGCAAGGCTTGGGGGATTAGAGCCACTGACCTAAACCAAGGAGTGGTATATGGGGTGAGAACGGATGAAACCGAGATGCATGAAGAGCTCTGCAACAGGTTTGATTATGATGGAGTGTTTGGAACTGCTTTAAACCGGTTCTGTGTTCAGGCTGCTGTTGGTCATCCACTTACTGTGTATGGCAAAGGGGGTCAGGTAAAAGCCCTGTACATGAAGCACAAACGCTCACACACACACATACACATGCCTTCTTTTCAAGTGCCTCAAAAAAGGCGTGCTTGCATTACTTCCCATTTTACTAATATTTATGTTCTTTAATATGCCAGACCCGGGGGTATCTTGACATCCGAGATACGGTTCAGTGTGTTGAGATTGCCATTGCAAATCCAGCAAAGGCTGGTGAGTTTAGGGTCTTCAATCAATTTACTGAGCAGTTCTCTGTCAATGAACTTGCTGCGCTTGTCACAAAAGCGGGAGAAAAGCTTGGACTTGATGTGCAAACCACGTCTGTGCCAAACCCAAGAGTTGAAGCAGAGGAGCACTACTACAATGCCAAACACACCAAACTTATCGAGTTGGGGCTTAAACCTCACCTTCTCTCAGACTCTCTTTTGGATTCATTGCTCAATTTTACTATCAAGTACAAGGATCGTGTTGACACAAAGCAAATAATGCCCAGTGTTTCTTGGAGAAAAATGGGGGCTAAGCCGAGAACTGTTACAGCGTAGTTGAGTGGGGTAGTGTATATGTGATAAATAGTTGTATACGTGTTTGAGGATGTTATATAGATCTGCATTGCCTCTGTTTTTAGTTGGTTATTAGGCTATTTTTACTTCTTCTACCTTTTTTACATAAACGTTATATATGATTGCTCAGTTGCAATCTAAGAACTGGTGAGTTTCAAATAATATGGTGAACAAATAAAATATTGGTCTTCAAAAGTTGATAGTTGAAATCGTTTTCCCAATACATGGCCAGACATGGACGCCCCAGACCAGAAAAAGAAAATTTTCAACTTTTGATGGGTTGAGGATCAAAATCGTGAATGGATAAATTTGTCCTGGAGAAAATCCTCCTTAATGAAGTCCAACACGATTGAAGCCAGCTCATTTTGATGTGAAGTGTGTTCATGATCAGCTCCTTCTACAATGGACACTTTATGATTTGGTATGATCTTGTTAAAATCAAAAGCATCTTCGACAGGAACCGTCTTATCCATTGATCCATGAACTGTCAAAACCCTGCAAATAATAGAATAAGTAGAACAACCTACGATCAACGACCATTTTTGGGGAAATGAAGTTTGGAACAGGATAATTGTCATTTCTGACCTGCAATTCTGGTTAATTGATCGGCAGGCTGCAGGCATATCAGTCGTTAGACGCTCCATCAAACTTTCTTCGGTCACACGATACTCAAAGATCCCTATTAACGTCAACAATCAACCAGGTGAATAGTCAATCTAAACCACAACAATATCCAGGTTCTAAGAGCATCCACAGTGGAAGGGTGTATAATGAGGTGTATATTAAATATACACCCTTTGTGATTGGAATAACCTGCAATGGAGAGGTGTAAACGAGTGTAAATTTGCATCACCACCATAAGATGCAAATTTAGATGCACATATACATCTTTTTTTACAAAAGTACTTCATTACATTAGAAAAGTACTTCATCTTTTTTTACCCGCAATGGGACCTACATGAGAAAATGTGAGAAAAAAAAGTTGACAAAAGTGGGACCTACAATAGAAAAGATGAAAGAAATCAATTATACATATTTAGATTTACATCTTCCTCACTGGAACAAAAATCACATTTACAACTCCCGAGGTATAAAAGGGATGTAAAAGTGACTTTATAGCCCCGAAAATACACCCTCTCATGGTGGATGCTCTAAGGATGAGGAAACATGAACCCTTGCAGAAATGCGTAAATTTACAATTATGAGCTTTAGATAAATGAGTTTTGAAACAAGGTGACTTTAAAATTCCACACAGCGTTGAAAGAATGAAGATGATATAGACTCAGACATGTTACCACATAACCACAACAAAAAAACAATTAACAGCTGATGTTTACGGAAAATAAGAATAAGTGCACACGATAGCTTACCTCTTTTGTTCTTAAAATCAATAAATCCATCTTGCTTGATTCTTCGTAGAAAATCTTTACCTAAGCGACCTTCAATGCCTCTTTCCAGATTAAATCGACCAGCAATATTTACAACCTTATGAACATCATTATATTTTGCAGCATACAAGAGCACTGCATTTCCTCCTGAGATAAACATTTGATCAATAATCTTCTAAAGAAATATTCACTAAACCCAACAAACAATCAACAAATAGGGGAACATACATAAGTAGACAATTGATGGCAAATAATGCTAGCGGTGCCATTCACGAGACAGCAATAGCATGGCATCTATCTCTGACTCTGATACAGTGTGTTATGTTCAAAGCCCTAAATACTTTTAAGATATCTTCCCAACCCCTCTTTTGTTTCTCAAATGAGCAGAAGTTAGACACACCTTTACTGTGCCCAACAACTGCAGTTACTACATAATTCTGCACACGAAAGTGTTGAACTACAGCTCGTAGATCATCTGCTTCTCTCCGATAGTGACCATATCGAAACGAACCTTCACTTTCCCTATGAGGTATAGCATAAACAGCTTCTTGTAAATACATGAGAAGTTCCATGCTCAAGACTCAAAGTCCTGTATAACAATATAGCAAACACATCTTACCCATTTCCAGCAAAGTCAAAGCGGAAAGCACTTATTCCTTCTCTTTGTAAGGCAGCAGCAAGGTTCACCATAGGTATGCGTTCCTAGAAAGAAAATGAAAAGACCGTCAGATCCATCTCATCCCATCCCACCATCACATTGTTCTTAATCATTTGATTAATGATTAAATGTTTCAAATTTTTTGAATTTTTCATTTATACAATGGACAAAGACACACTTGAAGAATGTCAGAATTACGCACAATGGTAAAAAAACAGTATCAAGTGCACAACATGTCAAAGCAAAAGGACCTTTGAAGAATGTATGCCATGGCACAGCACAACGAGCTCCTTTGAACCCGTATCATGTAATATCCCCACAAGCTTCTCCCCGTGCTTGTTTTCTATAACAACTCTCCGCTGTTGAATTGCTGCAGATAGAATTCAATAAAAGATCAAAAGAATTCCCGCAGACAATTGATGTAACAGAACACGCATACCCTTTTATGAATCTGCTTAAGCAGGAACAAAATGTATGCACATTGCCCATTTGTTTAATCTAAGGTATCAAACATTAAAAAGGACCAAAATAAAAAAAACTTACACAGAGGCCCTTTGATCGCCCAAAAGACCATAAATTTAAGATTTTATAAAGTTGGGTTTTCGGAAAATCTTTGCTTTTTAGCATCTATGATCATTAAATCTAAATTGCAGCAAAGTGAAGAGAGATTCTGGGAAGACAGATTATCTGATAACCTGGTTGTTTCTGAGTCGGTGTCGGCCGAGTCACCGACATGAATTACAGTTGGACTAACGAGATTTGTACTATCTATGGCGCCAAGCGGAGGACGAGTCGAACTCGAACCGCCTATCGAGAAGTGCTATAAGAATCTGAGATTTTTTTTATTTTATTTTCAACAGTGGGACTAACTCGGTTCATAAATCGGTGTAACTCAGGCTCAACTTCCCGAGTTCGGATTGACTTTAAGCTGTCCGAGTTTGTTTATTTCTCTCTTTTTCTTTTTTCTTTTTTTTCTTTTGTTTTGCCTCCGCAAAAAGACAAAAGGAAAAATATGAATTTTGAGGACAAAATGATTTCACTGAAACGATAGCAATCAAAACCTCTTTCAAAAATAACAAAAATTGCATTGCCAACTTTGTTCAGAACAGTTTCTTGTTATCATTATCACAAACCCTTGGGCTGTTGGAAGGAGAACAGAAACAGCAAAGCGAAAAATAAAGAGTTCAGCAAAAATCAAGAATGCATTATTTTCTTAATTGTATAAATGACAAGCATCGCAGAGGATGAAAAAGAAGATAAGAAGAATAATCAAAAATAGACAAGGGATGTTCTCCAGTGCCTTAATTAGAACTCCTACACTGACTTGCCATTCAATTCGTCTACATTCCCAGTCAATCTCACTAAGGCGACACACAAATTATACGTCACTGGCAGCATACTATGGTACCCAGACAGAATGGCTGGTGAGTATTTTTACTATATGCACATCAGACACTGATAAATAGATGTCCGCAACTCATCAACCTGACCCATGCTAAGATCCCACAGGAGCAATGCCTGTTGACTTGGCTGCAGCAGTTGCAGCCGCTGCAGCTGCGGCGGCTGCAGCAGCAGCAGACGCAGCTGCGTTGGGTGTTGAGGGTGGCACTTTTGACTGTGAGCTATTCTTTGCTGCAACTACTTGCTGGTGTGGTTGTTGCTGTTGCTGCTGTTGAGAGTTTACTTGCGCAAGCAAGGCCTTGATCTGAGTTCCAGTCAGTGTCTCCTGCTCTAGTAAAGCATTAGCAAGGGCGTGGAGCTCCTTGCTATGTGAGGTAAGGATGGTTTTTGCATTGTTGTATGCCCTTTCCAGGAAGTTCTTCACTTCTTCTTCGATAAGCAGCCTAGTTTCTGTGCTCATGCTCTTCCCATTGTCATCATAATTGTGGCTGACGAGCCCAACTTCTTTGCTCATACCGTACTTTGTAACCATTGCTCTAGCAAGCGAAGTTGCTTGCCGGAGATCATCAGATGCACCAGAAGTGACTTCACTTTCGCCAAAGATGAGCTCTTCTGCAACCCGCCCTCCCATACAAACATCGAGCCGTGCAAGCATCTGTTTCCGGGAGACGCTTGTCTCATCCTTGTCGGGCAACTGGGCAACCATGCCAAGTGACATACCCCGAGGAACTATTGTTGCCTTGTGAACTGGATGAGCACCATCAGTGTGGATGGCCACAAGTGCATGGCCACCCTCATGAAAAGCTGTTAGCTTTCTTGACTCATCAGATATAACAGCCGACTTGCGCTCACTTCCCATCATAATCTTGTCTTTTGCATACTCAAGATCAGCCATATTCACTGCTTTAGCATCGTCCATGGCAGCCTTCAGAGCAGCTATGTTGATCAAGTTTGCAAGATCTGCGCCGGAGAACCCCGGAGTTCCTCTAGCAATGATACTCAAATCAACATCTTCAGCCTTCAGAACCTGTCAAAAGGGCATTTTTATTAGTCTTGGAATGACTTCTAGTGCTAAAAAATCTACTGCATCAGAAATACCTTACAGCAGAACATCACAGAATGCAGTCATAAAAAGCAAAAGCAAGAAGCACCCTCCAGTGAACAAATAAAGATCATGTTATTCTAATGTGATAGAACTTATGAGTATCTAACCTACTGCACTTCTTCACTATAAACGGTGTTTGGTGTAGTTCTCAAACAGAAATTGACTATTACAGTGCAATAGTGATGATAAACTATCAGCAAGAATACAGTCTAGCTAATGTAAAGACCACTTCTCGGTATGATTTTGGCTTTTCAACTGGGACCACAGGTAGCACAATAATGAGGCTTTCAACTAAGGCTAGGCAGAGCATCACCACCATCCCAACTAATGATTCCTAGCACTGAACAACTGAGTTCAAACTGATAAAATTGTTATTGTTATAAGGCTGATAACTTGCAGACTTTATCAGGTCAAGATATGCCCATACACAATAACCATGACAGCCCAAACATATTATGTTTCATTATCGTGTAATGGATGAGGCCTTTGGAGACAAAGTTTGTGACCAAAGAGCTTTCAAAACCAAGAGGGAGTCAATTAAATCTCAAGTTTACTATTCTAACTAAATAACCTCTCCCCTCAAGGAGAAAAAGATTACCTTAGACATGTGCGCTTCCATAATCTGCCTCCGCCCTTCAACATCAGGATTAGGAACAACAATGTGCCGATCAAACCGTCCAGGTCTCACCAATGCCTTGTCCAGGGACTCTGGGAAATTAGTAGCTGCAATAACAATAATCCCTTCATTTTGCTTAAAACCATCAAGTTCAACAAGCAACTGATTGAGAGTCATCTTCATGTACTGCTGATCCTTTGGATTTCGACTTCCTCCTATTGCATCTATCTCATCAATAAATATTATACACGGGGACCGCTTCTTTGCAGCTGCAAAAAGATCCCTCACCCTTCGAGCTCCAACACCAACAAACATCTCTTCAAACTCACTGCCACTGCATGAGAAGAATGGTACCCCTGCTTCTCCAGCAATAGCTCTTGCTAACATTGTTTTTCCAGTACCAGGTGGGCCGACAAGCAAAACACCTTTTGGGAGCTTGCCTCCTAGACGAGTGAAACGCTGCAAAAAGGGGGATCAAATTAAGGGACACTTTGTACCATTACAAAAAGATAAATACATTGCAAGCTTGGGAAAGAAAGGAAACAAAATCAGGATGGATTTGGCATATCAACCATTTCCTTGGTTCAGCTTTTAAAAATGTTCAGAAACACTAGGTTTCCACAAAATCAACCCTTGGCATTCAAGGATGTACATTCAAATTGATTTGAAGGAACATAATACAAACAAGGGGAAAATTAATTGAAGAGTGAATGAAGACCATTTCAAGTCTTTTGCCATAATAGGTCACTTCCAATATCAACTTCTTAGGTAGGATGAAATAGTAATGATATTACCCCCATCTCAGAAAACAGGGGGCATGAGGTGATGATGTAAAGGTGTTCAATTTCATATTCTGCCACACATAATGTTGATGCATCTACCTTAGGATCTCGAAGATAGTGAACAATTTCCTCTAGCTCCGATTTAGCCTCATCAACACCCTTTACGTCACTAAATTTTGTGTTAGACTCCATGCTAGGTTGAACCTCCTCATTTAGTCCAAGTCCTGAAATGTGGAAACGGACAAGTTGAAGGAAAAGAAGTCATTATTTTCAGGATGCATCTTAATCAATTCATAGAAGAGCCTGAAGCGCCAAGAGATGGTAATACCTTTGCTTATTCCTCTATCCTCAATGAGTGCTCCTATACCAGATATCAAAAGAAAGGCTAGTGCAATAGTGCGAACAGTACGCCACAGCTGCTCTTTAAACTGACCTCCTTCTGTGGCCACCATATGAATAGGAGCACTTGCAGTTCCAAGAATACCATCCTTCGATGATTTTCCGACACTCCTGAGAACTGAGAAGCCACCTATGTTTTCTTCCTCCCGTGCAGAGTTAGCGACACCTACAAAATTTGTACACTTTTTGCTCATGAGCTCAAATTCACAAGACAAGGAGGTGAAAAAAACTCTCAGAAAATCTAGGTACCTGTGCAATTTTTTGCTAGAAAAATCAACAGAAGCTCCATATAAATAATCATACGAAAAAGGAAATTTAATTGTACAAGAAATCAGGAATATTACAAAACCCTTATCTAGTTAAATTTTTATCAAAATCCAACTCTATTCATAATCTTAGCACATATTGAGACGAAATTCATACACGATATAGACAAAATAGAGCATAGTTTGGTAGTAACAATTACAAGGGGAACAGCAATCTGTTCCATTACCCACCTCTCTGTAATGTCTTGAGTAACTCACTCTCATCCAGCCTGCCAACTCTGACTAATGCTTTGACGTATTCAGAAAGTGCTGAAGGGTTAGAATGTAATGATGGCTGACTTTCAAAAAATCTTATCACTGATTCATAATCACTCCGATGGTAAAGTTCTTTTAGATGGGCAACTTCACTAGCTTCATCTGTGTCGCGTACTCTGCGAGCTAAACTACCAACATAGCTTGACTTAAACCTCTCTTGAGTACTTAAAAACTTATTCCCTGCACAAGGATTAAAAGAAAGTGATCACTTCTATAAATGAAGATAATGGAGAAGAGTGTTATATCTTTCACTTAAAGCCTACAAAACTAAGTACCCAAACGAACAACTTTGACGATAAAATAAACAAGCAGCAGAGTTCTTTGCAAGTTTGAAATGGACGACAAAAAACATATACAAATCAAAATATTTTGAATGCATCATACCTCTAGCACCTTCTCCTAACCTGTTGACTGGATGATAAGTTCTGGTAATCACTTTCGTCAGTTGTCCCAACTCTGATCGATGCCTTGAAACCTGATGTAGAAAGAACATGGAATTAAATAGAGCCTGACAGAACAAAGAAAGCATGTCTAAAAGGGTAATCAAATGGTTCCAGCATTTTGCTCTCTGAGAGAGCAAATCAAAATTTAATCGAAAAACCACAAGAGCAGATTAGCAAAGGCAAGGGAGGGATATGGATGAGAGTGCACCCTATTTTGGCCCCTTTTTTTTCCTACCGAAATTAAGTAAGAAGGGGCACCATATCTTCTCTCAACCCCCAGTCATACCATAACGCTCTTCTGAAGAAAAAAAAATTCTCATACAACCTCCTTTTGAGGCCAAAAAGAGGTGACCCAAACCTTAGAATCTGACCAAACACACTCCTATTCAAAGCAAAAATGCAACCTCCCTGAATAATATTCATCCTTTAAACCACCTAAAAGGAGGTCTCAACTAACTCTATGTTCCATTGCTGAGAAATAAGGGTAGACGAAGAGAATATGAAATTTCACATAACACCCAATTTTCGTAATGAGCTCAAAAGGTCCATCTTCCATTGGTAACCCAATCACTACAGATTTTAACATTGAATTACCAATTTTATACGTTTTCTTTGTTATCAAACAGGCCAAAGGGCAAAAATCTTTTCATTGTATATTCACAGCGTAAACATCTCTTTATTGTACACCCTTACAACTCAACCCTAAGCAGACCCGTATCACGCAGCAATATGAATATGCAGAAGATGGTTACAGAAATTAAATCACAATGATTAAACTCCTAAACAATCAAAACATGGGAATTAGGGTTTTTGAGATCAGCTACAAGAAACAAACTGTGTCATTGAGAAAACATGTATATCGCAGAAAAAAAAGGTACAGATTGCATAAAATAAGAGATTTAGAAGCCTAGCTGAAGATTTCACCGACCTGAGTGATCAGGCGCCTCAAAGCCATCTCTTGCTTAAAGACGAATAAAAATATCTGGTTTTTCCCTCTCTAAAACAACCACTTTGTGTCTCTCTCGCTCAAAACTTTGCAGGTGTTGATGGGTCTAAGTTGGCGTTGTGTTTGGTTGGGAAGAAAATGAGAAGGAAAACGGGGGAAAGAGCGAAGCTTTGGAAGATAGAGGTTTGAGAGGAGAGAGATGCTAGGGTCCGAGCAACATCATTCATCAAACCCAAACCGACCAAATGTGGGTTAGGCGAAATGTCCATATGAGCCTTGAAGGAGTGGATAGTTTGAGTTCCAAAATTGCCCTTGTAGGGATGGATATTTTGAGTTCCAACCTACCCTTGGAGAGATGGATATTTTGTGACTTCTATGGACACCGACCCTTTTGCCTGAAATTCATCGACCGCTAATCACAACGGCTGCTTGTAATTATTTTTTTTGTGTGGCATATTTCTCAATTTTGGAGCTACGGAAACTATTGGTGCTAAAGCATTGTAAACTTAAGCATGACTTTCATAAACTTCACATGTCTTTTTCGCAGACCATTTTATTCCAACATTCAATCATTCATAACCCTTCCAATGGAATAACATTTGATTGCACACTCATGATAAGAGTTTGAATTTTACCTCTCGTATTACAGATTTATTTATTTTTATCAGACTCGTGTTATAAATTAATCCAACACAAAAGACAATTAATTGTTGGGGCTTATAGCTTAAACAAATGATATCCGCCTCTATGTCTAAAACTAAAGTTCGAATCCCTTCTCCTAGTTTTGCCTTTCTCTAATTTTATTTTATTTTTAAAAAGGACAAATAATCCATGGAAGAAGTTGGGAACTTGATGTAGAACAAATGTCGAAAGTAATTAAAGAGGAGTTGGAGAGATGTGCACAAGAGCAAATCCAGAAAACTACAAGTTTGGGCCTCGAGCTCAAATTTGGACTCATGATCCGTTATTTCAAAGAGAATGACGTCACAAGTAAAATTCATCACTTTGCCATGATGTGGGGGCTTTTTCGAGCATCTGAGATCTTTTAACATCCCAAAATCGAGTTTTTATGTTTTAACAATTTTTGGAAACTTTGTTAATTTTCCTATTTTAATTACTTTTGGATTCCTAGGATTTCTAGAGTATTTAAATGAACTTTAAACCCGTGGTTATGGTTATGTTATTTCATATTATCAATAAACGTTCTCTCATTCTTCCTAGTGGATTCCAGAGTTGTGTGTTCTAATGCAATAATTTTAGTCATTGTCATGATGCATAAGAACTGGAAGTCTAAAATGGGTTACAATCTTCAGAAGGTTTATTTTATTTTATTCTTTTTTGGGTCGAAACTCCTCATAAAGTTATTATTGTTATTTACACTGTATTTTCTCATGGAACCAACAACCCAATTTAAATGAAAACTTGGCACATCCCAAATTCATATGACGAGCGCCCAAGGTATGGTTTTTTTTTTTTTTTTTTTTTTTTTTTTTTATTTAATTTTATAAATAATAGTCTAAATTATAAAGGGAGGAGGTTCCTCACACACACACACACTATCAAGGCGTATCATGAGGGTTCAAATCTCAAACTACTGATATGCAAATCAAAACCGTTTCTCGTTGGGCTAGTCCCGTTGACCCAAGACATGGTTAATTATATCAAAACTCACAACAATGTTTATAGAAAAAATAAAAAATAAAAGGCTTTTCACAGCGGTCTTGAAACAGGATTAAAGCCTAATATTTATCTCATTATCCTCCTTGGGATTGAAATTTGAAATTAAACGAAAGCTGCACTGAAAAAAGCAGAGGGGGATCGAAATTCAAATGGCTCTACCAGCTTTTTGTGTGTGTACACAAAATTCATCAGATAGCTGATAGCTGATAGCTGATGGCTGATAATAGTATATTCCAGAAAAGCATAGATATATGATGTGATGATATGAACACATCACTGATCAGTGCTGTGCAGTACTGTTCTCGAATCTTTTCTCAGCGCCCTCATAGGCTTTATCATCACATTCTGCTCAAAAACTGATAAACATATTGTTATTACTGAGTTTAGAAAGTAATTAGTTTTGGAAATAAATAAATAAAGAAAAGTTACTGCTAAGAATATTTAGGTTCCAACAATGAAACCAGCTACTTTAAAAATATGAATTGTAAAGCACCACGTCAGTCACACTTGATAAGACAACAATTAATTCTTTTTAATTAAGTAATTAATAGCTGGAAGTTCATTGTCGGTGGCTGAATAATCCATATAATATATATCATGCTGATGCTGATGCTGATTGCAAAGTAAAAACCTTACGTGGCTTTTTATCACTGCTTGAGTGAGTTTTCTTGTTTTTGGGTTAATTAATTATGATCAAGCTGGTCGTCACAAATTTGGTTGCTGCAGAAACATCAATATAATTATATTTCACCATGCATATTATATATATATATAGCAATTTACCTTGCCCATCATAATAAAAATTATACAAAGTAAATATAACTAGCCGTTTGGCTTCCCTCCTTTCCAATTTTAGTTTTGTTATTTTTTTTTCCTTAGAATAGAAAAATATGGGATAACTAAGTTACAAAAGCAGAAATTATTCATGAAAATAACAAAAGGTCCAAAGATAATTAACCAACCAAAAAAAAAAGTGAATGGTGCAAGCTTTCGAGCACCATTCAAAATAGCCTATTAACCAGATAGGTTGTAATTGCTCTCTCTCTTTCTCTCTTACAAGGGAAGGAAAATGACTACATGCTAAAAATGATCAATATCAATTGATCAAAGAAGCCCATGATATCCAAATATACATAGATATATAAGCTAACCTTGCCATGATGTTTGGTTCTGGTGATCACTCTGCTGTCCATTGTAAGCTGAAGAAGAAGAAGAATTGACATGGTGATTAAGCCCGGCCATATTAATATTGAAAAAGTCCCCATGGCCATGGGATGCTGCTGCTGCCGCCGCCGCGGATGAAGAAAATGGTGCTCGAAGACCCAAGAAATCTCTTGTCAAGCCCTCATCGTTATTGTTGTTATCAGTACCACTCCTCCCAAGTTGCGCTAATTCCATGCTTTTGTAATTCTTCGGAGGATTAATATTATTATTATTGTTGTTAATCTCAACAAAATTATTATTACCGTCCACCATAATCCCATTGAAAGCCTGGCGATGATCTCCAAACGCTGATGAAACTTGTTGATCTCCAAAGCTATTACTCATCATCATCATATCATGCAAAAGAGAAGATTTATTATCATTGCTCCCAAACCCATCATCGAATGCTTCATTGGACACGTGAGCTTGGTGGCTGGGTGGTTTGAGAAACATTGGGGAATGGGAAGGCTTGCTGATTGTGGCACCCATCTCTGAAGCCTTTTGAAGCAAAGCAGTGGCAGACATGTGAGGAGAAGCTGTATGGGGTTGCTGGAAATCAGGGAGTGTGGTGGTGGAGCTGCTGCTAGGGTTAGGGTTTTGATGATCAAAAGAATAATAGTGCTGGAATGAGGAAGCGGAGAATAATGGTGAGGACATGTTCATGGAAGGAAGGCCGGATGGAGCGGTGGCTTCGCCTTCGGGCAAGCAAGAGAGCCATGGCGGAAGTAGCTGCTGCTGCTGGTCTTGCTCTCTCTTCACTGAGAGACCTTGGAGGCCATGGGTATGGAGTTGGGGGAGAGAGGAGAGAAGAGGGTTTATTGAAGCTGGCATTGCTGATCTAGCTGCAGTGCTTGTACTGTTCTCTTGTGCTAAAGCATCACAGAAGGCTCTGTGGGTGATGAAACTGTCCCTCCTGTGTGCAGAGTTACCCACGATTATCAAAAACAACCACAAGAATACAAAAAGAGCAAACCCATCAAAAAGTAACATAAACAGTAATATACACTGTCCTCTCTCTCTCTCTCTCTCTCATGTCCCTTTTTGTATTTTCGTTCTTTTTGTTTTTGGAAGACAAAAGACATTAGCAGATGTGTAACCCATTAAAGGTTCTTACAACTCATCAAAAGTTAACTCGATTCTCTCATAAAGGTTATTGCATTATTAAGGGTTGAAAAAGATTGTTTAGTTCCCGGTACCAATTTACTGTACATGGATGGTATGACTGACCATGAATGTTTTCGTCGATAATTGGTACCTAATACCAGCTAATCTCTCCCCCTATGAACAATTATTTGCTATAAAAAAACAGTTATTCCAAAGTTGTTTTGGTTCTTCAAACTGATCTCATTATTGTATAATCTTTGTCTATGACCTTACCTAGAGAAAAGGGTTCCACAGTCACATCTATACTCCCTTGTGCCACAGATCTTGGAGTGAGCTTTCCAATCTGACTGAACCGCATAGCGCTTTGAGCATTTCTCACACTTCCACTTCTTCTCACCATGCTTTCTACAGAAGTGCTTCTTGATCCCGGTGAGGTCCCCAAGTGCCCTTGATGGGTCATGGTGGACACATGTTGGTTCTGGGCACAGATACACCTTCTTCCTCACCTCCTTGTTTGTCCTTTGTTTTAGCTTCCATGGCAAATTGTGCCCTCTTCTATGAAGCTGAAGGTTCTGTTCTCTCTGAAAACCTTTGTTGCAGATCTCACATAGGAATCTATTTGTTGCCATGAGTGATTTGGGAGACAAGGCTATCACTTCAGCATCTGGGTCTGTACCAAAAATCAATAAAAAAGAAAGAAAAAAAAGGAGCAAAACTAATATTAATTATCATGCATGATATGTGTGAATTAATGCTGGTTAATTAATTTTGATTTGATGAGAGACCTGGGTTGCCTGGAAGATTTCTCTTCTTCTTTGGCGGTGGTGGCTGCTGCGGCTGCTGAATATCATTTGCTGATGAGGATTGCTGCTGAGGGTACAGTGTGCCAGCTGATGATGACTCATTTCTGATACTTGAATTGGAAGCACTTAAATCACCAGATGCACAGGTCAAATTGGACATATTCTCATCCCCCATCAAACCTTTCATCATCTCCTCCACCACTTACACTGAATTACAAAGACTTCGTTTAGGATTTGTTGACACCAATTGCATGTATACATATGAGATTCTTCATAAGTGGATTGAGCAACATACAGATCTCAGCTTTCACATCTGTGACAGGGTTTAGATCTGAGTGCAAACCCTAATTCAGAGAGATATTCTCTTCAGCTTCACACAAATTCAACCAATTCTCCTCTTGATGATTTGTCTTCTCTCTACCTTCAAACCCTTCAAGAACAATCAAGCAGGAAAACACAAAAAGAAAACTAATAAGAATAAAGAAGATAAAATTATTCAGAAGAATATAAACAAATCATGAAGTTTTAAATATATATGTATATATATAGGTAGAGTAGCTAGCTAGCACCAACCTTGTAGCCAGAGCAGTCTCTTAATTTTATGTATCAAGAGGCACTTTGGTTTTGCTTGGTGGTCAGTGGGTTGTCAACAAACAGCAAGAAAATTCAACAAAAGCCCTTAGAAAACCAATTAAACTCAGTTTTGTGTGTGTTAAAAGGGAGACTAATTTTAAGACATGTGTATATGTGCATGAGAGAGAGAGAAAGAGAGATATGGATGAGGAAGGATTCCCCTTGGAGCTCTCCACCCATCCACCACCACAGCCCAACCAACAGGCTTGTTCTGACGTGCACTTTCTGTCTTTTCCTTTGTTCTCTTCCCAGCCCCCTGAAATTATTATTTCTTTAATAATTTTATTCACCTTTTAAAAAAATTTCCTATTTTTTAATCACAACTTTTTCCCTTGCCATGAAAAGTAGAAATAAAGCAACCAAGTGAAAAGAGAGCAAGATTTCACACTGCACACCAGAAAAAAAGAGAGAGAGAGAGAGAGATATGATAAGAAGTTGATTATGGCCTTTTAACATCATGGGTAAAAGAGAAAGAAAGAAAAAAAATGCAAAACCTCTTTTTCTTCTGTGCATCCTCTCATTTATATATACAAGCATGATTGGATGAGTGATTGAATTCCGGCAGACATGCTTATGGGAAAGCAGGCCTCATTCTTATATTATCCTCCAACTTATTGTTATTTTAGTAATCAAATTCATTAAAATAGTGTTGTGGCTTTTCTGACATTTTCTTGGCATTTGAAATCAATAGGCAGCCAAGAAAATTATAGGCCGGTCCCCAACCCCAAGTGCTGCACCAGAACACCCCACCATCGGTTAAAACTCTAGAGTGAGAAGATAGTTCGGTAAAAAGAGCAAGAACAGTTTCTTCTATTTTCATGAGGTGACATAATTAACATCCAAGTATTTGACAATTTTGGTATAATTAACCAGTTTTGGATTTACAGACTAAACTAGAGCAAATGCTCTTGTTTGCTTTCATTTGTCATTTTCAACTTCGCTGTCCACTTTTTGTTAGCCCAATAAAAGCGTCCTAGTTCAAGATTCACCGGATAATATCTTGTGTTCTGCTGGTTTCAATTGAGACATATAACATGTTTGTTTGAGTTTTACTGTTTCAGAAAGACAAAAGGAAACATCCGGATTTGAACTTTAAATCATGTGGGTTGGTTGGGTTGGGTTGGGTTGGATTGGGCTGAATCTCAGCCCAGTCTAGAATCAAGTGGGTCCAGGATGGCATTTCGAGCTAGTACAAGTGACAAATTGAAATGGGCCTAGCTATGGGTTACATTGAGCTTTCTCTAGCCCAAATTTGTAAGAGTTGTGTCCTGCCAGCGCTCTAGCAAAATGCACTATATGAAATGAATTGGTGTCCTTACATTTCTTGCAAAGCTTGTTGTTTGTTACTTACAAGGAAACAAGTGTGACAAACTAAACTAAGAAAACCTTTAAAAGTTGTGTTCTCTCTCTCTCTCTCTCTCTCCTTCCATAGTTCAGCATGAAGGCGTGAAAGACTAATAGCCCGCCAGTGATGCGTCGTTAATTTTATAATACAATTAAAGGCATGAAGATGGCAACAAATAAAAAATAAAAGCATGAAGATGGCAGTAAATAAAAATTAATAATTAAAAAAACGTTGATCATCAGAACAGAGCAAACGTGGCAGGATCAAATCGATACTTATCCATCAATCTGGGGTGGGATTTATCCAAGCCCTCCTCCTCGTCAAAAGGTCAGATAGCGGGAGGTGAACCGCGTCTTCCGTTTTCTTGGCATCTATACTATAAAGCTTTTGAATTTTGGGATTTGGGAACTGGGAATTGGGTTTTATAATTTGTTTAAATAAATTATTAATACTATGTATTAATGGGTAGAAATCGGCCCACTCAATTTCCCACCATTTCCATTTCCGTCTTCCATTTTCCGCAGAGATAGAGAGAATGAGCAAAGATGACGACGGCCCAGAAAGCAGAGGGTCGATATCAAGGCCGTACGATTGGCTGAACAACTTCCAGCGCGATCTCATGGCCGGGGCGGTGATGGGCGGGGTTGTGCACACCATCGTGGCCCCAATCGAGAGAGCCAAGCTCTTGTTGCAGACCCAAGAGAGCAACTTGGCCATTCTTGGGGGTGGACGTACGAGATTCAAGGGCATGGTCGATTGTATCGTCCGTACGGTTCGAGAAGAAGGCATTCTCTCTCTTTGGAGAGGCAATGGCAGCAGTGTTCTTCGCTACTACCCTTCCGTCGCTCTCAATTTTTCCCTCAAGGTATTCTTCTTCTCTTCCCCTTCTTCGTTTTCCAAGATTGTATTTTATTGTGTTTGTCTGATTGGTTCTTAATTTGTCGTCAAGGCCCTCTTTTGCTATCACATTAGTTAGGGGACATGCATAAAATGGTCCAAAAGTGTAATTTCGGAAACTGTTTGTTTCAAATGGGTTTGTGATAGCTGGGATTGATGAGATTGTCTTACATATTAGGAATGAAGAAACAAAACAAAAGTACAGGTTTAAAAAAATGTAATCTTGTTTTCGCATCTTCTATGTTATGTGTGTATGTATATATGCTTGCTTATATATAGTTTGGCATGGTCCTGTTTACTAAGAGAAAGGAGTGTAAGAAACTTTATATTGACATCTCGTGATGGCCTGTAATGCAGCCTTGTTCAGGCCATGTGAACTTGTACTGTCTTATATGTAGTTTGTGGCAATCTTGATTTTATTGAGGGTATTCGTTGGGAGAATGATAGGATAACGACTCTGATACGTGAAGTTCAAATATCTGTTTTTTCCGCAAAAGAATCCATGTTCTCAGTATGCATCCCTCCATACTTGCCTGCTAACTATCTGGCAGAATTTTACAATGGAGAAAGGAAAGGGAAGAAATCCATTCATTGACGTTACAAACAAATTTGTGTCTAATAACCAATCCACCATTACTGAGGGACTTTTTGTCTGGTCTGGAGATTACACTATAATTTTGAATAATTGCTGTAGGAGATAATATCTGGTTGAGAGTAAGCGGAGTGTTTATGAGGGGTTTGGTCACTAAGCACGGATGCTCATAGGCTTTTTTCTAAAGGAAGAGGGAAAGGTTGCAATGCTATTCTGGCTCCCCTACTCTAAGGTTGTGAGTGGTCTTTAGGTCAACCGTTGGCATGGTTTAATTAGGTCTGGGAACAGCATTGGCATGTCAATGTTGAGAATGAAATGATAATGGTGGGTGTTCATCTGAAGAACCACTGAAAACAACTAATTGAATGAGTTCCTTAAAATGTACAGAGTGCTCTGAGGTAGAAAGACTGAAAATGTGTGATTCTCTTACGCTTGTAAAGAAGAAAGGGAGGAAAATTTTCCCCTCAAGAGGGAACTCTCAAATTCTGTCACTGCGAGTACTGTGATCTTGGGTGGGAGGGTGCCCTTCACTTGTTTAGCTTGAAAAAGAAAATTTGAAAAGAAAAAGTAGTAACTGAAATGCAACTCCAGGAGAAAGAGACTTTTAGAAGATCAACCACACCAAACCCGTCTATCTTGATTTCTCATGACATGTGTCCCCAAATGTATATTATCTCTCGTTGGTGATGTTTTTGTCATATGTAAATATAGGAGGGCAGAACTGATTAGGAGGGTAACATAGATAAGCATTAGACCCTGATCAGATGGTGTCTAAGTAGCATAAATAGATATAGAAGATGATGTTTGGATTAGTCAATCAGTACTTTTTAGAACTTATATTTATTCAAATGTTATTTTACATGATTTAACGATACATGTAGTCATTAATCTAAGTCAGTAGATAAAGTTCCTAATACCATTTTTGATTTTAGCGTATTCATGTTGAAGTCTACTGTTCTAGTTCTTATTTACTATGGTGGTTGATGGAGTAGTTCTAAATTGCAGATGAAGATTTCATAGTCATCATAATATCATGTAGTGCAGGATCCTTACAAATTAATTTCTTTTACAGGATCTTTATAGAAATGTGTTAAGAAGTGGACACTCTCACGATGGTCATTTTTTGTCTGGTCCATCTGCTAACTTCATTGCTGGAGCTGCTGCTGGCTGTACAACATTGATTATAATATACCCACTTGATATTTCACATACCCGCCTGGCTGCTGACATTGGAAGAACTGAAGTCCGACAATTTCGAGGCATCTACCATTTCTTGTCTACCATTCTCCAAAAGGATGGGATTCGGGGGGTATACAGAGGGCTTCCAGCCTCTTTACAGGGGATGGTCATCCACCGTGGCCTTTACTTTGGAGGCTTTGATACGATAAAAGAGATTTTGTCAGAAAAGTCTGAACTTGAGTTGCCATTGTGGAAGCGTTGGGCGGTGGCTCAGGCAGTCACAACCTCTGCTGGGTTGTTGTCATATCCACTGGATACAGTTCGGAGGCGGATGATGATGCAGTCTGGCTTGGAACAGAGGATGTACAATAACACATTGGACTGCTGGAGGAAGATATATAGAACAGAAGGGGTGACTTCATTTTATCGCGGGGCAGTTTCAAACATGTTTCGGAGTACGGGTGCTGCTGCCATTTTGGTTTTGTACGACGAGGTCAAGAAGTTCATGAATTGGGGTGGATTATAGCAGGAAATCACTTTTCCCTGTCGCTTCATCTTTAACCACCCCCAAAAAAAAAGGGATTTAGAGTAGTAGGATTAGAATGACGCAGAAAATGGGAATTCAATTACAACACGAATATTTTGTAAAGCGCAGATGAGTTTGATATTGTAATTTTGTAGCATGGAGTGATGATGACATTCATTTTTGCCACCATACTTTTTGAGGCTCTGGCAATTTACTCAATGATTTTCTTTTGGTTGAAGAAAGAAAAGTGGCTATTGTTGGCATACATATATATGTATATATGCTGTCATGATCAACTTTTCTTTCTGTTGGCTTCTTTAAGTTTTCTTTGTCGAGATGTCATAAAATTGAAGAGCATTCAGAAGCAATTGATTTATATATTCAGACCTTTGCTTCGCTTGCATCATTTTCTTGTGATGTCTTGGAAAAATTCCTTTGCTTCTTTTTCAAGTGAATTGCCCAACTTTTTCTGATAGTTCAAAGAAAGCAGAAAGTGCATTGAAATTCCCACGGCATTATAGTTTTGTGTGTGTGAGAAATTCTCCTCCCTTGTAGTTCGGTTGTACTAAAAAAAACAAAAAAACCAGAAAGTGGAACAACACTTCAATTTATATCATCATATATGATAATTGATTGAGAGAAGGATTCCTTACCGGCTTTGCAGTCCATCTGGTGTGGGCGTCACCACTCACTCACTCGCTAATCTATCTGGTGGAGACTTTAACCGGGCCGCCTAACACACAAATTTTCTCTTTAATTTTCATATTATTTGACTTGTAATATTCTGAGTTTTATATTACAAATTAATTAACTGTTTTCTTCTATTTTTGTAAAATAAAACTGAGAATTAAAATAAACAGAAGCAAACATGACAAATAAAAAATTATAAAATTAAAGGGTTACACTAACTCTGGTAAAGTGCCTGCCTAAAGGGAGCTTTTGCCACTTTAAACTAGTGCAAAGTGTTAACTTAAAACCCTACCATTAAGGGAACTATATGGGCTGCCCAATACTCCATTATTTTAATAATAAAATATGAGCCCTTTTTAGGTCTCTTGCAGAAATAAAAAAATATCCATTTTCTTTTCAATCAACTCCAAATTGTTTTTTTTTAAATTAATTTTTTGCACTTTCGTATTTAACAAGAGGAATCACAAGGAGATTCTTCTGACGCGAGGCTGTAAAGATTCTACATGGAGGGCCCACCATAGAGTCAATCAGACCCACTGCATGTCTGCCACGTATCATCAACTGATTAAAAAGCAACAAAAATAATAATTAAAGGTGGACACGCACTCTTGGACTGTGGGTGTGGCATTGTGTGGTTTGTGGCGGTGGTGGTTGATGGTTTTGCTCTCGTCACCCCCCTCACTAATTAAGCTGTCTTTTCCAAAGACAAAGGAAAAGATGGGGCCCCATGCTTTTGATGGTGATGTGTTGTTGGGTTCTAACCCTTAATTATCACCCTTCACATCCCATCATTCTTTCCTTAATTGGGAAATGATTTATGGAGAGGCTCCTCTTTGTACCACAAATTCCTCATCAAATTAGAATCAACTTTGTTGCTTATGTTAATCGCCCTGACTTTTGTGTGTTAATCTTTTATTTATCTCTCGTTATCGTATTTACAAGTGAGATTCCCACTTGTAAATATATCTTAACTGTGTTACGGTCAGTCACATTTTATGTAGGAAATTGAATGATGAAAAATAAGTGTCGGTTCATGAGCCTAGGTAAAAGCAATTAGGTAAACTCATGAACGTGGCAGTATGTGTTGTCCAGGGTGTTGAAGAGGCATCCCACATCAAATTGATAATTGTCTCATGCATGGTGACAAATTTACATTTGATTTTCAGGTGAATCTACCTGTCCCACTTATAAATAATAAAAAATTTGAATCACCCAAGTCCATAATGGTCAAGCTGTTATTTTCCATTTTATTTTATTTTACAATTTTAAAAAAAGGGAATTTTTAGTTCACAATAAATGGGTGGAACCTTATTTTATGGGATAATGGGATCAACCGCTATTAAAGAGATAGGAGATGAAGCACAGTGTGGTATATAAATGTGATAGTATTTTCGTAATTTAGGAATATCTAACAGTAGAGCAATATTGAAAGCTTTGTCATTTTCACCAAGAACCCCAAGGCTATGCTTAGCCAAGATTTTGATATTGATGGCCAAAAGGAAGAATCAAAAGATATTTAACAAGTCCTAATACTACGACGACCAGGCACTACTAGTACTAGCTGTTGTTTACTTTTTTTTTTCTTTTTTTTTGGGTCTGAACCTGTTGTTTACTTGGGAATCAAAGAATACACTACAATTTCAACGGCCTTGATTGATCAATAATTGCAAGAGGGACCCACACCGGTACTCATCGTCCAAGCCATTTATATAAAAGTGAGTAGAAATAACATTTTGTTTCCCTTAAATTAAAAAAGGGGTAAATTTACAATCTATATTCTATATATTAAAATAGGACAAAATATACATCACATTCCATTGCCACTACCAGAACCCAGGACTTTGAGTTCAGTTCAGTTCAGTTCAGAGAGAGAGAGAGAGAGAGAGAGAGAGAGAGAGAGAGCGAGAGAGCGCAAGAGCTAGAGCTAGAGCTACCTACGGTCTACCTACCAGGAAGTCCACAGATCGGACGGTCCTGAAGCTCCTGATGGTCCAATAATTGGTATAATAGTATCATCATCAGGGAGTGTGGGGCCCAATTTACTGGAGACTGAGCTAGACTGTTTAGAATCTAGATCGAAGTCGTTGGACGTGGATCAGAAGCGATCGATGTACGTAATTCAGCAAACATGTCCCGTATACGACACTGAAAGCGCGAGTAATTCAGTACAATACGTCTCCACCCAAACAAACTCGCTATTTTTTCCCCTAATTTAATTTCAGAACAATACTAATTAATACTAATTAATAATAAGCAGCCCATAATATTGATGAGACCAAAAATTACAGTTAATATATAATTATAAATATAGAGTGATGGAGATAGAGATTTTGATTTTCTATGTACTCTCAAATCATACCCAGAGGGCACCGACTTGGACCAGTTTGGGGACGAGGTGGCCGCTGAGGTGGAGGGCCACGAGAGATTCGAGGCCACCGACGCTCGTGCCGCCAATGAAAACGGCGGGCGGAGTATTACAAGGTTGTTGCTGATGTTGCTGTTCTTCGTTGTTGTTGTCGTCCGAGGACGAGGACGAGGACGAGGGGAGGGCGGCGATCTCGTGATCGTCCAATTCGATGACGGTGGGGTGGACCCCAATCGTGGCGAGGAGCTTCTTCATGACGTGGCACATGCAGCAGGAGGTGCGGCTAAAGATGATGACGGGGTGCTCGGAGATGAGGCGCCGGATGCGGGTCTCGGCGGACTCAGCCACGTCGATGGAGAGGGAGGAGGGGTTGTTGGAGGGAGGGCCGGGAGGGGAGGGCGGGGTCGGGCAAGGGGAGAGGCCGAGGTGGACGATGTCGTTTGAGCAACGCCGTAGGCCTTGCATCGCTGCCGGAAGAGCCAGAGGAACTAAAAGTGGTGAAGAAGAGTTATAAGAGAGAGAGAGAGAGAGAGAGAGGTGTGGTGAAATGATGTCAACGGAGGGCAAGAGCAAAGGCAAAGACAAAGGGGAAAGAATTAAGGTGGAAGGTAAGTGGTGGGTTTGAGAGAAGGGGGGGGGTTTTTATAAATATAAAGGAGAAGGGCGAGAGGACGGGGTGCGTTTGCTTACATCACTATGTACTGTGTGTATACATAGGTTCTTTTGGATCGAAGGTTGTGACATTTCTATACCCACGCGCCAGTTTTTTCTATAAAGTTTTTCAACTTAATAATTGCTTTGGTTTTTTAAAAGTAAAATCTAATGTCCTTAGAGCATTCACAGTGGGAATGTGTATTTTCGGGGTATAAAGTCACTTTTATATCCTTTTTACACATCTAAATAGTGTAAATATGTTTTTTGCTCCAATGGGAAACGATGTAAATTCAAATATGCATATTTGATTTGTTTGTGATAAATCTTTTTGTGTGTTTTTTTGTGTGTGTATGTTTTAACTTTTTAAAATTAATTTTGTGTGTATTAGATTTATTTTATTTTTCAAACTAAATGGACCTACAAAAATTTATATTTGGAGAACATATGATTTTACATACAAACTAACATAATAATATATATGTAGAAATCTGGGTCATTGGATGTGCAATGCAAATTGCATGAAAATCTAGGCCATCCATTTTGAATTCCAATCATTCTCTTTCCATTTTTCTCTTGTGGGTCCCGCTTGCAAATGATGTAAAAAAAGATGCAAATGTGCATCTAATTTTACATCTCCATAATAGGGGTGTATTTTTACAACCATTTACATTTTTTGATTGGAGATGATTCCCGCGACAATAGGTATATATTTAACATACACCCCCTTATACACCCTCCCATTATGAATGCTCTTAGAGCTTATACAATCACGCATGAGAAAACGATTAAAGCTATTAGCATCTCATTAGTAGGGTTTTGGTACTCACATGTCAAATCTCTTCACCTATGTTTTATATGCAGGTATATAATACTTATATTACTTAAGTACTAGGTGATATACGTATGCCACATCAGCATAGCATAATAATGTTGATGTCATTTATTTAGTTTAACTATCAGCTAGTTAAATTAATTAGCTTTCTTTAAAAATAAATAAAAAAAAAAAAAAAAAAAAAAAAGATGGGCTTCCAATCCAATGATTGTATAAGACATCAGTTTTTGAGAAATAGAAAGGTGAATTTTCTTTGAGTTTTTTTTTTTTCAATCTTCCTTTGATATATTGAGAAGAATACTCGTAATCTTTCAATTCTTTTATTCAAGTTCTTGTCAACTTCATTCATTTGATTATTTTAGTAATTAAAAAAATCTTGAATGTAATGCTAATTGCTCTTAATCAGTTGAGTTCGCCATATATTATAAAAGAAAATTATAAAACGAAATGTTTTACTTAACCAAACTATTGTCGAATTTAGACATAATTTCAAGAAAATTAACCAAGTGCTCTAAGTAAGGGGTGGAGACACATATAATCTTGAAATGGATGTGACCTCCCTAAGTCGTAGAAACTATTTTGAAGTTTTATATAACCTTTGAAAACTTGTGTGTAAATACGTAAACTTTTTTACTCCCGTGTAAGTTCATGAATTTTTTAACTATACGCTTCTCAATATGTAGTCTACCTCTCTAGTTAATATTTGACATCTAGTCCTGGCATTGTCTCATATGTTTTCCTCCTCATTTCGTTAATGAGCAAGGAAAATACTTCAAAACCAAAATAAATAAACAAAATAGAGGTAGATGAATGAATGATTAGAAGATGGAGGTACACGAGCTAAGCGAGCGCGTGGTTGGTGGGGATCCATTAAGAAAATAATACGGTAGCTCGGAAATGCTGGATATTTGCCGGTGGATTAGCTTGGGAGCAGTCACATGGGGGGGGTGAGAGAGAGAGAGAGAGAAGAGATAGTCATCGTAGTAAATGAGGATGACGTCAGATTGACTTCGACGTGGAACGGTAAGATTGAACCTTGACGTAACAAAAAGCTAAAGAAGCCCTCTCTCTCCACCCCAGAGCCCCAGTGTGGTAAAAAGCAGGGTCAGCTGACGTGGACAAATATGTGTGCTTGGGTTTTGCTGGGGTGCCACTCCCCATGACATAATCATCGGAGCTAAATCACACTTTCCTCGTCATCGTGACGTTCCCCAGCAGACACGTGGCGTTGTCTTTTACTTTCCCTCAGGCACGGGGGAGGAGGCTGTGGGCTTGGGGGAGATTAGATGGCGTGGCCCAGCCTACTTTTGGGTCTGCATGGGCACAACCAATGGCAGAGCACCACGTGGGTTGTCGATATGCTAATGCGGAGGTGACCTTTGTTGTGTGTGTGGATGGATGTGGGGTTGCGGGACCCACCATGATTGATGAAATTGAGCCTTGGGAATTTTGTGAAAGGTGCACCGTTGATGGTGGTAAATATGGTGTCTGCCATATATCGTGTGGTTGTTTAAGATATGAGTTGAAGGGGATTGCATCACACGTTGGAATGGCCCACTCTTTTTTCCTTTACAAGCTCATACTTTTCATCCCCTTCTCGTTTTTTTTTTTATTTCTTTAAAATTAAAACCAGGGGCTCCATGTAAGCTTATGAATAATGCCCCACATCAGCATCTAACAAAGGATGCAAACCCACGATTGACCCACTCTTTAGTCATTACAATATGGCCAGCTGTCATCGTATGAGTAAATGTTAGTATGTTGAGTAATTAGTCTGTTAATTAGTCGACTATATTACGTGGTTAATCAGTATTAGATAATATATTGATTGTATTATATTGTTTGAGTAATAGAAAGTATTTTCTCTCTGTACATTGGGTAAAGGTTGAACAAGGGGTTCTAACAAAGGAGGGTGAGTGTAGGTATATCCTCTAGAATTATAGCTATATACAATTTCGTATTTGATATATTTATGTTTCAGACTCTTGAGTTTTTTTTTAATTTTTTTATTTTAAACACAAGCAATAGTCTAACTACAAAAAAGACGATGTTTTCTCACACACGCACTATCAAGGTGTCATGAAGGTTCGAATTTGAGACCACTAATCTACAAGTCAATGTCTTTTCTAATGGATTAAACCTTGTTGGCTTAAACTTCCTATCTTTGATATGATCATTATCACATTAGTAAACTTACTTTTGGTAGTTAATATATATTCCATTTGAAACCTAATTAAGAAGGAACATGTCTTAATTTGGGAACTAGAATGAGTTGATGGGGTGGTCCAAATCCAACTTTTTTGGCCGCAAAAAGTAAAAAACATTACTTCTATTTGAAGATACAAGGGTAATTTTCGTGATGCGACTAGCACGCATTAATTGGCAATAAGATTTTGAAACTTGTCCAGCTATTTTCCCATTTGCTCCATTCCACATATCTTCCCCAAGTATTCAGTTTGCCTTTTTCAAAGTCAACACACCCTGATCATACAAATTATCTACATGTCAAATTTAATATTATCCCTCACGAAAATTTATTTTTTCTGATCGTGACATAGAAGATCTCTCATGATTTAAATATTTTCTAGTGGTAAGTAGAAAAGGGCCTAAACCTAACTTTTCTTTAAATATGTAAATTAAGCAATATTTATAAAGATATTGGTGTGAAATAAATAGGGCATGCTTATGCATTCGTTGTCCTCCTTAGCAAAATACTTTCATATTTCATTTAAATACATTTTATTTTCTATTTCTCTTCTTTTGATAGACGACGACGCGACGAGAGTTTTCGATAAATGACGTCGTGTCGAGAGATATAGATAAAACAGAGTAATGATACTTCATCTTATCTTGACCTTGTCTTGTTTATCAAAAATCCACGCCTGCTTGTTTGAAACTTGTGAACAAATCACAAACCGAAACGAAGCAATGGAAATGAAATGAAGCGTCGTGGACCAAAGAAATTAAGATGAATTGCTGCTTTTTGATATTGGAAGAGTGTGGCGCTCGTGGTCGCCATGCTGGAGGTCAAATCTGAAAAGCCATATCCTCCCATATATAACAAGTCGTCATGCTCAGCGTCAGCATTTCAGACTTGAGAGGTAGCTGAAATGATCATCCACTACCTCTTTAAAATTAAATGTGGAATTAATAATGGACCAAATCTTAAATCCATTTGCCAGAGGGAGGACCCAGAGAGAGGAGAAAGACACTTCGATTGTCTCCCTCCAATGTGTCTCAAAATAAATAAAAGTTTTCAGTACAAGTTGATGCTGCAGAGCCGGCAAAAACTGCTATGGATGGCAGGGCTGAGCTAAGCCAAGGGTGCAATTCAATTGGCAAAGCTTCCTTCCATTTCAATTCTCTCTCTTTTTATTCATTCATTACATGCAGAATTTATTTATTTGAGGTGCAATTTTAAATAAAAATTAAACTACCATTTCTTTATATTATTTGAGGTGTTTCCTTGGGTCCCATATCATGGCTACTTGTTCATCAGATTATCAAAATGCTGACTAATGGCATCAATTTTCCACATTATCGACTTGTGTCTTTCACATGTGGATCCATAATAATAGCTAGCTATGCATGCTTTGCCCACATAATATTCTGTATTTGTGACGAGAGCAAGGCCGGTCTTAAGATTTTGAAGGCCAAAATTTAAAAGGGAGCCTTTCATTTAATATGAAAATATTTATAAAAAAATCTGCCATGACTTAATATCATAAAACAATTTTCTTCATAACTAAAATGCATCATCTGTTAGCATGCAACAACAATTATAAATAACATTTATAAAAGTTTTAATATTTCAATTTGAGAAAATAGAAGAGGAAGAAGACATGAACTTTTTTGTTTCCTTTTGAGTGGGTGAAACCATACACTCCAAATTTTGTTGTTGATTGGAGAAAGCTTGTATATATTGCTTTCCTCTTATTTGAGGTGCTTCCTCTATTTTTTATTTTTATTTTAACAATAAAAAACAGAGTAGAAATGTAAAAATAAAACTACTGAATGACACAATATAGACTCGAACTGAACTTGCCTACTAAAATCAAGGTGACGAATTCCAACTCAACAAAATACACACTTGTATTACTTTCTTGCATGTTCAAGTATATATATAATACCTATAATATACATTTTTGGGGCCCTTCAGAATTAGAAGTGTTGTGCGGTGACACCATTTGCACACCCTCAATGCCTCCCCTAGATGAGAGATAAACATCTATGCAGAAAACTATTTGATTAAAGATCTGTTTAGTTTGTGGAATGAACTTTTCAAACACGTAAATGCAACTTCATATCTATTCATAAACTTCTAAATCTTAAACCAAACGGACCTGATAGTTTCGGCCCACTGAATCACACTGTTTTTCCTTTCAAATCACAAAAAAGAAGATCCTATACTTGTCCTGTCATACTTTACTTTAATTTGACAGCTACGATAATAATATTATACATATTGAATCATAATTAAGTGAATAAAAAAATTACAGAAACTTGTGCCAGATTAAGGGATGGACGGAGGGTAAGAAATAACCCTAATCCTGAATGATTTGACGGGTAATTTAAAACCCAACCCACTGAGAACTTTGACGTTTTGTATATATGCAGAAAAAAACAAAAGAAAAAAAAAGCTTGGGACAAATAACTATCTGATACAAAAAGATGAAAGGAACACATATTTTTAAACATAGGTTTGCTGCCGACCCTTTATTTAAGTATGAACCAAAGCGTTTGTTTATTAGGAGGAAAGATAGAAAGTAAAGAAAAGCAAGCATACATGGTTGGAGTGGGGGACCCAGAAATCGCGTAGATTATTACTAACAGTGGACAACAAAATGAGGTCACCCTCTTCTTCGCTATCTTGCTTGCCTCGGTGTGTTATTAGAAAAGCCATGACGACACCCATCTCTCCCCTCCGCTCACGTATATATCATTTAACAGTAGTGTTGGTGCCAACGGGTTTAGTTAAAAAAAAAAGGGGGCTTTGATTTGCGAACTAATAATTTTAAATTCGAATTCGCATGACACCCATTTTCTCACACATATATATATTATTTAACAGTAGTGTTGGCGACAACGAGTCTAGCTTAATAAAAACAGACTTTAACTTGCAAAACTGGTGATTTCATATTCGAACTTGCATGACACTTTAATAGTGCGTATAAGAAACTTCATTTTTTTGTATTAGACTATCATTTGTATTTTAAAAAGAAAGAGAAAAAAAAACAGTGTTGGGTGTGACAAGTTGACACTATTGGTGGAGGGGAAGGGAGGGCTCGTCTTCTTAACCAATAAAATACGTAATGCTTGGTATTGTTGTTAATGATGATGCTAACAATCACTATTAGCGGTATATAATTCATTCAATTAATAATAAAAAAAAGAAGAAATATAAATTATATTTAATAGAGTAAGTAATAAATAAGTAATCCCAAGGTTGGAACTTGGAAAACTGCAAGTTCATACGTCATTCTTCTTAACCTTAGTCCTTATGTGCACGTGATCGGTGTTGTTTTTGGTCATTGTTTATATTATCTCCTTGGGATTTTTCTTCACACAAGTCTAAAGTCTTCAACCATCTGTCGTCATTCCTTCATTTTCACAGCACATCGCCTTATTCTCATGTAATAAACTATTTGTAATATTATTATTAATATTTAATGTGTTGGAATTCAGCACGGATGAATTCAAAACCGTTAATATTTAGTCAATCTACTACAAGATTGAATTGTGAATTTTTCAATCCAATTCACTCCAATTCAATCCGAAAAACAAAGAATAATTTAATACGTGATATCATATCGGTTTCGGAACTTAGGGATCCAACTAAATACTCCACACAAAATTATCATTTTTTTCCAGACCACACCTTCATCGTCGAAACCAATTAAAATAGGATTGGGTCGAGTCAAATTATTGTAGAGCACACCCAAAGCCCAGACCTTTTGTCCTTATGAAAGCTCAATTCTCAAAACGCTTAAAAATTGATGTTATCAGTGATGAACCCAATACGGCAGCCCACTAATTCAAATAGACAGAATGGCGGGCCCGCATATCACATAATAGTTTTGGGTGAGACTGAGATGAGACTGCTTTTTATGTGGTTTCCTTTTTCCCATTTTGTTTTTCATGTATTTATTGGAATCAATAATGGTCAACTGAGCATATTCCAATATCCAAAACCAACTTTCTGGTTTGTTCCATTTAGAGAACAAAAGACGTCTCCTCATGTATTCAAATTTTTTTTGGGAGTCTTACTATTATACCCAATATAGGAGTCTGAATTATAAAAAAATTTCAAAATGAAATGGACTTTAGAAACACACCAAAAGTTTATTTACAACATAACAAAAATACTTTTAACTTCTTTTAAATTATAAAATTACCATTGATTTCTTGAAACAAACCTAACCTCATAAAAAAAGCCCAAAACACTCAATAGGGCTTCAAAGTAATTTAATAATCAAAATTAAATTCAATAGCAGCTGTCATTTTTTGGGTTTGTTTATAGAAATTAAATGGTGTAGGATTTGTCTATATTATTAGTGCTAAAAATGAGTATATGACTATTTTTTTTTCTTCTGATAATTAATGCAGATGTGGACTCTCTTGTTGGTTTATGCATAAAATAAAAAATTTCTCAAATTTTTTGATTTAAAACTTAAAAAATTATTAATTGATTGTTGTTGAACATATTATAAATAATTGATTTTGAGCATAATTGAGCACAAATAAAAAGTGGTATATCAGCTATTGGGCTCATGTTCTTCATATGGCCCAAAACGTTGAGAAGGTTCTAGAGCTTTGAGGTGTTTGCAATTTGTTGTGCGATCTCATTACATTGACAAGTGGAAGAAACTTCTTACAAAGTTGAGAGACACCGTCCGCTCATCTCTCTAGAACTTTCCTTTCCACCGCCTTAAATATACATCTTCTCTCTCCTCCGCATGACAAACAACACTCCCCGGAAGATCTCAAAGCTCTCAAATTTCACTCAAAGCTCAAATTGATCAACTAAATTCCGTTAAATTGCATCCAATTCCAAATCCCAATTCTTGAAACTCTCTGGGAATGTAAAAAATCCTCACTTGAAAGTGAGAGCACGAATTGGGGGTGCGTGAGAAACAGAGCAATACCATGGATGGAGTGGTGGTGAAAGAGGAAGAGATTGTGACATGCACTGTTGGTTCATCATCCTCTTCTTCTTCAAGCTTCTCACCTCAGCCAATAGAGGGCTTACACGAAGTGGGCCCTCCCCCTTTTCTCACAAAGACCTTTGAAATGGTGGAGGATCCTTCTACAGACGCCATTGTCTCCTGGAGCAGAGCTCGCAACAGTTTCGTTGTTTGGGACTCTCATAAGTTCTCCACCACTCTTCTTCCTCGCTACTTCAAGCACGGAAACTTCTCCAGCTTCATTCGTCAGCTTAATACATATGTAAGTGATTCTCAAAAAACATGAACTTTATTGCATCGTCTTCATATTGAATGCAGAATTCTACATGGGTTCTTTTCTTTTTTGCAGTTCCCTTTTAGTTTGTGGGCTGACATGAAAAAATTGAGAAATCAACTAATAATAAAGTTGGTTGCTTGCTAATTACTGTAACATTTTTGGTTCAGTGTAAGAATTTCAATTATTGGTTGTCATGCTTTTTTTATTCTTTCTGCAACTCTGTTAACTAGTTTCGATGCTCTCTTTGAATTTCTTATAAAAGCAATTCCCTTTCTTCTGATGGTCATGAATCATGATTTGATTTCATTGCTCCTCAGTAGGGTTTGCTAATTACATACTTGTTTAGTAAATTTCAATGCTTGCTCATCAACTGATTGCATGCAGGGTTTTAGAAAGGTTGATCCTGACCGATGGGAATTTGCAAACGAAGGGTTTCTGGGAGGGCAGAGGCATTTACTGAAGACCATCAAGAGGAGGAGGCATGTGTCACAGAGTATGCAACAAGAAGGTGGAGGAGGAGCTTGTGTTGAACTGGGCCAGTATGGACTGGAGACTGAGCTTGAAAGATTGAAGAGAGACCGAAATGTTTTAATGACTGAAATAGTGAGGCTGAGGCAGCAACAACAAAATTCAAAGGAACAAGTCATGGCAATGGAGGGTCGGTTGCAGACCACAGAGAAAAAACAACAGCAGATTATGGCTTTCCTTGCTAAAGCACTCAATAGCCCATCTTTTATCCAAAACCTTGTTGAGAAGAAGGCTCGGAATAAAGAGTTGCGTGGTATGGAAATTGGTCGAAAGCGGAGACTAGCAGCTAGCCCCAGTGTGGAGAATCTGCAAGAAAAACCTAAAACCCATGTTGTGGACTACTCAGCAAGCCAAGATCAGGGAGAGTTGGAAACTATGGAATCGCAGATTGAGACCTTTTTCTCAGCTGCTGCATTGGATAATGAATCAAGCAGTGATATCATAGACCCTCATTCAAGTTCAGTTGGTGGCAACTTAGGCATTGTTAATGAGACTACATGGGAGGAGCTGTGGAGCGATGAGCTCATTGGTGGCAATCCGGAGGAAGACGCTATTGTGGTGGGCGATGAATCAGATATTGACGTCGCGGTGGAGGATTTGGTTGCAGAGCCAGCAGATTGGGGTGAGGACTTGCAAGAACTTGTTGATCAAATGGGTTATCTAATCAGGTCCAAGCCTTGATGATAAGAAAATGTCTGTGGTGGTGAAGTGGTTGTGTGCTGAGTTGGTCCCTGCAACCCCATTCCTATCTTATATCCAGATATTGGTATATGATTTAAGAACTTCGGTTTCATTAATTATTTGTATGTGTGTGTTATTTGTTTTGTGAGTGAAAATAATATATGATTTGTGATGCAGCATGGGGGATGGTCAAAGTTGCAAAGGGGCCAACGATGTAGTAGCTGTTTTTTCAGTATCCTTTAATAATTATTCATATCTAGTGTGTTAAATATTTTCTTGGCACTTTCAAAGTTGTTTCAATGGTTTTGATTTGCTGTTTCTTCTTTGATGCTTTGCAGGCGGACCGGCCGACGGAGACCTTTGAGGGGTTCCGTTCCTTGAACTTATACTTCTGATATAGCTTCAGATTGCTGTAGTCAGTGTACATTTGTTCATTCAAGTATGTATATTTGGCACTTAGCAGTTAAGTCAGTTATCTTGTATGCTACTATTGGAGACCTGGAGTGCATGAAGTTAGTTTCTCTACAAAAGATGAGAAAGTGGTTATTGGTGTTCAAATGCCTTTCATTGAGTGCTGCAGATCCACTGCGTTAAGAATTTCTGCTTGCAAATGTTGAAGAAACTTCTCACTACCTGAAATTATGTAAATATAAAAACAGTTGATTGTACATGTCTTGTTCAGGGCTGCTGTGTTGCTAGCTGTTTTTAGCTTAAACTGTCACTCTTCCTGTGATGCAATAGAACTCCATATTTGTCAATAAAGTCAACTTTTATTTTGTCATCCATAAATCTATTTCCATGCAATGAAGATACAGATACAGATGTACTTGAAAACAAGGGTTTGCAGAGAAGGCTAAAACCCTGGTGGTTTTATGTTTAAGAACACCTTCCACAACATTAAGTCAAGATGTTATGGTGGTAACTGAGGGCTATTGGTTTGCATTTCGTTGACACACAACAGCTTTCCAGCTTGTGACAGTTCTTTTCGACCATGGGATAAGTAATGAGCGGTGGGCCCGAAGTGCGGATTCTTTTCTTCTTTTTTTTGGTCAATGAAGTGCGGATTCTTAACTCAAATCTAATGGCCCAGCTCTTTTTTATTTATATATCTTGGGCTTGATGGGGACCAAACATAACAGAAGAAAATTAACGCAAGGGTTGGTTGGTTGGTTTTGATAGAAGAAGATATATTTTTCTTCTCATGGAGTTTTGATCGGATAGAAAAATCTAGAGAGAGAGAGAGAGAGAGAGTCATAGTCACTATCCTTGTGTATAATGTAATGTGCATGGAGGATAAAACATATTCCTAGGTGACGTGCACTGTATAGGCACATGAAGACAAGTAGATAGAAACGAATCTCAACATTGCAAAGAAACAGATTCTCATCCGTCAAGACAAATGAGTTAAAACAAGCAAATAATGAGCCACGTGAAATTCCCAGTTGACATAAAAATGGTACAAACAAGGCTACAGACGAGACAGAGGAATTGAAGACTGCTTCCTACTTATTTTCTATGAGATCGATCGTGGAATTCATCTCTAGCCTTCTTGCATTTGGAACCAACCATCACTGGCAATGATCTGTTAAATTAACCCGAAACTGAAAATTTGGTGTCAAAATTATGAATGATTTCAACAACATTACAGTGAAGAATATGTTTTACCATATAACTTTTCGTACAACCAAGCTCCAGTTGTCTTGTTTCGTGTTTGATGAGTAGTACGGTTGGCATCAGGCATGTTGAAGTAAAGTTCGCTTTATGACTCTGAGCTTGACACCATTCTTGAAGTTGAGAACAATGCCATACTCAAGTTGTAGAGGTTTCTCCATTCCGGGAGAGTGCCGGAACACATAGTTCCGGTATAAGTGAATGAGTGAGAGCTTCAGTTCTTGCAGGGAAAACTTTTGACCAATGCAGGATCGAGGTCCGATCCCGAAGGGTATAAAAGCATAAGGATGCCTTTGTTTCACTTCTTTGCAGCTGGGATCAAACCTCTCTGGCCTGAACTTGTCCGGCTCTGGGAAGTTCTTTGGATCTTTTGCTAAAACTCCAAGTGCTAACCAAACCCAAGTCCCCTGCTCCTCTCACAAACAAAAATGAACTACTCCCATAAGACAATTCATATACAAACCATTTCCAGTGTCCACAGAGGAAAAGTAGTTGTACATAGAGATGTTATTAATTTGTGTAAGTAGAACAATACCTTCGGTAGAAGATAACCTCCTATTTCGACTTGTCTAGATGTTTCTCTTGCAACTAATGGGGAAACCATGTAAAACCGCATTGCCTCTTTGATAACCTGCATTCAAACAGCCAATAGATAAATCAAACTCCATTTTCATGTCAGTACATAGAGGCATTTTGCTATTTGAACATTTGTTGGACTTTCAGAAGACTTGCCTGATCAATATAAGGAAATTTGTGTTGAAGATCATGAGCAGTAGGCATCTGATCAGGAGGTCCAAATCCATCAATCTCTGCAAGCAACTTTTCTTCAACTTCTGGGTGTCCAGCAACCAAGTAAACAATTGAAGACAATGTAAATGCTGTTGTGGCTGACCCAGCAAGGAGATGCTCATAAGTAGCAGCACTAATGTAGTCTGGGGTGAAGACATTCTTTGAAACTGTCTCTGACTCCCTTGCATTCATTATGAGTGACAAGAAGTCCTTTGAACCTCTGTCCCTGTCTCTCATTTTCTTCCCTACAATCTCATCAAGCCGGCCGCTTAATTTCCGGTTCGTACGTTCAACTTTCCAGTCCATAGTGCCAGGAATTCTCTTCAAGATTTGCCTGAATGGCTCCTGTAGAATAGGTACAAGTAGTCCCAGTATGATTGATAAGGAGCCTGATAAGTCCATCTTAAGCTGTGTTGTGGAATATATGTGTTGGTTGATAAAGTCTGAGACTTCATCATTGTTAATGTCTTGGGAACCACCAATCTGCTTGTTGATTGAATCACTGATGGATTGTGGTTTAGAAAGGCCAAAGTTGACACCAAAGGCAGCTTGTCCTATCACATCTGTGGTCAATCTGAGGGAGAGATTGGAAAAGGTAATATCTTCTTCTTTGGAGGAGCCAAGTTTTTCAGTTGCAGATTCAATGAAGGACTGCATGGTTGGCACAAGGCTGACTAGGTGTGATGGTTGATACACTGATAATATAGTGTTTCGCATGGCAGACCATCTTTTATCCCTGCAGGATGCTCAAATTCCATCAGATCACTCAATAAATTTATAATAACTTCAACTGATATTTTACACTTTCATAATAATACAATTACGAATTTACGGTACCTGGTGAAAAAAAGACCTTTCTGATGAAGAGGGGAAGCTGAGATGGGAGATGGGATGCTTCTGTTTTGAATGTCTTTGAACTTCTTAATTCCAACTTCTCTACAAAGCTCTGCATCTGCTACAATTATAAGTGGCTGCCTGCCCATATGAAACCTGCCCAAAATATGTAATCAAACAAAATAAACGTGATTTCGACCCAAAAAAAAGGAAGGTGATGACATGAGACATTGAGTTTGTTATGTGATTAGCACCCTCCAACCCTCCTAAAATAAAAATAATTTTTTTTTAAAAAAAAAAGGAAAAGAAAAAGAAAAAAGGGGAGAGTATATTTTTCCAAAATCTATCAGCTTTGTAGCCAAGACCATGAAAAAGAAATGTCACAAAACAGAACAGATGCTACCTTTGCTGATTATTCAGTTAACATAGCATTTGACCTTAAGACGATGAATTTGAAAAGAAACCTTCTTGGGCTGAAGCCATGTGGTCAAGGAAAGTGGGTTAGTCAATTTGGCAGGGCAAATTCAACCTGCCCTTCATGTGGAAATGTTACTTATGGCGAATTTCTAACCCACAATGCAGCAGTGGGAGGGAAGTCTCAGCTTGTTCCTTGTAAGTTGTATCTAACCCTAGCCTACACATATTTCTGAGATAAGCATAATCTTTGTGCTTTATGAGGGTAGTCTAAGTAAGTCTCAGATGATTAACTGAGGAAAATTCTAGATAAAACTCATTTGAGATCAAGGGAAAAAGAAGAAGGATGAAAGTTCATTTGAGTAAAATTGTATGTCTTTTTTCTCATCCACCTAGAAAGCCTAAATATTTGGTCCCAAAAAATTAAGGTTTGCACAACTTGCTACATACACAAATTAATAAACTAACCTGAAAATAGGGCCATACTGTTTGGCAAGAACTGAGAATACATCAGGACCATACTTTGCCAGCAAGGGAAGGTGCCCTACCAAGGGGATAGTTGGTGGGCTAGGTACCCTCCTCACCCCCCAGTAGGGCCCATACAAGTACCCCAAAACTCCTGCCAGTATTGCCAACACTGTGAAGATAGTTGATAGCAGAGAAACATTGGTAAACAACAAGACTTCCAAAACACCCATTGTCTGAGAGACAGAGAGCTCTCTGTGTGTCTCTCTCTACTTGATACTTGATCAAAGAGCAAAGCTTTGGGGTGGTTTAATAGGCTGGGGGTGGAATAAGTGGAGCTCTCACTAGTCACTGAGCAGCATCTGGATGAAGGGTACTTTGCTCCTTTGTCGCTTTTTAAATGATTTTACTCGTGAAAATTTGGGTGCCATTGGTCCATATATTGTACTTTTATCATATTATATGTATATCCTAGCTGGTGACGAAATCATGGCGTTGTTTAAGCATTTGCATAGCATTCTTTCACCAAGTTCTCCAATCAGACAACACCACATTCGCTTCTTCTCTAGGTCAAAAAGATAAAATCATGCGTGATGGAACAAAACGATCATCAAAGATCACGCCTGCTCTACGGAAAATTTTGTTAGGCCCCAACCCAACTGTGCTTTTGGGGGCGTATTTCCTGCAAACCGATGGCTCTTAATCTAGTAAAGATTATGTTAGTGCCGCCACACCTAATGGTAGATAAGGAAGCAAAAGAGAGAGAGGAAACGTGGTCAAGCATATGTTATTGTTCACGCGAAGAGAAGAGCTAGCTTTAGACATTAGTCGCTCCACGTAACGGGATAATGATGTTTTATCCGAACTAATAAACAATCAAACTTGACACTTACACCTAAAGTTCTATCTTCTTTGTTAACCAAACAAATGAATTGAATATGAGCTTTTTATGTGGCTGTTATCTACTTACCTTCTTTGACTACTTTGTCTTGGATGGATAGATGGGAATATTATCTCTCTTTCTTTGCTATGCCACCACCACCAGTAAATGTTGAAATTCCTCTCTCTCTAATTGTGTCTTCACAGCTGAAGCATATAGGATTGGTAGTGCCTAAATTAATCATGTTCTTATATCAGGAATATGTTTTATCCTCCACTCCACACAGACAAGGATTTATTCTTTCAGCATACGTCTATCCCAACAAGGCATGCTGAAGACTAATGTTCAGTGCATGATCATGTCCGCTTTATGACTCTAAGCTTGACATCATGCTTGAAACTGAGAATAAAGTCATAGTCAAGTTGCAGAGGTTTCTCCATGTTAGGAGAGTGCCGGAAAACATATCTCCGGTATAAGTGAATCAGTGAGAGCTTTAGCTCTTGGAGGGCAAATTTCTGGCCGATGCATGCTCGAGGTCCGATGCCAAAGGGTAAAAAAGCATGAGGATGCCTTCGTTTCTCATCTTTGCAATTTCGATCAAACCTCTCTGGCTCTGGGAAGTTCGTTGGATCGTCTGATATAACTCCATTTGTAGAACAAGAACAATTAATACCTTGGGCAGGAAGTCCTTGGCCTCTGTCACATTCTTTCCTTCTCTTTTCAACAATCTGATCAAGCTGGCCACTCAGCTTATTGTTATTGTAATCAATAGTGCCAGGAATTCTCTTCAAGAGCTAAAGATCAGCCAATGGAATTTAATAACTTCAACTGATAGATATGCCAACACTTTATAATAATACATTGCAACAACTTCCCTACGAAGCTCTGCATCTGCTACAAGTACTAGGGACTGTGTGAAACCAATGTTTTGAAAGGCGAGGCGTTGAAGTGAGGCGTTTTATGTCTCGCAAAGCGAGGCGGAAGCCTCGAGGCGATAAGGCGCAAGCCTTTTGAACATTCAATTATCACAAATAAAAATATATTAGTATATTTATAATATGTAAAACATATGATCCATATATGTTGTGAGGTCATTGATTCATAAATTGAAACATTTCAAGCCTCTTTTTAAGCTCTAAATTAATTTAGACTGTTATAGACTGGATATGAATTCAAATTTATAAGATAGGATTCACATCTTGTTTGAATAAATTGAAAGAGAGGCTTCCATTAGAAATATGTGGGTGGATATGGCTGAGAGCTAGTCAAAATTGAAACAGAGGGAAATCTGATTTTTGTGAACCTTCTATTGGGTGAGAGCAGAATATAAAAGGCACAGGAGGGACTAATTAATATAATAATTTTTTATTGTGAAGGAATGGAAGAAGTGAGACCTGAGCTTATTTTATGTTCTTAAACTTAAAAACCATGGATGTTGAAACGCTGGCGTTTTGCTTGACTTTTTAAACACAAAAGCTGTACCATACGGGATCGTTTTGAGAGAAATAAAGTTAGGTTTCATTGTCTTCTTCTCCGCTCTGCAACGCCCTGCAATTTCGCGCGTACGCTTTTGGAATTTGGCGTACGCCTCCGTAACTTGGCGTATGTCTTTAACAACAATCACTAAACAGAGGTACGCTTGAGGCGTTTTACCATCGCCTCACCTCGCCTCACGCTCTCAGGCGCGCTTAGGCATGCCTTTCAAAACATTGTGTGAAACTTGCCGGATATTGTACAATCAAATAATTAAATTTCATGTTACGCACGCGTGGACGACTGACCTTAGCATTACTCAAAAGTCAAAACAACATAATTAAATTACTCAATTTGTTACGAGATCAAATGTTTAACTAACACCCCTCTAACCACACTAAAAAGAGAAAGAAAAATGATGCAAAGAGTAATTTACCCACAATCTAAGAGAGTCCACATCAACCTCTATAGCCATCAAAACATATGCCACAAATAATAGCACTTAAGACCATGAATTTATAAAGGAAACCTTTTTGGGCAAGGATTTTGGGTTGAAGCCGAATGGCAACGGAATAGTGGGTTGGTCAGTTTGGCAAGACAAAGTCAGCCAGCCCTTCATGTGGAAATGATAATTTGTCCAATTAATTTCTAGCCCACAATGAATCAGTGGGATGTCTCAACTTGTCTTGTCCCACTTAAAAGTTGAAAATGTCGTGTTCTGCAAGTCGGTTGATTGACAAGAAAATAAACTTGGTATATATTTTAGGGGTTGAAGTGAGTATTATCTAACCCTATTTGATTTTAGTGTCACCAAGCACCGGAAACAGTACTATACGCTTTATGGGACTGTCCTGCAGCTCGTGAGGTATGGCAATTTTCAGCCCTTCAAGATTCATGTACATCAGAATATCATGGCTGCTTTCTCAATTTATTCCGTTACATCTTGACCGTATTGACTGATAAGGAACTAAGACACTTTGGATATATCTGTTTGAATGTGTGGAATGGAAGAAATGCTCAATTGGATATATCTGTTTGAATGTGTGGAATGGAAGAAATGCTCAATTGTTTCAAGACTGTAAGCCCAATGCTTTGCAAAGTTTCCAACACATGCAGGAGATGGCAGAAGAATTCTATCAAGCGAATCACATGTATTCATGCTCAACTCAAGAGGGTAGTAGCCTGGTGGTGAATTGGGAGAGGCCTCTTGCTCAGTTTTTAAAAATTAATGTGGATGGGGCTTTAAAGACAGATGATAGTGTTATAGAGGGCTGGGAGTTGTTATTAGAGATGATCGTGGAGAGTTGATTGCAGCAGCAGCCAAACCAGTGGGTGGCATGTTTATGCCCAATGTTACTGAATTATTCGCAATCAGATTCGGCCTACAACTTGCTATGGACTTGGGGTTGCAACATATACAATTAGAGTTAGATGCACAAGCAGCAATACGGATGGCTTTCCAATGTGATGCAGATTTGGGCTACGAAGGAGTTTTAGTAAATGAAATTTAGGTTTTGGCTAATTCAGTTCATAGTTGTTTTGGTCAGTTTCGACCTCGTACTTGTAATCGTGCAGCTCATAGCCTTGTATGTTTCACACTTTCTATTTCGGACTTTATAGTTTGAATGAAAGATGGACTGAATGGTTGTCTCCCATTCTTGCTAATGATGTTATGCTTGCTTCTTAATGCAATGTTATGATCTGATTCTCAAAAAAGAAAAAAGAAAAAAAAAGTAACCGATGTTAAAATACAAAAGAGAAGCAAGCACTTATTATGGAACATGATTAGTTCCGTTGGGTTCATTTCCGCAAATTAATTAACATAAGCATCACCCCATTATTTTGTCACAACTTTCACAAGTAGAATAATTTATTTAATAATTTTTTTTGTATAAATGCCATTTGAACTTTGAGGCATATGCGCCATAATCACTCAATTTTTAATTTTAATTTTTAACCACCTAAACTTTGTAAAGTGTTGCAATCCACCACTTATGTCCAACTCCGTTAAAATTTTGGTTAAGTTTAAGGGCATCTCCGTCAATTCACGATAACTAAACATAATTTTAAAAACATAATTTTTTTTTAATAAAAAAGGTTAACCTACCCCTACCCTTTTCCAACGCCAATTCTCCCCCCACCCTCATGTGAATCCAAACAATCCCCTTGCAAATTTGAATGTTTGTCACTCTACACTAGGTATGCAATAAGGACCAAGTTCTGCAATTCCTAATTATATCATATAGTTATATATGTTTTTGGCATGGGCCGGCCAAAGTATACAATCCTAATATTTGCTTATCCGGTTGGAAATTATCACAAGGTGAGTTAAGGAGATTAAACTAGATAGTGTCAGCAAATATGAAGAAGTTGGGCTAATTTGTTCTGTTTTGTTTGAATTGCATGCACAATATTCATGATGAAAGGTACTTAGAGCACTTCCATCCATTTGCCATATTGGCAAAAGGCAAGGGGAGGCAAATGTTGTTACTATTCACATGAATAGTGTCTGCCTTAGCAATTTTTGTTGTTGTTTTTCCACCCATTGCCATGGAAACTCAATTTGTATAGAGTTTTGGTGTATGAAGTGAAGAATATGGGTAGATATTTATAAAAACAAATTCTGAAAATTTTGGTACTTTTTTAGAATTTTTTTTAAATTTTTTTTGTTGCTGACATCATCACTGACGTCACAGCCCTCAGACAACAGCTCGGGCTGTTCTTGCCTTCGAGCTTGCCAGGACTTGGTGGAGCCCACACCTTGCCTGGGTTGTTTTGCATCGCTGGAACTGCATTTCTTGACCTCGACAGCCTTTTACCAGGGCTAGACTGTGTGCTGGAAGTGCTCTTAGTTTTGTGATTGTTTTATGTATCTGATAGGGCAGGGCAACCCTCAACTTGTATGTTGAGGATAAACTTCATAAAGCTACTCCTGGTGGAACTGGAGGTGTCAAGTCTATCACCAACCACTCACCGGTAAGTAGAACTAAAAGACCTTTCAGTTTTTTTTATAACAAATCAGATAAATTTTGACCCAAAAACAAAAAAAACTAACAAATCAGTTCAGTGTGTTCCTTGGAATTGCTGATGATATTTAACACAAAATGAGGCTGCAGTTGCAATTATATCAAAAGATTCATAAGTTTGAATTGGTCACTGTAGAAGTTGATTGGGTATAGTTGTTCACTTTTCGGTTTTGCGTGTAGTTTACCTAAGAACAGAAGCAAGCAAGGGGGTTATCTGATGTCTTGTTCCTGGACTCTGTAACTGGTACTCTAAATGTGAAGATACAATTAGAGAGAGGAATCACAAGATTGCTCGTAGCATCGCAAATACAGAGAAGGCAAAAAACTACCGTCTATGTATCTAATCTAGGCAAATAATTGGGATAAGAAGACAAAAGCTTGCTTAGGTTAGAGCCAGCAAATAATAAACAATAAGCTAATGTGGTATGGTTGCTCTTTCTTTGTTGGGAAGTGATAATAATTAATCATATCTGGTGTGCTTAATACTCTCCTTGTACTTGGATTCATACGCGTGTCAAATGGTTTGGATTTTGTTCTTGTTTCTTCTTTGATGCTTAATTTGCAGGCGGCAAGCTCTTCATTCATGCAGGTCATCAGTTTTTCTGTTGGCTTTGATGGGCTGGGCTGGGCCTATGCTCCATTACCAACCCAAAATAAAGCTAACCTTGCAACCCATGATTAAGTTTAAACATTTAAATTCATAAATTAATGATGCCAGAGAAAAATAATAATGGAATAATTTAATGCATGTCACTCGCTTACTTCTCAACCTAATTAGCTTAGCTTCATCTGGGTAATTTTGTTGGCAAATTAACATAAACATCAACACTGTGATTCCGTCATCAATTTTCACGAATAGAATAATTTATTTAATTACAATTGAGAAACAAGAGTTGGTTTGAATATAAATAACTATGGATGACAATTGAAAAGGACCAAATTGAAATGCGTGGGGTTTTTTTTTATAAAAAAAATTTACATGGAGACGTTGACCAAATTTTTTTTTATACATGGCGACAAGAACCATATATACATGGCGACGATGCATGAAGATGCTTTTGGTGACTAGTGAGAGCCCCAAATATTCCATCAACAGCCTATTAAACCAAGACGAGCTCTAGTCCTTTGGGAAGCACGATTCTATAGTAATAGATTGAAGGAGAGAGAGAGCCTTGAGAAAATGATAAGCATGGAACTGTTTACCAATGTGTCACTGGTATCAGCACCGACCATCTTCACGGTGTTGGCGATGTTGGTTGGAGTTTTGGGCTACTTGTATGGGCCCTACTGGGGGGTCAGAAAGGTACCCGGACCACCAGTTATCCCCTTCGTAGGGCACCTTCCCTTAATGGCCAAGTATGGTCCTGATCTGTTCCAAATTCTTGCCAAACAGTATGGCCCTATTTTCAGGTGATGTACCTATTTAGCCACTTTACATTTGCAACCATCTTCTTTTATTATGTTTTCTAGTTCTAGGCTTGCCTATTTCATTACCTCGTCTCTTTATCTCTCTCCATGTCTCATAGGTGATGAGGAGGGAGATAAAGGGAGCGGAGGCAGTGAAATGGGAATAGGGAAGTTTTTTCGTTTTTGTTTTCCCAAAGGTAGATGATGCAAATTTGCATGTTTTTCTTTTTGACAATGAGGGTGAAAGATCTTGCCCAACTAATTAACACACACAACTTATGCTAACGGAGTCTAACTCAATGAAAAAGGGCCTTGATTGGCAGACCAGATGTCTAAGATTCGAACCCCTATTACATCAGCTGTATGTGTGTGTGAGAAACTTGGATTTTTCTTTTCAAATTCATGGTCTCAAGGGATCAAGTGCTGTTCATTATTTGGTCTACACTGTTTCTCCGGATTATCTATCTGCATGGTTGCTAGATGTGGAGGCTGTTAGCATTTTAGTCATGCCACTTGAATATGTATATGCTAATTTGATTATTTTGATTGTACATATATAATCCTGGCAAGCAGGTTTCATATGGGTAGACAGCCACTAGTAATTGTAGCAGATGCAGAGCTCTGTAGAGAAGTTGGCATCAAGAAATTCAAAGACATTCCAAACAGAAGCATGCCATCTCCCATACAAGCTTGCCCTCTTCATCAGAAGGGTCTCTTTTTCACCAGGTATATATTCGTGTTTCTATAATATATGTATCTGTATATGTGTATATATATATACATTTTTATTTATTTGACTGATCATCCGAATTGAATTTGAGCCTCCTGCAGGGATGCAAGATGGTCCACGATGCGAAAACACTCTAGTATCTTTGTATCAGCCGTCACACTTGGCTAGCCTTGTGCCCACAATGCAGTCCTTCGTCGAAACTGCAACTCGAAACATTGACCCCTCCAAAGAAGAAGAAGATATTACCTTTTCCAAAATCTCCCTCGCATTGGCCACTGATACAATAGCACAAGCTGCCTTCGGTGTCAACTTTGGCCTTTCTAAACCACAATCCAACAGTGATTCAGTCAACAAGATTGACGGCGGCGGTCAGGACAAGAACAATGACAACAAGAATGATGCAGTTTCGAAGTTTACCGACCAATACGTATATTCCGTAGCGCAGGTTAAGATGGACTTGACAGGTTCCTTATCAATCATACTTGGTCTACTTTTCCCCATCCTCCAGGAGCCATTTAGGCAGATCTTGAAGCGAATTCCGGGCACTATGGACCGGAAAATTGAACGTACTAACGACAACCTGAGCAGCCGCCTGGATGAGATTGTTGAGAAGAGAATGAAAGACAATGACCGAGGTTCGAAGGACTTCTTGTCGCTCATACTGAATGCAAGAGAGTCAGAGAAGGTTTCGAAGAAGGTGTTCACACCAGACTACATTAGTGCACTTACTTACGAGCATCTCGTTGCCGGGTCAGCCACCACAGCATTTACATTGTCTACGACTGTTTACTTGATTGCTCAATACCCGGAAGTTGAAAAGAAGTTGCTTGCAGAGCTGGATGCATTTGGACCAGCTGATCAGATGCCAACAGCTCATGATCTGCAAAACAAGTTTCCTTATGTTGATCAGGTAAAGCTTCTGAAACTTGAATCAATTCACTTGCTCTTACTTTCCTTGTAACACCACCACTATCAGCTATCAATTCACTTGAATAACGCAGGTTATTAAGGAGTCAATGAGGCTTTATCCGGTTTCGCCTTTAATTGCAAGAGAAACATCTAGTGAAGTAGAAATAGGAGGTTATGTTCTACCGAAGGTATTGTTTTGTTCCATTAATTCTTAATTCTACCAGAGGTATTGTTTTGGTTCTTGTGTGGATTATTGATTGGGGTTTTGTGACGTTGTATTTGAGGAGGAGCAGGGGACTTGGGTGTGGTTTGGAGTGGGAGTGATAGCCAAAGATCCAAAAAACTTCCCAGAGCCGAACAAGTTCAAGCCAGAGAGGTTTGATCCAAACTGCAAAGAAGAGAAAGAAAGGCATCCTTATGCTTTTTTACCCTTCGGAATCGGGCCTCGGGCATGCCTTGGTCAGAAATTTGCCCTGCAAGAGATAAAGCTGGCACTGATTCACTTATACCGCAAGTACGTGTTCCGGCACTCCCCTAACATGGAGAAACCTCTCGAATTTGAGTTCGGCATTATTCTGGATTTCAAGAATGGTGTCAAGCTTAGAGCCCTGAAGCGAACTCAAAAGTTTTGAGTCATACAACATTACTTACATACAGCCACACCCTCATCATTCCTCGTATCGTACGTGTTGTTAATAGTAATAAAATTGTGGCGTCTTTGTTGTGTTCGCTTTCTGCGGTTGTTGATTTGTTTTTCCTTTCTGCTGCTGGCCTTAGGCTGCTGCCTTTGTTTCGAAATCAAAATCTTTTCCTAACTAGTCATCGTCATGCTTAACAAGACAACGGAATATTGGTTATCTGGAATTTTACGTAAACATCTTCACTGTAATTTTTTCCAAGTCCATCATTCATAACATTTGAAGCCAAATTTTAGCTTGAAGAATTATGCTCATTTCCTCTCCTCTCCTCTGTAGCCTAATTTGTAAACGTTAGGCACCAGGAGTCTTTTATATCATGGGCTAGGTAGGTAGTTTTCTCTTTTGGGCTTCACAGCCACCCTGGGCTGGGCTCCAAAGCAACCCAAAATAACGTGAGAAAAATACACAGTCTAACAGTGTTATGTTACGGATCCGAATCCTCTGCTTTGATTTTCTCTGCTATGATTTGCTTTACTTTTGTTCTCCACATGTCACCTCATTAAAATTTAATCTAAGGGGCTTAAATTGGACACATCTTCCTTAAAATAAAATTTCAATTTACTCCTAATTAAAAATGAAAAAAACCCTAACTTGACTAACGCCTAAACTTAATGGCTGTAGCAGTTTTTTTTCTCTTCTTCTTCCTTCTCTACACGTCTCCCCCCACCCCCAAATCTTATCGCTCATCATTCTTTTTTGTGTCCAATCTTAGAACACAAAAACATTATTACCAAGAAAAGTATGAACATAATAAGAATCATCTGAGTCCTTTTTTTTTGTTCTTCTTCCTGCATCACGTTCTCTTTTGCTTCCGATGTCTGCAACCACCCTCATCAAACAATGGATATGGGAAGGGATTTTTTTTTTTTTTTTTTTTTTGGTTCATTATTTGGGATAGTTTCAATTTTGCTTTTGATTAATTTATAAACAAATTCATCTACCACTTTCGTATTCTTTTGCTTCTGATCATCACTTTTTTTTTCTTCCTATGAGGCTATGTCTGCAACCACCATCATCAAACAATGAATATGGAATAATTTTTTTCTTTTGATATGGGAAAGAGAAGAGGGATTATGATTACAGAGGTTTTGGGGAAAAGAAATCTCAGTGAGAGGTAAGATTTTTGGGGAAAGAAGAGGAAAAAATAAGAGAAGAAAGACAGAACGTGATGCAGGAAGAAGGAGAAGATTAAAGAAGACTAGGAACGCTAACTTTCCCGTTAGTTGGATTAGGGAATTTTTTAATATAAAAAAAATAGAAGTAAATGAGTTTTTATTTTTAGGAAGATGTGTCAACTTTTAAGTCCCTCAGATTAAATTTTAATGAGATGGCATGTGGAGAACAAAAGTAAAGCAAATCATAGCAGAGAAAATCAAAGCAGAGGATCCGGATCTGTTATGTTACACCTGGTAGGCGAGAGTTTTGTGGCTGTTGGGTCTCTTTTGATTTTCTTCAATTATTAGTTTATATTATTTTTAATTTTATTACAATCTAACAGTGTTATGTTAGGGTTAAGTGTGATACAAGGTGTCAACAAAATTAAGGGGGGAACACACAAAAACATGAACAGAATTTGAACACCACTAAGTAGCTCCATTAGTAAATTGACATGAAAATCAACGTCATGATTTCATCACTCATCATTTATGTAACGACAACGGAGAATGACATACAAAATTAAAGTAAGTAGAGGGGTTGAAGATGCTTTGAGTTCCTGTTTGCTGTTTGTTTGGTTGTGGCATCGGCCTTGTATCCTGCTTTCTGCTTTGTTCCAGTCAAAGTCTTTGACAAGAAAACTCATCGTGCTTAACAAGACAATTGGAGATTGGTAGATTACATAAGCATCTTCAGTGTAATGTTTTTGAAATCGATCAGAAATTACTAGTGGTGATATATATATATATAATTACTAGTGGCGACAGATAGATGGTTCTAGTGGAAGAAAGCCATGATCGATCTCATTGGCAGTAAGTGGTGAGAGTATCATACCACAAACACAACCGAACCCCAAGTATTTGCCCAAAAGCATTGGCTTTCACGTGTACCGCCCAACGTCGCTCTCCATGTGTTTGCCTTTTGGTTTGAGTGACCTCAGTCGTGAAGAGACAGGTTGAGAGACTCCACATTGAACATACAAGAAAAGTCTCTGTTTTAATGATTTAAGGGATCTTAGACTTTGAACGCATTTCCAATTTATTTTAGATTGATGCTCACGTTCCAATAATAAGTGGGAAGCAATTTTGAATTCCACGATCACAAATGTCCAGTTGATTGTACATGATTGGTTAGGGGTTGGCGCTGTCTCTCTAGCTTAATTCCAAACTCTTTGATAAAATAGAAGAATTCCTTATTCCTGATTGGATAGTAACTAGGGTTGGGGAATCAAACCGAAAAACCGATCAAGTCAGCCCAACTGAACCGATTTGTTTGTTTTTATTTTTTGTGAAACAATAGGATTCATTGATAAACATGGCACATACCCAGAAAATAGACATGAAAATCACAACCCCAAATGGAGGATCTTGCAATACATAAACTCTAGAGAACATGCATGAACAAATAGGTGCAAACATTGCAAGACCGAGAGAACAAAATATAACAACTAGTGCTTCAAGAAGATCAATGCCTATAACAACCTCTCAAACAACTTGGGACAAGAAACACAAAAAATATCACATCTCCAAATTCCCACTTGATCCTCAAGCACCATTGATTGCTGATCCAACTAAATCCAGTAGCTCCACCTCCAAAACAGAGATATCTACAAGAGATCTACCACAAACACAGCATATCTAACAAGATCTTCCAAAAACCAACCCCAAAAGGCTAGTAAGCAACCCCTAGAAAACCAGGGATGAGACAAAACCTTGCAAAGGTAAGAAGTAGACAAAACCCAACAAAATTTGGGAGGGAAAACTCTTCACAACATAACACGGGGGAGAGATGCCCGATTTATTAGCCGAAGGGGTGGTTTCATGGGAAATCCCCTGGAAACAAAGAGGTTTTCAGATCTGGTTGTGTTTTGGTTTGGCTTGTTTTTATTTTTTAAAGTTTTTAAATTTTCGGTGAAATTCTATGCAAACATCTCTATCGTAATGTCTTCAAAATTAATCATGAATTGAAGCCAAAGTTTCAATTATGGGTTAATTTAATTGATCATAGCTAGTGATCTGTAACATCCAAGAGAGAAAAGCTAGTTGTTGATATCATGTTGAACTCACATACCCATTATCACTAGAAAAACTTACATGTAAAGGGGATACAATGATACGTGGAAAAGTTATCTCACGTGTCATTGTGTCATTGGCCGAGGATAGTAAAAAGTACTATCTCCATTACATGAAAGTCTTTTTCAATGATCACATCCCTTGAGTAATCCCGTACTCTCCCACATGAATAATCCTACCAAACAAGGGAGACCCATGCCTTCCTCTATCTATATGAGCAAGAGTTCACCTCCAAGCACAAGGACCGGCTGCCATGGCTCCAAAACTCTTAAAATATCTCCAAAGCTCTCCCAAAAGCTCTCTCTTTCTCTTCTACTAAGACTTGAAGCCTCTTTCATGTACAATGTAAAGTGTCTATATTCAAAGACAAATAAAAAGCTATAAAATTATTAAAATATAGTGGATGTAACCCAATTATGATGAACCACTCAATGCACTTGTATTATATATGTGTGTGATTATGCCTTAATTCGTTGGTCTAATTTCACCCGTTAACACTAGTCATCAAATCAATGATTGATCTCATTGGAAATAAGTAGAAATAGGAGATATTCAAATCCATTATCATAAACCAACTCGCATTAAATAGCACACATTTTCAATAACAGAGAACAACAAGCTGTTGATCTTCTCGAGCAAAATGAACTCAATCAAGTTGGTCGATCATATTACACCAAGTCCTCCCCTTTCACCTTAGTTTCATGGAGTTCTTATCCAACCGGCTTGGCATGCAAAGTGGTTTGGAGAAGTTGACTGAAGATTGCTCAGAGCCAGCACTACTTTACGATTAGAGAAAGCCCCAGACCTCTTGAGAAACTGAAACTCATCCACTGCCTTTGAATTCTCTGAGACTGGTAACTGCTTGCTTTCTGCTTTGCCTTAGTTGACTCAGTCAGGTTCATGTAACTTGGTACCCTGCAGTTACTGCTGCCATCTGTTCTATCCGAAGCCAATCCGGTGTTCCCTGAAACCAATCTATAAAGACAAATGAGTTTTAGTGAAAGAAGAAAGAAAAACAACAACCTATTTACGGCTCATCAAGATTGGATTTAGTGAGTAGTGGGACCCCCAAGTATTCCATTGTCAGCCTATTATTGAACCGGACATCGGAGCAGTGACGAATCAGAATTTAGAGTCCTATTGAAATAGACCTGGAGAAATTGATAGGTAGCACGGAAATGGAACTGTTAATGCTTTCCGATGTTTGTCTGGTGTCAACCATCTTTACTTTGTTGGCAATGCTAGCAGGAGTAGTTTTAGGCTACTTTTATAAGCCCTACTGGGGGGTGAGAAGGGTACCAGGCCCACCAGCTATCCCTCTGATAGGGCACATTCCCTTGCTGGCAAAGCATGGTCCGGATGTATTCTCAGTTCTTGCCAAACAGTATGGCCCTATTTTCAGGTTAGTAACTTTTAGTAAGTATATGTATAATGCTAGATGTGAAAGAGAAACTCAGCAACTGTTTTGATGGCTACAGAGCTTGATGTGGACTGTAGATTGTGCAAAAGTTACTCTTTTGCCTTTTCATTATTATTATTATTTTGAATCTCCTTCTTTAATTATGGTTGGAACGGGGTGTTACATTTCAGTCATAGAACTTTAATTTTGAAGAATACATTAAGGTTAGTCGTCCGCACGTAACTCATCACTTAAGTTTTTGGTTTTACATATCCTGGCAGGTTTCATATGGGCAGACAGCCACTAATAATTGTAGCAGATGCAGAGCTTTGTAGAGAAGTTGGAATTAAGAAATTCAAAGACATAAAAAACAGAAGCATTCCGTCTCCCCTCGCCACTTCCCCTCTTCATCAGAAGGGTCTGTTTTTAACCAGGTATTTATTGTGTTTCATCATTATTGTAAAGGAGTGTAGAATATATGAGTTAAAGTTGTTAAGTTCATTGACTGATCTGGTGGAATTTGAGCATCATGCAGGGATGCAAGGTGGTGGACGATGCGAAACACGATCTTATCTGTGTATCAGCCATCACACCTAGCCAGCCTTGTGCCCACCATGCAGTCATACATTGAATCTGCAACTCAAAAACTTGATGACTGCTCCAAAGAAGAAGAAGAAGTTACCTTTTCCAACATCTCCCTCAGATTGGCCACTGATGTGATAGGACAAGCTGCCTTTGGTGTCAACTTTGGCCTTTCTAAACCACAATCCATCACTGATTCAATCAACAAGCAGATTGGTGGCCAAGACATTAACATTGATGAAGTCTCAGACTTTATAAACCAACACATATATTCCACAACACAGCTTAAGCTGGACTTTTCTGGTTCCTTGTCAATCATAGTGGGACTACTTGTCCCCATACTCCAGGCGCCATTTTGGCAGATTTTGAAGAGAATCCCTGGCACTATGGACAGGAAAATTGAACGTAACAACCAGAAATTGACTAGCCGGCTTGATCAAATTGTTGAAAAGAGAATGAAAGACAGTGGCGGCCGAGGTTCAAAGAATTTCTTGTCGCTCATACTGAATGCGAGAGAGTCAGAGACAGTTTCAAAGAATTTCTTCACCCCAGACTACATCAGTGCACTTACTTATGAGCATCTCCTTGCTGGGTCGGCCACCACATCATTTACATTGTCTTCTGTTGTTTACTTGGTTGCTGCCCACCCAGAAGTTGAGAAAAAGTTGCTGGCAGAGATTGATGGATTTGGTCCACCTGCTCAGATGCCAACTGCTCATGATCTTCAACACAAATTTCCTTATATGGATCAGGCAAGTCTTCTGAACGTAAAATGTTGACATTGTTTTTAGAAACTCTGAAACTGCATGGGCTAACCAATTACCTCTATTTGTTTGCTCGCTCTTACTTTGGAAACCATATTTTCCCATGTAAGGGAAGAAGACCTATCTGCAATGGAGTTTGATTTATTTATTGGTTGTTTGAAATTTTGCATGCAGGTTATCAAAGAGGCAATGAGATTTTACATGGTTTCCCCATTAGTTGCAAGAGAAACATCTAGACAAGTCGAAATAGGAGGTTATCTTCTACCGAAGGTATTTTTCCACTGACACAAATTAAGAACATTTCTAAGTACAAATACTTTTCCTCTGTGGACTGGAAATGGTTTTGTGTACCTTATGGGATTATTTATTTTTTGTTGAGCAGGGGACATGGGTGTGGTTAGCGCTCGGAGTTTTAGCAAAAGATCCAAAGAACTTCCCAGAGCCACACAAGTTTAAGCCAGAGAGGTTTGATCCAACCTGCAAAGAAGAAAAACAGAGGCATCCTTATGCTTTTATACCCTTTGGCCTTGGACCTCGATCATGCATTGGTCAGAAATTTTCCCTGCAAGAAATAAAGCTCTCGCTGATTCATTTATACCGGAAATATGTATTCCGGCACACTCCCAACATGGAGATACCTCTGGAACTTGAGTTTGGCATTGTTCTAAAGTTCAAGTATGGTATCAAGCTCAGAGTCATAAAGCGCACATGATGCCATGCCAGGATATTTCTTCTTTGCTTGCCTCATATGAGTCTTTGCTTTACCTCCTTCAATTGTTCCCTTGCTATCACTGAAAAATTAAGGAGAAAAGAAAGGAAGAGAGAAGATTTAGGCTGTAAGAAAGAATTCGTATTTGTATTCCCTTGATATTCTGTGTACAGTGGTATTCACATATACAGCTTATCTATGATGAAAGATCTAGAATAAATTTCGTTACAAAAAGGATGGAGACGATGATGAGTGTAGGTGAGTGATGCTTCAGTACTACTACTAGTAGCCATTTTCTCCTATTCATCTGGACCCTAGCTGAGGTGTCATTCTATTGTGATTTGTTCTTTGCATATGTGTATTTGTATGCTCCCGTGTGCTGCTCTGTTTGCTACTTTGGTCATTTCATTCATTGCTCTGTTTATCAATCACACCACACCCCCCCCTTTCCTGCATTTTCATTTTTGGCACTTTAAAGGAAAGCAAATAAATTTAAAGTTTGAGGTACCTCAGCTTCTTTTAAGAGATCATCCTCCACAGTTTGACCCTGTATGGACATTCGCAACCAACGAGCTCTTACACAGGCCTGAACTCCAACGAGAGCTTGCATGCGGGTTTCAGATTACAAAAGCATGCTATGGAAGTTGTCCTTTGGTTTGATCGAAGTTGTTGAGTCTGATTAGCCAAATTTTTGAATCGATTTCAAGTTGATACTTAATTTGAAGCCAAATTTTCAGTGATGGGTTAATTTAATTGATCATAGTTCCTGATCAAATCAATGATTGATCTCATTGGAAATAAGTAGGAAGAAGAGATATTCAATTCCATAATCATAAACGAACTATTTTACAAATGAAGCCTCAAATTTTCCTGGTACAGAAACACTAATCTAGCAGGATCTCGCATTAAATTACACACATTCTCAATAACAGGGAACAGGGAACAACAAGCTGTTGATCTTCTCAAGCAAAACGAACTTAATCAAGCTGGTCGGTCATATTACACCAAGTCCTCCCCTTTCACCTTAGTTTCATGGAGTTCTTATCCAACCGGCTTGGCATACAAAGTGGTTTGGAGAAGTTGACTGAAGATGGCTCAGAACCAGCACTACTTTTAGAATCCCCATTAGAGAAAGCCCCAGACCTCTTGAGAAACTGAAACTCATCCATGGACTGCCTTTGAATTCTCTGAGATTGGTAACTGCTTGCTTTCTGCTTTGCCTTAGTTGACTCTGTCAGGTTCATGTAACTTGGTACCCTACAGTTACTGCTGTCCTCTGTTCTATCCGAAGCCAATCCGGTGTTCCCCGAAACCGGTGTTGTGGATGTGCAGAGTGAAGATGAAGCAGAGCTCTCATCATACTGAAATTCTGAACTTGGGCTCGAAGATGAGCGGGTACCTTGTCCAATGTGAGGAGGCTTTGCAGAAATCCTAGTGGTGACATTGTTCCTTCTGACTTTGACTGAGCATGGTTCTGAAGATTTTGAATGTTTGCTCACAAAAGGGTCTGCACAATTCTTTGGAGGTGGTGTGATCTCAGAGGGGTCATTTTGGGACTGTTCCATCAGCCTAGTCTCCCATGGCTTGGCTGACATCCAACGCTCTAACCAACTCCATCCCCAGCTATTCTTGTCAAATTCATTATTCTTATTGAGAGAGTACACTGAGGACCTGGTGCGAGAATTTGAATCTGGGGTTGATTTCCACTGCTGAGAAGACAAAAAGAAGAAACTCAATTTTCTTGATCTTATACCAGTCATGTGAAAAATAAGTACTCAAATGAAGAGACTTTTGTATTTTATTACCTTCTGAGCAAGAGCGTAAGCAATTGCTCTCTCCCTCTTGAAGGCCCCCTCTTGCCTCATTTGTATCTTTGCTTTAACATCTTCTATCGTTCCCTTGCTATCACACCACCCTTCCTGCATTTCCATTTTTCACTTGTTAAAGGGTGAACCGCAAGCCAACCCAAAGATTTCTTCCCTGAAATTTTAGATGAAAGCTCAAAACTCTAGAGTTTGAGGATACCTCAGCTTCTTTAAGCAGATCAGCTTGGGTGCGCCGTTCATTGATCATGTTCTGCACAGCTTGGCCCTCTATGGACATTCGCACCCGACGAGCTCTTACACGGGCCTGAACTCGAACAAGAGCTTGCATGCACCTCAGTGTTACAGCAGCCTGCTTCCTCACTTGTCGACCCCGAACCAGAGCTTGAAGCCTCACTATTCCTTTCAAGGCCTTCAAAGCCCTTCTTGCCTGCATAGCAGTTAAACCAGAAAAAAGCTTCAAACTTTCGTCAAAAGCAGCCAAATCATTAGCATTAAGCTCAATGCGTATTTTATCAAACAGGTGTGGATGCCCCTTAAAACTTAACAGAACAAAAGTACACTATATGTAACAAACCAAGTTATGCATCGAGGGTTTGAGAACTTTCTTACATCAACAAGTAGGTTGCTAAAAAAACCAGACATTAAGATCTATGGCCGCCTATGGGTTTTAGATTTCAAAAGCATGCCGCCAGTAAAGTTATGCACATATATCGACCCATGAAACAAAAATGAAAGAGAAAAAAAGAAGCTATTTTTACCAAGAAGCCTCTGAAAGCAGTTTGGATCCGGATAGCAGCCCATTCTTGCCTCACAACCCTGAAATCTTTAGGAGGAGCTCGAACCACTGTGGCCACTGCAGCATTATATGCATCAGTCCCCCTTGGTGAATCTGAGCCCTCAGAAGCTGCTCTGTGATTTCCTTTGAAACCCTTCCATGAAGACCCGAAATCCCCTGAAGAATTCCTCCATAGCTTCCACTTCTTGCTCTTCCCACTCACCTTGTCCTACAAAATTAAACAAAGAAAAAAAAAAAAAAAAAAAAAAAAAAAAAAAAAAGTTGACTAACAAAGTTAAAAAAAATTGTTAACTTGTACTACTGAAGATTGAAGCTTTACATGGTCGTCTTTGTCTGGTTTTTTGAGGCCTATAAAAGCTTTGACCCATTTTCCCGAAGCACCCATTTGTGTATAAAAAAAAACCTTCTGCTTGAGCAGACCAAGCAAAAACAGCCGCTTGATTCTGTATGAAACTTGCACAGTTATTACAAAGTTCAGAGCTTTTGCAGAAAACAGAGTTCGAAGAAAGCGAGGGACGTGGTGTGTTGCTTTGTTTTGTGGGATTAGTGGTTGTGGGTTGTGTTTGCGCTGTTTTTGGTCTAAAGACAAAATAGAGCCGTTCGATGTTTGAAATTCAAATAACAAGGGACAAATGTGCGAAGTGAAAAAGGCGCTCGATTCTTTGAAGGCGTGCAGTTCTTTGCCCCTGCGTTGTGGAGAAAATTACGAAATTGCACCCCCACTAGGGCCACTACTTTTTCTGGGGAAAAATGATCGAAGGCCACGACGGCACGAGCCCGTTTTGTCAGTACATTAAAAGTTACGAAAAGGATCAAAAAAGAAACCGACAAAAGATCTCCTGGATTGGATTGGATAGTCGTCCTCCATTGCACTCAAGATTATTTATTGTGTCTTTCAAATTTCTCATCTGGTGGGGACCACCGCTCGCCAATGAAAATGAGCCACGTGGGTGTGGGCCTACATAGTGCTGAACTATTCATCAAATAGAACCCAAAAAGGATCGAGCAAACTACTAAACAAAACTTGCACTGATGGCTCTCAAATGAATCTGATGTCGTTTCAAATATAATGTTGGGGAAGGGAAGTATCAAATTGATTCTCATACAATACAACAAAAGAGCACGAACTCAAATTCACATGGGACATAGCTACATTTTGGATGCACTTGGAAACTAACAAAAAATTCATCATTTGAAATGACTTCAAAGTTTGAAACTTTACAATGACATATGGAGGGACAGGGTTCAAAGTTTGACAATACACAATCTTTTATAAATAGAGTCGTTTTACCATTGGGTGTGCGTGTATCACTGATTTATGTATGGAGAAAATCTTACTTATATTAAAGATACCATCGTGGCACAATTTTAAGCCGATCATCTATTGTCATGTATTTTAACTTTTCGACTTCACAATGCAGTTTTCCAACATAATAATGGCATTCAGCTACTGATGCTAGCATCGTTAATGACACTCAATAAGAAGAACCCAAGAGCCAGAGATGCTTAATGGAATAATTATTATTACTGCTCTGCTCAACTGTTTTTTGAATGCGCAGAAGTGTGAAGTCTGATGGGGAGCATTCGTGAAAAAGAAGCATTTGTTTAGAGAAAAGTGCAAATTTTTGTTATTAGATTATTTCGATTTCGAGGTTACCAAATACCAACCAGACCATTTATGTTTTTCTTTTGTCAGTCGTTGACATCGAGGTTGAACAATCTTGTCTCTCTGACTCTGCTTCCTTTCCTACCAAGATTTCAAAATTCCAATTTCTTTTCCAATTCTATCATTAAATTACTCAACTTTCAGAAAAAAGGACTTCTCTTTCCTTTTATTCTAAAGAAATTTTACATTGGATTCCTTCTTTTCTGTTTTTCTATTTAGTTTAGCTTTCTGTTTGGTTGGTAAGTAAATTCCTTTTTCTATCTGTTTTGGAATGAATTCACTGATTCATTTATGATCATCTACTACCCAATGCTTTGTCTTTTACTATGCAAGTAATGCCAGCACTTCTACTGTCATTCAATGATGCCTTGCTTGCACTGTATAAAACTCAGAGAAGGAGAACTGAGAGACCTGTTTTCACATCATTCATAACGCAGTGAATTCAAAGAGCATTTTTACAACTTACAAATAAAAAATAAAAATAAAAGAATAAACAAATTTGGCCCTTTTAAAGGACCTTCTCATTATCACCCCTAGTTGTAGGCTTGTAGCCTGCCATTACACTCTCTCTAATTTACCCCTTTAAAGCCAAAAGAAGAAAGAATAAGTACCCTACTTATAGTTGTTGAGAAGGCCAGGTGTCTAACTGGCAGTGGGAACAGGTACCCTTGGGCTAGGAAGACCCATATAGGCAAGCCTAGGAGAGACCCGGATTTTCGGGCTTGGTCTAGGTGAGGGGATTGGAGCACCACTTCCATGGTGGCCCAGTGAGACCTTTGGTGAAAGGTTGACTTGTTCAAGTGCCATAAATTGTAGGTTTGCTGGATAGTCCCTTACACAGCCAATACGTGGACCAAGCCCACTGGTCCACTTGCAAGACAAAGGCCTGGACAGGTCAAAGGCTGGTGCTTCTGCATTGGACCCCATGCTCTCATGTTGTTGTGTGATTGGATTTGGGTCATTGGTTATAGGCCCATTCAATTCTGTCTTAGACAAATCATCATAAGGAGCCTTGTAGGATGCTTTGTCATCATCTGTTGCGCACATCTGTAAACGAAAAAAAAAAAGAACTAGATATTTTGATCTCCTTGTGCACAGAATTAGATTAATGTAATTAATTTCTAATTACCTTGACATTGGTTAGGTCTACATGGTGCTCTTCCAAGAAGCTGATGAATTCCTTGAAATTGTCCTCAGTTGGGAGATAGTGACCACTGTAAGGCCATATCGCCTGAAGAAGCAAAAGATAATTAAGCAGATTTAATTAGCTTAAATATTTAAAAAAAAAAACACACCAGTATGCATGATATGTACTATAGTGTACCTCAAGAACACCATTGTGGGCAACCAATCTTCCAGCTGCAGTTGTAGCCCCTCCAGATAGAAAACTTGAGTGCTGGAAAGAGCCTTTTCTTTTCTGCCCAACATATAAAGCTCTTGATGTGCTCAGCACAAAAATCCACTTTGAACCTTCAACTGTTTCAACAGGCATCCCAGATGGCTTGTGGACCAGCCTTCCATTCTCCACAATCACTTCATATGCATCCCTCTCTTTCTGCAACATCAGTAAATGCTTTAATTTATAATTATGTGTGCGGATGCGGGCAATTTCACGTGGCCGTATTCCAGTACCATACCAAATTATAATTAAAGGTAGTTACCGGTCCAAGATATTTGATGCACTGACGTTGTAAAACAGCTCTCGGGCACTTCTTGAGGTTTGTGTCTTTACCATCACCAACATCCAACCTGAAGTTCCATGGGAGAAGTAAAAAGTTAATATGATATTATTGTTACTGATTGATAGGTAACAGAAGAATGAGCCAAGCTAATAAGATCTTATATAAAACTGTAGCAAGTCTCTGAATTATTTACCAGTAGAAGAAAGGTTGGATGCTCCTGCAATCAGACCAGACATCATGGTAGAATTGCAAATTGTGTCCATACCGATGGCGTGGATCAATCTGATCAAAAAAGAGAAATTTTTTAGCAATGATTAATCATGGTAATTATGTGACAAAAATGCGTGAATTACAAGTTCATAAACTCACAGCTTCAAGCCAGTGCTGCAGAGCAAGTTTCTGAGCCTTCTCATCCTTGCACAAACCCTTCCCTACCTACAAACACAAATTACGTTTTTCTCTTTGCTGTTAATTTGAAATTCATTATCCATAAAACACATCTCATCAGTAATATAATTTTCATATTATCAAAGCACCTTGGCAGCCCTTGTCCTAGCCCGTGCCCACCGTGACTCGGCGCTCTCATGTTTCTCAGTGTTGTAAAAGGACACAGAGCTTCGTTTCAGAGCTGCAAAGTCTAAGGCCTGCCACCTACAGAAATTGAACAAACACAAGAAACAAAGGATTAATTGACCGCCAAGCAAGCAAGAAACAAAAGGGTAGCAAAATCTCACATAGTTTTTAGCTACAAACCATAGTTCCTCAACCACAACAGCACAATCTGCAAGGTTACGCCTGGTCCTGTAACTCTTGTACACTTTCTGCAGCCTGGTTGCTGCAGCATCAAGCTCACTAACTGGCTTTGGAGAAAAATATACCATTGGTTCAGGAAGCACAATTGTAGGTTTGTTTATCTGCAACTTTTCACAATTTCTTCCAACCGAAGAGGTTGAACCAGATTTCTCAAATGTTTGTTCAGATGCTTCAAGTTTTGGTTCTGTGAATTCCCAATTTTTGAAGCTTATTGACCTTCGCAAACTCATTTTATCAGACCCAATAGACCTGTGTTGAGTTTCTGATTCTTCCCTACATGTTCCCAAGTCTACCTCCCCTTGTTTTCTTTCAAAGCTAATGGACCTCACCATGACTGTTTCTCTGATTCTCTCAAGGCAACCAATTGCTCTATAAGTCTTGAGAGAGTCTGAAGACTCTGAAAGTGTACAAAATCACACATATTGGCTGACTAGTTCCTCTCTTTATATACACTATCACAAGTGGCTGTAGGTGTTTGAAAAATCAAAGATGGAGGTTCAAGGAAGTTAAGGAGAAAGATTGAGGAAGTTTACTGGCCCTGCTTTTAAACTGGAAGAAACTGTAAATTTTCAGACCAGATTATTAGGCCTTTTTTGGGTTGTTAGAACTTAAACTCGTGGAGCTTGACTCGTTGACTTTTGTATTCTTTCTTAAATCAATTTATTTTTGTCGGCAGAGCTCAGCAATAATATTAACAAGTGTGGCTTAGCATAATCTGCATAAACTTATATGACGTTTGCATCGGAGCTAGGGTGAGCTTTAATTTGGCTGAACTGATTAAACCGATTTATTCAATCTGTAATTACCGGTTTGTGTTAATCTATGACAGAAACTAGAGGTTGTTTAATTAAAGGGGGTGTATTCAATTATGATTATAAAGCGTTTAAAAAAAATAAAAATCCAGATGTATTCAATTTGGATTTATACAAATTTTAAAAGAGATTTTACAAGTCTAAGTGTATTCAATTCGGACTTGTATGAACTTTTAAAAAGTCCATACAAATATGAGTATATTCAATTAGGATTATAAAAAAGTTGAATCAAATCTAGGTATATTTGAAATGTCATATATTTGGAAAAATTTCATTAAGTGATAAATTTTTGTAGGTTTTAAGAGGAGAGCTATAAATAACAAAGATCATAATAAATCCAACCTCCCCCAAATATTTTCATCAGACGTTTTTCTTGCTTATTTTGTTTCGTTGGGTGAAATTTTTTGTTGTAAAATTGAGATTGCATGGTCAACATCCACCGTGCTATTAATGTGCATTAACTCTGGTTAGTTCGATCCACAGGAACAAAACAAGGCCCTCCAAATTTCCACCTACTAGCTTTCTGCCAAAAGAAGAATAAAAGCAAAAAAAAATTCTATTTACAAGCTCTACTTGAAGTCTTTAAGGCATTAATTGATCAACTTGCAAGACCAACAATTAAAATCAGCCTGTTTGGCATGAAGGTGTCATCTCTGTCCACCACACAAGTTTACAGAAAGAAAAAAAAAGGACTTGGATTAGCTCGCCCTCTGCTGGATAGCCCGGATATGAATTCTGTGCCGCTTCTTTTGCAGTCAACCACCAGCCTTTACAAAAGTAGATTGTGCCATAACTTCAATTTTTGTGTACATCTGTGTGGAATACTCTCTACCCTATAAAAGGAAGGGTTTCTCAAACACACACTATTAAAGTGTCATGAAATTCGAACCTAAATTAAGGGTTTTTTTTGTACTCGGCTAGACCCTATTGATGAAAATATACTTATCATTAGTATACAATACGGTTGTTGGCGCACCTTGCTCTTGTGGTCCACGAGAAGAGTCTTGAACATATCCGTCAGTACAAAATTGGACCCATGACAAAGAGTCTCGAAAGCTTAGTGACAACAAACGCCTTAATTACCCCCCATGCAAGCAAGGGCAGATCTATATAAGAGGGGTCAATTGATTCCTGCAAGCCCGAAATTCACCATTGAAGGCAAATATGTTGACCCTTGCAAATTGTCCACAAACAGCTTGATGAAATGCTCAAGAGGGCGTAGCACACCAACACAACAAGCATCGCATGCTACTGGTGTGCAGTGCTTCATTTGTTTTTGTTTTCCTTTTACTTTCATTTGTTTTTATATTACTCAATTTACTTAAGTTTTCAACGTAAATAAGGAAGTACCCTCTATTTGGATTCAAATACAAATATTAGAAAATCAAATTCCCACCAAATCAAAATATGAAAAATTGGTTTTGGTGCAAAATATGATTTTGGCTAAAAATGATGGCTCATTAAGTCAATATATACTTCATACTAAAATCCCATAAAATCAAGTTTTATTATTTGATGTGTAAGGAATAAAAGCCGCCTAAAATTGATTGAGAAAATGATTATTCTAAAAAACCATTTTTCATACTTAGCCAATATTTTTACATAAAACAATTTTTCATGTATGATATGAATGCATGAAGAGACTTAAGGCCAATCTGAGTAAAAAGTCTTAGATGTTCAATCCACAAAGAGTTTTACAAGAATAACATAACTCTTATGTTTTGAAGAAATATTTGCTTGAATAAGCTCCCCCTAAGACAGTACTCATAAAAGTCCAAAGTTTAAGAGCTAGAGCCCAAAAGAAGTGCAGATAAAGCCTAAAATCAAAATGACGACGGACCTCAAAATGATGTAAATGCCCTAAATTGAGCAGGATTGCGCTAATATATGCAAGCTCTTACATCGAATTGGACGAGACACCTTGGGAGGCAAAGAAGATTGCACTAATTTTTTGGTTTATTATCACATTCTTAGAGATATTTCTGGTTTGTTGCAGTGTGTATCTATTTTTTGAAGTTGATGAAGTTCTTTTTGATAATGAACATGAGTATTTTGTATGATTTTATCTATTAACTATGAATGAGAATATTATCGTTTCATTTCGATGTGTCTATTTTGTATAGAATTTTTGTAACCTTTTACACGTTGGCCCCTGAAATAAAAATTCATAAATCCACTACTAAGAGCATCTCCACCCATAAGGGCTAAGGGTAAGGCTAAGGCAATTACTATTCATTGTATTTTATTTTCTATTTTTTTATACTTTAAACCATTAATTTTGATAATCTTTTGTAATTAAATTTTCGGATAAGATTTTTGGTTGCCACGGGTCCATTATTTTTTAGAAAAGATTTTCGGATGAGAATCTCGGTTGCCACGTGTCTTATTCCAGATAAAATTTTCGGATATTCATTAAAAAAAAATTATAACATCAGATTTCAGATAAGATTTTCACCCTCTAAAATTGTGTCACGTGTCCCATGTCAGATAAGATTTTCAGATTAAAAAAAAATATATATAATCTTAGATTTCAAATAAGATTTTCCTATAAAATTGTGCCATGTGTCCCATTTCAGATAAGATTTTTAGATATTTAAAAAAAATATATATAATATCAGATTTCAGATAAGATTTCCACCATTTAAAAATGTGCCACGTGTTCCATGTCAGATAAGATTTTTAGATATTAAAAAAAAAATTATAAAATCATATTTCAGATAAGATTTTCACCCTCTAAAATTGTGCCACATGTCATCTCTATCTTTTGAATCCCTCTATAAAACTACACCATCAACTCATACATCTCATATCATCTCTTATCTATTCCTTCATTTATTATATTTTACAAAACATATTCTACTCTCAATGTCAAACTTGAGAAGGGTGTTGGAAAGGCAACAGAAAGAAGAGGAAGAAATCCAACGTAGACGTGCTATTGAAGATCAGGAGGCCGATGAAGAAGAGGAAGAAATTCTTGCAGCAGCAGTTTGTATGCTTAATCAATCAAGGCAACACCACCATCGTCGTGCTCCGAATGTGGACATACGTAGGGAGTCTCGGGGTAAGAATCTCTTGGAAGATTACTTTATCCAAAATTCGTTATATCCTGTTTCTAAGTTTCGAGAGAGATATAGAATGCAGCCACATTTGTTCCAAAAAAATCATGCATGATATTTGTAATTATGACACATACTTCATTCAGAAGTATGATGCTGTTGGAGTTTTGGGTCTTCTCCTGGAGCAAAAACTTACAGCTGCTTTGCAGATGCTTGCTTATGGGGCATCTGCAGAACAAGTGGATGAGATTGCAATGATGGGAAAATCAACTGTCCTAGAGTGTTTGGTGAGATTCTGTGATGTAGTGGAAAATTTGTACATTAGGGAGTATCTTCACAAACCCAGGTCGAGGGACCTGCAAAGGCTTCTTTAAAAAGCTTAGGCTCGAGGTTTCCCAGGAATGATTGGAAGCATCGATTGCATGCACTGGCAGTGGAAGAATTGTCATACTGTTTGGCAAGGAGAGTATGAGAATCGGAAGGGCAAAAAAAGTATAATTTTGGAGGCCGTATCTTCATTTGACTGTTGGGTTTGGCATGCCTTCTTCGGGGTTGCCGGATCTCAGAATGACCTCAATGTCCTTGGTCAATCCCCGATGTTCGACGAGGTATTGCGAGGTTATTCCCCCCAGATCACGTACCAAGTCAATAATACCGTATACTCTGGTGCGTACTACCTTGCCGACGGAATTTATTCTAGGTGGACGACATTCGTGAAAACAATTCCGAATCCCTAATCTGAGAAGGAAAAAAACTTTGCTGCCTTTCAAGAAGGTTACAAGAAAGACGTGGAAAGGTGTTTTGGTATCTTGCAAGCTCATTGGGCAATTATTAGAGATGCTGCTCGGATGCTAGATGAGGAGGTGGTGCAGAGTATTATGATGACTTGCATCATCCTCCACAACATGATTGTGGAGGATGAGTATGACTACGATGCTCCAGAGGTGTTTGAACCCGATCCCATGAACACGACGTTGACAAGAATATATGAAAGGCCGATAAGACCAAATGGACAACCAATGGAGCTCGAACCGTTACTTCGGGATGGTCAATACAACAACCCCATGATTGATCGTTATCAAGAAATTCAATCTTCATATGTTCACGAGAGACGTCAACTTGACTTGATCGAGCACTTGTGGGAGATGAAAGGCAATCACAGTGGATGAAGTCAAGATTAATGCTTTGTTTGGAATTATGTTTTGTTTTTAATTATGCTTTATTTTGTGTGTGGTGTTTTTTGGAATTATACTTTTTTTATTTTATTATGCTTTTAAGTATGGTTTGTTTTGTGTGTTGTTTGCAATAAATTAAGGTTTGTTTTTAATTAATCTTTGTTTTGATGCGCAAATGTTTTTAATAAATAGTCATATTATTTAATGTTTTCTTTATTGAATAAAAAGGAAACAATACAACAAATTAATACATATGGCAAATCTTTCAATACAACCTAATGGTTTTGATCATTTAACCAATCCGTATTGCTAGGTCCGTCGTCATGGAAAAGTTTTCTTCTCATCACATCCATTCGTCTTAGCTTCCAATAGGCCTTTGTTTCAGGAGACATATGGCTCGTATCCATGGCCATGATTTTCATCTCTCTATCCTCCATGTCTTTTTCTTGTGCCTGCTGCTGTTGAATTGCAAATGCTTTCTGTCGCGCGATGTCCGCTTCTTCTCTTTTCAAGTCTTTCTCAATTCTTAGTGCGGTGTTCTTAGCTATTTGCTCCATAAATTGTACACATTCATTGTTCGAATTGCTCCCTCTCTTGGCCTTTGCCGCTTTTCTCCCAATAGGTCTCAGTGGACGTGGGAGTGGTGACTCCGTTTCCATTGGGGAGTCCAATGGCGAATCGGTTGATGGCGAATCGAAGAGTGGCGTCTCATTCAACACAACCGCCGGACCTATGGGAATAATTTTGAATCTCGAACAATCATTCACAACTTCCCAACATTGAAAATGCAAGAAACTTTTTTGCCTTACCCCATGGCACCTAACCACATTTGTGCTTGTATGATCTATTAAAAATAAATAATTGGAAATGGAAGAAAAAAAAAGATTATGCAAGAAAATATAAACAATTTTGAAATGCAAGAAAAAAAAAGAAAAAAAAAAAAAAAAAAAAAGATTATGCAAGAAAAAGAAATAGAATATGCAATAAAAAAAAGTTACAAAATTGATTAAAATGGCAATTATAAATATTTTACCTCATCGGATATATTTTGACTGCTTCGAATGTTCTCCCTTGCTTTTGTCAAGGCATTTTTCCATTTTCTTAACTCTTTATTCAGAATTCTCCATATACTAGACAAGACCATTTCTATCCGAATGGAACCCAATCTTTGACAAAATTCTCCATGAATTTTGCTCCACATATGAGAGAACTTCATCTCATTGCCCGTGACAGGGCAATGACTAACGTTCACCCAAGATTGACACAACGCAATATCTTCCTGAATTGTCCACGCGCCTCCGGCTTCGACAGAAGATGCCATTTGTTTTTTGATACAAATGGAAAGTAGTAGAAAAATGTGAGTGGAGAGTAAAAAATATTGGAAGGAGAAGAGTTTGTATAAAGATTTGGTGTGGAAAGTAAAAAATATTGGAAGGAGAAGAAATTGTATGAAGATTTGGTGTGGAAAGTGAATAAAATTGTTAGGTATTTATAGGGAAAAAATCCAGAATTTTTTGGTATTTTTAATCGATTTTTTTTAGTCAAAAAAACGAGGACCGTCGGATTTTTGGAAAAAAACCGATCGGAGCGTCCGGGTTGCGACACGTGGTGCATGCCCGTTGGATTCTGTCAGGGATGACGTTAGAGCTGACGTCACCGTCCTCGGGCTGAAGCCCAGGCGAAACCTGCCATTGGGCTTGCCCAGGCGAAACTTGCCCGGGCTGGTGGGACCCAGGGCTTGCCTGGGCCAATTCTCTCGCGTTGGAGCTGCTTTGGGCTTGCTCGAGGGGTCTCATGCCCAGTTTGCATGCAGTGTTGGAGCTGCTCTAAGGCAAGTGATTGGCAATGGCATGACACCACACCAGAGATAGATATTTGCTTGAAACGAACTAAGATATTTCAAGAAACATAAATGCATGATATTCTTAACTTAAAGGTGTGACACAAAAACATGCATTTTTCAAGCAAGGTAGTCTTGGCCATGGTCTAAAATATGGATGATATCCAAAATATCAGTAGTCCAAAAACATAGACATTTCAATGGAAATATCGGGACATTTTGATGGAAATATCGGGATATTATCAATTTCAATAAAAATTGAATTAAAACCACGGAAATTGTAAGAAAAACTTGGAAATTTTTATTGAAACTTTGGAAAATGTTTATTTAGTCAATTATCTATTGGTTTATCAAAAAATAAAAAAAATAAAAAAATTAGAAGAAAATGCATTACATGATGGATATAACTGATTTAAGTTGATTATACAGCGAGCTGGCAAATATTGTGAGTGTAGAAAATATGTAGTAATTAATGAAAAAAATATTAAACACACCATAATCATTTATATATAATGATTTACTACAATATTTTACACTTTATACATTGCATGATAAGATACATGAGTAACTTAGTACTACATAGAGTTCCTATGAGGTTCAAATTTTCACTATCTTCATCATCTTTATGTGTAGAGTAAGTGTATTGTGAAGAGTATTCATCAAATGATAAATCCCCGAAATAGTTTTGCATGTAATTGTTAACATGCCACTCATATAAATATAAATATTTTAGCATATTATCACTAAAACATAAGTGATATATGGTGGTTAAGGTGTTGGAGGAGTAAAATGAGAGGGGTTCAAATCCCATTTGTTTTTTTTTCTCCCTTCTTCCCCTTTTTTTCCTTTTCTTTCATATATTTTCGATATTTTAGCGATATTTTGACAAAATATTGCTGAAGTGTGAGCGAAATTATCGACATCGATATTTTCCGATATTATCATCAATATTTTCGATATTTATACGATATATACATAGATATGTTCCAAAATATCCGTGATTCGAAAAAATCGAAATATCCTTGATATTTCATCGATATTATTGATATTTCAGACTATGGTCCTAGCCTGGTCATGGATTATATATTAGTTGGTTGATTGGATGAGACAATGATAAGAATTCCCTTTTACAAAAGGCAAAATGGCCTTGTCCTCAGTGGAAGGAAGGAGACCAGCCTTGTCCGTGTAGCTTGTCCACTTTAGAAAATGCAGAGAGGTTGAAAACCATGCACATAATTGCAGATGCATGGGGAAGTGAAGAATTAAATAACAAGGGAAAATGACGAATTTGTGCTCAGATATGATTAATTCTATATTTTATTTTTCAACTAAAAAGTTATACAGTATGATCCTTGTAAATTTTTTGTGACACAAAACTAGAAAAATAAAAAGAAAAGGGTGAAAAGACGGACGTGCTTTAAAGAATCTACAACATAATTCCAAAAACATAAAGTCGTGCACAAAAAGGGTGTTTCAGCAATTGGCTAGGAATATATCGATTAGACTAGTTAGTCAAGGTAGGGTATCCGGCCCATAGTAACCGAGTTCAAACCTCATTCCCATTTAGAATATCCATCTTGTCCAAAAAAAAAATAAATAAATAAAAAAAATGGGGCTTCTGGGTGGGATCATCAGGTATCCCTTGGGCTAGGGAGTCCCGTATAGGCAAGCCTTGTTATGAGCCTGACTATTGGGCCTGGTCCTGGTGAAGGGATTGGATTTGGACTACTACTTCCATGGCAGCCCGGTTTGACCTTTGGTGACAAGTTGACTTATTCCAGTGTTCGCAATCCTAGCCCTGCTGGGTAGTCCCTCACACACTCAATACGTGGACCACTTGCAAGACAAACGCTTGGACAAGTCATATACAGGGGCTTCTCTATTGGTTGCACTGGATGTGGAACCCATACTCTCATGTTGATGATCAGTTGGATCAATGAATGATTCTTTGTCATCATCTATTGCACACATCTGCTGTAAAAATTGGATGGGTGAAAAATGTGTGCACAGTAAATACTGAACTGAATTTAATTACTATTTACCTTGACATTGGTGAGGTCTACTTGTTGCTCCTCCAAGAAGCTAATGAGTTTCTTGAAATTGTGTATAGTTGGGAGATAGTAACCATTGGATGGCCATATGGCCTGCAATGTATAACCAACAACAAAAAGGAGATTTAGCTCAAAATTTGAACTGCAAAACAGTTAAAAAATCAGTAGTATTTCAGAAATATAATGTACCTCAAGAACCCCATTGTGGGCAACTAATCTTCCAGCTGCACTTACAGCCCCTCCAGATAGAAAACTTGAGTGCTGGAAAACACCTTTTATTTCTTGCCCAACATACAAAACCCTTGATGTGCTCAGCACAAAAATCCACTTAGACCCAAGTTCAACTGTGTGAACAAGCATCCCAGTTTGCCTGTGCACAAGCTTTCCATTCTCCACAATCACTTGATATGACTCCCTCTCTTTCTGCAACAGAAAATGAGAAAACATGAGGCCTACTTACTTTGATTAGTTAGTTTGTTAAGTATGATTAATTAGGGGAGTAAGTGTCCTTACTGGTCCAAGATATTTGATGCACTGAAGGGTTAGAACACTTCTTGGGCAATTTTTGAGGTTTACGTCTTTACCATCACCAACATCCAACCTTGAGTTCCAGGGGAGGAAAAGAGGTTAGTGATGTTATTAGTGGTAATAGAAGAAATAAAAAGCTAATTAATCTTATATAAAACTGTCTAATCATGGAAGAAGGTTTTTCCTCAGGCACACAAACATACACTCACCAGTAGAAGAAAGGTTGGATGGTCTTGCAATCAGACCAGACATCATAATAGAGATGCAAATTGAGTCCGAACCGATGGCGTGGATCAATCTGAGAAAAGATTGAGCAATGAATTTCAACTTAAAATGAATGCATGAACTGCTTTTAGAATGTTTGTTTTTTTTTTTGTTGCCTATATAGCTTTGGATTGATCTGTAGGCTTGTGTTTACAGCAAAATGAACTTTTACTTTCAGCCTTTGGATGAAAAACTAACAAAAGCAAAAAGATCAAGAAAGACAGCTAAACAGAATTGGACTAGAAATTTAGAAGTGCAAAGTAACAGTCATAGACTCACAGCTTCAAGAAGGTACTGTGAAGCTAGCATCTGAGCCTTCTCATCCTTGCACCAACCCTTCCCTAACTACAGACGCAAAAATATTTTGCTGTTAATTTGGATTGGATTTGGAATTCCATAAAACACATCTTAATTAGCAATCTGATTCATGGAATATCACAAAAGTACCTTGGCAGCCCTTGTCCTAGCCCGTTCCCACCGTGACACAGCAGTTTCATGTTCCTCAATGTCGAAGAAGGACACTGAGCTTCGTTCCAGAGCTGCAAAGACTAAGGCCTTCTCCCTAAAACAATTAAGTGAACAAATACAAAGAAATTAGAGAAGGGTTAATTGTACACCAAGCAACAAAAGAGTAACAAAAGTCTGGCATAGTTTTAAGGTGTACAAACCATAGTTCCTCAACCACAACAGCACAATCTGCGAGGTTACGCCTAGTCCTGTAACCCTTATACACTCTCTGAATTTCAGTTGCTGCAGCTTCGAGCTCACTAACTGGTCTTGGAGAAAACAATGGGGTTGGTTCAGGAAGCGAAACAGTGGGTGTCTTTTTGGACAGTGTTTCACGATTTGTACCCATTGAAGAGGTTGAATCTGAATTTTCAAATGTATGAGATCAGACGCTTCAAGTTTTGGTTCTGTGGATACCCAAATTTTGAAGCTTATTCAACCTTTCTATATTCATTTTTTCAGTTCAGACCCATCAAGCATCATGAACACTTGGAGAATGCTCAAGATTAAGATCTATCTTATTCTTACATGCAAATTAATTAATCCAAGGAACTAATATCATGGAAACACACTTAAATTAACAACATTTGCAAACTACTTCAACCCACATTAAATGAGGTAATTATATGTTAACTAATGTAGTATAAAAAGAATATCTTACATGCAAATGCAAAAAAACCAGAAGACCTTCAGAAGCCCTCCTCTTGCTCTCTCTTTATCTGTCAACTCAACTAATTTAAGATTGAAGACAAGACAGTGTGTACACAATCACACATATCTAAAGACTAGTGCCTCTCCTTATATACACTAGCAGAACACTGGCGGCATAGTTTTTATTTATTTTTTTAATAAATAAATCCTATTTTGATCAAGGCTACATACGTTTGCTTGAAAAATCAAAGTTGGTGGTGGGGAGCTTCAAGGAAAGTTAAAGAGAAGGAATGAAGAAGCAACTAGTTTGACTCGTGTCTTATGAAGTCTTTCTTAAATCAATTCAATCTTCTGGGTATTAATCTACACAAAAATATTATGCCCATTTGCACTTGAATGACAATAGTATAGTATTATACTAGTCTACACAAAAATAATTTAATTACCTTTTTTTGTCCTTTTTATCAACGCTACATGAATTTGCTTGAAAAATCAAAGTTGGTCCCACAGAGCTTCTAGGAAGTTGAAGAGAGATTAAAGGTGGGGTTGTATGATTGATAGCATGGCTGATATTCTATAGCTCTTTTTTCTTTTTTCTTTTTTATATTTATAATACAAGCGATATTGGAGGAAAGGGGAATCGAACCTAGTACCTCAGTTGCTTTGATAAATGCTCTTAATCACTTGAGCTACAAGCCTCTTGCCATAGCTCTAGAAATTGGAGCTCCACTCATTGACCTTTCAATCTTTCTAAAATTAATTAATTTCTATATTTTTTGTTTGTTGGCAGAGCTCAGCAATAATCTACATAAATTTATATGCCCATTTGCATAGTAAAGTTATTCAACTATTAATATCACAGAACTTGAAAGCAGCCTCCAATTTCTGTGATATTTTGATATTAAATTCAAAAAAATATCACAAAAATTGGTGGTTGCTTTTAAGTTCTCTTATTATTTGTTCAGTGGGGAAGGTTTTGTGGTAAATTTAGACTGCATGGCCAACATCCCAATAATGGAGGAGTCACTTTCCAGAATTCATTATAGTTTGAATAATTGATTGTCAAAGGACCATTTGCACAAGAAATACATCATTGTTAAAGGGAGTAGCGTACGCAGAAATTTCTTGTAAATTGTAATTGAGAGAGACACAATATTTGTATTAGAATCAGATGCTATCGCTTTGATGGGAGTTTGTATGTTTACACAATCTGAATCTCTGATTATGGAGGGCAGTCATTGACTGGACTTCTGATGGGGCGGAATGTGGAGCCAAGCCTTCATCGTGTCGTATGCAGTGAAACCGATTGCCACAGAGGGAACTATCTGAGAACAGCAGTAAAATTCTCTCAGTACCAAGAAAAACAAGCCCCAAAAACTCTAAATCCGTATAGCCATAGAGAATAAGAAATCACCTTGATATAGTTAATGCTTAGGCCCGAAAACAACTTTTTCCATCCTTGATTACGAACAATATATGTAAGACCCTCCAATGTGTTCTTGTACCTAACACCACCTTGACCTGAAGGCTGCAGATTCTCAACCTGTAATATCCCACAACTAAAGTGAAAATCCAAACTACAATTCCAAAATAAAAAAAAAAACAATACATACCCCAAAACAGTATCCCAATCTTCCACTTGTTTCAAGCCAAAACCGAAGCTTGACTCATTTCCTGCGTTCCTTTTCATTCCATTCCTTCAAAACTCCCTAACTATTTCTCACCTAAAGTGTCATGTGCTTTTTATTTCAACATATTTTAATTCCAAGCAAACATCTAACATTTTAAAGATCAGAAAAGAGAGAACAGATTTAAACTTCTCAAAATTATAAGAAATATTGACGAAGCAATACCTGCATTTGCCTCCTAACAACATCCAAGGGGTATGTGAGAGTTTGCCCAAATAACCCGGCCAAAGCTCCACAGGAAAGGCGTGTCACAATGGACTTTTCATACTCTTCAGGAACACGCGTTTTAAGTTCCTCATATATGTAGAACTTTAAACCAGCATAAGGGAGGATTCCAGTGAGTGTTGGGCCTGATCAAGCAAAGGAAGCTCGAAATTAATATTACCTTGTCCATAATATGGCATCACAGAAGGACAGAAGGCACTTCAAATCAGTAAAAGTTTTAACAGAACAATCAGCTATGAGATACATGGGTTTTTAAAATACGAGCCTCAGTTAAAAACATAATGTTCTTTGCGAATGTTGCTTATCAATAAAATGAACATGGCAGCCTTTCAAGAACACAATGAATGCGATGACAAAGGGGTCTTGCCACATCAAAATTAGGCAAGCAAATACATACCTACACCTCGATAAAGGCCACGAAAGCCCCCCTCCCTGTAAACACTTGAAAGCACATCCCTTATGCCCTTATAAACATTTTGAGACTGGGGACCTTTCATGCCATAATTGAAGTTTCCTCTGGTATTAACAACCTGTAAAACCATATGATTGTTAAAATTCAACCCAAAAGAGATTAATGATGATCAATTAACTATTACAAAAATCAATTTCAAAGAAGAAAAGAGCCATCAAATCCCATATCAAATTCCTCTAAAGCTGGACACGGCTAAATTGTCTCTTCATGCTGAACTATTATAGGATAGGCTTTCAGATAAGCAATTCAAAAGTTGATGACAGATTATGAAACTGTCAATATGAACTTCGTCACTCTGTATCCTACTTATAACTTTTGCATAAAAGATCGAGAAGTTCTAATAAAATAAAAACAAGATGCTGACCTGATAAGCAAGTTTGGTGCGAGCTAGGTCCAAGGGGTAAGTGCATAAAACTGCTGTCCCTCCAGCTGCTGCACCAGCTAAAAGATCAATATGAGGCCCTGATCCTAAAGCAGAATAGTTATTCAAGATCCAACACCTGTACTGCTCATACGTCATGTAATGCAAGGCTGCATAAGGAACAATTCGAACAACACTAGCTCCATTTCCTCTGAAACACAGACAAGAAGATCAAGAATAAATCTTTCAGCAATGGCAAAACAGAAAGAGAACTAATTTGTTAAAAAAAAAAAAAAAAAAAAAAAAAAAAAAAAAAAATAAATAAAAAGTTGTTAATTGCTCCCTTACTTGTAGAATCCTCGAACGCCTTCATGCTTAAATAACTTCTTCAAAGATTGATACACTCCGAGAGAACGGAACTCTGTTCTTGTCTATAAATTTCCATGCATACATGCAAATACAGACACAAAAAGAAACATTGAGAGAAAGAGCTAGCAGAGTGGGGAAAGCATATAACAAAAAGATAACTAGCATGAAAAAAATGAGAAGAGCAATATATCCAAGTGGAATCATTCAAGATGATAAAATTCCTTAAACAACCATTCACCATCTACTGAAATAATTGGCATCAACAAACATGGAGCTTAAAAGATGCCTCACCTGCAAGAGTATTTTGGTCCGTTCCAGTGGTGCAACAGAAGTCTTAGCAAATCCTCCAGCAGCGCCTCCGGCAATCAACTCCCTAACATAAACAGGCATATTATCAATGTATGAGACCTCTTGGCAGGTCGATTGTGAAGCATCAACCAAGTCTGCCACATTTGTTGACAAAGAAGACCTTTGTGTAGAACCCATCTCAAATTTCTCCAAACAAAAGCACCTACCAAAGCCAAAAACTTCGTAATTTCGACAAATTTATTTATTTATTTATTATCCTCCCTGCAGCTTGAAGAACTCCTTATCCCATCTATCTCTTGGAAAACAAAAAGAAAAGGCCTTTTGCTCAATTGGCAGGTAAATTGGCCTGAGAACACCCAGAAACGAGTCGGGTACGCTCACAAGCCGATCCTCCTCTTCAGTAATAATATGATACATTCAAAGATATACAGCCGACCGAGCACACCCACCACCAAATACTAAAAAAAATCCTTCAACTATAACAACCAATGCTTCCAAGGATCAATCACAAACCCATTAACACCCACGAATCTAATCAACCCCAGAGTCCAAACAATCGAAACCCCTTAAACCAAAACAAACCCAGTAAATCAAATCTTCTATCGATGCCCAGTTGGCCACAGCCTTCGTTATGAAAGCGATCAAATTTATGGGCGGCTTTGAAATGGAAAATGGAGAAAGAAGAAGCGAATACGTTATTGGAAACCTACCAGGAATTACATGGATTGGGTCAGAGTAAAGGAGAGAAGAACAGGCACCTCAGTTTGTGTTTTAGCAAACATGTGATGTGATGTGATATTTTTCCGTAAGTGCCCGTTCTCCTCCTTTGGTAAGGAGAAAGAGGTTTCCTCGGACTCTCTCCGAATCCTCTTCGACAACTATTTCTCCTCTGTTTCTCTCTCTTTCTGTCCAACGCGCGTTAATTAATTTAAGGCCAAAAAGTAATGCGCGTTGGACAACCCGTAGTTTGTCATTTTTATCACTTTGGTCCTGTTGTTTTAATTTAATTATTATTATTATTATTATTATTATTTTTTGTGGCTTTCAATTTAAGCAATTTAATGATAAATTCCAATTTCTGTCAAAATAAAGTAACTTATGTTAGTTGTGGAAGGGCATTTCGGTCCAAAAACAAAGGCTGGACAAAAATAAAAAGATAAAAAAAATTACTGAAAGTTAAAAATTAAAAATCAAAAGAAAAATAACAAAAATATCTCTACATCGCTCTCCTCCCAACCCTCCCCCTAGTTCGACTTAGCCAACCAAACCATCACCCTCTCTGCCCACACCACTTGCTCCCAACATGCCCACCCTCTTATGTCGCCTCCTCGTCGATGGTGTCGTCGTCTTCTCCGACATGTCCTTTGTCTTCTTCATTGCTTGGCTCGTCTTCCAACCCTGCCTCCCTGAGTTACGGGTCGACTCCGCCTCCGTCTTCACACTCAATGACACTCGTTTTGAGCTCATCGCCACCTGGGACCTCACCTTCTTCGCCGCCAACCCTTGGCTTGTCTTCCAACCCCGCCTCCGTCTTCACACTCAATGACACTCGTTTTGAGCTCATCACCACCTGGGACCTCACCCTCCTCGCCGCCAACCCTAACCACAAGCTCATAATTTATTACGACAACATCCATGCTACTATCTCGACCCATGATTACCGGCTTGCCAAAACTTCGTTGCCCCCTTTGTTTTAACCAAGAGGAACCAGACGTGTATCGGGTTCAAGCTGCGACGGTGAGGGAATACGTCAACGATGACATGGCCAAGGGAATCTCCGATGGGAGGGATCGTGGTAGGGATAGGGGTGGGGAAGGATGATAGGACGGTGGGGTTTGGGTAATTAGGGTTTTTTTTTGGTTACTTATTTATTTATTTTATTCTTGGTTTTTTTGTTTGTTTTGGTTACCTTTGTTTTTGGAACGAAATGCCCCTTAACAATTAACGACAGTTACTCTATTTTGACAAAAATTAGAATTTGTCCTTGAATTGCTTAAATTAAAAACTACATGAACAAAATTGATCAAATTGAAACGATAAGGACCAAAATGATAAAATTGAGAAATTATAAGGAACAAAAACGATTTTTTGCCTTAATTTAATGGGGGTTTCACTAAAACACCCAAAATGGGGGTTGAAATTATAAAAAAACCCAAGGACTATTTAAACATATAAACACACCCAAAACCCATCATTACACACACTCAAAACCCATTTATAAACACACCCAAAAAGTTGACTTTGGGGTTGATTTTGGGTGTGTTTCTATGTTTAAATAGTGCTTGTGTTTTTTTATAAATACATGTCTAGGATTGGGTTTATTTATAAATTTGTATAATTTAATTATATCGAATGTAAAGGGACAAAATAATGAGAGAAAATGGACAAAATTGTGGGGACCCTAACCACTACCATTTGTCCACGTGTGGCCTCGTTTGTTACACAGGATTGTCTTGGCATGAACTATGCTTAAGGACTATCGTGGATTGGCTTGGCTTAATTTAAGCTGGATTACATTTGTTCTATGTTTGGTGTATGCTTGGACTAGGACTAAGTTTTATTATTTTTTAAAATTTTAATAACATGGGCAGAATTTTTATTTTATTTTTTAACTGTTCTTCTCTCTTTGCATATCTTTCTTCTTCATCTTCCTCCTTTGTCTTCTCCATCCTCTCTCATTCTCCTCTTATTCTCAGTATTTTTATTATTTGTGCTATTTTTTATTGCTCGAAATTTTTCTCTCATTTTCCTCATTTACTTGTCTTCTCCTTTTCTCCCTTTCCTCGTGAAGCCATCATCGTCGCCTACAACCCTAAGTCCGAGCTATGAAGTCTTCGTCGTCTGCCATTGGTGCCAACTGAAACCGTATGGCTGTGATGGTGGTTTTTCTTATCATTTGAGTTTTGAATGGAAGTACAATTTTATCCTTTTGGATTTGGGGTTGAGTTTTGAATGGATCTGAGTTTGAATGTTCTTGGAGTTAGGTTTCTAGTCACATTTTTGTTGTTTCCCATAAATTTGAAGAAGAAGGATGATGGTATACATACAAGAATATGAGATGCATCTTCTTTCTGCTAGTTATTTTTGTTCTAGCTGCAATGGTGGGATGTTTGGAACGGTTGTAGTGCTCGACGATAACGAGGGACTATTTGTCCCCCATTTCTACACGGGCTTCACTAACACCACCAAATGAGGTGTTTTTGGTGGGACCACTACTAGTCATCCCACTTAAAATTAGTGCCAAGTAACACAAACATGGGATAAAAAGTTAGTACAAGCCAGTTCAAGTCTAGAAGGTGTACCAAACAACTGTTGTGAGATGACTTTTTCGGAGTCCTCCTTCCGTGCAGCCTTAGACTTCATCGCTTCTCGAACAAGACTAAGTCAACCTTCTTCCCTACAAAATAAGATCGAACCAAGCAAGAACACAATAGCAAGAGCAAGAACGATAAGAATGCTAAAGAACACTCAAGAGAGTTTGGGAGAATATATGCTTGTATTGCTACTCAATGCTTTACAAGTTGTGGGGTGAGGATACACAATGAGACATCCTCATTATATAGAGTTCCTATCCCACCTACCACCACAATAGATGGCTAGGATACAATCTCACCAACCGGAGTCTACCTACTACTGTACATTGAATCTAGACATGTGGGCTAATAGGTCTAGCATGATCCATCCGACGGGCTAGGCCTTGAGCTTCTCTTGTAGGGCTTGACCTTCACAAATGGATCCTCTAGGTTGGGCCTTCAACATGCGGGCTGTGACATTCTCCCTCACCTAATCCGGTGATGTCCACGTCGCCGAGGTAGTTCCTTCTTGTTCGAATGCTTCGATGATGTCCTTGTACTACCACAAGGACTCTTTTTTCTCTCAATTACCTTCGAACTTTGGTATGCCTTTCTAGTTGACAAAGCCATGATACACTCGACCTCCCTGTCAAATGAAGTTACCTTTAAAGGTGGAGCTTGTTGAGACTCTCCACGATTTGGCTCCTCGGGGTTGGCATAGTAAGGCTTGAAATTGCTCACATGGAACACCAGATGAATCTTCAATCAGGGTGATGGTTCTACACGGTAAGCAGCTCTTCCCACCGTTTGGATGATAGGAAATGAACCCTCATATCTCCTCAACAACCCCTTGCCAGTCCTTGGCCGTCTTGTATGCAGTTGGGCTACTCCCTGTGTTGCCTGACACAATTGTGTTCCTTGTCATAGGTTGTTGTTCCGTTGCCAACTCAAAAGGACTTGACCCTGTCGACTCCGACCACTGCAAGTTGTATGATAACTGATCAACATCCAACAACTTTGTCCAATCTCGTTGATTAGCACTCACATAATGCCTTAAGTATAACTCCAACAATGCATTCACCCGTTCCGTCTGACCATCTGTTTATGGGTAAAAGCTGGTGGAGAAGTTCAATTGTGAGCCAAATAGCCTGAAGAGCTCCGTCCATAGTTTACCAGTGAAGCGAGTGTCACGGTCACTGATAATACTCTTGGGGATCCCCCAATACTTCACCACATGCTTTAGAAATAAACGTGCAGCTTTATCCGCGTTGCAATCTGCCGGTGTGGGGATGAATGTAGCATACTTGGTGAACTTGTCGACCAACACCAAAATTGAGCCACACCTTTCTGACTTGGGTAAACTCACGATGAAGTCTATGGACAAACTTTCCCATGATCTGGTTGAAACAGGAAGTGGCTCTGGCAACCTACCTGGTTGCTTCTGCAATGTCTTGTCTTGTTGGCATACAAGGCAAGTCCGCACGAACGAGTCTACATCTTCCCGCATCTATGGCCAATAGTAAGCTTTCGTCAATGCTAAAGTTCGATGAGTGCCCAGATGTCCCGCCTACTTCGAGTCGTGACACTCATTCAGTAGCTCTCGCCTTAGATTGTCCCACCTTGGAACATAGATTCTTTTCCCTGTTGCATAAACAACACCATCATCTAGCCAAAATCTTCTTGTTTCCCCATATTTAACAAGCTCAAACAAACTTTTGGCTTGGGAATCATGTAACAAGCCTTTTCGTATCCTCTGCATGAGGGAACTTTAGGGTTGTACAACAGCTGCTAGTGTAGCCTTCCTGCTTAAGGCATTGGTAACGACATTCATCTTCCAGTACTTATACTCCACTTTGTAGTTGAACTCCACCAAGAAGTCATGCCACCTAGCCTGCTTGGGTGACAACTTTTGTTGGGACTGAAAGTAGCTTGTGGCAACATTGTCAGTCTTGACCACAAACTGAGAACCAAATAAGTAGTGCCTCCAAGTCTGCAAGCAGTGCACTACGACTGTCATCTACTTATCTTGAACGGTATACCTCCGCTCCGTGTCATTGAGCTTCCGACTCTCGAAAGCCAATGGGTGTCTATCCTGCATGAGTACACCACCAATAGCAAAATTTGATGCATCAGTGTGTACCTCAAAAGGTTTGCAAAGATTAGGAAGTCTCAGCACTGGTTTCTCCATAAGTGACCTCTTCAACTCATCGAAGGCATGCTGGCATCGAGGCGTCCACTGTCACGTCTTGTTATTCTTCAGCAAACCCGTCAAGGAGGCGGCAATGGCTAAATATCCCTTGATGAACTTGCGATAGTAGTTGACCAATCCAAGGAAAGACCGCAACTCAGGTACCTTGGTTGGTGGTTCACACTCTTGAATGGCTCGCACCTTGCCCTCCTCCATGACCAATTGTCCTCCCCGTATCTTGTGACCAAGGAAATCTATCTCTTCTTGGACAAATGAGCACTTCTCATTCTTCACATATAGCTTGTTCTCTCTCAGAACTTGGAATACCTTATGCAAATGCTCGATGTGCTCCTCCAGAGAATTGTTGTACACCACAATATCATCGATGTAAGCCACAACAAATTTGTCCAAGAAAGGTTGGAATACCTTGTTCATTAGAGTGCAAAAGATTGCAGGGGCGTTAGTCAGGCCGAACGGCATGATAAAGAACTCATAAGACCCATAGCTCGTCACATATGTAGTCTTCGGTTAGTCTCCTGGTGCGATCCTCACTTGATAGTATCCCGAGCGTAGGTCCAACTTGGTGAAGTACCTAGCTCCTCCCAACTGATCAAGCAAATCTGCAATCAAAGGGATTGAATACTAGTTTTTGATGGTCACCTTGTTTAGCGCCCGGTAGTTTATGCACAACCTCAGTGTCCCTTCTCTATTCTTCTGGAATAGGACTGGGGCAACTGCTTCAACTGCCTCCTTAATTCCTCCAACTTAGGAGGTGTCATCCTGTATCGCGTTTTGGTAGGGGATTTAGCACCCGGCTCCAACTCAATGGCATGATCCACCTCTCTCCTAGGTGGTAAAGTTTTGGGCAGCTCCTTGGGCATGGCATCTACAAACTCCTTAAGGACAGCTTTTGGTACTGGTTGGACTTCCTTATCAATTATGTCCATATTCATAGTTGCAAGGAACATCGGTTCGCCCTTCTTCCAAGACTTGGAAAATTTGCATGGCTGACAAAAGCTTCGACTCGCCTTGTTGCCTCACCATTAGCACCATGCATGACATTGTTATACCCTGTGCAATGCACATAGAATTGTAAAATGGAATGAGAAATGCCTTTACCTTGTCCATGAACTCCATTCCTAGCATGACATTGTAGTCATCTATCGAGATCACGGAGAAGTCAATTACTTCCTTCCAAGTGGCAATGTGTAGCTCCACACCACGAGCTACTCCATCAATTGGTTTGGCAGTTGAATTCACAGTCTTCATACTGCCTGCTTCCTTCGAGACTTGACACCCAAGTCTCTTTGCTTCTTGCACAGACATAAAGTTGTGCGAGGCACCCGTATCCATCAAACAACGGGTTGTCTTGCCATTCACCATGGCGTCGACGAACATCACTTTTTTAGCTTGAACCTGTGGTTGAGCGACTTTGGCTTGTACGACATTGAAGTGGTGAATGGCCCACATTCCTGCTTCCCTGTCAGCCTCCTCTTTCTTCTCTTTGTTCATAACATTCAAGGCTTTCTTCTACGGACAATCCCGCATCATGTGTGATTCACCTCACAAGTATCAAGTTAGCTTCAACTTGTCCTTTCCCTTGTCACCTTTGTCATTCTTCTTCACGGATGACTTGTGATTGTCGGACTTGTCTCATGACTTGCTACCCTCTTTTGGCTTGTTGTCTTCCCCACTGGATCCACTGCTACCTTTCTTTCCTTTGAACTTGAAGTCGCCTTGATCATTCTTCTTGAACTCAACAATGGACTCGGCTGCAGCAATTACCTATGATAAGGTTTGGACGTGTCTTCTTTATAACTCCAGCTTGGCCTAATTATGTAGGCTACTCATGAAGTACATGAGCTTTTCTTCATCTGTCATGCTAGACACCTCAAACAACAGGTTGGTGAACGTGGCAACGTAATCCTTCACACTCCCCGTCTGCTTTAGTCATCTCAGCTTCTCATTTGCCGATACTTGGCATTCTCTGGATAGAAATGCAACATAATATCCTTCTTAAATTCATCCCAAGTCTCAAGTGTAAACGTACCTTGGTCGATCTCCATGGATCGACGACGCCACCATATGAGAGTATTGTCGGTGAGAAACAACGTTTCTGCATTAATTTTGGGCTTATCATCCTCTATCTTGAGATACTTGAAATACCTTCGATGTTCCACATAAACGTGTCCAGCTCATTCGCCTCCCTTTTCCCATTATAGAATTTGGGCTCGAAAGAATCTAACACCTTAGGTTCCCTCGGAGTCCGGGTCTTGTTTAAGACAACTTATTTGCACAAGGCTCAATCTCCCTTCACATCCTTCATTTCATCACGAAGTGCAATAAGTTCTGCCATGAAATGATCTAGTTGCGTTTGGACATCTAGCTTGATGGAGTCCAGCGCGGAGTTAAGGGCTTTCTGAAATTGGCCTTGAAGCTCTTCCACCACAATTCCAAAGCTTTCTTTCGTAAGGACATCCTCCTCGAGTCGCTGATCGAACTTGACTACGTCATTCTTCATCCTTGAAAGCCACTTCTTCATCGCTACTACCACTTATTTGGATCGGTCCTTTTTTGATTTACCCCCACGATCCAAGTTGACCTTGGACATATCCATCTCCACATCAGATCCACTCTTTGACATGCTTCTTCGAATGATTCGAGTTTTCGCTCTGATACCAACTGTCACGGGATGACTTTTTTAGAGTCCTCCTTCTATGCAGCCTTAGACTTGATCACCTCTCGAACAAGACTAAGTCAGCATTCCTCCCTACAAAATAAAATTGAACCAGGCAAGAACACAATAGCAAGAGCAAGAACAATAAGAACACTAAAGAACACTCAAGAGAGTTTGAGAGAATATATGCTTGTATTGCTACTCAATGCTTTACAAGTTGCGGGGTGGTGATACACAATGAAACATCCTCCTTATATAGAGTTCTTATTCCACCTACCACCACAATAGATTGCTAGGATACAATCTCACCAACCGGAGTCTACCTACTATTGTACATTGAATATAGACATGTGGGCTAAAAGGTCTAGCATGATCCATCCGACGGGCTGGGCCTTGAGCTTCTCTTGTGGGGCTTGACCTTCACAAATGGATCCTCTAGGTTGGGCATTCAACATGCGGGCCGTGACACCGTGGAGTCTTAGGTGCCTTTGTTGAATTTTTTTATTTATTTTTTAAACACCTTCTCTTTTTTTTGGGTTTCTTCGCTTAGGTAAAGGAATTCTGCTTGCCGACCACCAACCCTCTATTGTCTAGGTGGTGGGTACTCAATTTCTTTATAACGAGCTGTTTTGCATGTGTACAGATGTTTCCATGTTCACTGCTGCTGAGGGAACAAGATGAAAAGATCCTTATCCCAATATGTGAGATCAAAATCTAATAGAAAACTTGGAGACCTCCATGGGGATTCACTTGGAATTTAGTAGTAAAGTGAATCTTTTCTTAGTGCTTAGTTCATCATGAATGAGGTTTTTATATTTGCTTCTGTGACATTGTGACATGGTCATCTTCTCTGCAAACAAAATAATAATTTTTTTGGAACCTTGAGATTTGCAGGCATCAGAAGACTCTCGAGTCACCTTCTGCTTCTGATCCATTGAGCTGCTGAGCAGCAGAGAAAAAGAAGCTTTGCCATTCTCTAATCACCGAAAAACCGAAAAAACAGAAGAAAAAAAATACAGAGAGAGAGATGTGCAGCATGAATTAAGAATTAATTGAAAACAAATCAACCAATTAACTATACACTCCCAAGAAAACACAAGATGAATAATGTACATGATGACCCTGAAGACATTAACATTATTATCATTCTTGATCACTTTCTTGATTTTTGTTTTCTTGTTTGTGATCTCTCTCTTGATTATTTTGTTTTCTATCTCTACTTTTCTCATTCTTTGGTCCGGTATTGCGCTTGGATCAATGAAAGAAGATTGCCTACTTTTGGGGCGATATGCTGGGATCTTTCTTCCCTTAGCATCATAAATCGCAACTTCGTCCTCATCTGGCACTTTACATTTCTCACCTAATATGATCGTCTTCATCCAGATGGACTCTTCCGGCTTCAACTTGGTGTTCTTTCGTTTGTTATACTCCTCCTTCACCTTATCTTTCCTTGCCATTGACAAGCTTCTTGGCAATTTCATGCTTAAATTCGACAACAGTCTTCTCTCAGAAGCAGACTTTTTCATATGTGCCTTGTTGTTAATGGTAGAATCAATCTGTCCTGAGTGCCTCATCCGCGGAGGCAAAGGCAGTTCTTTACTCTCTCTTCCATCCTCGTTTTCTTGATCTGTTTCTGAATCTTGCTGAGGTGTTGTTGTCGTTGTCCCCGCAGCTGCCATTGTTGCTGGTTCTGCATCTATTTCCGTTGTTGTGTTTGCAGGGGCTTGAGAAGGAGGCGGTGATCGTTTTCTTGTAAAGCTACAAAGAGCTGTGATCATGGCAATGGTGGCAGCCATACCAGCAGCAAAAAATGATATCGAAAGCAACGGATGAATTAGCAGGTTTGTCTCATCCGCGGGAATTCTTCTTCCCATGAGGACTCAAACATCAAAAACAAAATTGGGAAACAGGTTGAAATCTGCAAATTTCAAATTCTTTACATGGTTTTGTTGGTCTCTTTTTCTTCTTCTTCTTCTTCTTTTCTAGGGGCCCCTTTGGTTTTGAACTTTGAGGTTCGAATTCAAAAGGGGTTCCTTGTTCCGCAATGTTGTTTACTTTGATGTTTCCTTCCCAAAAACCAAAAAATGGATTTGGGAAACAGAAGTCATTTGGAAGATGCGAAACAGAATGCTTGAGTTTAGGAATTGAGAGGAAAGTCCTCCCTTAGTTTAGGTTCGGTTGGTCAAGGTTGTTCCACTTCTAATCCTAAAAATATGCAGATAGCAAAGACAAACTCTTGTACGCAAAACATCCAAATTTCCACCTCTCTTGTATGCAGCTGACCCTCGGCGAATTGTCAATTTGTCATCTTATCCACAACAAAACTTTTCTTTAACAAATACTTTGCAACCTCCGTCTCAACCTCTATGTCATCCCTCAAATACAATTTGGGAGACAATTTTGAGGCGTTTTGCTTACATTTTCTAAGTAAATATCAGATCATGAGTTTCAAAAATGAAAGAAAAGAAAAAGGCTTTCAGTCACTAGTACAAACAAACAATGGCCCAAAATTAGTTCCTTACAAAAACCCAATCTTAGTATTGGCCCAAAATTCAAACAGAATGAGAGATATCCAATCCAATGGCCTATGGACTGCGGAAATGCATACATAAACTAAGCAACGTGTTTAGTCACGTCGTTACAAAATATTGGCAAACAAGAAACACAAAACAGCAGATTGTCAAAATTGTTCTCCTATAAGGAAACGTTCAAGTGTTCTTATATAATTTAATTTTTTCCAAATGATTAACTTAACATAAACAAAAATATTCTTATATATATAAGTCAAAGTCTAACTGTGGGAAGTATAGCAATCCCGGCTATGTGCAATCTGTCTTCTCTCAATTTCCATGAATAAAATACGATTATTTTGTTTGATTTCAGAGAGAAACAAAGAGATTATTTCATTTTTATTATTTTAATTAAAGTTTCACTGTTCTTTATTCCCATATTTCCAGAGAGCCGACAAACAGATGTCGGGTTAGAAAGGTAATGGAGCATGTGGGCTTCCTTTGCTTCACTCACCGGGTATATAAAATCCATCAAGTTCTCGAATTTGATTGATTTATACCAATTTAGAATCAACCCAATTGTCTTTTTAAAGAACCCATCTCGTATGGTTTCTCTTTCTCTCTCTTTTTCTATTGATTTTGCAAAAAGTTTTGGGCTTTAGCTGTTAAAGTAACAATTTACCATCTGTCTTTGGTTTGCTTTGGTTCAGTTCTTTTTCTCAAATGCTTTGGGATTGACTAGAAATAATATATATAAAAAAGTAGCAATTGTGAATGGAAGAGAGCAACGCAAGGAGCAAGTTCAAGAGGATTTGTGTGTTCTGTGGAAGCAACTCTGGCCGCAGAAAAGTATTCAGTGATGCTGCTCTTGAGTTGGGCAATGAACTGGTTTGTTTCTTTTAAAACTTACACTCTTAAATCTTTCTTAGGTTGTGTTTGCTCTGTTTGGTAATAGGCCATTGGAATTATCTTGGGCTAATTTGTGCCCAGGAACACTAAAAGTATACGACTTTACACAGATACGTTGAAATCAGTCTCTAATACATTGAACGGGGATATTCTACGATTTTGTCTTCTATGCTTAATTTTCCCTTAAAAAATGATCTGTAATTGACTTGTCGTCTACTTTGTTGTTGTATGTTACAGGTCAAGAGGAAGATAGATTTGGTGTATGGTGGGGGGAGTGTCGGGTTGATGGGTTTAATATCCCAGACAGTGTACGATGGAGGTTGCCATGTTCTTGGGTATAAATGAAACCTTATGTGTTCTGAATTATAATATTATTTGGTCTTTTAATTCATAATCGTGTTATATTCATTCAAGCTTCCAAAAGCAAGGTGTTTGTTGATCACAATAGTGTCACTTAATAAATTCTTACCTGTTTTATACATGCAGGGTCATTCCAAAAGCTCTCATGCCTCTTGAGGTATCTCTATACTATTTATCCATATACTCATCTCCTCCTCCAAGCCTTCTACAGTCGATTCTTAAATTGAACAGTTTTTGATTGATTTATGCTGTTTTATTTTTAACTACCCGGATTTTTTTTTCATCTTAAAAATACTCTTATGAAGCAGAACCAGTAAGAACAAAATTTCTTAAAATGCTTGATGTGATGTTTTCACAGTTTAAATGGATCATAGTGCTCATTCTTAGTGGATTCAGGAAATAAATTTGCTCATTATTTTTCTCAGTTTTAGTGATCTTTTTTGTGTGGATAACTTTGACAGATATCTGGTCCAACTGTTGGAGAAGTAAGAACAGTTACAGACATGCACGAGCGTAAGGCTTCTATGGCTCAAGAAGCTGATGCCTTTATTGCTCTTCCTGGTAATTACATGGCAAAATCCCCCTACTTTTTATTATTATATAAATTACAAGGCAGTACCTTAAATACATTGTAAATTGGTTTTCCAATTCTTAAGTGAGTTTCTTGTGCTTAGTACAATATTACTTTTGGTTTTAGGAGGATATGGAACTATGGAAGAGCTGTTGGAGATAATAACATGGGCCCAACTTGGGATTCATATGAAGCCGGTAGCGTACCAGTTCTCAAGTTTGAAAATATATCATCAGCTCAGCTTCCTACTAATTGAGTTTGTAACTTCATATTACTCCATACAGGTTGGTTTGCTTAATGTTGATGGGTACTATAATTCCTTGCTGGCACTATTTGACAATGGTGTTGAAGAAGGTTTCATCAAGCCATGTGCTCGGCATATAGTTGTCTCTGCTCCAACAGCCGAAGAACTTGTTGTGAAGATGGAGGTATGCTAATAACCTGACTTTTCTTTTCCTCTTGTTGATGAATGGGTTTAAACAGAAAAAAAATGTTTTCTATGAAAAAAAAAAAAAAAAAAAAAAAAAAAAAAAAATACAAAAAATGTGTACTTTGGCAGCAATACACTCCTTCCCATGAACATGTTGCTTCTCATGAAAGCTGGCAAATGGAGCAACTTGATAACTCTCAAGCCAAGAAAACGCAAGGTGAAGCTGTTATTGGTGATAGGTCTTTCACCTAAATTGATTCCTAATGTGATTCATTAACACTTTAGATGTGTGGAAGAATCTATTTATATGGGACCATGGACCTTTCCATTCTTATGTACTTTGTCCTTCCTTTAATTTAATTTCAGATCGTTTCATGGCATACTTTTGTTTGAGGTCGATCGAAACACTATTCCATGGTCATATTTAGTTGTTACCACTAGTTCAAGGGCGTACTCAGAAATGGAAAGATTTTATTTACAGTTTTAATTGTACAGAATTTTCTGGTGTAGTGCCAGGGGAGATGGTCCTACAATACAGAGGCTTCATTGGATTCGGTAGATGACTGTATACAACTTTATATGTTGGGGAAGCTGTTGAGCTTAGGCATCCCAGAACTTTTATTCTGAAGCTTGCACATTGTACCATCAGGGGCACATCATCAGGAGCGATGTGCCCAAGAATGCTTCACAATAGATGCATCATGTTCCATTTGGGGAATTTTTTTTTAAAACAAAACTGATTGTGAAATTAGCATGGAGGTTGAAATATATGTGATCAACTAAGTTCATATCAATATCTTTATTAAACCTATCCTTGCTGTTTCTGCATTTTGAGGTAACTTGGTGATTGTGATTCCTAATTTTAGTCACAAAGCACATGAATTATGACATTGACAAAGTGGAATTAAGTGCTCCTTATGACAAGATGGTTGAGTTGAGAATAAATTGGTTTTGTCCTAAATTTATTGATTTCTGCTAGGACCCACAAAGATGTTCTTGACAGTGTTTACTTATTTGGTCTACAAGTCATTACATGAAGACTGAAGTATCGACTTCTTTTGGGTGAAAGGTTATCCAATCCGGGCCCCTCCTCTCTTTCTCTGCCTTCCTCCCCTTGTTGAGTTTGGGTACATGGAATAGAATCATTCTGGATTCTAGTGTGTTAAATTTCATCATTCTTTTCCTTTTTTCTTTTGTTTTAAGACCTCAAAGGGAAAGGAGTGAACTTGCCTTTAGAGAGAAAAAACAGAGTAGTTGCAAACCAACTTGTCTAAAATCATGGGAAGCATATTGATCTGCCACTTTAGAAAAACCCAGTTCATATTTGTCACTTTTTAGGTAGAAAAACCCAGTTCATATTTGCCATATATGCATATATGGAAGTACCAAACAAGCCACATGCATTACTATTGAAACATCTTCTCTGTGATTAACTTTCCTACAAATAGGAAAACAGGACAGCTACAAAAGGTGGGTGACATGACACTTGTGCCCTAACAAAGCACAATGTGCCCCATCATGGCTGTGATTAGGGTCTTGCATAATGGATCTTATCACTAGAGGTTGCTCAATCCAATCCAAGTCATGGTGGACCTCAAGCGTGGAGAGGTGTAGTTATGTCATGAACAAGAGGCTAAGCCAAAAATGGCTGTTTGTTGCTTGGAGTGGAGTGGGTGAATAGAGGTCGTCCCATGACGTGAATGCAGAGGTAATTAACTATTCACCTGGGTCCTAGCCAAGAGGGGTCCCTCCATAGCTTTTTCTCTGTAACCATTCTCGTGTCTTATTTTAGGCATTATTGTCCCTTCTATTGTGGTCTTATGTTCGTCAATTTATTTCTGACCCTTGCCCACTTTTTCTCATTTTCAAATAAACGCGACGCGATGATATAAATTACTCTAAATTAATCTAACTTGTGGGGCGATGATATAAATTACTTTAAATTAATCTAACTTGTTGGGAGAGATATTCAAACTTTGTTGCAAAGGGGTCGTGCTCTTGCTGACTTCTTTACTTGTAACTTTATTCGAATCAATTATAACGTCATTGACATTAAAAGATTGCTGACTTCTTTAGTTGTAACTTTATTTGAATCAATTATAACGTTATCGACACTAAAAGAACAGAAAATCATGTCTAAGAAAGGTGCACGGTTTTCAGGAGAACGAACAGTACGCAATAAACAATGAGATATAACTTATAAGAACACCAAATCGAGAAAAAAAGTTAGACATCAAAATGTTCACAAAATACTAGAGTACAGATTTTCCCTAAAAGGAATGATTTCAAAAACTTCATGCCCTCTGATGAAGTCTGTAAGCATACTCTACTATACACCAGATTTGCCTAAACCACCAGGAGTTGCTTCCCGTTACTTGCAAGTCCGCCGATATGAGAAATTTTGTGCATATACAACAATCTCCCTGATTTAATCAAATCAAGCCTTTTCTTTAGACGAAGTTGGTATCAAATGATGCAGAGTTGCTGCGTGAATGACAGTGCTTGGGCTCGAATCCCTAGTGCGGATAGACCCGGATTTTCTCTGGCTGAAGTTCTTATCAACACCACTCTGGATAAAATGCCGTAAAGGCCGAGGAAGGTTTCGCACCAGCCGTGTCGAGCTCACAAGCAAAATCACGCCAATAATTATAAATAGCCTGCAGTAGAGAAAAAAATGGAAGTTTTATTGCAAGAAAAGACTTGTATTCAATTAAGCACTTCAAACACTGGAAATAAATGTTGTAAATTGAGAATGTGGACAGCTATATGAATTCTACGAAATATGGATGCATGCCAAGAGAAGAACAATATCATATGGTAACTTTGGACCGCATACTTGCTACCCCATGACATCCAATAAGTTTGGACCACTTTTACCCCACGACATCAAAATGAAAACAGAAATCTAAAGAAAGTGCTAGTCAGGTTTCCTAAACGAAGAATGATAGCTGATGAATCATGGCACATACACCATACCTTAAAACTATTTGATTTAAGGACATTCTCAGGTCCAAAACTAAGATTTAGAGAGCTTTCTTTTATTAAAAACGATCCGTAAAATATAAGTCAGTATCTTAATTTACCATCCAAGCACAAGTGAAAGACGAGCGGTTGGGGCTGAAGGCAATCTTTCACCCAAAGCAAGCATTCCAGCAAGCACACCAGTCACAATTGATGCCACAGCAGCACATGTAGACACCACAATTGCCCTCCCATGCTTTAACCCCCAAGTCTGTTCAAAAGGAATAACTCACTAACAACAATAACCAACTTACAAAACTATAAATGCATTTCATGTGGCCGACATTCAATTTACGTGAACATGCGGATATGAAACTCTGAACTTAGACAAACGTTTAACATACCTGGTAAAAAAACCCTGTACCACTACAACATATGCTGAATATCAGGCATATAGGAACCAGCATGCTGGGGAAACCCTGCTCCAAGAACACGAATCCCATCTTTGATATTACAGATGCCATCCTGCATTAAGATGTGTGCATATCATTTTAAGCATGATTTGACAACAGCAGCAGCTACATGATTTTACTAATAAAAGGTCCTCTGCTCTCAACATAATGAAATTGATTTTTCAGATGAAAAAAGGCACGTAAACATAAAGAAAGTATTTGCTTCAGTTCTTCTCCAAAAATAACGTAACTGTTTCAGACAAGAACAGAACTAATTAATAGAATGTGAAAGTATGATGCCTTTTGCCTACTGTAACATAAAGTACACATCACTGAATTGATATGCTAAACACATTATTGACTTGTACTAGCATGCACATCTCTAACTTGTACAATCTGCCAAATACAACGTAAAATACGGGAAACTATTAAAACTCAACCTCATGCACATCCACACACACACAAACACACAATTTGTAACAATTTTCATCCTAAAACTGAAAGATGAGAGAGATGAACCTATCTGTTAAGGAGTAAATTAACTTATACTAGAGAGAATCATACCCAAACAAAATGCCAGATTCCAAGCCGTATATAATTTCTTCAACAACGTCATATTCCATCTGTACCACAAGCAGATGTGAATGGGTGGAGGGCACCATACTCAAACACTATAGATATATGAAAAGCATAAATCAATTTACCAACTCCTGTTCTTTGCGTTGACGTCTGTAGATGCGTAGCCATCCATTCAGTAGTACCTATTCAAAGGAGTGCATAAATACAAGTATCCAACTATATCTGGATTATCATAAGCATTATATAGACACACGCCCTTTACTAACAATATAAAATCTAGCAATGCTGGTTTCTAGTAACATGAACAGTCTGGGAACAACACTCATAGTTGTACATAAACATCAAATGATGCATAGTATAAGGTACCTACAAACAAGATGGCGACTACAATTGCCAACCATGGTAGATGGAAAATAGATATAGCAGAAGCCTTTTGCTCCTCACCTCCAGCACCAACTCCTGCAAATACAGAATCTCGCACAGATTATAAACACTAAAAGAGAAAAATACACGATCAATTCTCTGTGAGGGCGATTTAACTTTCATGTATTTTGAAGAACTTACATTACCTATAGTGCCAATGCCTGCTAAGGTAATCCCCATCCAGTCAACAGCATTCATAATTTCCTTCAGATAAAAATGGGAAAAGATTGAAAGAATGGCAAGTCCACACCCAGAAACGGGTTGTATGACAGATACCTGTAAAAAGGCATATAATGGCGCAACATCAAATTTAATCACCAATTGAAATTACTTTAGCACAAACTGTAAACGTCAAAATTAGACCCAAACAATTGAAAGAACAAATGGGTAAACAAATTGAATGTTAATGAAATGAAAATATGAGGAACATTTAAATTTAAATTTTTTTAAAAAAAAAAAAAAAAAAAAAAAAAAAAAAAAAATTGGAGTTGAGGCACTTACAGGAGCAAGAGATAATGCTCTCAACATGAGCAAGGCTCCAAATATATCCATCAGAAAACCTATCAACCAAGCTCTGTTCAAAGCATACGCCCTGATCACCTACAAACACACACGCATGAGCCCACTCCATTAGTAATTCGTTCAATGCTTTATCATGCAACCCAGAAATTGGGTTACAAGGAAATTAAACAAAAGCCCTGGAATTGGACCCAATTCAATTCCATAAATTAAAAGCACACAGTCTGTGTACCTGTGTCTGATAATTGGGATTTGAATAACAATCGAAGAATCAAAGACGAAAATGAATGAAAGTAATAACAGAAATGCAGAAGGGCAAAAGGGTAAAAAGAGGAGTACCTTGAGCTTGAAAGAGAGAGGAGGAAGAATGACCGTGCCCTTCTTCTGAAGAATTTTTCCGATATTGTTTCCGGCCGTCGCCGCCAGCGTTAGAAAGATCGACTCCCACATGATCCCTCTCTAAAAAAATAATTATTAAAAAAAAAAAAATTCATTCAAAAAAAAAAAAAAAAAAAAAAAAAAAAAAAAAAAAAAAATTGAAATTATTGGGGAACAAAAAAGGCTGTTGCTTTCTGGGTGCTTGGGGTTTGTTTCTTGCGGCCTCACGTTACTCTGTTGGTTTGGGTGCTGACATTAAAAAAGATATTTACTTTTGGGACATGACAGCAAAACAGCTCTGGCAAACGCCAAGGCGTAAAGAATTAATTAAAGATGCGCGCGGAGATCTTGATTTCAGTACTAAATACCATAATAAAGCTACATGTCGATTGAAGCATGATGGGAAAAAAAAAAAAAAAAAAAAAAAAAAAAACTCAATTAATTTTGTGTTTTGTTTTAATGATACACAGTATGTTATCAAATATAATATTTATCTGGTCACGCATGTATCAAGGACACATAAGAAATTTCAACTCCGAATCTCCCATTTTGTAGATAAGCAAAAAAAAACATAATTTGTAATACCTTTAGAATAATTTTACATTGCAAAATTACATTAAATACATAATCTCTAAATGTAGGGGCTCGAATCGAATCTCTTACGGTGACATTGTAGTTTGGTATTTGGTGGGTGGAGTTCCTCATCTTGAGATGAGGACTTGTCAACTACCAAGTGGCAAAGTCTTGTTCTCATTAACGTTTAACACACCAAATAAACTCATCATGTCTCATCACTCAGTTGTTTTCTCTGTTTTTTTCTTTTTGGTCAAAAGTTGTTTTCTCTGTTTGAGAATGCATTGGTGTGCTTCACCTTTCCTCTGATCCATCGATTGCAGTTTTTGCTGCAAGGACTCCATATCTTTCTCAATGACCTTCAGTTCTTTCTCAACTTGCTTAATTTTTGCCGCACAGCCAATAGTAATTCAGTTAATCCATCTATCTCCTTACCAGTTTTCTGCAAATATTTATAACAGCAAATAATCAGCAAGTTAAAGAAAACAATTCAAACTCCCCTACTATCTGATGAGTTAGAATTTTGTGTGTTACTTTGATTTGTTCCAGTAAGGACTTTTTTGAACCCAAAATATCCCAACTCTTTCCCTTGGCAGCAGCATTGGCATCAGCAATAAGTTCATCCCATTGCCTTAGCAATAAAACTGCCAAACTCTCCCTTCGCCATTTAAGTTGGTGGATTTGTCTTAGGTGGTATTGAACTATTTTTCTCTGAGTTGTATGATATAGTCTCTGAATCAACCACCAACTCTGTTTCAACAGTCCAAAAGGAAAAATAAAAAAAATAAAAATCCAAAGAATAAGAAAACATACAGCCTACAGGGTATAATAAATGACTAACTCTAAGCAAACTTAATCTTTAATGTTTAATCTTACACTTTCAGAAAGCACATAATATTCATTTTCCAATGAGGAAAATGATCCAACACCCTCCTTCGGGCTCACATTGATCTCCTTCGGGCTCACAATGATCTGTTTTAGAAGCTGTTTTTCCTCAGCCAAACTGTTGGTTCCATGTCCCATCCGGAAATTCAATTTCTGAAACCATGTCCACATTTCTAACAAACTCAAAAAGGCTAAGTGAAAAAGAAACGAAATAATCAAGAAACAATCAGAAAACAACGTACATGTTTAGCTATCTCTTCTCCTGGCAAGCAGGGCTTAATTGGTTTTCCTTGGTGAGCTTTGTTTGCGAAACCAAGCAGAAATAGTTGCAATATATTCATTTTCTTCCTCTCCCGGGCCAAGAAGTATCCGAGTTCCGTTTCATGCCAATTCAAGTTTTTCAACCGAGGAAGAAGGGTAGAGCTCCGATCACACTGTTGACATAGTTTTCATAAAGATGTGGCAATTTTCATTCATGATCATGTTTGTTTGATAATTGAAGTTGAGACTATCACAGCAGCTAAGAATTAGGAAATGCAGTCACATATATTCATGCAGATTGCAGACCATTTTAACATACCACCCTTTGGGCTATGCCTTCAGTTAGCTCAAGTTTATCTTGCCTGGTCTTTGCAAGCAGCTTCTCAGCCCCTTCAATTCTGGCTTTCAAATTTAGCTCTTCATCAGCAGCATCCTTTATAAGCCCAGAAACTTCTTGCAACCGATTGTTGTCTCCTGCGCTTTCAAGTACCAGAGCCATTTGTGTAGAATTAGCTTCAAATTCCTCCATATAGTGTTGGCTAGCTTTGCCTGATGTTCATACAAATGGTATAACTGAAACACATTATACACTAATGGGACGCATAAAAATTGTGGTTTTTAGCAAAAAATTTATAGAAGACTATGTGCTTCCAAAAAGGAAGAAAGAAAAGGATATGAAACAATTTGGTTGTTACCTTCAATGTGCAGACCAGAAATTCAGGTACTGCAAATGAATGAGACAATTTGACTGGGAATTTTAGAAGTCTGACTTAGTATGCAGATGCTGATATGAGGATATGAACTGTGCGCTCTATATATTCATCCAAATGCACTTGCACCCCACGCAAAGTAAGTTAGTCAGCTCAACTGATTCCAAAACCCTTATTATAGAATTCCTATTCAATAATTTCTTTTTCTTGGGGTGGCATTGTCAAAGCTGAGAAAATGGACGTGGCATTAGAAAATATACAATTTGGTGTGAGCATCTGAGCATAATTCAAGTATAAGTTTTCTAAAAATTAAAAACGGATATGTTCTCTTGCTTCCAAGTGCAAACAGAGTTTTTGTTTTTGTTTATAGGGGAACATTAAAAAACAAAAACTCCCTAGATAGATATAGTTTTGCTTTGTCAGAGAAAAGGGTCTATCCGCAATAGGGATTCAAGCAAGGGCAGAACTACCAAGAGATTGTATCGGGCTTTAGCTTGGTGCTGAGTTCTACTCTTAATGTATAAAATAAAATAAATAAATAAAACAGTACAATTAAATATTAGCCTATTACCTCATAGCCACACATAGTAGGGGTGGGTGAGGTCCAATCCAGTTTCCACCTCACATTGGAATTGAAACTGGTACTATTCAATCGGTGCAGTGCGGTTCAATTTTGGTGAAAAAAAATTTATGAAACCGGCCAGTCCAATTTAAACCTGAGTTCTGTTTTCGGTTTTTTCGATTTCAGACCGGATATTGTTAAAAGAAATTTTACAAATTTCAACTAAAATTTTATTTTTTGGGCTTAAAAATTCACGAATGATCCAATTTCATGCAAAAAGCGATGATTGGGCATAGAAAAGAAAGATGTTTTGAAGTTGGGTTTGGGGAAATATTAGTTATGGGATTAGAAATTTATCATTTCACTAAAATAATTTTTTTATTTATTTAAAAATGCACAGTCAATTCGGTCCAGTCAGATCTAATGCAGTTTTATCAGGTGTGAAATCGGCACCGAAATCGGTTTGAATCGGTTCAGTGCTAATTTTTTGACTTTTTAGTCAACACCATTTTTTTCAGGTTTTTTTCCATTCGGTGTGGCTCGATGTTCTGGTTTTCCGTTCTTAATGCCCACCCCTAACACATAGCACTTTTTTTTTCCAGCCCACAGAAAGGGACAAGACCATACAAACATAACTTACAAAAAGATTAAAAAAGGAAAAGTAAAACATTAAAATAGCACAACTTACACTTTTTTGACTGCTCCATTATTGTTTGTCATTAGTCAAACTCAAATACAACATTAATATATTAGAACATCATTAAATTAATGGTACCAAGCTCTGAATCTTCCCCAATCTGCAAAGTCAATTCGGTACATAGAAAAGAAAGATGTTTTGAAGTTGGGCTTTGGGAAATATTAGTTATGGGATTAGAAATTTAGCATTTCACTAAAATAATTTTTTTATTTATTTAAAAATACACAGTCAATTCAGTCCAGTCCGATCTAATGCAATTTTATCAGGTGTGAAATCGGCACCGAAATCGGTTTGAATCGGTTCAGTGCTAATTTTTTGACTTTTTAGTCAACACCATTTTTTTCAGGTTTTTTTCCATCCGGTGTGGCTTGATGTTCTAGTTTTCCGTTCTTAATGCCCACCCCTAACACATAACACTTTTTTTTTCCAGCCCACGGAAAGGGACAAGACCATACAAACATAACTTACAAAAAGATTAAAAAAGGAAAAGTAAAACATTAAAATAGCACAACTTACACTTTTTTGACTGCTCCATTATTGTTTGTCATTAGTCAAACTCAAATACAACATTAATATATTAGAACATCATTAAATTAATGGTACCAAGCTCTGAATCTTCCCCAATCTGCAAAGTCAATTCGGTACATAGAAAAGAAAGATGTTTTGAAGTTGGGCTTTGGGAAATATTAGTTATGGGATTAGAAATTTAGCATTTCACTAAAATAATTTTTTTATTTATTTGAAAATACACAGTCAATTCAGTCCAGTCTGATCTAATGCAATTTTATCAGGTGTGAAATCGGCACCGAAATCGGTTTGAATCGGTTCAGTGCTAATTTTTTGACTTTTTAGTCAACACCATTTTTTTCAGGTTTTTTTCCATCCGGTGTGGCTTGATGTTCTAGTTTTCCGTTCTTAATGCCCACCCCTAACACATAACACTTTTTTTTTCCAGCCCACGGAAAGGGACAAGACCATACAAACATAACTTACAAAAAGATTAAAAAAGGAAGTAAAACATTAACATAGCACAACTTACACTTTTTTGACTGCTCCATTATTGTTTGTCATTAGTCAACTCAAATACAACATCAATATATTAGAACATCATTAAATTAATGGTACCAAGCCCGGAATCTTCCCCAATCTGCACGCAGTCTGAGGTATTACCTCACCTTTATTTCTCAAGTTTTTTTTTTAATCTTTACTCATTTGTTGTTTGTTTGCTAAAAACTTGGCTCCAATTTTTTTTAATTGAACATTGGCTCCAATTTTTAGTTCTACTTATTTATGTTTTTTTTGGGTTTGGTTGTACTTATTTGTGTTAATGTTTGGAAAAAGAATTTCTAAATTTAACTAGTTTATAGGCCTCGTTTGCGTTTAGTTATGCTATTTTCAGACTTTAGCCCCCTACCAAAAAAATATCTAGACAATTTGAACTATTATATATTATATTATAGAAGAAGCCAAAAAAAAAATTTAGCCATGCCCTAAATAAATTTATGCTTCTGCCATTGGATTTAAGCCTAGTATTTGTTGAAGAATATAAAGATCAACATCGGAAAACATAAGAATGAATTGGCCACTTGGTAGCTCTCTCGCTACGTTAGGAGAGCCGTGCGTCAAATATTAGGGTTTAGGTTTTTCACGTTCAGCCGTCATCCCTTCCTCGGGCCTAACCATGCTCATTTTCATCAACGTTCAACCGCCATCATCGCCCTCCTTGCCTTGACATCGTCGTGTCACTTTTCTTCTAGGTCGAGTTGTTGTCGTTTTTCTTCCACGTCGAGTCGATGACGTCACTCCTCTCTTCGACTTTGGGGTGCTAGCCTCGTTGTTGTCTCTCTCAGATCCTAAGCGTTGGTTTCGTTGTTCTCTTGCTCTTCGGCGCATCGGCGTCAATGGTGGTTGCGTTGGTATGGTGGTTTCAGCCGGTCTGCTCCTACTATTGTGCCGACAGTCTCCAAGTCAACAACGATCATGGTGCAAGCAACTTCGCGGGGGTTGGTGGTCACGATGGAGGTGGCTTTCCTCATGCCCCCTCCGTCGTCTGTTCTACGATCTCAAGCCTTACCTTCATGAGAAGACTGTTGAAGAACATAAGTCCCACATCGGAAACTTGACTAAATAAAATAAAATATATAATGAATGATTCCACTACTAATATCACGAAGACCTTTTGTGATAAAACTCCACACCTACTAGGCTTTGTAGGTGGTTAAGTTAGAGACAATATCGGTGTTGCTAATAGTGGGCCGATGACCCGTCTATCTGAAATTTAACATGGTATTAGAGCGGGTTGATTGATTGGGCCTAAATTGGGCCTTTACCCTTACCCAATATGTGGCTTTCACATTTTGGGTTTGAATGTTTACCTCTATCCCTATCCCTTACCCAATACTTAGTGTTCACGTGTTGGGCTTAAATGATTGATTTCGATGTGGACTTGGCTCCACGTGTGGCCTACTATGTGGTGGTCCCACATAAGGGGGTGTGTTGAAGAATATAAGTTTCACATTAGAAACTTGACTAAATAAATTACAATATATAATGAATTGTTCCACTACTAATATTACTGAGGCCTTTTGTGATAAAACCCCACACCTACTTGGCTTTGTAGGTGGTTAAGTTGGGGACAATATCGGTGTCGCTGGTAGTAGGCCGCTGGCCCATCTCACTGAAATTTAACAAAGATAGCCGCTGTCCAAAGATTTGGCGTGTTGGGCCATGTTAAGTGGGTAGGCTAGTTTTATCATTGTTGCGTGGTGTTTTATTTGTTCTCCCTTTGATCTTTGATCCTCCGTCTATCTCAAGGACTACGTTTTCATAAGAGGTCTCTTTGTCAGTGTTGAGATGATACGGCGTGCTTGGGGGTTTTTTTTTTTTTTTTTTTTTTTTTTTTTTTTTTTGTCCTGTTTGTTGTTTTAGTCTCTTCTTTGTGTTACTCCTTGCAGATTTCCTCTTCTTTTATCACCAATTGCTATTAAAGGTGGCTAGAGATGGTGTGCTTAATGGCTGTTTTCTTTCTTCTTGGCGTATTGTGTTCTCTGTTTGAAGTTCTCACTGTCTTGTGGCTGTGCAAAAGACTATGATTTCATAGCATGACTCTTTTGACAATTGGATTGTGTTGTAGTGTTCTCGTCGGAGGTCTTTGCGTCAAAGGTGTATGTGTCAGTTTGATGTTTTATTTTATCTTGCTCTAGCATTGGTCTATGACATGTGTGGTACTATTTCCTACCCTAAGGTTTGTCCCTCATGAAGGTTTTAACGAGGCCACTGTTTCGTGTCGTTCTATGTACGCTACTTTGATTCTATGAATGAATTTCATTTCTCAAAAAATAAAAAAATAAAGACCTACATCGAAAAATTTGACAAAATAAATTTACTTTTCTCAGTGGCATTGTCAAAGCCGAGAGAACGGACGTGGCATTTTAGAATGAGCAAAATTTGGTCTGAGCATAATTCAAGTAAAAGTTTTCTAAAAGAAAAAAACGGATGGGTTCTCTTGCTTCCAAGTGCTAATAGAGTTTGCAGTTTTTGGTTCTAGGGGGGAACACTAAAAACCAAAAGACTTCGTTGATATAGTTATTCAGGCAGCAACTCTGCATCATCTGAACAGTAAAGACGAAAATGAATGGAAGAATGAAGAAAGGCCAAATGAGTAAAAAGAGGAGTGCCTTGAGCTTGAAATAGAGAGGAGGAAGAATTTTGATTTCAGTAAATACCATAATAAAGCTACATGCCGTTTGAAACACGATAAGAAATAATAACAGTTATTCTACAATTGCGCAATATTGATGTTGAATATTTTATTCCACTCATTTTTCTTTTAGAGCTAATTGCGATCTCATTTTCTTGTTGTGGTAATGAATATGTGGTTTGGTATTTGGTGGGTGGAGTTCCTCAACTTGCAAGGACTTGCTGACTGACTGCCAAGTGGCCAAGTCTTGTTAAACACACCAACTGTGTTTAACTAAACTAACTCATCATATCTCCTCACTCTTGTTTTTTCAGTTTGTGAATGCATTGGTGTGCTTCATCTTTCTTCTGATCAATCCATGGTAGTTTTTTCTGCAAGGTCTCTATTTCTTTCTCAGCGACCTTCAATTCATTCTCAACTTGGTTAATTTTTGGCCGCACAGCCAACAGTAATTTAGTTAATCCATCTATCGCCTTACCAGTAACCTGCAAACATTATAACAGGAAGAAAAAAAGAGTTAGAATTTTGTGTGTTAAAACTCCCCTACTCTATTTGATGAGTTAGAATTTTGTGCGTTACTTCGATTTGTTCCAGTAAGGACTTTTTTGAACCCAAAGAATCCCAAATCTTTCCCTTGGCAATAGCATTGGCAGCAGCATTGGCAGCAGAATTGGCATAAGCGTTAGCATTCCCACTAGCATTAGCAATAGCTTCATCCCATTGCCCTTGCAATAGAACTGCCAAACTTTCCCTTTGCCATTTAAGTTGTTGGATTTGTCTTAGGCGGTATTTAACTATATTTCTCTGATTGGTCTGATACCGTCTCTCGTAATGCCGCCATGAATACTGTTTCAACCGTCCAAAGGAAAAAGAAAAAAAAACCACAGAATAAGAAAACGTACAGGGTATAAATGACTAACTCTAAGCAAACTTTAATGTTTAATCTTACAAATTCAGGAAGCATATGATATTCCTCTTCAAATGAGGAAAATAAACAAACACCCTCCTTCTGGCTCACATTGATCTGTTTCAGAAGCTGTTTTTCCTTAGCCAAACTTTTGGTTCCGTGTCCCATCCTGAAATTCAATTTCTGAACCCATGTCCGCATTTCCAACAAACTCAAAAAGGCTTAATGGAAAGAAAAAAAGAAATAATCAAGAAACAATCAGAAAACAAATATATACACGTTTAGCTATCTCTTCTCCTGGCAAGCAGGGCTGAATTGGTTTTCTTTGGTTAGCTTTGTCTGTGAAACGAAGCAGAAAGAGTTGCAATATATTCATTTTCTCCCTCTCCAGGGTCAAGCAGTATTCGAGTCCCCTTCCATAACTAATTAAGCAGTTCAACCGAGGAAGAAGGGTACATCTCCGATCACACTGTTGACATAGTTTTCAAAAAGATGTTTCAGATTTTCATTCATGATCATGTTATTTGATAATTGAAGTTGAGACTACCACAGCAGCTAAGAATTAGGAAATGTGGTCGCATATATTCGTGCATATTGCAGACCATTTTAACATACCACCCTTTGCGCTATGTCTTCAGCCAGCTCAAGCTTATCTTGCCTGATCTTTGCAAGCAGCTTCTCAGCCTCTTCAATTCTGGCTTTTAGATTTAGCTCTTCAGCAGCAGCATCCTTTATAAGCCCACCAACTTCTGGCAACCGATTGTTGTCTCCTTCGCTTTCAAGTAACGGAGCCATTTGCATACAATTAGCTTCCAATTCCTCCATAGTGTTGACCTTGCCTGATGTTCATACAAAAGGTTTAACTGAAACACATTATACACTAATGGGATGCATAAAACGGTGGGTTTAGTAAGTTCAAGATGAAGTTGATAACCAACATATCAAAAAATTTATAAAAGCCTATGTCTTACGAAAAAGGAAGAAAGAAAAGGGTATGAAACAATTTGGCTGTTACCTTCAATGTCCAGACCAGATATTCACGTACTGCAAATGAATGAGACAATTTGACTGGGAATTTTTAGAAGTCGGACTTAGTATGCAGATGCTGATATAAAGATATGAACTGTGCTATATATACTCAGCCAAATCCACTTGCACCCCACGCAAAGTAAGTAAGTCAACTGTTTCCATAACCCTTATTAAAGAATTCCTATTCAATAATTTACTTTTCTTGGAGTGGCATTTGTCAATGCTGAGATAAAAATGGACATGGCATAAAAAATAAGCAATTTGGTCTGAGCATCTGAGCATAATTCAAGTAAAAGTTATCCCCCAAAAAAAAAAGGGATACGTTCTCTTGCTTCCAAGTGCAAATAGAGTTTTCAGTCTTTGTTTTTAGGGGAACATGAAAAACCAAAAGACTTCGTAGATATAATTTTGCTTTGTCTGGGTGAAATGATTTAACCAACGTCTAATTCAAAAAATTCAGATTATGTTTCCAGCTCTGTTATTTAACAATGGGGTTTTGGTGCTGTTGAAAACACACACAAAATATGGATGGGCAAAGCAGTTCTTCCACCAATGTTGCCCCATATATTTATGGTAAAGGAAATTACAAGCACATGGGTTGCTAGAAATTCCTTAAAAATTTGGCATAGCTTCTTACAACATTCCAGCCAATTATAAGCTTCCCTCTGTTCCCCATTCACTGCCTAGCTAGTTCATAAAATCATCTCAACCTATTGACACCAAAGATTATGAACAGCCATGAATGACTTTGGTGTAGTGATCACACAAGATTGTTGTTTACAATGCTGGTACATAGGTGTGGTATGAAGAACCATTTCAGTTTACCAATTTGGGGGAAGATAAAGTTCGATTAAGATACATGATATTGGTGACCAAATCTATTTACAAGAAAATGATGAATAGGTGAAGATTTTTAACACTGAGATGAGTGAGCGCATCCAGACCAGAGCAACTCTTAGATTACAGGGTGCAAATTAAAGCTGAAATATGAAAAGGAAGGGAAATTTTTTGAACATCAATATAGAATCAAACTCCATATCTAATTTAGTGAGCACAACCTTCAAGCTCAGAGCTTTGAATGAAACCGGCATGAATTCTTATGAAAGGAGATAACTTGATTCAAAACCAGTGACAGTACTTTACCCAATTTACAATTGAGTCTATTTGCAACAACCCAATTCATGGGTTTTTTTTTTCATGATCACAACCATAAATCCACAAGACACAAAATTCAAGACTTTCTCTCAAGACTTACAAATAATTATAGAGCAAAACTAAACAGTACCCACCAAATCCCAATCACCACCATCCATAAACCACTTGGGTGCACTTATCTTTAAGCCACCTGAAGCTTTTCCTGAAGGAGCCCTTCATCTTGCCCTCCACAGAGTACATTTTGTAGCTAGCAACCCTCTTCTTCCTCTGCAACTCAGGGTCCATGAGACCCCAATTAGACTTCGAGGACGACCCAGAAGTGCTTTTTCCCTTCTTCAACTTGAAGTCCCTGTTATTGTTATTAGCCATCTGGGTTTGTGCATAAGAAACACTGTAGCTCCTTAGCTCATAGGAAGTGGGTGGTCTTGGAGGTCCATAGTAGTTTTCCATCTGCATCGTCCCACTGCCAGGGCCATATGACTTTGATCTGCTGTAGTCTTCCATGGGATTTTGGCAGAGAGTTTAGAACCGTTTGAAGGGTTTGTTTTGCAGGGCCAACCGATCTTTACAGACCAAGAAGAAAACAAACGAGGAAGCAGAGAGGTGTGGGGTCCAACACGAGAAATTGCTCAATTTGCTCTGGCTTGTGTTGTTTTGTTTTGAAAGTTCTTATTTCTAAGGCAGTAAGGCTGACCTGACCTTATGAGTGATTCTAGATGGCGTGTTTCGTGGGGAATCATGTTGTCTACGGAAGATTAATTTTTATAAATAAATAAAAAACAATTTTTAGGTCTTCAGAAACTATAAAGGATGCACTTTTGCTCTTGAGCCCACAAAGGGTCTTTTTTCTTTTTTTCTTTTTGAGAAAAACCATTCTATCAATCCAACGGTTGTGTTCAAGTTCGAATTTGTCTTGCTAGGAAGTAATTTCAAATTTGTATTGTGAGTTCCACTTTACATTAAAGCGGTAATTACCAAAGTCGTCATCAAAGAAGATACAATTAACAGCACCGTAAAAGAGGTCTGAATCTCAAGTATGCACGTGAGTTCATAGGTCCTTAGCAAACACTTTTGTCCCAAGGGTTGTCAACAATAATTTGTTATGAGGGAATCTAAACCATCTTTCATCTTTTTCTTCTTTCCTTATCTGTTAAATTTATATTCGTTTCTCTTATTCTTTTTTCCTGAGGACTTTTGTCGAAACAAGGATAGAACTTATTCTTCTCTTCTTTGATTATTGAAAAGTTATCCCCAAGTGCAGTATCTGCATTTCTTTAACCAAACGAGAAACTTCCATGACTCCAAACAAAATATTCCATCTCAAAACCAAACTTTGAATAAATCAATCCAAACACAGTTACTTCTGCAAGTTGTCTCACATACTAGAAATGCAATAAATGCAACAAAATTTTCATGTGGTTTTTGCACACCTGGAAAATGGGAATGGAAACCCGCCTCTTATGCACAGGTCCATACCCCAGATTCAAGTGATCCATGCTAAATAATGGCCCCTACACCTACAAGGAAGAAAATAAATATGGCTTCCAAATTAGAAGCCAATTACCGCACCAAAGCAAAACCTTATTTAAAGCAGATCAGCAACATTTGCCGGCAGCTCCTCAATCACAACATTATAAAACTTCTGGATGTCAAACAACATCCTGTCGTCATCCTTGGTCACAAAATTGATGGCAACACCCTTCCTCCCGAAACGACCACTACGACCAATGCGGTGGAGGTAGTTTTCTGGTTGTGTCGGAAGATCAAAATTAATCACTAGAGAGACCTGCTGGACATCAATACCACGGGCCAAGAGATCAGTTGTTATGAGCACACGAGAAGAACCAGACCGAAACTCTCTCATGATAATGTCTCTTGTGTTTTGGTCCATGTCTCCATGGGTGGCAGAGACTGTGTGATCGCGGCTGCGCATCTTGTCAGTGAGCCAATCAACTTTGCGCCTGGTGTTCACAAAGATGACACTCTGAGTAATTGCCAAGGTCTCATAAAGATCACAAAGTGTCTCAAGTTTCCATTCCTCTTTATCAACATTGACATGGAATTGCTTGATACCCTCAAGGGTGAGCTCATCACGTTTCACCAAAATCCTCACAGGTTTATTCATGAACTTCCTAGTGATGTCAAGGGCCTCCGGTGGCATTGTGGCAGAGAAAACCCCGACCTGAATTTTCGATGGTAGCAGCTGGAAAATGTCATAGATCTGAAAATATGAACCGAGGTTGTTAGTACAATAAACAACTAGACCAAATAGCATGTAAACTAAACGGAAATTTTGAATTCCTTCAAACTTATCTCTAAATGTAGGAGTTGCAAATTCAGCCTAGAAGGCCAAGCATTCAACTTATGCTAAAACAGAATTACACAAAGCACTACAAACACAAGTCACATAATTGAATGCCAAACCCAGGTAACATTGAGCATCACGAAACTCATTTTTTGTAGTAAGAAGTATCAGCTACTGAAGAAAAAAATAATAAATATAAAAATGAAATTCTGGACCTGATCCTTGAAACCTCGTGAAAGCATTTCATCTGCTTCATCTAAGACAAACATCTTAATGTAATCTGGACGAAGAGACTGCCTCCGTAACATGTCAAATACACGACCAGGTGTACCAACAACGACATGGACCCCACTGGAGAGAATGCGTTGATCTTCACGAACACTGGTCCCGCCAACACAAGCATGAACCTTGACACCAAGATAGTCCCCCAGTGCTCGCATAACCTTCTCAATCTGTTGAGCAAGTTCTCGTGTGGGTGCAAGAACCAATGCCTGGCAATCAGGTAAGGCATAATCAAGCTGCTGCAGAATTCCAGAGCAGAAAGTCGCAGTTTTTCCAGTTCCAGACTGTGCCTGTTGAATCACATCAAGTCCCTTGCAGAAAGGAACAATTCCCCTTTGCTGAATTGCAGAGGGCTTCTCAAAACCTTCACACACAAAAAAAGTTTGGACTGCAAATCAGCTTTTCAATTTACCACAAGGATGACTTACATTTGTAGCATATACCATCAAACATGCATATAAAGACATAATATATATATATATATATATATATAAAATAGAGAAGAGGCAGTGGCCATGACGTTAAATGGTGTAGGATTTTACTTCAAGTGACAGTCTTAAAAGTCACAACCTAAACTATTACACCAATTCTTCGTTTTCTGTTATCTAAAAAAACACACGCACAACAAAATTGTCAGAAAACCTCAATATACTCTATATGCAAAATGGAGTTATAACCTTGAATCTTCCTAAAATGCTTGAAACTAAAATCATCCGATCAGGCACACCTTGCCAAGAATTTCCCAGAAACAAGTTTCAAAAAGTCAAAAAGAAAAAAAAAGTGCAGCATTATTTAATTTACCATATGCATAAATGCCCCTAAGAAGGTTCTCCTGCAATCCCATAGCATCAAAGCTGTCATGAACCTCATCATATGATGTGAAGAATTCTTGCCCATCAGCTCCAAGTCTGCTCCCATCAGTAAATTAAAACAAGATTAACTTCTTTATCATTAGCAATACAAATATGCACCACATGCAAAATTCTGAATATGTGAATCAAAGAAGACTATAAGAGAGAGAGAGACAGAGAGAGGACAAAAATAAAACTTACAACTCACTCATTTTAGCATCATACTGACGAGCATCAAATTGGGATCCTTCCGGTGCGACAGCAGCCATACTGAAAATATCAACCAAAAGATATCACATTTATAATTATAACTCATCTAAATAAGGTAATCTTGGTTTACGCAGTAAGATTATAACTGATATTCAAACTGTTAACCAGTATTTTAAAAATGAAGGTGCATCTTTTATGCAATAATTTATTTCACACAAAATGCTCAATCTTGACTATTTTTATGTGAACATCTTTTTCTATGAGACTTTCTTATGGGAACTCTTGGAAAATCAAAAGCCTAATCCTTCCCTGCCCAGATCATGGTATCCTCACCCAGATGACTAAGTTCATACAATCAAAAACTCATCAGACTGAAATCAGAAACATATATATATAAAATTGGTTACCACAGTTTACAAAATTCAAATCAAGAATACTTCTGCATTACAAAAGCAATAAGTCACCACACAATGAACCAAAGATTAAGACTTTCAAGTTTTGAACAACTTTTTGACATTGTTTTCAGAACTTTCACAGGAACCAAACAAAACCCCACAAGTAATCGATCTGCCCAGAACGAATAAATCGCTAACCACAGCTTGAAAATGTTTATGCATTCAACGAGAGCTTAAATATATTATAAACTGAACAAAAGACGAGAGCGAACCTGAAAGCGGCAGTGAGAGTTCGACGAAGTGGGAAGTTTTGATAGCGGGCTGTGGATTGTGTTTAGGGTTAGGGTTTCCCAAACTCCTCGGATCTCTTTATAATTTTTTGGACGGAGGAGTTGAGGAAGGCAGCAATGTAAGACTGGAGAGGGGAAAAACGCGTACGTGAAGAGTACAAAAATATGTGAGGGCTCTTCGATGGATAAATCTTTCGCGTTTCCTATTTTGCCCTTGCAGTTCCGTTCTAATAATTGTGGGATAGGAAAAAAACGTGTATAGCCGGGCGGCTATACTATTTATATATATATAAAAAAGGACCAGACTAGCGATTAGTTGCCCGAGTGTCAAAATAAGTATAGCCGAATGGACCAGACTAGCGATTAGGTGCCCGAGTGTCAAAATCAGTATAGCCGGACGGCTGTACTATTTTTAAAGAAACATTAATAAAACCGAGTACCGCCGAGCGGCTATACAATTTTTAAAAAATAAATTTAAAAAAGGGTACAGCCGAGCGGCTATTATATATATAAAGACCCACCCACTAGGCGCCACGTGTCAAACATGTAAAGCCAAGCGGCTGTACTATTTTCTTAAAAAATTAGGAAAAACGAGTATAGCCGGGCGGCTATACTATTGTTTTTAAAAACTTTAAAAATCCGAGTCTCATCGAGTATAGCCGTCCGGCTGTACTATTTATATATATATATATATATGTTAATTTTCTAGTTTCAACATCCAAAGCACATATCAAAGAGAGAGAAATTTCACAATAAATCAATTTTAAACAACGTGAACTTTACCGAGTGTTTAAGACATTTGCAGAATATGGATGTATTATTGAAAAATACGTATGTATATGTATAATATATTATTGAAAAATATGTACGTACGTATATAATGCATTATTGAAAAATATGGATGTATTATCGAAGACCGGTAAAATTTGTCAGTTTCTAAAATTTTTAAATAAATAAATAAATTAGTATAGCCGCACATCGTTTTTATCTTTTGTTTATGATATCCGAGAACTACTAAGCGCACCATGAAGACCGAAGTTGTTGGGCCTTAATTTAATAAAAAACAGTTATTGGACCAAAATTGAATGAGAAATTGATATTGGGTCCAATTTTCTTAGAGTTGAGAAGTTTGGAAAACTGGGCCTAAAGGGAGAACGGGACAAAAGGCCTCTTTACCTGGTCATGCAAAAGGGTAGATTTTTCTGATAATTTCCTGGCTGGCCCAATACCCACAATCATTCCACGAATATTTGGGGTGATTATTGTTTCAATATTGGAAGATGTGTTATGTTGAATTTCCGCTCATTTTATGACGAGAAAAACACAATTATAATTTAATTGCTTAAGTAATTAGGAGTATTTATCTTTACACGCAAGATCATGTATTCTATTTCCTTCCATTCCCACCTCTTCTTTATATTCTGCATCTTGTTTTCCTGTATTTTTGTCCTGAGTAACATATGACATTTGGCGGTTCTAATTAAATATGTTACTATTTCGCGTGTTATAATATAATGTACGAAGAAAGCCTTTATAATTTAAAATATGATGTTGATTAAAAACACTTACAGTCACACCCACCTATAATTAACTACAACATCAGGTTGGAAACGAAAATGCTGTGTCACTGGAGTCATGAATAGAAACAAATGTAAAAATTAGCTAACTACAACATGTTAATTATCTACTTCTCTCACACATCCTATGAATTAGCCAAAAAGAGACAAAAGGAGTAATGAAGGTGTTGAGAAAATGCGACAATATTATGTAGTGTACATGTAAAGCCATTTATTTATATATTTTTCTGCAGATTTTTCGACAGGACAATACATAGTAGGCCTAAGGTATCGTTATGATGACATCCCGTTACATATGATGTCTTATCATAGGATGGGGTAAGAGTTCATTATCGGACAGAACTGCTGGTCATCGTTTTCTGGACAAGATATTGGATTATATGAGTCACAAAATGGTTATCTGCTTGCTGCTGCAAACGCCCGCCTCCATACTGGACCAACGCATGATGATGCATATTATTAATAGCTGGAGAAGGGAAGGGCATCACGTGATCATGCACATGCCTCTGAATTCTGCTTCAATTGAATCATCACATATGGTTGGTTTGGTTGCACGCCTTGGCTTGGTCCGCCTTTGTTGCCAAATACTCCACTGCCAAGTTCGTTGGTGTGAACTAATATTGGATGATGTTGGGGTTCATATTGAAACAAACATTAATAATTATTTTACAAAATAAAAGATGTAATATTTCTGAACATTTTGGAATGAATTGATTGATTGATGTATATTTATCCCTCTATCTTTTGTCATATCTACAGACAGCAAGATTTAGTGGAAGCTACAACATATATGGCATATGGTGGGACATGACCTGAATTCAAATATGGCAACCAGAAAGCAAAAACGGAAAAATAAAGTTGTTCTGTGTTTTTCAATCTTCAAACACAAAGCCAAAAGTTATAGTTGAAAATCCACCCCAACCACACATTATTGACACGTACCACTGGACCACAAAGATTCTCATATAATCACAAATCTAATTCAATTGATTCTCATCGATGCACTCCTTATTTGATTTAATTGAGAGAGGAATTTGAGACGTTGAATCCGTCCTGATTAACTGACCTAATGCACATATTATAATTAATTAAGATATGTTATATGTCCAAGAAGAATAAATATTATGGTTGGTGGCCCTTCAACCAACAAGTAGATAAACCCTAGAATGCCACGTGCAGGTGGCAAGCACCTATATGGATTTCATATACTCGTTTTGGTTGCCGAAAGTGGAAGAAAATAAAATCAAATGAGCATGCTGCTTGCTGGTCCAAGACTCCTCCAAGGGGACTCTCGCCTGCCAATTAGGGTTACCACTTACCCAAAGGAAAAGTGTTCGATTTCCATGGACTATGGACCATGAGCAGAAGAAGATGCTTTATCATCATGGTTAGCAATGCAAGTGGTGGCTTTTTTGAACAAATATGTATATATTTATACAATAATTTTGCCAAATCCTGTTGCCCTGTTGGAACCAACATGTGTATTACTATATGTATGTAAGCACATCCCTCATTTCCCACTCCAAAAAGGGAAAGTCTTATGACCATTCAAAAGACATGCCCACTTCCATAATGGGTATATTTTTCTTCATACCCCACCACTTGTCATCATTCATTGGCAGTGGCACTTGTTCATACAGCTTAGCCCTAGAATTATAGGCTCTATTATTGTAGTACAAGTTTTTTTCACACGCCTAAGGTCCGCGTGGTTTTAAAAATAATAACTAACCTAAATTATTCGTTTGATTAAACTAAGCTATTTGTGGTAGATATTAATTAAGTTAGTTGAAACGGATGTGTGTTCTCTTGGACCCCGAGTCTCTGTATTTAGGTATTGTGCATTTACTCGCATTTCGTAAAATATGGACCATTCAACTAATCCAATGCTTGTGGGTGTGCCACATCAACTACAATAATTTGTTTCCTTCATAAACAAATGACGTTGTTAGTCCATTTGACAGAAAATAAAATAAAACCTCCATCGCTGTTTTCATTCTTCCTTTCATCTTTTTTTATTTTTATTTTTTCCTATGGGAAGCCGTAGTCATCAACTTCCTTCCAACCTCTGTACCCCACTAACCAAGAATGAACAACACCAACCAAGAATCCCAACCTCAGTACCCCTCCATTTCTCCTCCCACCACAGAGAAAGACACAAACCCTTTTCTTCAAACACCTCCGCCATCACACTCATTGAAAACCCAACCACCGCTCCCTTGTAAATCCCCCAGCTCAATAATCAATCATTTTTATCAAACACATACGCCTTCGTCCTTATTGCAGGGAACCCAAAAGCCCTATGATTTTACTCCTTCCACGGCAAACCCTTATGATCACCCAGCACCATCCCCATCCTCACTACAGAAAACCCAAGATCTCAAAGAAGCTCATCATGAAGATATTCCATTATCAATCAGAACAGCAATCAATTGGGTATTTTCCTGATCAATTTCGGTTGATGACTACAACTTCCTATAAAAAATAAAAAAATCGAAGGAAGAATGAGGAGAGCGACATGCGAGATTGGAGATGGAGATGGAGTTTGTTTTTTTTTTTTTTTTTTTTTTTTTTTTTTTTGTTTGACATAACTCCTCATTTTTTTCAAAAAAGGAAACAACCTAATTATAATTGATGTGGCATACCCACAAACATTGGATTAGTTGAATGGTCCATATGTTACGAAATGCGGGTAAATGCACAATGCCTAAATGTTGAGGCTCTGGATTCGTGTTCCCCAGATGAACTCAAATTCAAATCCCCTCCCTGTAGTTTATATTATATTAAAGTAGAATATTAT